TCTCTCTCTCTCTCTCTCTCTCGCGTCCTGCCCTTGCAGGTGAAAAATCCACACAAGGCCGCATGTTGTTGTTACATTGGATTGCAAGCAGGTCCAGACCAGACTGTCGGCCCTTTAGGGCGTTGAGACTTGCGTCCAGAGCTCGGGTGCGCACATAACATACGTAGGCATGGTAGGGGACGAAACGTCCGACCGGAACAGGCGACCCGCTTACACCCGAGATGCCCATAGGGTGTATCACCAAGATAACTCCTGTAGGCTGCCACTGAGACACAACGGCACAGGGCATAGAATTGAGGGCTGTTTGAACAAGACCAAGGAGGAAAAGGCAGCCGGATGCAGGTGAATATCTCGGAACCGAGTTTGTTGAGCCTGGACTTTTTGGGATTTTTTCCTAATTATTATCGTTGTTGTCGTTGTTATGTTGAATGCCGGCTTAATATTCGCCCAAAAGAGGAAGAAAGAAAAGAAAGGCACAAGCATCGTACCCCGCTGAACGTGAGCGCACGACTAGTCCTCACTCGGGCGAGAAGCTAGGCTCCACGTGTGCGTCAACAAAAGGAGGGTGCGTGTCGCCGCCATGCAGGCCTTGGGAAGGAATATTTGACGATCGAAAAACATCGTGTGCATCGTCGTCTTTCAGCCATAAAACAGAGGGTCCACCATAGTAGATGAGTCACCGTATACTCGGCTTAGCTTCGTACTATCACAGACGGCGCGCGTGACCAAGAATCTGAGGAACACCCAAAGATCACGGGATTCGTGTCATCGTGAGGCAGTGAGAGGACACACGTGGCCTTTGATGAAAAGTCAAAGAGCTAGATGCATCATAGTACAGTATCGCAGCCGCGGTTGCGAGCCGCAGTACCGCGATCCAGCCGCCAAGCTGCGGCTGTCCCGTCGGTTTCCTCTGTGGGGGTGGAGTTCCGTTGTGCCTTTTTGGAGGGCCTCCTCCCTCGGCTCAACCAGCCGAAAGATGCCCTGGCGTGGCCCCAACAAAAACATGTCTGGGCAATATGGCAGTTCGAAAACAGAGCCACAACCTCTGTGCTGCGCCGTTCAGTTTCCCCATCGGATCTCCTCTTCAGATCTGGGTCCATTATACGAACCGATAAGCTCAGAGCTCTCTACTCTCTCAGCTTGGCGGTCCAGTCTTGTGGCCGGTTCGTAGATGAGAAATCTGGCAGCCTGGACTCGCTTCGACAGGCTGTGACATGTTCAGCACCACAAGGGGCCTCGGCCTGGGCAGCTGAAGCAACGTCCCCCCCCCCCCCCCGGCTCTTCAGCCACCAGAGCGGCCCCGTATACACCATGCAACTGAGACATGAGGAGATGGAGCGAACAAGAGTACGAAATAGTGCTGCCCGCGCGACGCAATCAAAGACATAGCCAACCAATACCAAAATAAATGGCACTAAAAAAAGAAAAGAAGAGAAGAGAAAAAAAGAGGGAGGGGCGATGGTTGTTTACTTCGAGACACACTCGTTGTACCCCAACCGCCTGAAGGTGACGACGCACCCGTGCTGATCTGCCGGCCTGCTTGACATTCTGAATTGGCATGATGCAAATCTCAGCTGCTCATGGTACTGTGATAGATTCCCATGGTACAGAGAGGTGGGAAACTTGGACTGTGGCAACAAACGACAAGCCACATCGGGTGGGGCACTTGGACAAGGAACTGCTGCACTCATTGGGTGCTGACTGCCGGGATCGATCCCCGGGGAAGGAAGCAGGGCGAAAAAAGGGAGGAAGCCGACTTTTACTGGCGGCTGGGTAAGTGGGCTAGGCGGGGTAACGTCGGCATAGATAGGGCTGCAACGGGGCAGCACGGCACGTGTACGGTAGTCAGGATCATAGTGTGTGTATGCAAGTGCAGAAGGTCTGGTAAGCTTGAGAAATGGGTTTGTAATGTTACATGTCCTGAGGCTGTGTACACAGTAGCGGTGGCGTTCTCCAGATGCACAATCAAAGAAAAGTATGTTTCGGTGGATCGATAGCGAACGCCCGAGCCCGGATCCGAGAGAGAGGGGAGCGGACGGAAGAGAGCAGGAATGTGTGGGCGGATAAGGGTGGAGATAGTGGGATAAGCACATGGGGAATGAGGAACTTGCATTGCAGATCACCAATTGAGTGTCTCCAAAATGAGACAAAGGATAAATTTGGCTCAAGATGGGGCTTGTTGTGGGTGGTGATTGAAGTTCTGGTTGGTTCTGGGCATGTGGCTGAGCAGCCCTGAACTGGAAATGCAACTGTTCCAGGAAGGGAAAGAAAAAGGCAGGACAAGAAGTTTTACCGAGCTGGCAGGGCGGGAACCAGTCCAGGGATTTTCAGGGTCCTCTTCTCGCCCTCACCGTTGTTGCCGTTTAAAGCTGGTTAAGGTTTACTACTACCACGTTGTACAACTGTCAATAGGTGGGCCGTGTTGTGCCTAGGCAGGTGGGCCTCTATTTTCCAGTAGCCCTCTGTGCTCCTCCCCCAAGAGAGGCAAGTCTATCCTTCTTCCCCTCTGTATTCTAAGGGTCCCCGCACAGGGAACAGGGCAGCAGTTCTTAGGTGATGGGGACTATATGGACCCCTTCTCAATGATTTGTGATCCTCCCTTCATTTTTCGTCTCTTGTTTTTCTTTTCTTTCTTTAGAGGCTGCATAGTTTTCCCGAACACCAATACCTGTTCTACAACGTATTCTTCGGGTTTGTCATGAGGCAGCCCAATGAGTATTAATCATCAATCTTCCGTAACATCTCCGCGGAAAAGTGGGAAAGACCAGGAACACACCCGGGCTTTCGAGGCGCTTCCGTTGCATCCATTCCCCGGGTATACTTCGTGCCAAGTATTGTTATGTACGTAGTTGATAGTACATAGTAGTTAACCCCGAGACCGAAAAGAAAAAAGAAAAAGAAAACCAGGGTGCTGCTTATTTTTCATATGAAGGGGGGGTCAAAACCAAGAGAGAGACAAAAAAAAAAAAAGTTGGTAATCCTGTAGACAATACTACCGGCTTTATTACTACTGCCAAAAGTAATACCAGATTAGAACATGATGTGCGATTCAGAGGAGAGGTTTTTCCAGGCTAACAAAATCGAGGGTGCAGTGCAACCACACGCCAAGCACCCCTCACACCCTTGGGTCGGGGATGTCCCTTCATGCCTGACTGACGTCTGGGACCGCGCTAGCGACGACAGACACTTCGGAGGCCCTGCTCCTGTGATCGGGTCGAATGAGGAGCAGGGCGACGTCACTACGACGCACAGCAATGCACCGTTGGACGAATCAGGGACCTCTTGAGCGAAAATCTTCCCGCAAACGCAGAAAGGGAGGAGCCTCAAGCTTTCCAAATGAAGCATCCGGAGTCTCATTCCAAACATGAAATTGTCTAACGGGGGGCTACCATGAAAAATGACATCGACTTTTTTTTTCTTGCTTCTGTTTGGCTTGGGGACCATCCGTCATTGTTCGTGTCTGCACCCCCCCAAGAATGAACCACACGAGGTACTTGCTGTAAGTACCCTCCTTAATATATTGAATCATAGCTGAGGAAAAGTCTATGGGGAAGGGGGGGGGGGATGAGCCCGAAAGAAAGAGAAAAAAAAAAACCCTGTCCTGGCAGATAACACGTATATGATAAAATTGTGAAAAAGGACAAGAAAAGAGGAGTCAGCGCGCGCCCATAGGGAGTGACATGACACCCTTGGAAAATTCTTAGTCACCTCGTCTGGCGTGCACTCGTTCACGCAAGACAAGAGGCTGTCGTGGTCACGCGGGCGCAAACAACAACGTAATCCAAGAACCGCAGCAGCAGCTGGGTTCATGACACGAGCGCGCGCCCTCTTTAAAGACAAACACCGAAGCAGCCGCTGGTGTCGACGACAAGTGTTTCCCATCGCACTCGGGCTCTGCCTACAGTCCAGTACAGATGGTAGGAGGGAGGAGGGAATAATGAGGAAATGCAAGCGTCATCGTCATTCTGGCCTCGCTTGCATCCGCGGATGCAGATAACTCATGTACCATAGTACAGTTATTGTTATTGGCTCCACTCGCGTACTCGCTCACACACCACTCTCACTAAAAACCCATCGCGCCCGCCAGGAAAACATACCCTGTACAGTATGGACTGTAAGTCAGTTATGCCACGCAGAATTCCCCGGCTGGTCTCTAGGGTCGAGACTCTGATTATCCTGCGCCTGAATGCCCCACGGATCAGCAACTCACATCCTGGAAACTGGAAAGGGCCAGCAGTAGCAGCGTGTTCCCCTCCTCCAAGATTTCGACACTGAGGGTTTTTTTTTTTTAGACCAAAAAAACAAAAAACTAAACCATGGTTTTCTCCTTTCTATTTTCTTTCTGACTTAACGGATACCACATTACCCGCATCGCATACCAACAGCCAGCAGCGGCCCGTCCTGGATCTTTCAATCGTATACCCTCCTGTAGTATGATTACTTTTCCCCCCTTCCTCTTTCCTCAATTCATGTCTTGGAACTACGGAGAGACATAACTGTATTACGCCGGACTATAGCCAGCGAGATCTCGATAGTGGTGTGTGCAGCGACTGTGTGGACTGATCTCCAGAACAATGTTGGCTGACAATCTCGAACCTCGGACTGTAATGGTTGGTCACCTGGTCTGCTGTCCTTAACAATCGGAGGGCAGTGAGTCAACTACCTCTTTGGGTTGGCGTATAAACCCTTTAGGGCTAGACTCCCTGGACAGGCCTCGCACATAACTCGGCTGCTCCAGGCATCTTCAGAGGCCTGGCCAGCTTTTCTGGTCCCTTCCATACGTTGTGGCCTAGCGCCCTACAGTGAGGTAGGGCGCCAGGGTACGTACCTTTTCTCGATGGGTGGGTGACGGTAACCTTGCACAGGGGTGGGCCCCTCCACCCTACGCCATAGTTATGATCTTCAGACTCACCCCATCCTGGCCCCGGATGTCTCTCCCCTCTATATATTCACTGCTTCCGTCTTCCAAGATGCCGCGGGCCAAGTTCAAATTCGCCACTCTCTCCCAACTATCAACACGTACTATGTTCTGCTTCTTTAAGTAGATCATCATCATCATCAATCTCAATCGACTTCCAAAATAATGTGGCTGACACCAACAACAACAACATCGACACACAGAACATCAACTCTTCACGGCAACAACACTTACTACGACGAGGACAATAGCATCTCTCACAGCAATCGATCTTCATTTTCCTACATACCGACGAGCCTCGATATCGACTCGGAGATCAGGTCTCAGGCCAGCACAGAGTCCTCCCCCCCGTCAAATCTTGGCTTCTCTCCTCTATCGACGTTCGACAGCCTGCCTGTTCCCAGGGCCGCCACGACTGCCCAGGGCGTGCTCTTCCAGCTCTCAACACCCGCATTTCCCTCACAACATCTCTTCCCACCAAGCACCATGATGTTCACGGATACTTGGCCGGCAGACGCAGCCCAGTTTGCCCTCAAAGCCAACAATGGCAGGAATCTGCATCATCGCGACTCGTCGCTCTCTTCTCTCGGCTCCATGGGTCCTGCGTCTCCCTTCTCCTTCAGCTCGTCAAATCCACAGATTGCAGTGAACGATACGAGCGACACCTTCACGGGGCTCCCGATGCAGGATGACCAATCGTACCAGCTGGCCGCGAAGGCGCCGAACTCAGTGTCCCATGATACTTTCTACGCCAATTATCCTTTTGGGGACGCGTCAGTACAGTCCTACGCGAACATCCTTGCACCACAGAGGCACCGAGGCGACCGAAGTGGCTTGCTGCCTCCTCCAGACTTCCCGAGTGGTGGATCTACGAACTCGAGGCCAGGGTCGGTGGCGAGTTCTGTCGCGAGTGACTCACCCGCCACGCCAGCCGCTCCAGAACCTGAAGAAGAAAGGAGGCGAAAGAATGGTGAGATTTTCTTCCTCCCACCCGTACCTCTTAACAAACACGACGGTGATGAGGACCCAGACTTACCCCTACCCTTCTACACAGGCATCTCTGCTGTTCCCAAGCTGGATCGTACCATGACGGACATCTTTAGCGATGAGCTCTACAATCCCAACTTCACCATCACATCAGCTCCACCCTCGCAGCCCAGCCAGACGGCCATGTCGCCCACACACGACCTGTTTGTACAGAGGGTTCAAGCTGCCAACAATCAGCATCTGAGCGCAACACAGTCGCCCAACTCGTCAGGGTCGAGGGGCCGGTCACCTTTCAGACAGGGTTCGCCACTGGCGCCGACACCATCGCACAACTTCCCTCAAGCCTCAGCCAACATGCGCTTCAACACTGCGCAACAGATGAGGGAGAAGGTGAAGGCGGAGCACGACTCAGCTCAGGCTCTCCGGCAAACTATGGCGCACTCGGCGAGCACAGGGACTCCCCAAACCATCTCTCCCAAGGATGCTGTCCTGGAGTTCAACGATGCAGACAACGCCAACAATTTCCCGCTGTTCCCGCAGCAACAGCAACATCAGCAGCAACAACCACAACAACAACATCAAACGTCGGGCTTTAATGCGAACCAGATGGCCAAGGCAACCAGCCAGGCGAACAACTTCAACAACAGCCTGTCCCTGGATACTACCTTCGACAACTACCTGACATCACAGCTGTCTTCGGGCTTGCAGATGCCAGCACAATATCCATTTATCTCCAAGCCCAGGCAGGAGCTTCCGTCGGGAGCGAGCCCATCGTTCTCGATGACCTCGCATGCTGGATCCAGTCCCTCGGTAACGCCTGAGTCGGCAGCATCGGCAAGTCCCAAGAGACCCAACAATGTCGCTGCGGAGGGTGGCACATATACATGCACGTACCACGGATGCACGCAGAGGTTTGAGACGCCAGCGCTCCTACAAAAGCACAAGCGTGAGGGCCACCGACAGTCGCACGGCTTGAGTAGCCTACGCAGGCCCGAGGGACCCTCGGGCAGCTACTTCAACACGCAAGCGGGTCCTCACAAGTGCGAGCGCATCAATCCAAGCACTGGCAAGCCCTGCAACACCATCTTCTCGCGGCCTTACGACCTCACACGCCACGAGGATACGATCCACAACGGAAGGAAGCAAAAGGTACGATGTGACGTCTGTACGGAGGAGAAAACCTTCAGCCGTGCAGACGCGCTGACCCGTCACTACCGCGTGTGCCACCCCGACCTGGAGTTTCCGGGCAAGCATCGCAAGAGAGTTTCCAACAACTGAGACGGCCACACATCATCAAGACATGCACTGTGTCAAGCGTGATGTGAGGGTTGGGCTGGGTTGCAGTCGCATTGGACAAGCCAATGGTCGATGTCAGAGTACGGCGCTGCCTTTGGGACGAAATTGTCGTCACCCGCTTTGGGGGGGGGGGTTTGCGGGGAGAGACGGCAAGGGTCGCTTGATAGAGACTCGGTGACTCGCCCATGCACCCGGCATTCAAGGATCTCCCCCGCCTGATCCCTGCTCATCGACAAAAGACGTTCGGGCTCATTACATCACATCCCTCATTTTGGGATTAGCGCATGCAGTCCCCGTTCATCGTCTCCTGCAGGGTCCTGCCGCTGGACCCTTGGGCTCCACCTTCCCACCCGTCATGACGTCACCTCCGTCACTTCTGTCACCTATCTATCGCTGGTGTCTGACCACATGTCGATCACTACAGCTCAGATATGGATGATGGGCGGTTGGTGTGAAGTCATCTTGCAACCACGCCTGCGAGCAAGCGAGTCCGATGGGCGACACACACATCATTGCTGCCCCCGGCCCCCCCTCTCCTTTGTCTTCTTGTGTCTCGCTAAAGCGTCTGCACCTTCCATCCTTCTGCATCATTTGCGCATCCCGGCTTGGTCCCGGGATCCATCTTCTTACTAGACCTTCTCCACTGTATTGGTTATGTCGCCGATGTTGGTGCCAGCGGGCTGGGCTTTACTATTTTTTATTTTATTTTTTTTTATTGCTATTTTTCATCTTTTTTTCAGGATTTGGAGCGGGAATGGAAAGAGGAAAAACAAAACCGCAGAACATAAAAAGCGACGTCACCGTGATACCCCCCCTCCTGGTGCCAGCGTATCAATTTGGGACAAATACGGGTCTGGTCTATCGGATAGACTTTTTGGTTATTTTTTCCCCTTTGCATGGCGTTCATCAAGGCCAATAGAGTCCTTGGACGTTTTCATTGCGTTGCTAGCACTAAGTCACTGCCTTGCTGGCTTCGCCTAATGCCAACTTCAATTGTATATCATTACTCATTTGAGAGGCTGGTTGCGATCTTTGTTCATGCACCTATACACATACCTACCTGTACTCATTCCTTGGGCATCACGGAACATTACAAAGAACACAAATTGCTTTGGGGGATATGATGAAAGAAAAAAAATCTCAAAAAAAAACAAAAAACCACCCCCACAAAGAATCAAGAGTGTTGCCACAGTATGTCAGTCTGGGAGTAAGCACGTTTGGTATTTCTGTTTTCTCTTTGGGAGATTCGCTGGGATAATGAATGGAATGTTAAATCATGTTGGACTATGAAACTAGGGGTGTTATATCACAGTAGCAGGCTTGAATGCTCGTAGCTACGAGGAAAAATATAGTACACAAGCAAAAGTTTGAATGGGCCATTAATTCATAGATACAATTAATATGGATACCAATCTACATAGTACCACAGTATACTTTATCATACCTTCTACCCCTCGCATCTTCTCTGGCGAGCTTGTGATAGATGATGAATGGAGAGTTACCCATTATTTTTCTTTGACTGATATACATACTTCAATGCAGGGAGGGAGGAACATTGACTGTGACATGGACACCCCCCTCCTCCAACTTAAACAAATCCAAGAAATTTTTTTTTAAAAAAAAAAAGACGAGTCAGGGTCAATCAAAGCCAAGGAGGAAAGGGAAAAGAGAAAATAAAAGAGGACCCTGCCCAGGCTTACTTCGCTTCGCTTTGTAAATCCCCCTTCCCCCTCCATCCCTCCTCCGGCTTTGTTTCCAACTGGCCCTGTTATCGTCCCCATCAACCAAGCTAAACTTACTGTGAGTTATATCCTCCATCCCACGTTACCACCGGCCCCGCCCTCTTCCCTCCCCCCCCCCCATCCCCTCAGCTCTAAATACAGTACCATACCTTACCATAGTAGTAGGTACACTAGCAAATTGTGGGGACCGAGGAGGGGGAGATCTGCTTGTTTACTGACGCTGGTACTAACTGACGTTGGTAATTACCTTCCGGTTGGTTGGTACTACTACTACTACTACTACTACTCATTAATGCGACGTACGTTTCATTCTTCCCTTTTCGTCTTCGACAATCAAGAGGGGGGGAAAAAGGGACACGGAAAAAAAGACAAAGAAAACAAGGACCGAGGATAGTTAGGTAATAATATTGGGTCTAGTGACCAAAAAAAGAGAGAAAAAAGGGAAAGAGAGGAGGGGAAAAAAATAAATAAAAAAATAAGAAATAAAAAAACAAACACAGAGACATTTTCCCGGTCAGCAGGATTTCCTCGGTTGAGAAAGAGGTCGAGGGAGACACAGTTGAGTGTGTGAGAACAAAATAGAGTTTATGCGGGCACAGAACCTAAACCTTTCGATGGATGGAATGGGCAATGACGTTGTTGGGCGGTGAAAATGGCATGATTTGGAGTTCAACCAACTGTTTCATCGGAATTTGGGGTGTTTATCATAGGTCGGCTGATGGCTCTCGGAATGCATCAAACTGCTACGTGGATATTTTCTTTTGGATGGACAAGAGCAAGGACCCCGGGGGGGGGGGGGGAGAAGCGACATTTGGCTCACTTCGTGTCAACATGGAGCAATGAGGATGATGAACTATTGGATTCATCTTTTTCTTTTTAATATATGAAAACCTTATTTGCCAAAAGTAGTAGTAGTAGAACCGAACAAGATTTTAATCCTTCATGTCATATCCGGGCAGTATTGTGTGCATGTGTCGACACCCGTCTTGGAGCAACACAGTAGACTGACTCCTTGATAACCAATGCAGCAGAAACTTTTTCTTCTTTCTATGGAGTACTTTACCGGTACCCCCTCTTTTTTGTCTTTCCTCTTCCCCCTCTTGGATGCGAATCAGGCTGCAAGCCCGCCCCCCCCCCCCCCCCCCAAAAAATAACGCTGACAAGGTCTCATCCGGGGACCCAGCCGGGAAGCTACGGGATCCGGGGAGCCGTCGTACCCGGACGGAGTCCGGGATACTTTCTGGCACACTGACGTGGCATCGCAGTAGAGGTGGACAAATCCCAGCTGATAAGAGCCCGAAAAAATCAAAATTATGAGGAGCCACCAGTTGTAGTAGGGGCCTCGTCGCCCATGACGGCCGCTCTGGCGTCGGCGTAGATGGGAGTAATGCCGGTCCATAGTTGAAACTTTGTAGTGGAGTGTGTTAGAATGGACATACAGCTTGTTCTTTCAGGGACAGGACAAGGATCATGTGTGGTGAAAAGGCATTTCCAAGAAAAACACACACACACAAAGAGAGAAAACAATGAAGGGATGAGAAAAAAACATACCTGATACCAACCCTGCGCGCTCAATACCTCCAGGCCGGGGATAGTCTCCCAACCCGCGTCCTCAGCCATTGCCATGACCGCTGTGCGTCGCGGCTTGTACGCCATCTCTAGCAGAGCCCTCGTGGGAAACCCATTGGCCCCCGCAGGCTGTTGTTGCTGCTGTTGGCGGTGCAGCACGGACGCCACAATGTCGCGCATGCCGCTATCCATGGGCTTGTCTGCAGGGATGGAGCTAATAATCACCCGTGGCTGCGACAACAGCTCCTGCTTGGCGCCTACGAGGTGCTGCACGTCATAGTCGGATGGGAAAGATTCGGCCAGCTGGCTGACGTTGGCGGCGTTGCGCGCAACAATGTAGATAGGTGCGTAGCCTAGGTGGTGCAGCGCAAAGACGGCCGCGCGAGTCGTGCCTCCAGACCCGACGACGACGGCGGAGCCGCCTCCTGGCGCTGCACGGGTGTTCTTGACGATGCCGGCTTGGCGGAACGCGTAGACCATGCCCATCCAGTCAGTATTGTCGCCAAGCAGAGTCCGCCTGCCGTCCTCCGAGACCACCGGGATGATGGTGTTCACAGCGCCAATGACCTTGGCCGACTCCGTGACGCTGTCGAGGAGCGGGATGATGTCCAGCTTCAGCGGGATGGTCACTGAGGCGCCGCCAAAGTTGGGTGAGCGGATCAGGTCCTGGACGTCGGCTGCGTGGTCCGTCTCGAAGAGCGAGTAGGTGTGCGGAAGACCGTTGGCCTTGAAGAGGGTGTTGTGCAGGGCCGGAGACCGTGATTGAGAGATGGGCTTGCCGAAGAGGTAGAAGAAGCGCTCATCCAGCTCGCCGATGAGGGCCAAGGCCTGGCGGATCTCGGTAGCCGAGAGCTGTCCCGGGGCGGCCTTGAAGGGCAGCTCCGGGTGCGACACTGGCGTCAGGAAGCCGTTCAAGACGCGGCTGAGCTTGCCCTGGGGTCCCATGTTGATAGCGATCATGGGCGTCTTGTGGGAGGCTCCCATCCGTGCCTTGAAGCTGGCCAGCGCAAAATTGTCCTCCTGGCTAGCAGCTACACCCACCAGCTTGATGATGTCGCCAAACTGCAGGGCCTTGTTGTAGTACTGTATCCATGCGCCATTCTTCCAAGACAGAGCGCCCTGGGGGTCATGGTGGGATGCGATGATGCGGGACGAGCCCTTTTGCGCCACGACGGCCTGAATCACGTCCTCCGGCCAGGTGAGTTCAACGTCGATGTACTCCACACCCATGCGCGCCGCCACAGCGTAGAGTGCTGCCGCACCTTCCGAGTCGTCGTCGGGGAACTTGCCGCCTTGGCTCCGCGTTCGCACGGTGAAGACAATGGGTATCTTGGCAGCGGCCCGCAGTGTGGCCACCTGAATACCCACAAACTCTGGCGAGTAGTCCTTGAGCAGATCAACACGTAGCTCAACGGCATCCGACCCAACAACGACCCGAGGGATCAGCTCTAGAGCATCTGTCACGTCAGGCACGGTGAGAGCGACGAAGAATGAGTGCTTCTTCCGCTTGACCTCCTCGAAGTGGTTGCTGTGCCCGCACATCACAGAGACAAATCTTGTAAAGTCCACTGGCACCTCCACCAAGACGTCTGAGCTGCCTGGATGTGGGCTGTGGTACTTGAAGTTGCTACACTCCTCGAACCAGGGCTTTCTCCTCTCGTAGACTTCCCTGATCTGCTCAGTGTAGGCTGGCCGCGACTTGTCAATCAAAAGGTACTCGACCACCTGCTCAGTATCGCGGTGTACTTGAAGCACGTAACCACCATTATTCTTGTACTCGATCAGTTTCTCGCGGGCACTGGGAGCCTCGACGATGCCGCCGCCGCACGAGAACACCCAGCCGCGCGGCCGCTCTGCCATGACCTCATGCAGCAGCTCAAGCTCGGCCTTGCGGAACCCTTCCCAGCCAAGGTCGCCACGGATCATCTCCGGTATCGTCTGGCCTACCCTCCGCTCCAGCTCAACATCGAGGTCGATGAATTTTCTGTGTAAGGTTTCCGCCAACCAGCCTCCTGCGGTTGTCTTGCCGGCTCCCCTCATTCCGATGAGGAAGATAGATCGGTCTGAGGAGGATTTTGGGGATTGGCCATGCGTCGAGTGGCCTGATTCGGGCTCTTCGCCGTCCAGCGTCACCTTGAAAGACTCGGACAGCACATCCCACCAGCCTGGCCAGGTCTTTCCTGTGCACTCACGCTCCAGGACCAGCACCGGGTGTGGTGAGATGACAGACAGGACGCTGAAGCTCATGGCTACACGGTGATCGTCATAGCAGTAGATGCCGTCGACGGGCTCCGTGAGGCTCTTGTAGGGCCGGCCTGTGATCTCGATGCCGTCGTCAAGCTCAGAGCAGTGGACACCAAACTTGGCAAGCTGGTCTTTCATCGCTGCAATGCGGTTGCACTCCTTTACTCTTTGGTTGGCAATACCAGTGATCTGCGTCGTGCCATCAGCAACGGCGGCCAGGACGGAGGCGGTCAGGAAGGCATCCGTCATGGGCTCCATGTCAACGTGCGGCATAGCCTTGAGCTGTCCGACAGGCGGACCAGTCACTGTGGTCGAGTAGTCGGTCTGCTTCACCGTGGCACCCATGGCCTGCAGTACATCGACCGCAAAGCGCGAGTCTCCCTGCAAGGACTTGGAGCCGATGTTAGGGACGGTGCAGGTAGTGCCCGTGATGGCTGCTACCGCTAGTGGGTAGGTTGCCGAGCTGGCATCGCTCTCAATTTCATACTCGGCCGGGTTCTTGTAGGTGCCTTGAGGGATGTGGTAGGTGTTCTCTTCGGTTGTGGACCGCTCGACGTGCACTCCGAATGCCCCCATCATGGCGACGGTCATGTCGATGTAGAACTGTGAGATGGGCTTGCCGCCCACAAGCTTGAGCGTCACAGGGTTCTTGGCGTACGGTGCAGACATGAGCAGCGACGAGACGTACTGCGACGAGATGGTCGCCGCCAGCTCGATCACACCGCCCTCGAAGCCGTTCGCAGCATCGACCTGGACGGGCAAGCTGCCCTCCTTATTCAGGTACTTGACGTTCACGCCATTCGTGCGCATGGCGTCCACCAGGGGCCCGATCGGCCTGACCTGCATTCTCGAGTTGCCGGTCAGGACGGTCGAGGATACAGACGATGGTGCGCACAGGGCGACCACGCTCGTCAGAAAACGCGACGCTGTGCCTGCATTGCCGAGGTACAGAGGTTCCTTGCTAGCCTCCAGCCTGCCGCCTTTGCCCTGCACGACCAGAACCTCGCCGCCCTCCTCCCAGCGGTACGTTGCGCCGTTGAGCCCCGAGATGGCAGAAAGCATGTACTCGACGTCGTCCGAGTGAAGCAGGTTCTTGATGCGGCACTCGCCCTGCCCGAGAGCAGCCAGGACCAGTGCACGGTTCGAAATGCTCTTGGACCCCGGAGGCGTCACACTGACAGCCAGGTCGCCAGGCAGACCGGGTGTCACCCGTACCGCCGGAGACAAGACAACCCGGATCGCACGGTCCTCAACGACGCTCGCCCTGGGCTCGTAGCACTTCCCAATGGCAGACAAGAGCACGATCTTCTTGTTAGCCCCGTCGTTCTTCTTGTCGACGGCCATCTTTTCCAGCAGCACATCGACCGGGCAGCGCTTGCCGGCTGTCAGCTTGACGATCCGCTTGTCCTTGAGGGAGGTCGGTAGGTCGTAGCTGGCGATGCACTTGGTGAGGCGGGCCACGGCGCCCGGACGCAGGACGCCGAGGAAACGGGCGAGCTCGGCCTCCTTGACCATGCCTATGGCCACAGCCTCGCCGTGTAGCACCTGAGGCGTCAGGATGGCCTCGTAGGCGTGGCCGATCGAGTGGCCAAAGTTGAGCAGGTTTCGCAGGCCCCCTTCTCTCTCGTCCGAGGAGACCACCTCGGCCTTGACCCTTGCGGAGCCGAGCACGATCCTCTTCAGTATATGCCTGATGGGCGCCAGCCTCTCGGTGGCGATCTTGGGCTTGCTCTTGACGGCCTCCAGGATGGCGCCCGCGTTGGCCTCGAGGGCCTTGAACTCGTCCTCGTCCCAGATGGCAGCGGTCTTGACCACCTCGGCCATGCCGTTGATGAACTCGCGGGCGGGCAGGGTGTCGAGGAACTGCAGGTCGATGTAGACCCTCGCGGGCTGCCAGAAGGCGCCGATCAGGTTCTTGCCCATGGGAGTGTCGATGGCAGTCTTGCCGCCGATGCTGCTGTCGACCATGGCGAGCAGGGTGGTGGGCACCTGGACGAAGCGCACGCCACGCATGAAGGTGGCGGCGACATAGCCGATCATGTCACCGATGACGCCGCCGCCGAGGGCGATGATGACGGTGTCGCGCGTGCATTTGTGGCTGAGCATCCAGTCCTCGATCTCGGCCTTGGTCTCGCGGCCCTTGGAGTTCTCGCCGGGGGGGATGGCGTAGGTAAGCAGACGGGGGGCCGGCGCCGTGCCATTGCTAGGAGGGAGGGACGTTGCAGAGGAGAAGGCTTTTTCGAAGGAGGGTACGTAGAGCGGGGCGATGTTGGTATCGGTGATGAGGACGTAGGTGGAGGACTTGAGGTTAGTGAGCAGGTCGCTGGCGACGAAGTTGTAGAAGACACCATAGTCGACTATGATGTCCTCCCTGCCCAAAATAGAGATCCGAGTCGGGCCCGAGGGAGCAGCAGTCCCATCTGGGTCGTGACTGGTGCCATTGACGGCAGCCATGGTGGGCTTCTTCAGTTCAGTAGCTGCCCGCAGCTTGTTCAGTCTCGACAGAGTCCCAATTGAACAGGCAAAGCAGGTGCTAATGTTCCTCTCGTAAGGAGTTTATGTTGTCACTGGAGAAAACTCAGGAGGAAGAAGAGGAAGAGAAGAAGAAGGATGAGGTTGAACAACAGTTTTTGGACCTAGATAGGAATAACTTCAAAGTGGGTAATGAGTAGATCGGTGGTCAGTCATAGTCACAAATTGCTATGACTCTTTTGTTCTTTTTTCCCCGTCTGTCTTTCCTTCCCCCTTCCAATTGTCGTCAGTTTAACAAGAAGGAGCAGGGATTCGTACTATGGTAGCTCCAGTGACTGTGCGCCGCAGATCGGAGGGACACCTGTAATATTTTATTTTTTTTGGAACCCCCTTCTGAATTGGGACTGGAGGGGTCAGGGGGGTTCCCATTGGCTTGCAACCCACCCACCACCAGCTGAGAACGTGGAAAACGTGGGGTACACGCGCATGCCTTAGTGTCCCGCGGGATACTACTATAGCTTTACAATGGACAACACTACTGTACATAGTACGAGCAGTACTACTGCATATCGGACGAGGGATCGTCATCCGTCAGTCCAGAGCCGTCGGTGCAAATGATACTGCCCACCATCAGTAATGAAGTACATACTCACAATTATCAGGCAATACATATTAAGAGACAAGTTAGTCCCTCTTTTAATGAACCTCTGATCACTATGTCGCGCGCGTGACCTCGTAGCATGACTATTATTACAGCTACATCGCAAGTAGATGCAGGACCGGCCCATTGGATGCCCATCTAGAGTCGTTACTACTATTATTGCTGCCACCTATTGCTGCGCCAAAGAAAGAATGGAATAGAAAGAATCGTCCCAAACCAGGAGGCGCATGTGTTCGCTAAACTCCCAGACCCCCGAGGCACCACAGAAATGCAAGCTCAGAACCCATCAGAACCCAAAGTTATCCAACAGGGAATTTGCATCCGGCTCCTCAAACATCGTAGGCGGTGGCTGCGGTTTGGCCCTCTCCTGCGCTGGCGACAGCGGTCCGTCTCTTCCCGATCTCATCTCCGCCGGTACTCTCGCCGATGCGGTCGAGATCGGTGATAAGGGCATGTCCTGAACGACCAGCGAGCTGCGCCGCCTGAGCATCTTGAGCGGGTTGATGTCGCCGCCCAGTCCCGGCCTGATTGTTGGGCCCGGTAGGAGGAACTCCCAGTTGCGCACTAGGTCCAGCCCGATCAGATCGCACCCCATACGGTCGTACAGGCGTGCGTTGTGAAGTACAAACTCCCACTCCACCTTGGGTGTGACTTTGCTTGCGCCGCGCAGCGTCTGCAGCGTCTTTTGTCGGAGTTGTGCATATAGGACGATGAGTGCGGGGTCGTCCGTCAGGAAGAGCTTAGACTGCATATTTGGTATCTGCGGTGTCTCTATCAGAGTGTACACTGGCGTCTACGCGTGTTGAATAAGTCAGTATTCTGGAGTATGAAGCTCCACCTCCTCGAGACACTCACAATCAATGCTCGCACGGCCATATCTCTGCGGCGCAGCATCCAAAACGCCCAGGACGCGAGCCAGCGGTTGCCTTCTTGTGCAGCAATGTTCAAGACCTCGTCCTGGAGGAGCTTTCGCAAGACTGGTCCCTGATCTCCTTCGTAGACACGAGTGATGGCAATAGCCAGCTGGAGATCTTTGAGCTGGTTCAGGCAAACGTTGACCGCATCTTGTAGGTGATCAGCCAATAGGAAGAAGGCTGCGCTGTACTCTGTGAAAGATCTGTCAGCTGGAGACCGCATGTGAGTTGGCAAATACGGATTTTTGGAATTTGGCTTACCAAATCGTCGTTTACTCAACAAGGCATAAGCATTCTTGAGTGCCGATGTCTTCCACTTCGGATCCTCGAAGTTGTTGGCGAGCAACCTCTGCGTAGCGACCTGCTCCCGGTTCCAAGATGCCATGCGCCACAGGCCTTGGAGGACTGCTTTCTTACGCAGTGCCAGATAAAACAGACTGCAGTCCACAGGGTTTTTCATGTCGCTCTTGGTGTACTCATTCCGGGCGATGATTTCGAATTGCGCTTTCTGTGATTTGGGATTAGCAAGTCGGTTGGAAGAGTTTTGTTTGGGGGCGGGGGGGGGGGGGGCGTTGAAGGGGCCCCACAGAGACAGAGAGAGAGAGAGAGAGAGAGAGAGAGAGAGAGCGAGAAATGGTACTACTACTCACCACGGCTGCATTGTCCGTGAGCCACATAAACATGCCACTCTCCCTGGCATGCTCCCAGAGCAGGCTGCCATGCTGTTGGCGAGTCACAAAGTCGGTCAGCATGTCCTGACTGGTCGAGTGGTAAGCCCAGTTGATCTCTCTCCACGACATGCTGATCTCATTCGTCCGTCTCTTCCTCAGCGCATGCTGGCGGTAAAAGATCATGAAACGAGCACCGTTCTCGTCCATAGACCTGCGGTGCTTTTCGACCATGCCAATGCACTCAATCATATCAACCAGCTGGAATTGCTCGTGCCCAGAGAGCTGCGGCAGGGCGACGCTGGTCAATTTCTCGTTGATCGTCTGGGCAACATCCTCACTGAAAACCTCATCGTCATCATCGAGAGTTTGTCGTTCTCCAAAATAGGAGCCTCCGTCCTTGCCAGGCGCGAAAGCAGCCTGAGTTGGCTTGTCAGTGTAGAACTCTTCCAGGTCGAGGCCGAGATAGTCATCAATCGCCTCCCCCTCGATCCAAAATTTAAGCGTCTTGTGTAACGACATCAGAATGCGATGGGTGAGTGAGACTTTGCCTGCCAGCATACACTGACTGAGAAATTGTGGATGGAACACAGGTAGAGGCCCGTTCAGACGCTGCACGACATCAAACAGGTCCCGCTTCCCATCCTGCATGTGTGGTAAGGAGATGCTGTTGACGAGCGAACTCGAAGCGTCAAATTTGCGGTCATGAACGAAGAGTTGATTGCCTGCACCGACGACAAGGTGTCCATCACCAAGCCATGTCGAGTCGCCGATCGGGTGTGGTGTGAGATCGCGAACATTGATTTCTCGGATAGGCGCCCACGCAGGACCCTTATTCAGGTAGTCGAACCGTAGTTGCGAAAGGAGTAATACACGAGAGGGGAACCCAACAGCCAGAATGGACTGTGAGTCAGGCGTCGAGGTCCAGTCAAGGTCCTGGATCGCGTTCTGCGCCTCGAACTCTTGATTGAACTCGAGGCGTGCCCCACGGATATCCCAGATTGTCACCGCCGTTCGACTCGAGTTGACGAGCGCTGCCTTCTTCATAGTGCTGCCACTAGCAAGCGCAGGTTCGAGCACGCCCGTCTCCATCGAAGCTGTTGACAACCACTCCACCCTTCCGTCGCCGAGACGAGCGGTCCAGAACTCAACACGACCACCTTTCGTATAAGACATGGCAACATCGCGGGCAAAAACATCCAAGAAGCCCGAGACCATTGGGGCGGACCCGGCTGGGTCCACGGGAAGGACATATGATAGATCACCAGCATCGTCAAGCTCGAACCTGCTGTGCTCCTTTATCGACGAGGACGAGTGGCCGTTTGTTTCGCCATTGATGTCAGACCCGGTCGGTGCTGCAGTGGCATATAGAGGCAGTTTAATCTCCCATACAAGACCTTGCTTTTCAGACGTAATGGTGCCAATGTGTGCCACGGAGTCTTGTTCCGGTGTTTTTCGTGGCAAGACTAACAAGCAGAGAGGTTTCCCCCGAACCTGATATGCACGTTCCGCAAGCAGAGACGGTTCGACCTGCCGACAGTCCCAAACAGAAACTCTGTCATGGTGCAAGAAGACCACGAAGCGCCCTTTTCGGACTACGGCTATTCGGTGAATGTGGTCTTTCGAAGTGATGGTGCTTTGTCGAATGAACCTGGTCTTTTCGGTGTAAAGGGCATGTCTCCACAGTACACTTTCTCCGTCTCTTGTTCGTGAGACCACAGCCCTGCCGCTGTAATTTCTTACCATCTTCACAATAGACGATGTATGGCCTGACCAAACACAGCGCCTCCTAAGCCGGCTCGCACTGGCGTTAGCATCGAGCAGACGAGCGATGTTGGCCTCGTAGAATTCGATTCTGCCGTCGAGAAAGTGCACAAGGAAGTTAAGATGGCCGCCGGAATTGTTGCAGTATGTCTGAATTTCCACATGCGGCTCGGTTTCGGTGGACGAGAAGAATTTGAAGTCATTTGACGTGATATTCTGAAGAACGGGAAAGGTCCTGGTGGGTTTGCTGTTCTTTTTTGGCTCGACAACATGCTGTTGAGACGTGACGTTCTCCATTGCCCAGGCAGACATCTTGCCCCGTCCATCGAAGACGATGCAGATCTCGGGATTGCGGTTCGCAAGCTCAACAGCGTTTACCAAAGGACCGTCTCCCCTGCCATATTCGGCGGGACCCTCCTGGACCGCCGTCTCGGTGGCGGCCGAGATGTCGCGCCCGTGGACAATGGCAGCCCACCGGGGACTTGGCCCAGCTCCTTCAGCTGTAAAATCGATCTTTCCCCAGAGCGTCAATTGCTGGTGGCTGTGGCTATCCGAGCCGGTCCAGATGCGCAGCACGTTGTCGAGGCAGAAAGTGTAGAGCACATTGTCGACGGTCTCGTCCACGTGGTAGGGCTTGCGCCACTGGAGGCTTGTCACGGCCTGCGGATGCGAAAGGTACATAAAGTCGAAGTGGTACTCGTCGGACACGTAGCTGAGTCTCCGCCACACCTTGACGAGTCGATCGTGGTGGCCCACAGATGCAATGTAAGCCGAATCGTAGGATAGGTCGGCGTATTTGGCGGGGTTGGCAATGGGCTTGCGCCAGGTACAGGTCGGGTCGGGCGTAGTTTTATAGAGGGTCAGCGCAGACCGAGAGACGAGGAGCTCTTCCGAGCTGCCCCATGACAGGGCCATCGCGCTCTTGCTGCCATCATCATCCTGTGTCTCCTCTGCGTCAACCTCGGGGGAGAAGGATGTCTCGAGGGCCCATTTCAGGTCGCCATCTCCGTGTATAAATGGCCTGTATATTCGGACGGTCCTGTCGGTGCAAACTGCTATCTTTCCAGACACCTCGTCGAGAGAGATGGCCTCAAGGGGTTGATCATCGTCATCGTAGATCGTCTGGAGGAGGGTCTCATGGTCGGAGAGGATGGCGATCGCATTGCCACTTATGTATGCCTATGGTGGCCGTCAGCTTGCTACTCCCAGGCAAGGGAGCACCAGAGAGACCAGTGCAACTAACAATGATGCGGCGCGAGTCCCAGAAGCCGGTAGCAAGAGCTTGAAGCCGGGCTTCTGGCCTTCCTGGAAGGATAACCTTCATGCTACCGGCAGAGCGCAGTAGGAGCGAACATTGCAGAGGGAATCAGGACGGTCTGGTATGATGACAGCTATCTGGCCACGGCGATCGAGGCGTATTGTTGCTCCCGGATAGGTGGCTTGGAGGGTTCGTCGGCTCCTGGACAAGAACACAACGAGTGTTGGTGTAAAAGGGTAGCTTGCGATAAAGCTGTGGTCGTATCCGCTCGTGGATCGTGACCAGGCCAGGTGAGCTTCTCCAAAAGGTGCAATCATTTAGTGGACAGTGTCCTAGACAGCGCGTCATTCTCTCCTACCGCAGTAGGCGCATGGGATGCTACGGTCGGTATTAGGTGCTGCTCTAACACAGTGGAACATCGGTACGGACCCCTGCTAGGGTGCGGGCCACCCACCGCTGAGACCTGGGGAGGTCCCCCTGGCAGTTCTCCTGCTCTCCTACATAGTAGCTCGCCCATAATTAGCTGATGGGTGATTTGTTACAACCTCGATGCTTTGCTTCGAGTCGATACAATGCTACAGGTAAGGCTTGCCCGGTTTCACGCCACAAGCTTCAACATTTCCAAGAGTGATCAATCAGTGTAACAGCTCTACAGGCCAGACAAATCTTCTCAAAATTGTTTTGCAACATTTTTTCTCTCTCTCTCTACCTATCATCTAGAGCGCGTTCCCTACAGAATGCTGTGAGAGTGGCGAGTTATCTTCCAAGCTAGACATCTATATAGTATGTACCTTGGTTCCTACGAGTACCCAATGGTCCTGATGGCCCTGACTTATGATGTGGCTTGCGCTCCAGCTCCTCATAACAGAGGCTCTTGACATGGACCAAGTTTATATCGTACCAACTCCTCGTGTTGCAGTAATACAAGACCGCACACTGCAGGCTTGAATCCTCGAGACAACCCCCACAGTAGCGCACCTACAGAAAGTAGGATACTGGTCCCCTTACCTATGGGGTTTGAGGGATCCTGGGAGAGATGCCTCCCCAGGATGCCTCCATGCTCTTGCGCTCAGTGGCGTCGGCCTCATCAAATAGTCGGGAACCCCTTGATGTTCCCATTATTGTCATACTTGGCCTCTGCATTCACCGTCAGCCACATCCTACCTCCTACCAGACACACAAGACAGAAAGAAAGAAGAGAGGAAGAAGAAAGGAAGAAAGAACTCACTGAAAAAAGTATAACTCAACGTAACGGTCTCCACCCCCTTCATGTTCAGATCCGTCAGATAGTCCGGATCCAGGTAAAAGAACACGGGCATGTCCACTGTCTCGCCAGCGTTCAGCCTCTGCTCCTCGAAACAGAAACACTGGATCTTGCTAAAGTACGGCGCCACCTGCGCAGGGGTGACGCTGTATGTCGCGACCCCGATGATGTCCTGGTCGCTCGTGTTGGTCGCCGTGTAGAAAGCCAACGCCGTCTCGCCAGGGAGCACGCGCACCTCGCGCTGCTGCGGGGTGAACTTCCAAGGGAGCACGTCCGAGACGGAGGCGTTGAAGGTCACGCGGATGCGCTTGGCATCCTGCACGGGTTGTAGGCGCGAGGCGAGGTCGTCTGGCCCGCCAAAGGTGCCGCCGTGGCCTGGGGCGCGGACGGGCTGGCCGCCCCAGCCGGTTGTTTGGCAGATCTGGAGAGGTGGGGGGGAATGGAAGGTTCAGTATGGCGCTCACAGGAGAAAACACACACCACATAGAGAGAGGGGGAGTGATTCATAAACAGACAAAGAGGGGCAGAGGAGACCAACCATTTTGTACAAAGGTACGGATCCGTAGGAGAAGGCTACCGTGCCCAAGATGACACTCAAAGTATAGTACCTGCCAGCCCAATTAGCCCATACGTCCACCCTCAGATCAAGCCATATGCATGTATATGTGTATGTCTGTCCTCCAAGCATCTCCTCACATGGTAGTCCTGTTTCTCCTCTTGTACACCTCCCTCGCCTGCTCCATGCTCGGTGGGATATGCGCCCTAGCCGTTGTCGTCGAATGGCGGCCTGTCTCGGAGGCATAATTTCGCAGATTGAAGCCCAGGGTGTGGCTAGGTCGCAGGGTTCGGCAGGTTGGGCGCGGCAGCGCCATCGCCAAGCTTTGCAGCCTCCATGCTGTGCTTGGGAAGCTGGACATGACTTTTCAGAACATCGTGGGATGGAGAAAGTGTCGTCGTTCCAGGATGGCATGTTCGCGGGCGGGTATGAGCATCAAAAGCTATAGAGGTGGGTCGAGTTGCCGCGAGACTAGCAACCCTAACCCTCTACTCCGCGGACTGTGTTCACATCTGAGTTTGCATCTCAATCTTGGGAACCCTATGTCAAGGCCGGACGCTGGTAGTAATATTATTGATTAATGATATATGTCAGCTGACACGATGCCCTTACTGCCTCTTCTCCTTTATGATATACTCTCTGAAGTGCCCAGCCACCTGAGCCTTGGCCATGTCCGCCGCTGAGGTTATGCCTCGTCCTATCCGCTCGAGTGGTAGCACTACAAACACGTAGATCACCAAGATGAGCAGCCTGAGGAGGTAGTCCGCCAGCCCTAGCACCGGAGCCCTGCCCCGGCTATACGTCGAGTCGACGAATTCGAAGGGCAATTTCGCACCCAGATGATCCTTTGCGACCGCGAGTCCGGAACTAAAGCCATCCTCGTGGAAGCCATATTTGGTCCACGCGCCGCAGTAGCTGATCCCTCTTTTGTTTTGGATCTTGGGAAGCAGGCCCTGTGCGTGTATGCTGGCCGCATTATACAGCGGATGTGTGTACTCATACCTGCCCTGCACCGTACTAGCCTTGGGCTCGTGAAGTGGGTTCAGTGTGACGAGGACGTCGCCAAAGGTATCGACGGGGATATGCTGCAGGATATTCATGTTGTAGGTCAATGAGACTTGATCAATGTTCGAGCGGCCGGTCGATGGCGAGGTGAGCGTCAGGTAGTTCCAGCTGCTCCAGGCCTTGCGGTCTGCAGGCATGTGCGTGAGGTCGGCGTGCAGGACCGCTGTGTTCTGTGACGTCTCGAAAGTGGAGAGAATAGACGTCTCCTCTCTTGTTGCCGAGTTTTTGATGATTTCGTAGGCCTGATCACCATGAGTAGCCAGGATGACGTGGTCGTAGACAGCACTTTTACCGTCTCTCAGGTGTAGACGGACCCGGCCGTCTCTCTCGTTCGTGACCGAACTCACTGGTGTGTTGAGGAAGAGGTGATTCGGCGGAAAGCCTTTCATCACCGCATCGATATACGCTTTAGAGCCTTCTGGGATTGTGAGCCATGAAGGCCTGGTAGCGACCGTGGACAGCAGGTGGTGATTCCATCTAAAAACGACTGGGTGAGCCACAGAAGCAGCATTTCATGTAGAAAGTGGCAAGAACTTACAAGAAGCGCACAAGGGTCACAGCAGGAAACTCCAACGTGCACTTGTCGGGACTCGTGCTCCATACAGCAGCCGTCATAGGGATGAGATAGTCATCACGGAATGCATCGGAATATCCCTCTCTGTCGAGGTACTCTCCAATGGTCTCCTCTGCCCTCGGGGTCCCATGATTTGCACCAAACTTGTGGCTGTTTCCGTTCACTTGGCGGGCCCCCACACGCTCCGAGTCATCATTAATCAGTAGGTCCAGCGCGAACTGGTTGAAGCGGACAATGTCGAATATCATGCGCCACATCCTCGGCGAGAAGATATGTCTCCGCTGGCAAAAGATGGAATTCAGGCTCGTTCCCGCCCATTCGAATACCCCGTGATCCCGAGAGACACCAAAGGTCATCGCCGTCGGCACGATGTCCACCTTGACCTTGCCGAGGAACTTGATGAAGTTTGCTATATGATCATGTGAGCCGGAGGCTGCTTTTTTGAGGTCTACCTGTATAGAAGAGGGTAGGGGAGTGTGCGGGAAGTAAAGAGTTTCGTCTCACGGTATGTGGCCTCATTCATAACGATGAAACCTGTGTCGACCTTGGTGGTGTACTTTCCATTTTTCCAGTCCACGGTATTTGTATGGCCTCCGAGCCGATCTGCTGCCTCGTACATGTAGACATCATGGTGGGTCCGGTTTAGAGCCCAGAGGGCTGCGATGCCTGCGCAGCCGCTGCCCACGATGGCCACCTTCTTCCTGGGGTGAGAGTTAATTGGTCGGCTCATCATGAGTGAAAGGAAGAGGGGCAGTTAGACGTCGAGAATGGGAAATGTTGATCGTGAGTTGCTAACTGCGCTCGATGACCTCACCAGCCGTGATCCGATTAGGAAGCGCCACACGAGGCAGTGACCAAGAAGCAATGGCGCGGCCCAGACTTGGGATTCAAACTTAAAAAGCAAAATAATGGGATTCCATGTTATTCAATAGAAGATAGTCATCATGGGGTAGCGGGTAGCATCCATCAGACAGGCATTCTAGAGGTCAAGGCAGTTTGGAAGCGTCTTATCGATCTGAAGAGAACGATAGTTCGGGAGGGCGGATCGCAGTCATTGACGCTAGCGTCCAGGTCGGTCCCAAGACATAAGCCAGCTGAGAATGGGATGAGGTGATAGTGGTGGTGTGGGTGTGGCTTCTGGGCCGCCTGGAGAAGGACGAAAGGGAACTTGCGAGCATGTGAAGATCGGAGGAGGAGGTTGCGACAAGACGGGAACTTACTCTGCAGGCATCTTCTAGTCCTGCGCTGGATTCGATGGTTGGATTGTACAAACAAGTAGCTGTGCAACCATGCAATGACCAGCAAGAAGAAGAATGAGACAGTGGGAAGAGGACGAAGAGACGAAGGGGGACGGAGGAGCATTGGTGGACTCAGATTATTGAGGAGGGAGCTAAAAGTCTATGAGCTAATTGTACATAGACAAATAGCCTGGCGGGCAGGGCAGCCACTGTGGCGGGGCAACACCAAAACGAGTTTCAAATTCGAGGCAATCGCAACCGCAAACCTTGTCGCACTGCAACGCATGGCGAGATGGGACTGTGCGCATGCACTAGAGATGGTCCTGAAGCCACAGGCGAGAGGGTTCCCTTACTCCAACCTACCGTACATGATGATACATAGTGCTTCTGCCAGCGAAATCCTGTAGTGCGTGCGCATTGGGTCCGTTCTTCCCAAGATGCACCCCAAGCACAACCTCCTCATTCAGCCTTCCACAGGCTCATGCTCGAGGAAACCCAAGTCATCAACCATGACTGACACAGGACCACGATTTCACCTCCCTTGAGAGGGAGGGAAAGAAAGAAAACAACATCAAGGTTCGTCGTCATGCATAAATGTCGAGACCCAACGGGACTGGAATAGTCATAGAGGGAGACAATATCCAATTCTTAGGAGCGCCGAAATATTACTCTGCCCGGGCTTAATTCAACTCGACATCCATGGGTCCCGAAGGACTGTGAATGGCGAGCCTTTTATCTGCAAATCCGGGGTGGTTCAACTTTCTATGAAGAGAAAAGAAAAGAAGAGAAGAGAACAGAGAGAAACAGCGGCTGGCCAGGAAGATATTTCTTGCTCTGCGCTGGGAAATCTGGATTGCCACATGATTGGTCGAACTGGTGGCGTGGGCGGGGCCAGCGTTTACATAATGACGAGCAGGGAACGGGAGAATGCCTTTTGCAGGTCCCCTGCCCTTGAACATTTGGCCGAACCTGACGCAGCTGCGTGTGACACTGACGCTTCCCCCAGCACCACCCAAAGATAGCCCAGCCCCATTGGCTTGTACATTGTTGCCTCCATCGCCAACAACGAAACGTCTCCCTTTCACACGCCACACCTCAACCACGCAAAGAATTAAAATTCATCCATAATCGACCGACAGTTCCGATCGCGTGCCTTCTCAGCGAAAATCTCTCTCGGCCTCGTTACCCTCGCCTCTTCCTTGCCTCGACCATTCAACCCCAACCCCCCTTCTCACTCTTCCCTCCGCAACCGAATCGATCCCTTTGCACACTCAACATGTCCAACCCGCTCGACACCGACGCCGGCTCCGAGCTCTTCGAGAGCTACTCCGCCGAGTTCAGGCTCGTGGAGGCCGACCTGGTCCAGAAGCTCGACCAGATACCTGAGCTGTCCGGCGAACCGCGCAAGGCCGCCATCAGCTCGGCGGAGCGGGCCCTCGAGGAGGCGGAAGAGCTGGTGCGTCCTCCAGAGAAGAAGACAAAGCAGAAGCACAAACCCTTTTCACACATCAATACATGATAAGCTAACTTCACCCACTCGCTTACCCCAAACCCAGCTCGGCCAGATGCAGCTCGAAAAGTCCAACATCCCGACCTCGTCCCGCGCCAAGGCCAACCAGCGCTTCCGCGACGTGCAGACCGCCATCGACACCTCCCGCCGGAAGCTGCGGCACCTCGCCGAGGACCGCTCCGCGCTCTTTGGCAGCCGCGAGCGGTACAGCGACAACCCTGCCGATGTGCAGCACGAGCAGCGCCAGCAGCTCCTGTCCGGCTCCGACCGCCTGGACCGGAGCACCCAGCGGCTCAAGGCCTCGCAGCGCCTGGCCAACGAGACCGAGATGATCGGCGCCGCTACCCTGGGCGACCTGCACCGCCAGAGGGGCATCATCGAGCACACCAATGAGACCCTGCTGCAGAGCGAGGGCTATGTAGACAGGAGTGTCAAGACGCTGAGGGGGATGGCGCGTAGGTTTGTGCTTCCCTATATATATATATATCCCCTTGGGTTTTACTTGACCTGCTTGCTGGGATGGGATTTTTGGGCTAACATTGGAGTAGGATGGCTACAAATCGGGTTATAACTATTGCCATCATTACTGTCTTGGTTCTTCTCATCATTGCTGTCATTGTTAGCAAGTTCCGATGAGCGATGGGCGTGTGGCGTGATCGATTCGGGGGTGTTTGTTAGATACGATATGCTTAGGACATGGCGTTGCAAGGGCGTTATTTTTCTTTTTGGAGACAGCAGTCCGTGTACGATGGTTCGTTTCTGCTTTGCAACGTAAGATTTACAAGAGACTGCTGTTCCTACTTGCGGGCTGGACTGTGGCAATATCAATAGGGAAAACATACTTTCTATATAATCTTCAATGCCCTATGAACGCCGTGATCCCTTTTGAGAATAAGCGTATCGTAATGAAATTCTGCCAGCGCAGCAGCTCCCGGACCTTTCGACGCCCAAGACCTCGACGAGTCGGGTGGGTAGAGTAAGCAGCAGCAGGTATCCTCCCTTGTCTCTACCTTCTGCCTCCCTTCTTCATCACCCTGCCCTGCATAGCCGGACCTCTGCGCTTGTCCTCTCCCAGACCCCTCCGGCCAGCAGCAATGCCCTTCCCGGACCTCTTTCCACCACCGCCATGAGCACCGCCTCTGGGCTTCTGCGCCCCCTTGCCCACCTTCGCCTTGATGGCAGCCGTGCTCTCCTCGTCGACATCCATCTCGCCATCGTCGTCGTCGTCATCATCACCCTTGCCCCTCTTGTTCGACCACTTGAGCTTGCCACGTAGGCCCTTCTTGGGCACATCCTTGCCCTTGAGCGCCGCGACATAGGCATTGACGCCACTCTCGCCCGCTGCTGCAGCACTGCCACCATCCACGTCCATCTCATCCGCGCCGCCGGCGGCCTTCTCCTCGCCAAGGATAAGCTTTCCGTCCAGGTCGACCTTGGCCTTGGTCTTCTGCTGCGCGCGAAGCTTGACGGGCTTCGTCGAGGAGATGTTTGCCAGCGCACGTCGGTCGAGCAGGTCGAGCGGCTCATCCTCGTCTTCGACGATGTAAGCACGACCCTTCTTCGTCTTCTTACCGCGGGGGGTTGGATCGTCGTCCTCCTCCGATGCGGAGCCTTCGTCCTCGCTGCTGCTGTATAGCGCCTTATCGAACTCGTTATCAAATGCACGCTTGCCCTTCCGGGACTCCTCGTCGTCGCTTTCCTCGCCAGCTTCCTTGGCGGCGTCCTTCTTTCTCTTGCTACGCTCCTTAGACTTGCGGATGTTGTTAACGAGCTTGCGGTCCTCCTCGGGACAGTGCTTGTTGACAATCTCGACGCCGAATCGTCGCACCAACCGTTCGATGATGTGCTTGACCTTAGCGCGGAAGTGGCCCTTGTGCTCATGGCTCCATACCATGAGGTTTGGAATCATACTTTCCAGCCGTGGCTCCACGAGTTCCCGCGGCAGGCTGATGATCACAACCTTGACGAAGCCCAGCACGCTCTTGACAATCTCACGGTTGTTCGACGTCAAGAACAGGTCCATAGTCTGTACCAGCTCGGAGAGCGTCTCTGTGCTCAGTGACTCGCGGAACTCGTACAGGATTCGACTGATGGCTGTGATTGTCGCGGAGATCATATGGGGTGTGCCACCGGCGAGACCTGCACTGACCATTGTGAAGAATTCTTCGATATTAGCGGCCACTGACGGAGCATCTTTGGGCATGCGCGGCACCTTGCTGTTGTCGATCGTGGCACCGTTGGCGGATACCATCTTCTGGCCGAGGAGCACCAGGAGCTCGAAGGCTGTTGATCTCGCACGCTCGTTCTGCTCTTTACAGCCAATGACCACCTCGGACAGAATGGAGGGAATGAAGTGCAGTGAATCATCGGGGATGAAAGGGACCATGGCGGCTATTGCAGCCATGCGCTCCCGACGGGCTGGCGCCGAGCATTTATCAGCGCTTGACAGGATCAAGGCCTGCAGCGCAGATTGGCGCTCTTGAAGGGCAACCTTGCCTGTCTCGGACTCGGCCAGGCGAGGAATCATCTTGTAGGCCTTCTTTTGCAGCTGCGCATCATCGCCTTTGAAGATCACCAACGTGGCAATCTCAAAAAGTGCGGCGAAACTCTCCCTTGGCAGATAGATGGACATGGTGATCACCAGGTCCATGAGGGTATGTGTGGTGGAGGGCATCTTGTCGCTCCCACTCTTTTTGGCGTCCTTGTTGCTATCCGCAGGCGCCTCCTCGAGGGCAGATGCCAACATCTTGCAGACACGGTCGAAGGTGTCCTTGAGCTCACCAGAGGGCGTGATGCTCAGGTAGGCGTTGATGGTCTGTAGGATGGATCCGCGTGAATGCGGCAGAGTTTGCCCGTAGACGTTGAACAACACAGCCAGAAAGTTCCCGGCAAAGCCTCCCAGATACTCAAGGTTCTTCTGTGCTTCAGCCTTGGTCACGCGGCTCTGCAGAATAAGGTCGTCTTCCTCCTCGATGGATGCGATGGCCCGGTTGGATTCGACCAACGCCTGCAGCGCCTTGCAGATGCTGAGGCGGAGTTCGACTTGCTGATAGAGGAGATTGGCAAGCATCTCCGCAAAGGACTGATCAAACGCGTCTCGGAGGTCGAGCGGCAAGTCGCAGTACCCAGGGAGAATCGACCAGACCTGGTGTACTAGGACCTCCCAGACCTTGACCTGCATCGTCTTCGGGCCGCTGTGGTCCAATACTCTTTGGAAAAACAGCTCGCTCAACGGCACAAGCTCTGACCTGAAGTGTGCAAGATTTGTGTTTGCGGTGTAGTCTCTGAGCAACGTCACCATCCAGGCTCTGCCGGGTTTGTCTTTGGTAGGCAGGACGACATTCAGCGGCAGAACGCCGAGAACCGCCTCTGGACCCATCGCCCTGACCGCCTTGCCGAGCACCTCATCCGCTTTGTCCTTGCTGGCGAAGGCGTCGCTGCCTCGCATGTCACCGATCGTCTTCGTTACATTCAGGAGGTAGGGATGTGCCCTCCATCGCAGGCAATCAAACATGGCTCCCACGACAGTGAATGTCTCCATCCAAGCACCCTGGTACTTGACGCTGAACAGACCCTCCACTACCTTGACAATCTTTTCCAGTGTCTTTTCATCATAGATCGAGGGCTCAAGTATGACCTGATTAGGTATGCAGTTTGCCAGGAACGAGACGAGACACTCGGATGACGAAACACGGATGTTCTCTGAGGGAGATTCGAGGAACTGGGACACCATTTCAAAGAGTTCTGGCAGCTTCATAAAAGTATCCTCTGGCTCCACTTGGGCGGAGACATCGTAACCCCTCGAGAGAATGGCTATCCACGCTGGGAGGAGCTGCGTGTCGTTGGAAGCTGGGCGCAGGTCCGAAATGATCTCGAGCAGTCTTGGCAGCTTCGCAGAGGCCACCTCATCTGCTACCATGCCCTCAAAGATCATCTCAAATATTTCAAAGATGGCCATCGTCATGTGCTCGTTTCCGGTCCTCGCTATGCTGATGAGCAGCTCGCAGAGCGACTCTATCTTCTTGCTCGGCCACCCACCGCTGCCTGCAGCAACTGCCTTGATGAGTTGGAGCGCGTGCATCATGTTCGGGTCGTGAACAGGATCAGTGGAGCGCTTTTCCTTTCGTGACTGGGTTGCATTCTCTGCCAATTCTGTCAGGCTTGCCATTGCCGCCTCGGCGCACATGTCTGCAGCGGGGTGATCGAGCGAAGGCGTCGGTGGAGGGTTCTTCAAAACTTTCTTGAGGGCCTCCTGGGCTCGCTTGCGAACCTTAGGCCGGGGGTCCAGGGACAGGTTCAGCAGGCCAGACACGGCACTCCGAGGGCCCATCTGCGTGACGGACAGGCCCCACGATGCTGAGTTCTGTGCGAGAAGAAGAGACTCGAGACATCCTATCGATGGTCGAAGAAGCGGCGCATCGGCCTCTGGTTGTGAAATGACGGGGGCGAGAAGCTGAAGAATTTGAGTAAATCGGGCACGGAGGAGGGGCTGTGGCGCGAAGGGGGTGACGACGTCCAGGAGGTATACGATGGCGATCGTCAGGTCTTTCTTGGACTGTCCAGAGGAGGATGTCTTGTCGAGAAGCGCCAACAAGGCAGCAAAGTATGCTGTGGGGGTCGGCTCGGACTTTTGTTCCTTGAGGGTTGCCTCGACTGCCTGCAAGATGACCGATGTCTGGAGAAGTACATGTTAGTTGGAGCGAATACACGAGGGCTACAGAAAAAAATCAAGGAGGGCAAACAACCTACCTGCTGTTGACTCTGCAGATTCGGCGACCGAATCTTGTCGAGCTTCTCTGTCAGACCTGGAGCAGACATCTTGACAGGCAAATTACAGCAACAATACTGTGTGTCTAGAGAGTTGTAGGTCACGATGCGCCAGGGAAACAGGCCCTTCAGCCAAACTTTTCGGTGGGGGTCCCATTATCGATAAGGCCTATGTACGTTGGGTGGCAGAACCTGCTTGAGAGGAGCCAGGGGTAACCCATCTGAGTTCCTCTACTACGCGAATTATGAACTGCTAGCACAACATGGTGTACTCACTAAAGCATTCCTTAATCGACATTGTTCAAAAGGGCTAAAATTCAGCAGCGGGCATATGTCTAAACTTTAGAGTATTGAGACCTGCTCACAATTGCCGTCTCCGTTTTCACTTGAATGAAGTATTCAGTCACACTGAGTGGGTGACGCTCTGACCGAGTCTGACTGGTAGAACCCACAGTAAGACCCACAATAATATTCTGCCACTACATATGGAAGGCGGTCAGTAATGAGAGCAGCTGGTCTGTGCTCACAGAGCCACAACTATATAATCCTGTCTTCCCTTCCTCTTTCTTCCCTCGTTTCTTTTCTTTTCTCTTTAGCTCTCTTTGCCTGTCAGTACCCCCCCCCCCCCCAAAAGAAGAAAAATAAAACCTGGGACATCATCACTAACAACCCCAAAGTTTGGCTTAGATCAAGTGTAGTATCTGTTCTTTTCAGTTTAATCTCTGAAAGCATTCTACGGAATGCAATCGTGATTATTCCAATTTTTGACCTTCGGAGGATGATCCTCTGGGCTTGCCCATGGTCAACCTCCACAGTGTCCTCTCTACCACACTGCCTGAGAGTGATGCGAACCCATTTGTTTTTTTCATTGCAATCGTGGGCTTGCCTGCGATGTGAGGAAGAAGTTTGCTCTGTTTATTATTGCTGTTGCCTGAGTTTGATTGTAGCATGTCAAGAATGCGGAAGAATCTTCAGCTACCCCTCATGAAGACGTTTCCCCAGATCGCGACCGCCAAGGTGAACACGAGGTACGCGTCATGCGTGTGCGTGGATGCTGCTAACACCCCGAATATTGCCCTTCGACAACCACCAAACATAACGACCTTGTTGAAATGATGCAAATTCGTCTATCACCTCGGAGCCTGCTCGTCAGCAAGACCACGCCGCCGCCACGATTCGCATGCCTTGCAACCCCATTTCTTACTTCCCTTTATTACGCTGAGAACTACCACGGTCTCAGGGCACAGCCTCCATAGAAAATTGAATGAACTGTGATCTCTCTTTTGAATCTTATTAGAAGAACAAAGCTTGTTGGCGAGAAAGGCTCAGGAGGCCCCAAGGTAGGCTCAACCGTTTATCTCAGCGACGAAACAGCCCACCGATATCAAAGACACCAACTTGAGGGCCAGACCCTTGCCCAACCTCCTGCGCCATCATCATCCTTCTGATCATCGTTCCATCCTGCCCACCGATTCCCCGTCCGTAGATCGTTTCCCCAAACATACGCAGCTGCATCGGGAACTTCTCATCGCGGTAATGAGCCAGGACGTCAGACTTCTCAATCTTCCTCCGCAGGCTGCTCCAGCCGCCGCCGCCACCGCCGAGCCGTTCGCATTCCCTCTCCTTCTCCGCGCTCCACCAGCTAGGCAGCACGCCGCGCTTAGCCTCCACCAGGCCCAGAAAACGCCGGAACCCGGGCATGGCATCCGTGACGCCGGGCGCGTACAACGAGTCCGCCTCGCGGACGCCTTCTAAACCGCACCTGTCGGCCATGCGCAGGCGGTACGTGTCGATGAGGAGCTTGTAGACATCCCGCTCTGGGCGGTTGTGGAGGTACGCGCCGCTGTCGATCTGCGTGAAAGGGTTCGGGATGTGCTTCTCCAGACCAGGGGCAGAGCGCGAGGACGTGCTGTTGTCACCGGCGCTGGCATCGACACGGGAGCGAGTCGTCTTGGGGGCGCAGGCCTTCTTATGGGCTTCCCAGTCTAAGAGGAGGCAGGTGTAGGAGCAGTAGAGGACGTTGCAACGCTCACAGGGACAAGGAATCGTAACGGTGATGTTGCACTTCTGGCAGGTGGAAGCAACCTTTCCCCCCTGCTCGCCGCTGGGTTTGATCGGAGTCGTGTCTGCCATGTTGAGTGTTTGGACGGCGGAGAAATGTTGTTGATCACAAAGAGAGAAGCTGGGGGAGAGCCGTTTCTCCCAAAGGGAAAAGAAGAGATTCAATGAGTCCAACTTGGGAAGTTCAATCACTTAAAGTCTCTCCTTTGTTTGTTTCTAGTTCCGCCAAACGCGTCAACATGCGACACGTATCTGCCCCTTCCCCCTCCATCTGCACTGCAGTCGTTCTTTTTGTGGAAGGCTGCATGCATGTATTCAACCTATCAAATGAGCTCTTGCAAAACCCCCCCATCTGGCTATCCAGGTTGCGGCTCTGTCCTCTCCCTCTTCTTTACCGCAGATATGATACCATATGGGACATGACATTCGGTTCCCTTTCTTCTCGACCTGCTATGCAACCGGTCTTCAGGGTAGCCGCCCCTATCAATTAACCCCGCAGTCATGTTCACCTATACGACGTTGCACCTGAAGGACCCTCGGTGGCTGGCCCCTGGGCCTACCCTGTCCTAGTCGGAGGATGTATATTATAGGTCCTGCCTGTCGTGCGAGCCTAAAATCCCATGCGGGGCTCTTTCTGAGAGGCGGACAATCAAGTACGAACGGCAGTGTTTGCACTTGGAGTAAGCTGATAATCCAGGAAAACCACCCGACATGGACCACCTGTAGGACAGAAGGTACAAACTGCACCCATGGGGAAATGTGTAAAATGTAGTACTGTTTGTATGTGTGTGCGCGCGCAGCTACCTACTGTACCGACAGCGGACAGCCTTACAAAACCTCACCCAGCGCAGGCCATGACATGACATAAATGAAAAAAGTACTTCGGAGACATCTTGTGACTCTCTCGCTCTCTTTCTCTCTTACTCTCTCTCTTTGTCTATGAACCTCAAGAAAATTCGTTATCCGCAACCGCCTCGATGTTACCCTTAATCTTGAGAAGGATGCTCGTCTTCCACTTATCCAGCTTGCTGATCTGGTCATAGGCGTACAGCTTGTCCGAGAACTTCTCCTGGTCGCCGTCCTCAATCGTCTGGACCAGGTCGACCAGCAGCTGGTGCTCCCTCTGCGCGGCAAAGGTCGGGTCCATATCGCGGTAGTGCTCGAGCGCCCGCTGCGTGAGGATCATGTCCTTGTTCGCGAGGTGGCAGAGACCTGCCTTGAAGAAGTATTCCTTGACGCTGTAGCGCATCAGGTTGTTGTTGATGGCACTTCCCGCCACCTTCTCGTAGATCTCGATGGACTTGCTGTAGTTTTCGTCCAGCGCGGAAATGTCGGCCACCTTGAGCCAGAGCTTGTTTGCGAGCCTATAGAGGGGATCGTAAGTCAGCAAATTATGTTTGCGGAAACAACCTGCATGAGGAGGCCGTCTGAAGAAGTGCAGGATGAACGTACGCAGCAGCACCATCCCCCTCGTACCACCCAGCAGCCATCTCATACGCCTCGCACGCACGTCTCGTGTCGCCCAGCTGGGTCTCAAACAGCTCGCCCAGGTTCTCCTTGTGCGAGGCAGCCCGCCGGAAATTGCCCTTGGTGCAGTACTGGTTGATGGAGAACTCGAGACACCGTGCGGCATCGTCGGGGCTGTCGTTGCGGTACGCCTTGAAGGCATCGACGTAGGTGTTGGCGGCATCGTCCAGCTCTTTCAGCTGGTCCCTCTGTATCTCAGCGGCTCTCTCGAAGGTCTGTCCCGCCTCGCGATCTGTTTTGCGTTTGAAAACGTTCAAGGTCAGACCAGCAGCTATATTGGGTGGGGGGCCTAATGACCCCGCGTGATAGGAAGAAGAAAAGAGGAAGGTGAAAGCGAGAAAGACGTACTCTGCTTCTGCATCTTGAAGGCGTTCGCAGCCTGGGAAAAGGTGTCGGCAGCATCCTGCCATTTGTCTTCACGCCCGCCAAAGAGCTTGAAGCCGCCCGAGGCTTTCGAAGCCAGGGCTTCGGCCTGTAGAGAAAAAGAAGAAATGCTGTCAGTACAACAGGGTCATCGTCAGGCCGATAGAGGAACACATCATACTTGTTTCACCAATGCGCGAGGGTCTTGAGCCATTGTCGCGTGGGTCTGTTCGGAAGGTTCAGTTAGGAATGCGGGGGAGGAGAGAGATTTCTCCTGCGTATGTCGCGGTGTAGGGGTTCCAAAGGTTGTGAAGGGATAGAGCTTTGATCTAGGAGGTGCTAGAGAAAGACGACAACAAGCACTGATGCTGGTGAAGTGGTAACTTGAAACGTGAGGTGAACGGTCGTTTCCGATCTTCAGCAGCCAGAGTTGCAGTTGAGGACCTGCGGCTGATGCTCTGATGCTATGACGCCGCGGCTTTGTGGCAGCCGGCTCCGCCTTGAAGTACAGTTACCTTGAAATCGCAGAGAGATTATCCCTGGCCGGGGGTACTCAGTACATGCTGAGCGAGCCCCTCGAAGCGCTAGCATGCGGGCTGGCTCGAGCCAATCGGCCGCGGTCCCTTCAACGTCAATCCATTCGCACGGCTGGACTGCGACCAACATCTCACATCACCTGTATATTCCGTACCCTGATTCAATTGAGGTGAAGAGGATCTTTTTCTTTTTTAAGGGAAACCCCAAAAGTTTTAAAGTAACTAAAAGCATTTCGAAATTCTCATCAGCAACCTCCCCGCCTTTTTTCCTATGAGAGGACAAGGTGACATTCATCTCCAGCAAGAAAGAAGCTTCATTCCGACCAAATGTCTTCAGCTCGCGCGCTCATAACCCGTGGTGTGCACCGTTCACGCCGTCAAAGCACACGAATCATCCCTTTCCGGCCGGATGCACCAACCTACTACATCTGCAGCCGCTGCATATCTCACTCATCCGGCTCATCATCGACTCCTGTCAAGCCTCCACCAGTAGAGACCACCCCCAAAAGCACTTCGTCACAACCAGATTTTCAAACAGTCTTTGACCGTCCCACCTGGTCCGTCGCATCCCTCCTGCCAACCCAGCAGCCCTCCCCGCAAGAAGGACCCATCACCCCTCAAACCCTGCACCACCTCCTCCGCCTCTCCTCTCTCCCGCCCCCCTCCAGCCCTCAGGAAGAGTCCTCCATGCTCCAGACCCTGCACACCCAGCTCCACTTCGTGCGAGATGTCCAGTCCGTCGACACCACAGGCATCGCACCCCTCCGCTCCATCCGGGACGAGACCTCGGCCGGGATCTCGGAAGCCACAGTGACCCTCGACAGTCTACGCGAGGTCCTAGGCCGCGAGAATGTGGTGGGCCATCGTCGACGACCAAGACGCGATCGGGAGGCCGAAAAGGTGCAGAGCGACGAGGAGATCTTGGTCGAGGCTGCCACGAGACGGAGGCGCGAGCGGGGTTATTACCTTGTCGACAAAGGAATGGCCAAAGGGGGTGAGTGAGAGGCGCCATGGTCTTGAGATGAGTGAGTCGGCAACACGAGATCTTGAGAACAGGCGGAACCCCCCGAGCTTCTTGCAAACACCAAGGCTCAGGGCCGCCCAGGCACTACAGGCAGATGATATAACCCATAGAGTATGCTCTTCGTCAAAGGGGACTTCATCTTCGTTCTACTGCGATACCCCTTTTTGCTATTGTATTGTTCTTTCTTTTGCGATTCAAATCTTGCTTCCCTGTTCTTTTGGTGGCATGGACCATGGAGGGATTTGGATGCTCACATCAGTCAAGCAGGGATCAAGCTCGAAATTCACAACATATTCAAGTCCCCATACATTGGCTCCGAGAATATGCATATAATTCAATCTTCTCTGATTAACCTATGAGAGGCTGTCAGTTCATGCTCTCTTTTGTCTCTTAAGAATGAGCCACCCTTTGTCTCTCTTTCTTTCACAACTCCTTGGCCTGGAGCTCACTCTGGACCGTATTCCACCTGTACCCTCCTATCTTCCTTATGACGGAGTCAATCGAGCATCTTAATTCCGTGCTGATGCCGTCTAAGCCATGTTGTTGGATGGCCCTGAGGGTAGAATAGACTACTCTGGATGTAAGAATGGGGGATGCAACCTATCAAAATGTCAAGTCGCCTGAACCTCTTCTTAATGATGATGTACTGATGTAAAATATACAGGGGAAAACGGGGAAAGGAATCATGGCGTGTTTTGTCGTCGTGCATCTGTGGACGTCGTTCCAAATTGGCTGCCAGTGTGCGGGGTTTTGTGATGCTGGTTCCGATTCGAGTTCGTCCACGTCACCTCACCAGTGGTGCGAGTTCCCAAGTTCTGGCTGAAGTTGCCGCGACCGACTCCACGAGAGTATCTGCCACCACGCTGTGGATGTCTATCCGTGTCGTTGTGGGTTGTCGATATGCTGTCTCCGCCATAAATGGGGTATCTGCAATGTCGGCCCTACATCGACATCTTGCCCATCTGGTCGGCCAGGCGCTTGTCAGTATTGTTGTCGCGGCCACCCCGACCGCCACCGCGAGAGTTCCTGCCACCACGTCGTGGCAGCGTGTTCTCCTTCTTTTCGATCGGCCCGGCCCTGGCCTGGCCTTGGTTCGGCCCTGGACTAACACCCTTGGCTGGTGCTGCAGGCACCTTCTGCTGCACAGCAACGGGGAGCTTGGGTTGCGGAGGAGGAGCCTTCAAATCATCCTTGAGGTCATCCCAGCCGATACGTCTGAGGATAGTCGGAACCAAAGAGGTATAGTGCACGTGAGCTCCGAGGATGTCGCTCACGTCGTGGTTCTCAACACCCCCGACACCTTGGATCTGCTGCAGGCCGGCGACGCCAAAGTGATAAGCGGTCTGCCGAGATGCAAAGGCGAGCATATAGTCGGTAGGCGAGTACACGTTGACAAGACGACCAGAGACAACGGCCTTCAGAGCACTCCAGGTACCGGCATCTCCCGCAATGGGCGCTCCCATGAGGACAACACTATCGACCATACCGTAGAGCCTGCGTTCCATCAGATGCGACAGGCACAGATAGATGGCACGAGCACCGAGCCCATATCCAATCAAGGTGACTCCTCGTTCGCCGTGAATGTGTCCTATCATGGCGTCCGAGAGGATCTGCTGAAGCTTCGAACACTTCGTAAGTGCCATGACCCAGGCATTGTCGACTATCTTGCTGACTCTCATCAGAGCACCTGGCCAGGTCTGCTGGCGCAGCATGGTCATGGCTAGACGCGGTCAGCTTCGATTCTCATGATTACTCGGACCTACTGCTTAGACTCACCAGGTTTTCCGCCCATCGCCTCCACCGACACAGGCCAGGCCTTACTCTTGAGAAGAGTATCGAGGGCAGCTCCAACTTTTTCCAGGACATCGACCTCCCAGCTGATCGCCAGGACCTCATTGTGATGCCCGAGGCACTTCCAGGGGGTGGTTATGTCGTCCTTGTCCATCAAAAAACCGCTGACACAGAAGACAAGCCGCATACGGCGGTCCTCTGGTGCGATAGCTTTGGGGTCTACAAGCTTAGACATGTCGGCCGAGTGTAACGGGATGATGGCCCCATCTTGGACGACCGAGGTCAGGCTCTCAAAGGTCAAGACGCGTGTACGGTTTGGGTTGACGCCAAAGAACATACCGACAGCCGTCTCACAGTCGCCAAGAGGACCCATCAAGTGGGCAACAGGCGTAGGAGGAAGGCTGAGGGTAGGCATGCCCTGGGCTGCCTCAATCATGCCAAGCCCGGCAGCGAGCAGGGTCTTTCCGACCTGGACCGGGTTGATAGAGGGGCGCCACTTCTTCTTGTGCTCTTTGGATGGTCTGGCTTCCTGGGCCTGCTGAGCCCCTTGAGCCTTGTGGGCGTCCTGAGCCACTTCTTCGGTCTTCTCGTTCTCGGCCTTCTTCTGGAGCTCTTCGGCCTGTTTCTTCTCCTCGAGCTCCCGCGCGGCGGCCTCCTCACACAAGGTCTTGTAAATCTTGCCAAGGCCGCCAGCGACGCGGTTCTCCTCCTCGATGAGCACCCACGCGGGGATGTGAAGGGATGACGCGAGGTATAACAAATACAGGCGAGAGTACGAGATGTAATGCTCGGTGGAAAGAGTCATGAGAATGATGGCGTGGGTGAGCAGACGTCTCTTGTCGACCGTCAAGCTGTGCAGAGTCGTCTCGACGGGCTGGAAACGGCGAATCATGTTCATGTCAACCGGGTAGGCGATACCTTTGTCCTTGTCTCCTGCGGCTATGTTAGCACTTGGGGGAAGAGAGAATGTTGGTCTTGAAGGAGAAAAAGGCCGGGGGGAAAGGGGGGGGGGGGGGTTAGGCCACAGGATTGGGAACGCTGGTATGGAACCTTCTCACCTTGCTGTTTGTTTCTACCGGCAGAAGCGGCTGCAGCTCCTCCTCCACGAGGACCTCCCTGGCCTTGACGGGAAGGTCCAGCATAGGCAGCAGGCTGGCCAGGGACAATCAGATCATTAAGGCGCTTATTGAAGGTATTCCTCCATTTGTTGAAGTATTGTGTAGCCTCTTCCTTCAAGACGCTCATGGAGGAGGCTTCAGGGTTGACGCTCTTGGCGTCAATCTTGGGGATGAAGCGAGGCTTGGCCTCCTGGTCATCGCCTTGCTCCTGGGAGGAGGATGAGGGCTTCTTGTGGTTACCGTCTTTGGAGTTGGCATTGATGGTGGGAGTGGGTTTGCCAGTGTCAGCAACCTGCTTGGCCATCTGTGCAGCAACAACGGGGGCATAGTCCCAGATCTTGACACGGTTCACCTGGGCGATGGGGTGGTCCAGGAACCTGAAGGGCTTGCTGAGGTGTTCCTCAATCCTAGCCATGATGCCATCGTTTAGCTTGGAGAATTCAATGCGCTCGGGTAGGGTGAGGATGAGGCTGATGTCAACCTCCCTCTTGATGGGCTGGGGGCGTGGCTTTGGCATCTCCTCATCACCATCACCTTCAGCCTCAGTACCAGGTTGGTTTTTGGTTGTTGAGTTGGCGTCTGTCCCAGCTTCAGAGCCCTCGTAACAGCTAGAGTCCAGCTCAAAGTTTGTTTGCTCAGCGGTGGTGGTGCTATTGTGGCTGTTGTGATCTTTGGTGGTAGTAGTGCGGTCTGCAACAGGAGGTTCAGGTTGCTCAGGTCCTCCCATGCCCTTGGGGCCTTTGGGAGAAGTTGGGTCGGCCATGTTTGCAGCCTGGCTAGGGGGACACAATGTTATTGGCGTTGACTGTACTGTTCGTGCCTTCCCTGGACGTTTCAGCAAGATGAAGATGGTCAATTGAGGAAGGAGTGGATGCAATAAGTAGGATGGTGCGAATGAAGCCAAGTGTTGATGGCCCCTCGTCTTGCCTGTCTGCTGCTTCTGCTGCTGCCGTCGCTGCTGTCTTTTGTGTGTGGCTCATCAACAGAGGCTTGAGCTGGAGTTGGGCTACAAGCTCAAGTCGCGTTCTGTGTGATGTCCAGCAGCAATGATAGTGTTGTGTTGTCAACAACTCGTTTGCAGCAGGTTGCAAGTTAGGCCTCCTACTCAGTCAACAGAAGCCCACACTCGAATATGCGCTCCCAGCGTATTCACAGCAAGTGAATCACCACTTCGCCACCTTCTGCCAGAGGTTTGTTTGCCATTGATATGACCTTGTCATCACAATCAACATTTATTCGTGTCAGTACCCGTTGCAAAGGTTTCGCAGTGAACCCGTTGGAACAACCTCTTCACACCTTTCGGGTCACACAAAAGCTGCCGGCAGTCGACCTGCAGCTCATGCACCCAACCTCGTCCAGCATCCCAGCCCTGCCAAGCAGCTTCCTTACCAGCTTGATGGGAGGACCAAGTTTGGGAACATAATGCCAGCACACAGCCTGAGACATGTTGCTGCAGTGTCATTGTTTCTCTATCAAGGTGGCTAAGGGCCTAAGGCAAGATCAGCTCTCAAATGCCCAGGTACAGGGAGTGTCACATGCAGCACATGCGGTGATACTGCTTTGTAAATCGTTTAAGGGCTGTCAGTGGTACTTGTATGACTCGAGGCCTGCTTTATTCCAAAATTGAGAACATATCACTCCTAACCCTGCCTTGACACAAACCAGCTCGGGTGGTTTTGCTTTGTAAATACGACTCTTAGTTCCCGTGGAGGGGAGAGAGTTCCTCTATGAGATGGTGCTGGCTACAAGAGGACAAATAATTTTTTGGCTCAATACAATTTAAGGAAAACCATGGTATGGCTGGTAGATGTGATGGGAATCAGCTGTGTGGCCGCGAGGCAGCCTTTCCCTTGGAACAGGTCCTTAACACAAGCCCATGTATGCCATTTGCCAACTACACAAAGCCTCCGATGCACAGCACACATAAAACTACCACACTCTCATCTCAGCAATTCAATATCTCTCCTGATGAGCCTCCTTGTGCCTTTATTGGACGTCAACACCCCTGACCCACACAGTTCACCTTTCAAATCTGAACTAATGCATCCCCCACAGGATCTGGCAGCCCATCGATGATCCATGATCTGCGTGCAGTGCCTTGTAGGGCTGATACTACATTGACGAGGTGCAGGGGGCCGCGATCTTTCCATACCAGACTGCAATCTCCCTTTCCCACCCTTCTCCTACTCTTTGAAGGCCCCTTGTTGCAAGTCAAGATTCCTTTTCCGAGGAACAGGGAAGCTGGTTGCTGTCAAGCTACAGGCTCCCGTGGCTCCGGTCTTTTGAGAGGTTGCACAGAGTTGCTTCGGGTCGTTACACAATGGGGGTAGATCCACAGAAACACATTATCTACCTAAGTCAAGTACTTAGTAGGTAACAGACCTTCGTCTAACTCACCACCAAGCCATCAAGCCACTTGAACACTCAGCCAGAGTGACATGCTGCAACCCAGCTTGTATTGCAAAGAAAGAAAGAAGGACAGTCTCGTGTACAGGTCGCTATTCTCGTCAAACCCTCCTTGATCAAACGCCCAAAACCAAAACCCCAGGTACGCCTTGCCATAACCAGACTGTAATCCCTCCGACCAATCTTATGTATGTTTCTTCAATTGTTAATCTCCAACTATGCACAACACCCACCAGTGGGTTTCTCTACAGCCTGATGTGTGCCCCGATACCCCTCCCGATAAACCAAACCCTCTCCCTCCATTCGCCGATCCTCACACCCACCGTTGCCACGGCATCGAGCTTCAGTTCGCCGCCCAGCGCCTTGCGGACTTTATCTCGCCCAATGCTGCCAACGGACCAATCGACGGGAAGTTTGGGAGTCTGCGACAGACCAGGTTTTGCTGCGAACGGCAGGTCGTGGATGATTCTGCCTACCGGTTCGGTATGATTGTAGTAGGCTGTTGCATTGATATGTTCAAGATATATGGTGTTGTAGCGCAAGGGAGAAGCAAGAGTGAACTGTGCAGAGGATGAAAGTAGGTGGAAGGTCGCCTCACGGATAAAGTGGGTTCTGCGATCTGGCTTGGCGTCCGGATCATCATTGTCGTCGTCGTCGTCACCAGGCAGGGCGAGATGAGGTGTAGGGATGGTGATGTTGAAATGTGACAGGGCTTCGCCGATGAGGGGTTGGCCAGGGATGCTGTTACGGTGGGCGCGGACAGACAGAGTTGTGTTGAAACCCGAAAGATACTGAGATAGCAATTCCCTCGCGATGACCTTCCCGCTCTCACCACCCATGGATGGCTGCCACCTTGCCTGGGCAACAAGGAACGGGTTGTGACCTGTCTGGATATCCAGGTTTTCGGCTGTAATCTCGCCAATGACTGATCCGTTGCAAAGAATGTGAGCAGTCACGTAGGGGATGCTCGCGGTATAGGATGTCGGGTTCGTAACGTTAACCAATGCTTCTAGTCGTAGCGATTCAGGTGTAGTCTCCAGGATCTTGATGTTCCCAACTCTGGGAGCGAGTTGGTCGAAGGGATTGCCATTTGAGGGTCCTCCCTTGCGTATAACTGTTCGGAAGACATCAGAACATGGCCCCCGTCAAAATACCTCGGGAAAGGAAAACCGCTGGGCCCTGAGAGGCCGCATAGCTGTTCGAGGATACTAACATCACCAAAGAGAAGACGGACGTTTTACTGGTATTCTCCCCTCGGCGGGGATATCCTTGAGAACTAGGTCTCCCAGGACAGTCTCGACCTGGACGTCCACTGAGGCCTTGATATCCAGCTGAATCGTCTTGCCTTGGAAGATGAGACGCTGGATGACATCTGTCAATACGTCTCCGTCTGTGACATTCAATGGAGCATTGTCGATACGCGATTGGATCTCGAGCTCTGGACCGCCGTCGCTGCCGGACTCGATCCTGGTTGAATTTGCTGGCTGCCACTTGCGCACATCAAGAACGCCAAGCTTCTGATCTTGGAAGAACACATCGGCTGCCGCACGGATATGTGTCACATTGATACCAAAGTTCATCTCCTTAGGCAGACCGGCCAGGACCTGAATGGTTCCCGACACCTTTGGGCTCGCACCAGGGTCGTCCGGCTCGGCCAAGGGATCCGGGAGGCTGAAGTGCGTGTCCGTGAGGGAGAATTTTCGTATCAGGTTATCAAAGCTGCGCCCAGGAAACGGCACAGGCACCACGACCTGAGACATAATCTCGTTGAGCCATTCCGGTGTGCCCACTGCTGGGTGACTCTTTCCCCGCACAAAGACATTGGGTGTCTGGCCTCCGAGGTATTGCTTGAGAATACGATCCAAGGGAGTGTTTTCAGAGTCGGGGCACACCCGCGTCAGCGAGTCTGGAAGTTCCCTAACCACCCCGTGGACGTTTGCGACGACGCGTGACCGAGGCCTGATATCCACAGGATCCGTCAAGGCCTCCGCAACTAGGATATAGGGGTCGTGCAGGCCACAGTTTGGCACAAGAATCTCAAACGCTAGCGGTGGTATGTCCAACTCGACAGGCCATTTGTTGAACGCGTTGATGGATACCTCGGCTCCCACGGTGTGATTGTCGATGTCTCGGAAGAACACCTTAGTGATGTTGTACGGAGGGAGACCTCCGCCTCCACCACCACCGCCACCAGGCAATTTGTTCGCTACACAAAACGCATCAGCCAGCGGTTCACGGACGGAACAGACAATGCAAGGGGACGGAGATACGGGATACATGTAACAGTGTAATGATTTGATGATTCAGAAAATTGCCTTCTGGCCAAAATACAGAGACGCGAAAGACTTGTAGAGAGATTGACCTTCAAATGTCAGAGACTCGGACACGGTGTGCGTGCCGAGAGGGATGATGCCCGTCTTGAGTTGGATGTCGGCCTTGCCCAGGAACCGAACCCTGTTCATCCTGCCCTCCAGCCACTCGTTCGCAAGCGTGCGAATGCCCTCTGCCTGACCCGGGACGAGATCGGCCACCATGTCGATCGCAGTGTTCTGGCCGTTGATCTTGAGGTTGATGGGCGGTATGTTGGCACTGCCAAGCATGATGTTGTCATACTCGGGCAGGTAGACATTAACGCTCGTCGCCTCAGTTCCCAACTCCCGGACGAACCAAGTCGCAACGCTTCCAACTCTTCTTACGTGGTCGCTCTTGACCTTAGACCCATCCAGCCTAAAATTTGCTTGTATGCGAGCGCGCACGCCATCCGTGGTGATCGACTCGAGGGAGAGGTTGGTCGGCTCGAGGACGGCAGCCTCTTTGGCGTACTCCTCGATCGCTGCAGGTACGACGAATGCGACGACGATGATTGCGATGGAGAGTATGCCGAGAAGGATCATAGCTATGATGGAGGGCCATCTCCGTCTTGGTGCCTTCTTGATGAATCTGTTACTACGATGTGACGAAACAGACGCGCCGTCGCCACGGTCCTGTTGCCCATGGTCAATGCCATCGTAACCCAGGGTGTCACTGCTCGAAAGTAGTGGTGTCGACTCGTTGCCAGGCTCTACCCGGCGGTCACGCTCGCCATCCTCTACTCCCAGCAGGGGAGATCTCTCTGGGTCCGACATCCTGATGTTCTTCTTTGAAGTGCCGGCTGATCCCCGTGTCGGACACGGATCGAAGTGGAATCGAGAGAGTGGATACTGGGGTCTATGACATGACGGGTGCCGGCCGTCCTGTTCTCAATGGAGGGTTGAATAGACTGTGCCGAGTTTGTATTAGAATGAAGAGAAAATTGCCCAGGAAATTGAAATTGAAGAACAGAAGAACAATAAGCTGCGATCTTAAGGGCGATACTAAAGATGAAGCTGGTATTGGGAAGGGAAACGTTAGGAGGTTGGAGAGTGTTTGGGGAGGAAGAGAGTATAGTCAGCCCTGCCTTGACACGCTGACGCCCTGGCTGACTTGTCCAGGTAGATTGTGGAGAGGGTGGGCTCAGGTGGTAGCCCACCCAGTGACGCAGGCGTGGCAGAGCCCCAGCCAGGTTAGCCTACTGTGACCAGGGCCTTACCCAATTGGATGGTGTCTCACTGTGGCTCCACACCCAAAACCACAAGGATACCGATGATTCTCAGGAACCAGAACAAGCCTCCTCCTGTATCGGCGTCCGCCGCACCACACCTCCAAAAAATATCACCACTGTAAAAGCATGGTTTGGTCAGCAGGGTCTAAGTACAGCTAAGAGGTTGGCTCAGGTAGCATGCAGCTTGATAGGGCGCACATAGGCCAGGGCTGAATCCGAACATTGTTGATGCGAAAATGAGCACAGAAATACAATCTCAGAGTTGCGATTCATGGAATGAACCCTCCAAAATTTAGACGTAGTACTGTAAATCAGTCATACAATAGAAGGGGAGAAATTATGACTCTTTATACCTGGATTTAACCCAACTCCCTCAAGTTTTCCAGGTGAATGTAAAAGGCCAACCCTATATAATCGCCTTGTACAGGTTGTAATTTTTAGGGCAACCCATAATTGTTCGTGCTCGATCACTCATCTTTCTGCCTCTTATCATAACCTCCCTGTCTTCACAAGCTCTGCGTCAAGTTTCCAAGAAGTTGGCAGTCATCCATTGAGCGGTCAATTGGGACCCAGCACCTACACATTCTCAAGCCACAACACTCCAAGACCTCAATCATGTTTCGCGCAACCTCGATAGCAGCCACCGCCAAGCGGTCGGCCAGGTTACATTCCACAGCTGGTCCCAACGTCCGGCATCTCATGAGCATCAACGACCTCACCCCAGCCGAGTTCACCAAGCTGGTCCGCAACGGCGCCGCCAGTAAGGCAGAGGTTGCCAAGGACGACAAGCTGGGCGTACTGGGCGCGGCTTTGACCGGCAAGACCGTGGCCATGATGTTCAGCAAGCGAAGCACGCGCACGCGTGTGTCAACTGAAGGCGCGGTTGCTCTCTTGGGTGGACACCCTATGTTTCTGGGCAAGGACGACATCCAGCTCGGGGTAAGTCGCCTTTTCTGCTTGTGCAGCGGGCAGTTAGTTGGTCGGATGGGAGCACAGTGTCTAAATCCATACGTTATAGGTCAACGAGTCACTCCTCGACACCTCAGTTGTCATCTCCTCCATGGTCTCTTGCATGGTCGCCCGTGTCGGCAAGCATTCCGACATCACGGGTCTCGCAGAACACTCCAGCGTGCCCGTCATCAACGCCCTAAGTGATGACTTTCACCCGCTGCAGACCATCGCAGACTTCCTCACCATCCACGAGGCGTTTCCTTCGTCCACTTCCAACCCTGCAAGTCTCGGTCTGGAAGGTCTCAAGGTCGCCTGGGTGGGCGACTCCAACAATGTTCTCTTCGATCTCGCATCTGCGTGCATCAAGCTCGGCATTGACATCTCTGTCGCCTCACCCCAGGGCTATGGTATCCCGGACGCAATGAAGAGGCACATTCTGTCTGCTGCCCAAGGCGTGAGCAGTCCCGGAAAGCTGGAGGAGACAACTGTGCCCGAAGAGGCAGTCAAGGGCGCGGATATCCTGGTGACGGATACATGGGTGTCTATGGGCCAGGAGGAGGAGGCGAAGAAGCGGCTGAAGGCCTTTGAGGGCTTCCAAATCACCAATGAGATGGCAAAGAGGGGTGGTGCCAAGGATGGCTGGAAGTTTATGCATTGCTTGCCTCGCCATCCTGAGGAGGTGCATGATGAAGTGTTCTACAGTGATCGGTCTCTGGTGTTCCCAGAGGCGCAAAACCGGCTGTGGGCTGCTGTTTGTGAGTTCATGTCTATTCTTTCTGTGTTACGTATCGAATGCTAATTCTGGACAGCTGCGCTTGAGGCTTTTGTGGTCAACAAGGGCAAGATTGTGTGATGAAGTCTTTGGTGGACACAACCCAGCTTTGGGGTTAATAATTTGAGTTTCAGAAAATGGAGTCAAGCGCCCAAAAAGTAGGTAAAAGCAAGGGAACAATCGATAATTTGATTCAGATATACCATTTGATCGGTGGCTTGTGAGCCTGAACTATAGCTGCCCCCGCCCAATCCAGTTTTTCGCAACGTGAATTTTTCCTTTTTCTCTTCCTTTCTTCTTTCTTTGTCCTTGCCTCTTTTGGTCTTTCGTGAGAATGGTGTATGAGCTTTAACCAGGAGGCAGCTGGCTAGCATCGACAACCTCATCGGCCTCCTTCGCAGCATCGTCTTGCGGACCTGACAACGGGGACCGAGGCAGGGCCATCAGACCAGTGCGGGCGGACTCGAGGATACCAAAGGGCGTGATGAGCTTCAGGAATGACTCGATACGGGTCGGCTTCGCAGAACTATAGTTTTACACATCAGCACAAGCTCTAAGACAAGTGACTTCAGGGGGCTCGAGACTTACATCTCGACAATACAGCTGCTGTTGCTGATATCGAGCACTTTGCCGCCAAACTGATGCGTGAAGTATGTGATACTCCTCAGATGCTCATGCTTCAGACGCAGAGCTTCACTCGGTGCCAGACGGCTCGGGTGGTAGTCCTCAGCCGTCTCGCTCAGTGTCGGCGTGCGATCCGAGGCCTCGCTCTCCTCGGCCGCGCCCTCGGCGGTGATCTCACGGTGGTGCGCCCAAAGTTCCTGGAAGTACTCGGGACCCAGGATGTTGATCTTGGCCAGCAGCAGCTCGCGCTGGACAAGTGCAGCAGAAGTGTAATCCAACACGGCCCACACGGGGACCAGATCTTCCAGCTGGCGTCTAGCCTGCTCGACAACGCCGTCCTGACCGGTGAGGACAATGGTCATGCGCGAAAGATCTGCGACCTCGGTGGAGCAGACGACGAGGGAGTCGATGTTGAAGCCCCTGGCGGCCAGGATACCCGACACGCGCGACAGCACGCCAGGCTCGTTCTGCACCAGACAATTGAGGATATGGCGCTTCGGTGGGTCCATGGAGGGCACAGGTGTCTCGTAGAGGATGTTGGACACAGCAGCCTGGGCAGACCATGTCGGCGGGGCGTCGCTCGTCGGGAGAGGCGCCTGGCGCCGGCGGAGGGCCTTGTAGGCAATCGCAGAGGTCGAGGAGCTGCTGGCGCGGGCAGTAACGGTGGGCAGGAAGGACGAGGTCGCCGCCGGCTTGAAACTGTTGAGAGCTGCTGCTCGCCATGGCGACGAGCGTAGCAGAATGCTTCGGGAGGCCATCTTGTCAATCAACCCGGAGAACAGTCGGAAGGTTTGTTCCCTGAGAAGAATTGACTTATGACTTCCTTCAGACGAATTGGGTCGGCGTAGGTGTCTGAGCCGCCTGTACCAAAGATTGGAAAGCCGTGATAAGTCTGAGTCAAAACTCCTGAGGTTGGTCACTGGTGGCTTTTTCTGGGGCAGTCGAAGATAAAGTCTCGAGTAGTAGTTTGCGGCCAGCTAGCCGACGTCGGCGAGAACCCTTGCCTTACCTTTCCCCAGATTGCCCAACTCAGTACCAAAGATTGCGTACTGTGCAGTTCCCTACAGTGACACACATCCCGCTGTTTTTAGTGCGAGAACCCACTGCTGAATCCCTGTCAGCTTAGTACCCTCGCTGTAAGGTGGGATGGGATGTTTTGAGGTAACAGCTGTCAATCAACTGGGGAAATCTTGGGAATCTTTTTGGCCTGCGTTTTCTCGTCAGTCTCAAGCATCTCTCGCGCCGAGGTTTTATACTCTGCCGCCCATGTCAATCTTCCTCTCAATATGGACTCATAACCCCATGGAAAGCAAGATCTACCACCGTCGAGCTCGACCATCATGTTCTCGATCGCGACTGCGCCGGCCAAGCAGTCGGTCGGCGAAACCATCTCTGTTCTCAGCGGCCGTCTGAGTTCGTCGACTCTCCTTGAGGACCGTCGAGCTGCCATTCAGGGTCTGCGCAGCTTCGCAAAAGATTACCCGGCTTCTGTCGCCTCTGGCGCGCTCAGAAGCCTGATCGGAAGTCTGAGCAAGGATGGAGACGACGTCGACACTGTCAAGGTGGTCCTCGAAACCCTGCTCATGCTCTTCAACCCGAACCAGGACAGCCCTGAGGCGTCAGACGAGATAGTGTTGTGGCTTGCAGACGAGTTCACCCAGAGGCAGGAGAATATAACATTACTACTTGACTTCCTCGAAACCACCGATTTCTACTCTCGACTCTACTCCCTCCAGCTCCTGTCCGCGATCTTGTCTGCCCGAACAGAACGTACCGAGGAATGTGTCTTCACCGCACCACTTGGAATATCGAGACTGGTGGCTATTCTGGACGACCGACGAGAGGCCGTGCGAAACGAGGCCATAAGTCTCCTCATATACCTCACGCCCTCGTCGACGGACATACAAAAGCTTGTCGCCTTTGAAGATGCCTTTAAAAAGATCTTTGCCATCATCTCAGCAGAGGGGTCTTTGCTGGAGGGCGGACAGGCTGTGGAAGACTGCCTCATCCTGATGGCAAATCTCCTCAGGCTGAACAGCTCCAACCAGAGCCAGTTCCGCGAGACAGGATGCGTCCCGCAGCTGTCGCAACTCTTGCAAAGCGCATACCAGGTCCCGGAGGACGGGGAAGCGGTGGCACCTTGGGCGCAGGCGCAACGTAACAGGAACGTTTATGCGCTGCTCGCAGTCATACGGATGTTTCTCGTACGCGGTGCTGTCGGAACTACACAGAACCAAGGCGCATTTTGGCAACATAATCTCCTGTACCACGCTCTTCAACTTGCGTTTAGCCATTCCGCAGAGATTCCCATCAAGGCCGAGGTATGTGACGCCCTTGTCTTGTGTATGTGTGTATGCGCGTGCATAAGCTCAATATTGTTCTGTTCCACAGGCTCTTGTGACCTGCGCCGATATTATAAGAGGCCATACAACACTCCAAGAGAACTTTGCACAGCTGCAAGTGCCGTCTCCACTTGAGAGCCCTCCGACGCCGAATGGCAATGGCCCGCAAGCAAATGGTATCCCGAAGGTGTACGTTATCGACGGACTGTTGGATCTGGCACTATGCGTGCGCATCTTGCAGGCTTTCGACATGAGGATGGCGGCATGCGAATGTCTGAAAGCCTACTTCTTCAACCATGATGGCATCCGCGAGCATTTCCTCCGCCGAGCCATCGATGGTCACAAATCGGGGACAATCGAATCTGCAAATGTGCTGACGACTTTGCTTCGTTCGCCAACTGAGGACAGCAATGTTGATCCTTATAGGTATTGGTTCGCGGCCTGCATCATGTTGCATCTCACCTTTGAAAACTCTGCCACCAAGGAACTGGCCAGACAGGTGACTGAAGGGAACGAGGCCGAAGGCGAAGAGGTCGTTACGAGCATCCAGACCATCACATCGCACCTGGTTGCTAGTCTTTCCCGAAGCGAGGACGAGCGCGTCACAATTGGATACCTGATGCTCCTGCTCTGCTGGCTGTTCGAGGATCTGGACGGAGTGAACGATCTTCTAGAAGAGGGCAGCAATGTCCAACGGCTCATTCAGACAGTCGTGAAGAATACCTCTAGCGAGACAATAGTGCAGGGTCTCTCCGCCATGCTTCTGGGTGTGGTTTACGAGTTTTCGACCAAGGACTCGACGGTGCCCCGAGGCACACTCCAATCCCTTCTCATGTCGAACATGGGCCGCGACAAGTATATCGATAAGCTCAGCAAGCTACGGGCTCACCCCTCAGTACGCGATTTTGAAATGATACCTCAGAAGTTGGACCCTTCGACCGGCGCACTTCCTGATGTCTATTTCGATTCGACTTTTGTGGAATTCTTCAAGGACAATTACAGCCGTATCCTGCGAGCCATTGACAGAGATCCGGGGATGGAAATTTCCGTCATCACCAATGGCGTGCAAAAGGGCATCTCGCGCGAGCTTGTGGACTCCCTGCGCACGCAGGTAGACGAGAAGGAGAAGGCGCTGCAAGAGTGTCAGGCGAATGTAGCCCATCTGGAGCAACAGCTTGGACAACACCAGGCTGATCTCAGGCGCAACCAAGAAACCACATCTCTTGAGCTCTCCCGGCTCAAAGCCTTGAACGAGGGTCTGCAACAGAACCACGAGAAAGAGCTGAAACAGCTGCGCGAGCAACATAGCCGGAGAGAAGTCGAGCTACAGGGTCATATCGACACGGCACGACGGACCGCTGAGACTGAGTACGACAGACTGCAGAAGAAGGCTGATACTGAACTGCAGGCCAAGATCCGGGAGTACGAGGACCGACTCATACAGATGGAAAAGGAATTCAAGAAGGAGATGAAGATGAAGGAGGAACAGCACGAGAAAGAGAAGGAAGCGGTCCGTAAAGAGACGGAAGAGGGCCGGAAGAGGAGACAGTCGGAGGCTGATCGCTCGTCGAGACGGGCAGAGGCGGAGAAGGCTGACCTTAAGGCCACGATCAGCAGGCTTGAGGTTGATCTTATGAAGGTATGTTATTCTCTTGAGAGTTTATTGGTCTTGGGGCTCATGCTAATAATATAATCCTCTGCGCAGGCAAACAAGAGCAAATCCCAGGAGGCCCAGTCCGCCAAGGAGGCTTCCGAACGCGCCCAGAAGAAGGCCAGTGAGCTGGAGAGTAAGGTCTCTGGAATGCAGAAACAGCTTCAAGAGGTAATATTATCCCATACACATCACCAAGTGTCATAGACGTTGCTGACGACTTCTCTCTTCTCCAGTTGGAGGCCAAGGTTGCGACCAAGGAAAGTGAAAAGGAGTCCATTCAAGGAGAGTTGGACGACCTGCTGATGGTCTATGCCGACAATGAGGAGAAATTAAACAAATATAAAGAGAGGCTGAAGGCCAAGGGCGAGGTCATTACGGACGATGAGGCGGAAGAAGATGACGATGATGACGATGAGGAGGAGGAGGAGGAAGAGGAAGAAGACGAGAAAGATGAGGGTGTGGATTAGAATCCGGTCTACTCGCAATCTCTCTTGTTTAGAGATGGACACTACGCTGAGGACGTGGCGTTGGAGTTATGGCATTCCTAGCGAGTCTGTAGATGTGATTCGCTGCTTAGCATGACGTGCGGATTTGAACGTCCAGAAACCGCCCAGAGGTTGGCATTGACTTGTGCAGCAAAGCTCAGTGAGATCATAGCAACCCTGTAAAACATTGAAATCGACAGACTCCATGTGAAAATATCACAGCTGCCAAGAGGGAATCTGTCGTGTATATACTACCCCACCAAAGGAAAAAGATAAAAGTTGTTTCAGATTCTCTTATTATTTCGTTTCATATGAAGGCTGTAATCTCTGTAAAGAAAGATAAAATCCTCTGTCGTGGATCGTATAGTTACTTCCTACTGATCATCACAAGGCGGCTTGGCCCGCAGTTTTACACCATTCAAAATTTAGAGTCGCATTTTAGTGAAATTTTCATGCACGCCCTATTTTTGCACTACCTGCTCCAAACGCCCAACAAGACTCAAACCTAACAACTAAATCCACACGCCCTCTACAATCCATCCGTCATTGGAATATCTTCCCTCCCATGTGAGTTCCCTTTCCTCATTCACAGACAGCCAAGCTATGCGTTTGGTTACTCATTCGGCCTGTGCAGACTGTTTCTCATGTTGCCTCCATTGTCGAGGTGAATACTCATAGAGATTCTAACATTGAACTAGAAACCGAAAATTCTTCTTTGCAAACGGTCACTGCAAGTAAGAAGAAATCAAAGACGAAAGAGTGACATTCTTCTCCAGAACAGCAGCCACTATCGCGCCATGTCTAAACAGGCCGACGATATCCTCAGCGAGTCCGAGGGCTCAGAGGGCTGGGACGATGTAAATGAGGGCGACGACGAACAAGAAGCCCTTGACATCGTCTCGCTGTTGGATGAAAAGGTCTTCCCAGATGCGGCGTCTATGCTGGCGTACTGCAAGGACAAGTTCGGCTTCGACTTTGTGGCAGCGCGCGATCGGCTGGGGTTGGATTTTTACGGCAGTATTAAATTGGTCAACTTTGGTGAGTGCGAACTAATTCTTTTTTGAGAGTGGAGTGAGAGAGTGAGTAAATGATTGGGAGTGAATTTGAGCCATACTGACCTATGAATTTCTTTTTTCAATCTCCCAGTACGAAGCACAGTCAAGGAGGGCAAGCCTCTGCCCGAGCAGATCTCCGAGGCGGACATCTCAGACGAACGCTTCATGATGCCTGTCCTGGCCGACGATGCATTCATCATGTGTCTGGATGACCTGCCCTCCTCCTCTCCTGACGCAGCAGCAGAGGGCAAGGGCAAGGCCGTCGACGAGGAGGTCACTGCTGAGCCCAGCGAGAGCGCCGTGCTGAGAGCGCAGCTCGATGAGATGACGAGGCAGTTTGCCAATTACCGGCTCGCGGTGGAGCAGACGCTGGACAAGCGCTGGCATGCTGAGGATGACGACTCCGACTCTGGCTCGTCGTCCGCGTCGTCTACCGGGCCGACCAAGAAGAAGAAGGCCAACAACAACAAGAATAGCAACAAGAAGGAAAAGGAGGATTCGTCGCAGTCATATTGGGAGGGGTATGCTAACCATGGTATGCACAATTCCATCCTTGCACACATACAACAAGTGGCCAAACCAATGTGACAACAGTCCAGTGGCTAATGATGAGCTTGGTAGACATACACGAGACGATGCTAAAGGACACCGTCCGTACGGATGCCTATCGCGACTTTATCTACAACAACAAGAATCTCTTCAAGGGCAAGGTTGTGCTTGATATTGGCTGTGGAACAGGTGAGTCCTTGAGATGTTCATCTTATGCCCCGCAAAGAAGCCCCCCCCCCCTTGTTTTTTCCCTTCCTTCTTCTTCCAAATATATTATTCTATATATGTATATATACATATATGTCATATGATCTGTGCATGATTCCCTGCTGACAATCACTCCCCCTCAAAGGCATCCTCTCCATGTTCTGCGCCAAAGCCGGCGCCGCCCACGTCTACGCAATCGACAAGTCGGCCATCCTCGACAAGGCGCGCGAGAACATCTTCCACAACAACCTGGGCAGCACCATCACCTGCCTGCGCGGGCGCATCGAGGACATCACGCTCCCCGTGGACAAGGTCGACATCATCGTGTCCGAGTGGATGGGCTACTGCCTCCTCTACGAGGCGATGCTCCCCTCGGTGCTGTTCGCGCGCGACCGCTACCTCAAGCCCGACGGCCTTCTCGTCCCCAGCCACGCGACCATCTTCGTGGCCCCCGTCAGCGACCCCGAGTACGTCACCGAGAGCGTCAGCTTCTGGCGCGACGTGTATGGCTTCGACATGAAGCCCATGCTCGAGGGCCTGCTCAAGGACGTCCGCGTGCAGTACGTCCCCCGCGAGTCCGTCGCCGGCTCGCCCAGCCCCTACGCCCTCGACCTGTACCGGTGCACCGTCGACGACCTGTCCTTCCGCGTCCCGTGGGCGAGCAAGCTGGCCAGGCACGACGTTGAGTGCGTCGACGGGTTTGTCATCTGGTTCGACAACTACTTTGCCACCACGCGCAGGCCCGCCGGCGAGGTCGAGCGCATCGAGGCCCCGGCCGAGGAATGGCAGGCCGAGAGGGCCGACGGCAGCGTGGCCTTCACGACGGGCCCGCATGCCAAGGATACGCACTGGAAGCAAGGGTTCCTCATGGTCGAGGACCAGGAGGGGAAGAAGGGGCGGTCGTACAAGGCTGGGGACGAGATCGAGGGCTACCTGTCCTTCTCTATTGCCGAGGAGAATGCCCGTGGACTGGACGTCAAGATTGAGTGGGACGGACTGCCGAATGACCAGCACGCGCAGACTTGGTCTCTGCACTGATACGGTTGGTTGGTTGGTTCGTTGGTGGAGGGAGGCCAGTTGTGGTGCTGGGAACCCCAAAGGGCCAAGGATGAAGAAGTGAAGGTCAAATAAAACAAAAGTTCAAGTTTACGTTCTGAACACCTATGTGCTTTCTGTGCTCTGCTGGAGAGAAAGCAAAAAAGAACAAATGCATGCCTACCAGAAGGGAAAAGTTAGATATCCAGTGGGTAGCTGATGCTCGAAATGCTAGTCCCTTTTTCCACTTCTTTCTGTACTACTACTGCTCCTGCTACAAATGAGGCACGCCAGCGCTCTGCATGAGCAGGTTGACAATACTCAGGAACCCCTCACCAAGAATAAAGCCCGAAGCCAACACAATCAGCGGTGTGTCCTCCCTCCCGCGAACCCTCCTCCACCACCAGGCCACGAGCCCGCCTACCGTCCTGGCCAGGGTGAAACTAGGCACATTATACATTCCGACAGCGACTGCTATGCCGCCCGGGACGTAGACCTGCCACGATTTTCCCGTCCCGTAGATCCGCACCATCGTGGTCACCGTGAAGAGCACAGCAAGGGCGAGGGCCCACTCCCGAGCCATGTAGGGGAGTCCCTGGCCCGTGACCAGACGCGCGGTGAAGATCCACACGTACGCTGTGGGGACCTGGAACAGGTTGCCAGGGATGGTGTACACGGCTGTATAGAGCTTGTAGATGAGCGCAGACACCACAGCGCCGGCGGTGGCGCCGACAACCTGGCCCCAGAATTGGGCTTTGGGCGCCGCCCCCAGCAGATGCCCCGTCTTGAGGTCCTGCATCAGGTCGCCCGCCTGCAGAGCGCCAGCCTCGGACACGGCGCCTGCGACTAGGTTGATCAGCACGGAGGTTGGATGCGACTGCGGCACGATGAGCGCGAAGAACAGCTGCGCGAGCTTGGAGATGCCCGAGACAGGGTTGAGGTCCGTCTCACCGAGGGCGCGGACACCCATGATGCTCAGGACCAGGGCCATGAGCACGGCAGAGATGGTCGCATAGAGGGGCACGAGGTCGCCAAAGACGATGTGGATGCAGAGTATACAGAAGGCTATCGAGAGGATGAGCCCGATGATCACGGTACGGGTTGATATGAGGTCGTGGGCGGGCGCGTCGTCTTGGTCTGAAACTGTGAGGAGGCGCGAGATGTCCTGCTGCTCGTCGCGGGTTCTTCCGTCATGGTGATCCACCGAGTCGCGTGGGTAGCTGGCATCCTCAAACACGGGGCTGGGCGGTACGGAGCTGTCGTCGTCGTCTTCGTCACGGCGCCGGAGGGAAGTGTAGCCCTGGATGCGTGGGGACAAGAGTCGGCCTATTGCTATGTCGCTTGACTGCCATCGTTTGTGGGCAAAGCTAGCCAGGCGTTGGATTACGGGTCGGAAGGCGAGGTAGCCCAAGCTGACGACTGCATCGGCCAGCATGATGGCCAGCGATGTCCAGACAATCCAGCCCTTGCTGCCATGTTCCCAATCGCCAATGTCGCCTGGTGCCCAGCCTTTGTACTTGGCAAGGGGTGAGAGAATGCCCCATCCCAGAATCGCACCCAGCAACTGGATCATCATCATGTCAGCACTGTACTTTCTTTTGGGGGGGAGGGGTCCCTTCTCCTTGTCCACATCCGAGACGAGTGCGTGAAACCTACCATATGTATGGTTGTCGCAGGGCCCATGATAATACCCTGACCGACATATGCTAGACTTGGATTCAGAGTCCAGAGCCAAGCAGAGGCGGCAGTATACCCAAAGATAGGAAGCTCCCTCAGAACAGGGAAGAAATATGTTGCAAAGGTATAGATTCCAGAAACAAAAAAGCAGACCAACAACATCCGAACGTTCTTCTTCCACTCCTGCTTCTGGTGATCTGATGAACCTTCTTCCAGCGTCGCCGTTCTCGTCGTGGGAACCGCAGCAGCAGCACCGCCGACACTCTCGGGCGCAACATGTCCGTCCCGACCTGAATGAGGCGCAGAGTCGTCCTTGACCAGTCCCGTCTTTCCATGCAAGACGCTGATCAGCACGGCGGTACTGAACCCGCTGGGGAACTTGAGCTTCTCACGAATGATGACCTGCCGTCTCAGGGGTACCGCGAAGACGACACCAAAATAGCACAGGCCCAGCGACCAGACGATCAGCTGCCACACGCTGAGGTTGATGGGCCCTTGCTCCTCGGATCTGAGGAGGTAGTTCATGGCGGGCAGGACGCCCACAAAGCCACAGCCGAGGGGCATGATGGCCATGGAGCCAGCGACAGTCTGGACGAGGACGTTCTCGACGGGCGAGAAGGGAAACTTGAGGTGTCGAGAGAGCGTCTTGAAGAGGCCGAAGCCCATCAGAGACGATGGCATGGTCATCATGCTCACCCAGCCGGTCTGCAAGCCAAAATACATATTACTAAAGCAAATAATCAGACCGACAGCGAGGCCAGCAAGCACACCACGGATGGTGAAGCTGCGGCCTTCCACCTCCAAGGTTGGCGGCTCGCGGCCCTCTGTGTCATTCAAGACATCATTCTCGTTCCCAAAGGATGGACGCCTCTCATCTGTGTCTGTCCCAGAACCTTGAGCTCTGTGGCGATAGTCTGCGCGAGTATGTTCGGATCGCTGCTGTTGCTGTTCACCCCGATCCGGAGCCATTTCTGGGGCTGACAAATGCTGGTATGGGCAGCCGAAAAGCAAAAGCAGTGTGAAAAGCAAGGGTTCAACGTTCAACTTGGGAGAGGCAATGAAGTAAGGGGCAGACGTTGATACAAAGATTCGTGAAAGGCGAGCAGATGGACGTAAAGATGGAATTCATGTAAAGCAAACCAAGTTGCCGCATTATCGTTGATTCCCATTGCGTTGCACGCGACTGCTGATACCATTCCAAGATGCCGGGCTGAATCCGGCTAGATCCGCCTCCGATCTAGGATAGCGACTTCCCAGTGACCATCTTGATGACTCAGCGGCACACCCGGCAGCACCAGTGCCAGGGCAGGAACCAATACCATAGCACGCATAGCACTATAATGTACTGTGTGTACTGCGGTACCGTTGTTGTTGTGAGGCAGACCAACAAGCCTTTCTCTCTTCTGCCTTTCCTGGCATCGCCCTGTAATTTGCTTCCAACTTTTCCATTCAAACAATCACAAACACACATCAACGCGACGGAGTTCATGCAACATGGTATCAAAAACAATGAGAGGGCTTCAGAGAAAGAAAGAGGAGTGAGGAAGTCAGAAAGTAAGAGAGGACCCAGGAAGAACACAAGACCAAAAAGCCCTCGACCAATGCCCGAAGCCAGCCGAGCGGGAGCGGCCCTTGAAGCAGCCAGGGACAAGGACGTCTTCACACGCAAGGGGCCCCACGAGCTTAAATCCGCCTCATCCAGTCTTGGCGATTCTTGTTACTCAACCAGTCCCACTTCCAATGAAAAGCCCTCCCACTTCTTTTTTGCTCCTCTCTCTCTCTCTTGGTAAAGGACCCAGCATGGCCTAGAAGGGATCACGTTGTTGTTTTTCTGAAGGACGACTTGGCGTGCTTCGGTCAGTGCGAACGGGGCCTAACAGTTCTCGCTCCTCTTGTTTTTCCCTTGCAAGCTGAGCAGAGAAAATTTTCCATCAAGAGGCCACACTGCCAAGCAAATTTCTTCCATTTCGTATCGGCGCCATCCGTCTCGCTCCCGCCATGTGCCGTTCGCCCCCCAGCCCGGATCGGATCTGGGAGAGGGCCCCTCTTTTACTGTATGTAATGTTGCAACGGAGAGGAGGAGACGCTTTGCCTTTTCTCTCAAAAGAGGGAAGTACATGCGGTCTTCAACCTCACCTGAGAATACTGAGCGTTTGCAAACATGAAGACCACCAACCAACCAACCAAAAAAACAGGACGAGTATTTTTTTTTTTTTTTCATTGACACCTCTTTTAATGCCTGATTCCTTTTCATAGGAGTAAGAGATGAATGGAAAGAGGGAGAAAGAGAAGAGGAGAGAAAAATCTTTATGGTCAGCATGCAAGTGAGGAAGAATGCGCGTGTCTCGTGAGCAGGGCCGTTTGGCCATGTTGTGGGCAGACCAATGTGTGAAGAAACCATGGCCCAAAGGTTGCATTCTGATAACACCACCCCAACAACAAATCTATGTCTACAATCTTTTGCAAACCACATTGATAGGTTCTCCACGATCATCACCTTACCAAAATCCCTCATTCGCTCGTTTGTGTGTGCTCCGCAAGGCTCAGAGCGACCCGGTTCGGTCCAGGCGTGCCCCCAGCTTTTCAAATTTTGTCCCCACTAGGAAGGACTCGGTTTTGCCAGGACGCCGCCACCATGGTAAGTATACTGTCTCTTTTTTCTTCTTTTTTTTTTTTTTTTTTTTTTTCTTCCTTGGAGGCGACAGGAAAACCTTTTAAAACTTGTTAGTAGCCAGTCTGTTCTTCCTTCACTTACTCTTCTCGTCTCATCCTCATCATCATTATTGCTGCAGTCTTTTGTGCTCTCGTCCTGTTTACCGTCATTTTTATAGCGAGCCAAAGTTCGTCTTAGACATACCATACAGTAACAGCACCGTCTTCTACCACCCGACTCATTGATCGATTTGAATTTTTTCCCCATTCTTTTTCTCAGTCTTTCTCCACCACTTGAGAATCTCATTTTAGGGCTGGACATATTTCTCTCTCGAAATTGTTGAAGGAGTGACTCACCAGGCTATCCCGTCTCTGTCTCTCTCTTTCTTCAACAATCACACATCCTCAGACAGTTGGAGTCCAGGTTGTCGAAAATTTGTGTGAGGAAACCTTTTTGGAAGCGTCAAAAGGGCGAAAAGAAAAGAAAAGCCGTCGACCATGGGCAAGGACGAGTTCGTGGCTGCTGCAGGGCGCAGCGATGCCAGCTCGGACCCGGAGAAGCAGTCCATCAAGGATGCCTCGACACACGAGCTTGAGCGCGGCTTCTCTGCCAACCATCTTCAGTTCCTCGCCATCGGAGGAGCTGTGGGCACAGGTCTCTTTATTGGTTCAGGTTCTGCCCTGGCCACAGCTGGTCCTGTCAGCTGCCTGATATCCTACCTCTTTGTCGGAACCATCCTGTACTCTGTCATGACGAGTCTCGGCGAGATGGCCACTTACCTGCCTGTTCCTGGCTCTTTTACCGCCTACAATACTCGCTTCGTGGACCCAGGCCTGGGTTTTGCCATTGGCTGGCTGTATTGGTTCAGCTGTGAGTTTTGCCTCGATCTCAGTAGGGGAGAAGTTTTGGTTGTGTGCTGTGAGGTGAACCCATGCTGACTTTGCGCGGAAATGAAGGGGCCATCACGTTTGCCCTCGAGCTGACAGCAGCGGGAATGATCATCCAGTACTGGAACGCCAGCATCAGCATTGGCGTCTGGATCGCCATCTTCTGGGTCATCTTCACGGCGACCAACTTCATCCCCGTCAAGTGGTTTGGCGAGATGGAAATGTGGTTCGTCAGCATTAAGGTCGTCACCATCCTGGGCTTCATCATCTTCGCCATCTGCATCGACGCCGGCGCCAGCCACCAGGGCTACCTCGGCTTCACCTACTGGAAGAACCCGGGCTCCTTCGCCTCGTACGACAGCAGCATGGAGCCTGCCACGGGCAAGTTCGTCGCCTTCTGGGACGTGCTGATCACCGCGGCCTTCTCGTACCAGGGCGCAGAGCTGGTGGGCGTGGGCGCCGGCGAGGCCCGTGACCCGCACAAGACGGTGCCCAAGGCCATCCGCAACACCTTCTGGGGCATCCTCTTCCTCTTCGTGGCCACCATCTTCTTCCTGGGCCTGCTGGTCCCCTACACCAACAGCGACCTCACCAACTCGGGCTACAGCGCCGCCAGCTCCCCGCTCGTCATCGCCGCCAACCTGGCCCACGTCCCTGTGCTCCCGGACATCCTCAACGCCGTGCTCCTGACCGCCGTGCTCTCCGCCGCCAACTCCAACGCCTACTCGGGCAGCCGCATCCTCGTCGCCCTCGCCAACGAGGGCCAGGCCCCGCGCCTCCTGGCCCGCACCAACAGGTACAACACCCCCTACATCGCCGTCGCCGCCACCGCCGCCTTTGGCCTGCTGGGCTTCCTCAACCTAAGCAGCGACGGCACCGAGGCCTTCAACTGGTTCCTCGACATCACCGCCGTCGCCGGCCTGATCTGCTGGGGCAGCATCAACCTCTGCCACATCCGCTTCCAGCACGTCCTCCGCGCCCAGGGCATCGACCGCCGCTCCCTGCCGTACCGCGCCCCCCTGCAGCCCTACCTGGCCTACTACGGCCTCTTCTTCATCGTCCTCATCGTCTTCACCCAGGGCTTCACCGCTTTCATCCCCTGGAGCACCGTCAACTTCTTCACTGCCTACATCAGCCTGATCCTGTTCGTCGTCCTGTATGCTGGGTACTGGATCGTCTTTCGCCCGGGCTTTGTCAAGGCCCACGAGGTCGACCTGCACAAGGGCCAGGTGCAACAGGAGCACGAGAAGGACTATCCTGAGCCTATGATGTCATGAGAAAAAGAAAAGGAAGGAAGAAAATGCCGGTGGAGGGGGGGGGGAGGGTTGAGGGCTTGGGAGCGTCGGCGTTCTTTGTGTTAAATGGTTTGTAAGATATCAAAAATTAAAGGTGTAGATGATAGCGTTCCTTTTTATTTATTCATAATGTAATGACTTATTATCATTTTAAAATTTCATTGCTCCGAAAAGAAAGGTCTTGCTCTACTTGCAATTTTATTGCGGCCGTCGTCACTACGAAAGGCTATCCAGATCCCAAAAAGAAAATCTCACAATGAAGGCATGCCAACCATAATTTACTCCTTTAGAAGCCCGAGGCCTCTCTTCCCCACCCTTCATATCTAGTCATTCCAGCGTCTACTCTGAGTATACACGTCCTACTGAGCATGCGTGGCAAATATGCCAGATGTCCTTGCATGAAGTGGCGAGAAAGATCGATTACTGCTTCGTCACCGACTGCAATGGGACGACATATTTGAGACTATGTGCTAGTTCCAATAGGTAATATGGGACCGACCAGTACAAATCGTAAATGTTTTCACGGAGGCCTAAGCTAGTAGTAATACATGATAAACAATGGAACCCAACACATGATGAAACCAATCCCCTGATTTTCAAGAAAGGGAAGGAGGAAAAGGGGAAAAGAAGGGAAACTTTGACAAAACGCCAGTCCAGTGATCATAGAAGGGGGTATCCAAATGTCTCTTGCAATAACGTGAGATTCCACCGAGTCCCAAAGCATCTCTCATCCATAAGCTCATCACGAGCGAAAAGCAATCTTGCCTTTCGCCTCTTCTTCACCTTGAGAGGATCGCGAGCAGTAAGCCCGATATACCCCCTCGCTTACTTATTTTGCTTGTTGGGTGGTGAGTTGTATATGCGGCCCCCGCGCCTGACCTCCCCACTCATGCCAAAGAGACGGGTCGTCCTCGGCCCCAGTCTCCTCGAATTTCTTAGCCAACATGCCCCTGACGGCCTCCAGACGGCCATACGACTGGAGATGACTTGAAGATTGCGCAATGCGCATGTCGAGAACCCCCATGATGCCTTGTCCCTTGATGTCCCGCGCATGGATGTTGGCACCCCTCTCCAGCAGCTTGCTCACGACGTGCTTATTTCCGTAGCGGGTGGCCATGAGCAGGGCCGTCTCTCCACGGCGGTTGCGCGCCTCAATGTTCGCGCCGCGGTCCAGGAGGAAGTCGATGATCTTGCCGATGTGCTGACCCTGTTTGTCCTGGTCGTCGGAGAGGGATATGGCAAAAGCCATGAGCACCGTGAGGCCTTGCTTATCGTAGTGGTTCACGTCCGGCACGGGCACATTAGTTACCGGCGTCAGCAGGCCCTCGAGAAGGTCTGCTCTGCGTTCGATGGCCCGTGGCTTATCAGCAGCGTCCTTGCCTCGTTTGCGCTTGTTACCGTTGCCGGCCGGCTGGTCTACTACTGGGCTCGTCGGGGTACTGGATGGCGGAGTGTCGAACCTCATCTCAGCCAGACAGTGGAGGCCGTTGCGGCCGTTTTGGTCCTCGTATTTGGGGTCCTTGTACGCCTCTTGGACGACGTCGAGGAGCTTCTGGTCCCTGGTGGCGAACTCGTGTATATCATCCTCCTCGGCAAGAGGTGAAAGCGGCGTCGTGCCTACTTGACGTGGGGCAGAGAATGGGTGGTCAGCAGCGAGGCGCGTAGGAGGGACAATGCCGAAGGCGTCCCTCGGTATGGTGCCTGAAGGGTAGTGTTTTGCAACATCGGCAAAGTCCTGGACATTGTCGGTGAAACGACCGAGCTGGTGGAAAAAGGTTCGTCCGTAGACATCCCGGATGAAAACAGCGTCGATGAAGCCAGGTCGCCAGAGCAGGTTCAAGAGGCGATAAAATGGAACATTGTTATCATCAGACTTTACGAACCACGCAGCACTGAGCACATGAAGGAAGGTCTGGCCAGCGTGGTTGACTGCAAGCGGGTCTGCCTGGCCGGTTTGGAGGAGCTGAAAAGTGGTGTCGATTCCCTTCTGGCTCTCCAGGGCGGCAAAGAGGTGCAGCGGTGTGTTTCCAAAATGGTCGACGTAACGGGCTGCGGCCTGGCCAGACTTTACGATACCAGCTGCGACATCGCAACATTCTTCGCCCCGCGTCATGTAAAAGCTGTCGTGTGTGTCGTCCGAGACATCGTCGGCAATGGTGCACCAACAAGCACACATGCTTCCTTGGAGCTGAGTCGCAAAATGCCTCTCCACCTGGCATGGCTGCACGTATCTCCGTGCCACGAGGAAGTCTCCTGGTACGGCCAAGCCCGGATGAGGTACAGGACTTGGGTGTCCACGGCGGGAGGTGGCTATGTCGGAGGGGGTGCGGTGTGGCGACGGCATAGGGTGCTCCTCGGACCCGCCGATCGTAAGCCTCTTCATCAGGACGGTGACCTGCTTGGCAAAGATGGTCGTGACAGCAAGACGCTCTCTCATGCTCCTGACGCTGTCTGTGCTCATCTCAGTCGACGACGAGAAGACGGTGTCATTCCGGGACGGGGGGCTGAAGGGGCCCTGAAATGGATGCGCATAGACATCCGGTGAGAAGACGGAATGATGGGGGCCAATGGGAGACTGGGACGCGAGAGTACTGGGAGAGGCCAGCTCGGAACCCATACTGTAGATGCTTTCCTGTTGTGGGCTTCGCATAAAGCCCCTGTCGTCGAATCCGCCGGTGTTCAAGTATGCCGGCGTGTTCGCCTCCTCCGTCTTCATCTCCTCTGGCAACACTACTTCCTCAAACTCTTGTTCCGTCGGCGAGCTGCCCTTTCGCCCTTTGCGACTGCGGTTGTGGACGAGCTTGAATCGGCTGTTCATCTCAGCGCGATTAGCAGGCCGTAGGGATCGAGGATCCTGGCCGAACATCTTGTGCATGGTCTTCTGCGCCGAGTTCTTTCTAGAGACACATATCAGCTTCTGTTGTAGGGTGGAGATGGAGTCTGAATGACTGGAAGGGTAGAAGTCGTACTTGACGCTGTCATCCGGAAAGACAGCCTTGATGATCTTCTCTACGGGGAGCGTGGTGTAGACGTAAAGCCGCGCCAACTTTCTGGACTTGGAATCAGTCCATAGTGGTGGCCGGCCGATCCTCGCTCCGCCGTTCCCAGCACCCGGAGACAAGTTTTGTGAAGCCATGACGAGGCTCTGTGCAAGTGTCGTGTGGCTGATGAGGTGAGTGAGGGGTGTCCAAGCGTCCACGCAGGAGCCTCTGCCGTTCTTATCAAATATCTGGAAGCTCAACTGGAACGTGCACACGGGAACGGCCTCACTTATTCTCTGATCAGGTCTCGAGGTGGGCCTGGGCCTCTATTGATGACCACACAAAAAAAAAGGTGTGAGGAGACAAGAGGAGGTCCATGATTTTTGAGCCCGGAGGCGCAGTGTATTTTATTCCATTGCACTGGGCCTTGCAGACGAGGCTCTGTTGACCAGGGGGAGGGGGAGGGGCCCCTGTACCCCATGTACTTTACTGTACTGTATGACCCTCCTGTAGGTTGCGGGTGTGAGCGCCAGGGCCATGATCGTGTGGGGCTCCCTCGGAGCTGAGCACGTCGCTTGCACTGCGGGCCCCCCCCTCAGGATCGCTAGCCAGTAGTGGTCGTGGAGGGCTGGACGGCGGAAACCCTTCCCGCATCTGGAGGGTTGATTCCGCTGGTCCAAAGGCTGGCGTGACAAGCTAGACGCCCAAGATGCCCCAGCTCGGAATTTATCTTGTCCCAAGGCACGAAACCATGCCCGGCCACGAGCCCGGCGTATGTGTCTTGGCTGCTGCCAATACCTCTGCGAGCCGCATGTCTCAGCCATATAGATCGCATGGACATTATTTCCAAGAATAACATACCCGTCACCCTTTTTGGGTTTCTGGTTTTGGGTTTTTTTTTCCTTTGCGAGAGGGGGAAGGCCCCGATAGGAGCAACGTTCTGACGGTTCACGAGGCTCTGAAGTCCCCTTGCACGTCTCGAATCACACGCGGGTCCAAGAGATAGATCCTCGGACTGACGCTGCGATCGGTTGATGCGAAGTAGAATAAAGGCGATAGTCGCGCGCACTGTTTCGAGTGCTCTCCAACACGAGGTCTCTTATTGGGCCGCCTGCATGAGTCGACATTGTGTGTGTACCCCAACTGCGACCGGGGCAGTGCCCCGAGAGCAAAGTGATACATACACTGCGGCTGGGGAACCAACACACAGAATCTGATGTGACGCTGTGCTGTGGCCATCCCCTGGTACTGTACTGTAGTAGTGTAAAAAGAGCCAGACATGCATGCATGCTGGGCATCCTGCAAGCCATTCCTGCGGGCTTGATGGCGCCCTGGATTGCCTGTAGTAGGGTGGATAGATGCGGGCTTTTGCCCCATCGTCAGCAGTAGGAGAGGATCATTTAACCTTGTGCTTTTCCACGATACCCGCCCTCCCGAGTTTCCAGGTTCCTGTTGGTGGTAGCCGAACCTGAGTTTGAGAACTATCCCTTCTACACCTTGGGCTCCTCAAAAGTTTGCCTAGTCTTTCGAGCCCGTAAAGGAAGACATACCACTCGCATTTTCCAGGCCTCCCAGCTCTTCGGAATTCATTCCACCATCCATCCAAGGTGCACCAGGCTGTTCTGGGTTAAAGTGAGGTAGGCTGGCTGTTCGATGAGGCGCAGCAGCTGGGTCAGGCTTATCATTATGGTGTGTAGTGCCATAGCAGTAAATGCTTACTTAGGCAGCACGGTTGAGGAACAACAGGCGGTTGAGAGGGATCCCAGACGAGCCAAAGGATAAGGCTGAACGTGTTTTCTCATACCGTCACCAAAAAAGACAGGATCAAAGATTGAGATGACATAGATGCTCAGAGAGGACTACTTTGGGAGGTGAGGCAGCCTGGCACCTGGCACGATTTACTAGTGGCTCTTTCCCGCTTTGCTGAGAGATGGGCGGTAAAACCCATAGTTAGTTGCGTCATTGCCTGCTTGCACGAGGGAAAGATAGACACACACACTGCCTGTACTACACAGGCAAGCACGACAGGCCACTCCAGCCCTTGTACCAATGATATCATCGCCTATCTTTCTGTTCGATATTGCTTGTTGTATCTGAGAGGTGTCTCTCTGATTCTGCCCTGCACGTTCTTCCCAAAGCCTCTTCCAACTCTCATCTTTGCACATCATCATCACAGTGATAAATACACTTCCTCTTTACCCCAGGAAAACTGACCTTATCCACACACGCATTCGAGTCATGTACCGCCTTGCAGTCAGCCTGTCCCGCCGGGGCCCTCGCGTCCAAGTGCCCACCCTCCGCACGGGCACAACAAACATAGGCGCAGCAGGCCTGCCGCCAACATTCTCCCGCCCCGCTGGCTATGCCACCTCGGCACCAGACAAGGACAATGACACGGAGAGCGCCTCGGCCGTCGACGAGGACATTTCTGCCAAGGGCCGCGCGGGTGGCGGCAAGCCACTTCCAAGCTCCGAGAACCCCCCGCCGAAGCCCAAGGTCAACAACGCCAGCGTGCCCGGCACAGGCAAGGACAAGCTCACCAAGGAGCAGCAGGAGGAGGTCGATCGGCACAATGCCGACTTTGAGAAGAAGCACGATCGTGGGAGTAGCGCGGCGGATGACAAGGTCGACAAGAACTTCTGGTCTGGCGGGAACGGGTCGCGTTGATGAGCGGCGGAGTGAGTGAGCACAGCAGGTAGGTGGTGGGCATTGAATTGGCCTCTACATACTACAATATAAGATGCTCACCTCCTACGGGCCGTATGGACTGTCGGGAAGAGGAAGCTTGTTTGAGCGTCTGTGTTTGGTGTGATAAAAAGCCTAGTGGATTGTATTGCATGGCAGTGAGTAAAAGCATACTTCAGCACAAATAGTCGTCACAATTGTAGGAATGATGCTCCACCAGGAAGCGACACCCACACGAATTGAAGACGAGGCCTAGACGCCGGGACGATCCAACTGCGCCTCAGAACAAAAAGACTGCTCCACCACGCTCATGCAGCAAGGATCCGGGCCTTTTGTTCCATATGACCACTGTGTGTCTACCATACTGGAGTAATACGGTAGTACTATCGCATACAGCCTATAGGCGCTGTGCTGTGCGTGCTGTGCCTTGCCCATGCTGCATCTCCGCCCCCGAAATTTGGTTGCATGTGCGCGCCACAGAACCACTAATAGCTTATAGTGTCCGTCTACACCAGTACCTGAGAGCCTTGATCGCCCAGGCGAGGCTTGTGGCGCACTGGATCGGGTAAGGAACACTGCCAGGCCTCTCAGCCTTTCGTCATTTGGGTTATCAAACTTATCTACTATATACGATGGTACAACTACAATAGTACGGAGCCGCGGACGGCAGTCGCTTGTTTGAGCTTCAGCTCTCTCAAGACCAACAAGAGTCAGTCAAGCGAAGGCTATAAAAAGTTTATGGCTAAAGAGGCTTCGGAACAAGTTCGATTTGAAGTCAACTCGCATGGGACATGGCTGCTCATCTCGCAGTCTCACATATGAGAGACTCTGAAGTCATGCGCTTGGCACAGACAACCCAGACGAATAGTGGTATCAGTGCTGACTAAGAGTACCACCGTAGAACTAGCCCCCTTATCGATAACAAAAAAGTTACGATAAACCCCCAATAGAGGGCCATTTCCTCTAAAGGAGATTTTCCCCATCTACATCGAATTCCGGGGCCAGTCGTCGAGAGCAACTTTTCTTTTCGTGGCAAAAATGGGCAAGAGAAAGGTCGGCGCGCTCGACAAGCTGGATGCAGACCTGGCCAGTCTCCAGTTCAAAGTTCGGTCGGATCCCAAGAGTTACCAAGACGAGTTCGATCGTCAATACACGGCCTACCTCGCAACGAAAGAAGTCTTCCTCGACAGTCCCGCGACTGCCACAAGGGATGTGGCGCAGGACTTTCATGACAAGGTCGACTTCATTGCCCACGTCGCAGAATGCTTCAAGGCCGAGACGAAGAGTTTTCCAGACGACCTCAAGGAAGTGCTGACGGAGCACCATGCCGTTCTTGACCCGCATGTGCGCGAGAAACTTGTGGGAAGCCTGGTCCTGCTCAGGCGAAAAGAGATCATCTCGTCCGAATACCTGCTCACCACTCTATTTCCGATCCTTGTCTCGACACCCAGCAAGAGCCTCCGAGCCCTGTTGTACCAGAAGATTGTCAGCGACCTGCGCAACTCAAACTCGAAGGCCACCAACCATCCTCTCAACCGGACGATACAAAATGTCCTCTCCATCCTCATCACGTCCGACAGGACCTCGTCCAAGGGTATCTGGGCGGTCCGGCTGACGCGAGAGATGTGGCGTCGGCAGATCTGGACAGACGCGAAACCGGTCGAGGTCATGAAGGAGGCATGTCTCGCCGACAGCGAGAAAGTTATTGTAGGCGGCACGAGATTTTTCCTGGGGGGAGACAAGGAGAGGGAGGAGATGGAGGATGACAGCAGTGACGAGGAGGCTATCGATCTCAAGAAGATGCAGCACCAGCAAGGCATCAACAAGAAGACCAAGAAGAAGGCAAAACAGTACAAGGACGCTGTGAACAAGGTCAAGAAGCAGGAGCGCAAGAAGAACCAGCCACATCCCTTGAACTTCTCCGCGCTGCATCTCTTGCACGACCCGCAGGGATTCGCCGAGCAGCTGTTCCAGAAGCACTTGGCAAATACCAAGTCGAAGCTGGCGCTGGAAAACAAACTTCTCGTCTTGCAACTAGTCACCCGGTTGGTTGGTCTGCACAGGCTTACCGTCATTTCACTCTACTCCTGGTTCATCAAGTTCCTCACGCCGAGACAGCAATCCGTCACTTCATTCCTCGCATCGCTGGCACAGGCAACGCACAGTCTCGTGCCGCCGGACGCAATTGAGCCGCTGATCATGAAAATCGCCAATGAGTTTGTTTCGGAAGCGGCGGCAGCAGAGGTTGCCGCAGCAGGTCTGAATGCCATCCGCGAGATCTGCGTCCGGCAGCCGCTTGCCATGACCGAGACCTTGCTGCAAGATCTGGTGCAGTACAGGAAGAGCAAGGACAAGGGTGTCATGATGGCTGCAAAGGGACTCTTGTCTCTGTACAGAGAGGTCGGTGCGGAGATGCTGAAGAAGAGGGATCGCGGCAAGGAGGCAGTAATGGGTCTGCGCAGCGGAGACTTGACACAGCGCAAGTTCGGCGAACAGGATGCGGGTGGCATTGAAGGGCTTGAGCTGCTAGAGAAGTGGAAAGAGGAAGAGAAGAAGAAGAAGCGCGCCGAAAAGGGACTGCCAGAAGAAGCTGGCAGCGATGAGAATCCCGAGGAGGGAGACGATGATGGCTTCAATTCTGAGGACTGGGATGTCGAGTCGATAGACAGCAGCGACTCTGGCGGCTGGATCGCGGTGTCGAGTGAATCGGAAGATGAAGAAGAACCTGCTGCCAAGCGACAACGAAAGGGCTCCTCTTCTGAGGCCCCAGAGCTGGTCGACACTAGCAAGGAGAACACCGCCGAAGATGAGCTCCAGCGCATGTCGAAACTGGCAACGACTACGATCCTCACACCAGCAGATCTCGCCAAGCTACAGGAGCTGCGACTCCAGGCCAACGTCGACAAAGCCATGGGCGGCAACCGGTCTAAACACGCGCAAGAGCTCGCAGCACGGCACGCCGACGATCCCCTGACGGCCGAGCAGATTGAGCTGCCGGCCAAGCTGCGCAAGACGACCAAGGAGGAGAGGCTGGCTATGGCGAAGGAGGGTAAGCCAGACCGGGAGGAGCACAAGTCGACGCAGGCCATAAGAAAGGCCAAGAAGGAGGCCGAGGGCAAGTCGACGTCGAACAAGGAGAAGGCGCGCAAGAAGAACTTCCTGATGACGATCGGCAAGGCCAAGATGAAGCAGAAGCGGAGTCTTGTTCAGACGAAGAAGGTTCTGCAGGCGCATATAAGCAGGAGCAAGAAGGGCGGAAGAAGTGGTAACTTTTAGATGGCATGCACCAAGATGATGATAGACAAGCATTACCCGCTGAATCAGACCCTGATTCATGAAATCGAGGCCCCCTTCACAATGTGACTGGCCTCTTCCTCATCTCAAAACGTCTTTTACTCGACAGCAGAATGATTGATCATGACGTGCTTATTGTGTCTATGAACGCCCTCTCAAAATTCTCAGGGCCCATCGAAAGGACGGATGCAAGCAGCTGCCTTGCTTATGGAAGGCCACGGCAAAAAGTATCAGACTTGGAATCAGGGACCAGAATAGAGCACATGGTTTTTTTAATACCAAAAAAACACGACTGGTCCATTCGTCTCACTATCTCGAATGAAGACTACTTATTCAGAACCTTACTATACATCCCTCCATTACCAATGAGCACATCTATGTTCCAACCACAGCCGCTGCTGCAGGATCACGGGACCATGACCACTTACTATCCATATATACCCCCCGCTCCTTTTCTTTTTAACAACTTTTTTCTCTTTCATAAAGTTGACGGTCGATCAACTGAATGAGGGCAACTAATCGTTCCATATTGAATATAAAAGCTCCCAAGGGGATTCTGAGTATTGACCTTTGCCATCAAAAGCACATTTCTCGGGTTGAGAGGGTGAAAAGGAGAAAAAGAAGAAGAAAGACTTGCGAATACGTTGAATGACTGTCTAAAACCGACGGAACAATCCCTAGATACTCTCCAAGACTAGAGGTGCAACGTCTCCAGATGTAACGATCTTCTGTCAGGTCTTGGCCCGGGGTATTGCGATAGCCTCATCCTAGACTAGGCCAGTTGCAGTAAATTATCAACAACAATTCTCTAACCCACTTGCCACCAAAGATGCCTCCAAAAGAGGGACGTTCAATCAGGACACTGTCCTTGGCGCAGATCATGCCATAAACGCGTCCACGTGCATGATCAGTAGCTGGCCCCACGTGCCCAAAGTGTCCGATCTTTCTATACAGTTGAACTTTATTTAACTTGTTATGATGTCTTCCTCCTCATACCTGCCTGTTTGGAAGTATACAAGTGTGGTCGTATGACCATCCATGGATATGGGAAAAGAAAGAAAGGAATTGCATAATGGTCATAATTTAGCATGCATGTCTATAGTTAATGTGAAGGGAGGTCGTCCTGAGCCCGTGCCACTTTTCTCTCTCTCTCTCTCTCTCTCTCTCTCTCTTTCGCATAAGGGTTCCACTGCACTATTGAACGTGCGTGGGGTCGCGGAAGAAGAATTGCAACAAGGAGAAAAGCACAAGAAAAATTCTTGGGATAATATCACAGAGTAGTATGTTGGTTGGGTCATTATGACGATCGGCAAGCAGGGCGACGTGGGCCCCGAGGACCCGATGTAGTATGCCTAGAGAAAGGAATACCAGACTCGGGAAACGGCACATGGTTCACTGCAACGACAAAAACCGCCCCGGCCGGGGGTTGCGGCTGACGTGGGTTACATTGAACCTGAAGTTCCAACACGGATCTGGTAGGTCCCTAGAGTTTAATCTGGTGAGCGACTCCTCCTGCAGTCGCCTCAGCCAAGGTTCCGGCCCATCACGACATGTATTGGTTTGCTGACGGGGCTGGATCTCTATCAAAAGTGGAAGCCGCATCGTAGCCTTGCTCGGATGGCAGATGAGGAGTGGGAGGTTTTGGTCCCCACATGTTGATTGTTCCCCGAAACCCGAAAGGACGACAAAGAAAAGAGCTGAGTGGCCCGTCCACCCAATCACACCCAATCGCAACGTCGCAGCCAACTGCCTTCACACGGTAAAGCCAAGCGAGGCATTCTCCCCGATACTGTCAAGGCGCGCGCCCGCATTGGCTGCTGCTGCCCCCCAAGCCCGTCGACTCTTCTAGCTTCGAGAAGGTGGTGTGCTCTTTTCTTTCAGCCAAGGCGCGCACGCCGTAGCAGAGTAGCATTCTATGAGGAACGACGTTACCCTCCTCAACGTATGGCAGACCGTCATGGAAGCACGCAGGACCATGATGGGATCCTTTCCACCCGCCCCCTCCCCCCCTCTGAGCTTCCCCTTCTGGAAGCTATCCACCGACATGCTTAACCTCGTCTTGTGCAGCAGGTTGAAGCTGATTGGGAGCCTGGCTGGGGCAAGATGAGGTGCCATGGTTCTCTGCGTCCTCTATGCTCAGCTTCTGCAATCGGCCTGGGCCGATCCACCATGGCCCTGACGATCATGTTGGGGCAGGCCCCATCGCATGTTTATAAAACGATGTGATGGTCCGTCGGCCTTCTCTTGTTCAGGTTTGTTCAGGTCAGCTTCTGCTCTTCGCTCGCAGTGGTCTCTCGCTCGCAGTCTCTCTCAAGGAGTCTCGTCTCGTCGTTCTCTGGCCCAACCCTTTTTTCCCTCCTCCACATAGATATCTCCTCAAGAACAAGATGGTTGCCTCCAAGGTTATCCTCACGGCCGCCCTCGCCGGTGCCGCCGCTGCGTCCGCCATCCCCAAGGGCAACGACCTGAACGCGCTCCAGAAGACGGGCCGCACGACCATCCACCAGGTCAAGCGCGAGAACTACAAGAACAATGGCGCCCTGTCCATGTACAAGACGTACCTGAAGTACAAGACGCCCATCCCTGACTGGCTCGCCGAGGCCGCCGCCAACTCGCTGGGCGTCGACTCCAAGCTCCTCAAGCGTGACGAGGGCAGCGCCACTAACACGCCCATCGACACCCTGGATGATGCCTACGTCACCCCTGTCTCCATCGGCACCCCGGCGCAGGTCCTCAACCTGGACTTCGACACGGGCTCCTCGGACCTGTGGGTCTTCTCCAGCCTGACCCCTTCCTCCGAGGTCGACGGCCAGACCGAGTACAACCCCTCCGACTCCTCCACTGCCAAGCTGCTCTCCGGCTACACCTGGGAGATCGCGTACGGTGATGGATCTTCCTCCTCTGGTGTTGTCTACACCGATGTCGTCGACGTCGGTGGTGTGACCGTCACCTCCCAGGCCGTCGAGGCCGCCGAGACCGTCTCCTCCGAGTTCACCTCGGATACCGATATCGATGGTCTTCTGGGTCTTGGCTTCAACCTCCTGAACACCGTCTCCCCCGTGGCTCAGGATACCTTCTGGTAAGTCGTCCCCTCCCCTCTTTCGTTTCTCCCCCGTACCCTCTTCCAAAGCAAAAGAAGCAAAGAAAAAGAGAAATCGTGGCTGACCTCATTTGATGTTCTTCTTGCGCAGGTCCAACGCTCTGGACTCCCTGGACGAGCCCGTCTTCTGCGCCAACTTGAACCACGACGCTCGTGAGTAGTAACCTTTCCTTTCCCTCTCACTCTTGAGTTCTGTGTTGTTGACTTGAAACCAGCTGGCTCGTACGACTTCGGCTTCATCAACGACACTTTCGTCGATGACCTGACCTACACCGCCGTGACCAAGCTGCCCGGCTACTGGAAGTTCACCTCCACCGGCTACGGCGTCGGCGATGACTTCACCACTGAGAGCATTGTCGGCATTGCTGACACCGGCACCACCCTGATCTACCTGCCCGCTGCCGTCATCGAGGCCTACTACGCCGAGGTCTCCGGTGCCACCAACTCCCTCCTCTTCGGTGGCTACATCTTTGACTGCGACGCTGACCTGCCCGACTTCTCCTTTGGCGTTGGTGATGCCACCATCACCGTCCCGGCCGACTACATCAACTTTGTGAGTAATCCACCTTCTCTTCTTCTTCTTCTCCTCAAGAACGCTCATTTTGAGCCGACTTGTATATATCCGTCCCCCTCAGATGAAAATCTTTTATAAAATAACTGACTCGTGGTGTGAAAATTGCAGGAAACCCTCATCCTGGGCAAGTGCTACGGTGGTATCCAGTCCTCCGCTGACATCGGCATCAACATCTTCGGTGATGTTGCCCTCAAGGCTGCCTACGTCGTCTTCAACGGCGAGACCCCTTCCCTGGGTTGGGCCCAGAAGGCTGCTGTCTAAAGGAAGCTCGCTCGCTGGCCATAGATGAAGGAGGAGGAAATGTGTGTGTATGCACTGATGTGTCCCATCTCGATTCTTGTAGATATGTATAAATCCTGTCTGGAGCTGTACTCTTGTGTCAAGATAGGTTGTCGCTATAGAGATGAAGGAATGAATTTATATATACCGCATACCTTCTCATGATATCATACTCATTGGTGTGTGTCTGTGTGGCCATGTTGCTCTCGAATAAGCTTGACATTATTCACTTCATTTGGTAGAGAGAGAAAGAGAGAGAGAGAGAGAGACAGAGAGAGCGTGCTCTGGTGGCGCAATCGATGTGTTTTTTTTTCTTTTTTTTCTTTGTTCGTAGTGTGTGATGTTGTCCCAGCAATCTGCAGTCAACCTGCAGTCAACCAAGTATTTAGTTTATCCTGAAAGTACGTATTGGATCCAAGTAAAATGTCAACCCTTCATGTCTAGATCAGGGTCAACCTCGGTACCCAAGTCTCTATCCTCCAGGAAACGCCTTCCGACCAGCTGCTCGGGCAGATAGTCCTGCCTCACCTTGCCGTCTCGATAATTGGGGTTGTACTTGTAGTCGGCGCCGTAGCCCATCTCCTTCATCAGCCTCGTCGGCGCATTCCTGAGATGGATCGGCACGGGGAGCGCTGCCACGCCTGGTTCTCTCAGCGCAGCATAAGCGTTGTTCAGGCCTCGGTAGGCCCGCGTGCTCTTGGGGGCGAGACACAGGGCCGTGGCACAGTGAGCCATGGGGATCCGCGCCTCGGGCATGCCGATCTGCTGCACGGCCGTGTACATTGCCGTCGCGAGGGGGAGCATGGTATTGTCTGCCAGGCCGACGTCCTCTGAGGCGATGACAACCATGCGGCGGGCAATGAAGAGCGGGTCCTCGCCGGACTGAAGCATGCGCGCGAGGTAGTAGAGCGCAGCGTCTGGGTCTGAGCCGCGGACCGCCTTGTGGAACGCCGAAATGGTGTCATAGTGCTGATCGCCTGCTCGGTCGTAGACAAGTGTCTTTGTCAGGGCAGCCTTGATGTCTTGCTTAGTGAGTGGCGTGGAGCGGTCCGCGGCTGACTTGGTCGTCAACGACAGCGCGAGCTCGAGCAGGTTGAGCGCTGTGCGAGCGTCGCCGTCTGCAAAGGCGGAGAGATAGTCCAACAGCTCCTCGTCTATTAGCGGCGATAGCTTGGATGGATCGTCCTCGAGTTCTTGCTTCAGCGCCCTCACCAGGATGCTCGAGATGTCGGCCGAGCTCAGTTTCTGTAATGTAAATGTGCGGCATCGGGAGAGAAGCGCCGCCTGGACCTTGAACGAAGGGTTCTCCGTGGTCGCGCCCACGAGGACGATGGTGCCGGTCTCGACAGGCTTCAGAAACACGTCCTGTTGGGATTTGCTGAAGCGATGTATCTCGTCGCAGAATATTATGGTCTTCCTCCCTGTGAGCGACTGCTCGTTCGCAGCATCCTGGAACAGCCTCTTGCACTCGGCCGTCCCACAGCTCGTCGCGTTGATCTCCACAAAGCGGCTGCCGACCATCTTGGCGATACATCGGGCGATGGTGGTCTTGCCTGTGCCCGATCCCCCCCACAGAATAATTGACGGCATTGAATTCGACTCGATAAGGGCTCGCAACACGCCATTGGGCCCAACGAGGTCCTGCCCAGCGACGTCATCCAGGGTGCTGGGTCGCATGCGCTCGGCGAGAGGAGCCGCCCTGTTTGGTTTGTGCTTCTTGACCGGCGGCGCGGGCAGTGGTAGCGCCTCGGTCATTGGTGTGTCGGCGGTGAGATCATCTGCCTGGCCTGAAGAGTTGTGACCTGGCCCCTCATCAAATGTTCTTTTCATTCCAGCCGACTTTACGGCAGCGCTGGAGGCGGACACATTCGCTGAGCCGTTGATGGCGGGGGCCAAGATTTTGGAGGCGGTGGCCTGTCGTTTGGCGGCCGGTGCAGCGAAAAAGTCGGCGGCTGACCGCTTGGTTATGGTAGAGGAAGGAGGAGCGGCATTCTGCGACGGCGTTGGAGAGGACTGGTGTTGGCCATTGGCGCCACCTGTGCTGGCATCGCTGTCGAGTATAAAGGTTGTGCATTGGGAGTCGATGTGGCTATTGATCTCGGAGGTTTTGACATTACGGCTGCATATTGGGCAGACGACCATTTTTGCGATGGAAGTCAAAAGGAAGAAATACCAAAGAAGCCAAAAATGCAAGGCAATGTACTGTGATTGGCATGTGAGAGAAATGTGACTGTGGTTGTGGTAGCAGGACGTTAGGATGGTGCTGAGCGAGCCAACATTGACGCGTTAAGTTGGACTCGAGGCGCAACTCCCGCGCAAAGAAAGGTTATGACGCGCCTGTGGTGTAGCGTGGCGCGCTCTGGGTTACAGGGGCTCGAGGGGCACTTGGCCAAGCCTTTGTCGCTCCGGGCCGCAGTGTTAGTGTGGGGGGACATGAGGTCGTTACACTCCACGGCATTTTCCAGGGCTCAAGGCCAGCTTCATTTCTCTCACTTTACTTTTCCCATTGTCATCTAGCATCGACAGAGTAGAACATCTTGCTTTGTGGTCCTTGAGATCATATACACACGCCTTATTTCTCTTGTAAACTGACATCAGAGATTACTGCTTTTCTCATTCTTCAACTTATCGAAGAGAAGAGACTTGCACAAGACGCCTCTACCTGGGATACGCGCCCCTTCTCTCCTCTTCACCTCTCTTTTGGTGTTCAACACATCATGGCCCAGTCAGACTTCTTACATGACAAATGGTAGAGATGAGAGCATCAACTAAACAACAGTGATCCAGAGTAGGTTTTTCGAGTAAATGACGTGCTCGTCAGACCATTCGCTGGCACTAGTGTCCCCCCTTCTTCGTCTGGTCTTCAAATTCTAGAAGCACGATACTGCCGAAAGTGCCGTAGCCAAATATATCCAACCGTCTTTCCTTGTCTGTTGCCATTGATCATGGCATCAAAGAGGTTTGTGACAGGATTTTTGTTTCGATGGCGGAATCACCATCGACGGCGAGAGATCTAGGAAATACGAGGTGTTTGTTTGGCATTTGTTCGGCCTCGTGCGACAGGAACTTCTTACTAGGACACAATAATGGCATTACGCATGAAAGAAAAACCAAAGATCATGACTCGTAGGGCTGTGCTAGCAAATCTGTCACCAGCTTCCGACTTTGGACGGTTTCTTCTCACAGAACGGTCATAACATGCTCCTTAGCATCGCTCAATTATGTTCACTAGTCTCGGCCGAGTTCAAGGACTTATTACCCAGCAGCCCTACTATTAGCGGCCATTTTTATTAAGATATTGACTTCAAAACAAGCTTCAGATTCTACCTTGTTTCGGAGATTTCCCCCTCGCTGTCCCCCTCTCCCTTCTTAAAGCCCCGCCGCGGCTCTGAATGGACACAATCTAAAAATATGCACAAGGGTAGATCAGACGGTTTGGAAATCGCCTCAACCTCCTCATGCGCATGGTGAGTACGCGCGCGTGACTAAGTGCGCGCATATGTCCGTCTGAATACTGTTATGTTTTCCCTATCAACAATCTGATCTCGTGAGCTCATTCTCGACACAAAGGCTTACGTTGACCTGTTCTCCAGAGGGCTGACCTTCTCGAAACGTGGCTGAGCGGGGTCAAACTTGCTCTCCTGGACAATGGCTGGGCTTGTTTGTTTCCTACCATGCACAGAAGGGAAAAAAATAGAAAGAACAGAAACATCTGAAGTGGCCAATGCGATGATTTGATCGGAGAGGGTATAGCAAATGACGAGATTCGCCGGTGTCGTGCCGTGTTACCGTTGTCAGTATTGGCTAAGTACGTGAGTATGCAGCTTCGGCTCTTGAACATCAAGAGTGAGCTCGTCGAAGTATAAGAGTCTCCATCACCATCGACTTTGTTCAACTGTAGATAGCCTCCTCCTCCTCCTCATCATCATCATCCTCAGCATCTTCAGCATCCTCATCTTCTCACTAATCTACTCCTAATATCATCAAGTCTGGAACTTGGCAACTACTCCCAACTCTTCAACTGCCGGACAGATAACCCAACAACCAATCCGCACGAACAGATACTTCTACTGTATAATCAATCAGTGCAAGATGAAGCTGGCTGCCGTCTTCACCCTCCTGGCCCTCGGAGTCCAGGCCGCTCCCTTTCACGTACGTACACAACACATTCTTCTTCCCCAACATGGCTCAAAATACTCACATTTTCGTACACAGGCTGCTGCGTCCACCAAGCTCATCAGCCGCGACCCCAACGGGCCGCCAGCGCCGCAGCCGCCTCAGCACGCGCCTCAGCAAGCGCCTCAGCCCAACGGACCTCCTCCTCACGTCCGAGACGTCGAGGCTCGTGGTCCTCAGCACCCTCCTCACCCCGCCCCGGCTCACCCAGCCCCCCAGGGCCCTCACCCCAACCAGAACAACGGACGCCCTCACCCAAGAGATGCTGAGGCCGAAGACCTCGAGGCTCGCGAGCCCCAGCACCCTCACCCAGGCCCGCCTCCCCCAGGCCCAGCTCATGGACCCAACAATGCAAACCAGAACAACGGGCGTCCTCACCCGAGGGAGGTCGAGGAAGATCTCGAGGCTCGCGACCCTCAGCACCCTCCTCACCCCGCCCCAGCCCATCCAGCTCCCCAGGGCCCCCACCCCAACCAGAACAACGGACGCCCTCACCCAAGAGACGCTGAGGATGAAGATATCGAGGCCCGCGATCCTCAGCATCCTCCTCAGCCCGCTCCAGCTCATCCAGCCCCCCAAGGCCCTCACCCCAACCAGAATAATGGCCGTCCCCACCCAAGAGACGCTGAAGACGAAAATATTGAGGCTCGCGATCCTCAGCAACCTCCTCACCCCGCCCCAGCTCACCCCGCGCCCCAAGGTCCTCACCCCAACCAGAACAACGGACGCCCTCACCCCAGAGACGCTGAGGATGAGGTCGACGCCCGCGATCCTCAGCACCCTCCTCACCCCGCCCCGGCTCACCCAGCCCCCCAGGGCCCCCACCCCAACCAGAACAACGGGCGTCCCCACCCCAGGGATGCTGAGGATGAGAGCGAGTAGTAGTAAGAGGGGGACTGGTTCCCAAATTTAATAATGCCCTAGAGGCAGCCCTGTTGACAGGCTTTTACTCTGTTTGGTTTTGGTGAAGGAGAAGGGGGGAGGGTACAAAGAGTGTAATTTTATCTGAATACGAAGCTGGACTGGTAACGATACAATCAATGGATACACAATGGACACAAAACACTTTTGGGCAATATTGACTTGACTGTTGTGATTTGTACTTATCTCTCTCTCTGTCATAATCTTTTTCTCATACAAGAGCGTTGATGCTGTGCATGATACAGCAGGCTGAGGAAATGCTCTGTGGGAAATTGATGACTGTCTTGATGATGAACTTCGTGTCTGCCCTGAATCCTTCCTTCATAGTAATAAATGTGCATGTGCCATCAAATTCGGCAGCCCTTGTCCTGTCATGAATCAAATCTAGTAAACGCCATGTTGATGCATTTGTGCACTGACTTCCAAGGTCTTCCCAGCACTGATGCCCTCAACTCACAGTCTCAAAGATGTCCCTGCCCCTTTCCATTTGCCTCGGTAGCAGAGGCCACAATCTCTTCATTATTGGAAACCTAAACCATAAAGGACTCGCCACAGCCACATTGCTCCTCTGCTTCGCTGTTAGCATATACTCGCTCCTCTCCTGCCAAAGTTCATCAGCCAAGACACAGGACCAAACTCACTGATATTTGGGTTCCGGAACACAAAGCGCTGGTTCAGCTTGTCCTCGACCCAGTCCATCTCGCTGCCAATGATACTGAACAGGGCCTTGCTGTCGATGAGCACCTTGACCCCGTCCTGCTCCACAGCCTCGTCAAAGGCACCCGGCTTGTCCACGTATTCGAGATGGTACGCCAGCCCGCTGCAGCCCCGGTTGCGGACGCCGACCTTGATAAGCTTCGGGTCCGGCTGGTCGAGCAGCGCGCGCAGGTGGTCCACCGCCGCCGGGGTGAGCATCATCGCCGCCTTCCGCGGCGCACGTAGTTTCGAGCGCGGCCGGGTCTTGGGCTTCGATTCTGACGCAGAGGACGCTGTGGAGGAGGAGGAGGAGGAAGATGTAGCAGCTTGTTGCGACGAGGGTTCTGCCCGCGAGGTCGGCTCTGGTGGTGACGAGGTGCTGGTGCTGGCCTGCGCCGGCTGTGCGAAGGCGGGCTGTGACCTCTGCGCCAGCTCCTCACCCACCGACGACGTGACTCTCGTTGTTGCGCCTTCCTGTTCGTTCTCGTGTGTCTTGGGTGGTCGCGTCTCGTGGACACGGGGCATCGGCGGCTCGATCGGGTGGGTGATGGAGGTGTCTGGCCCGCCGGCGCTGCGGGGTGGCGAGGGCGGCTGAGGGTTGAGGCGGTACGACTGGAACTCTGGGTATGCGCGGCGGCTGACAGCAGAGAACTGACGGAGGAGAGACTTGCGGCAGGAGAGGCAGATGGACGAGGTTGCCCTCCTTGTCGCTATTATGGGCACATTCATCTCGTCGGCGCGGGCTTCTGCAGAGGGTGGTGGAAACAAAAAAGGTAGTTGTCTTGGCTGTCGGGTTCGGTCGGGATTAATGTCGACATGCAAAGTGGAAATGTGATGGAACAGATGTCTAAAGACTCTCAATGCAGTAATGAAAGCGCTATGGATGCTTCACAGAGATGCGGAGGAGGGAAAGCCATATGCTGAAGAAAACTGCGTCGTGCATGGAGGTTTAGATTTGCCGTTGTTGGGTTTGTCAGGGATTGCACGAGAATCTGGTCATGTTCTGGAGAGTGAGCTCGGCGATGACATAATTCCTCACGGCATTCGCCTAAGCTCGGCCACTCCTGTGCCAGGGAGCCAATCATAGTGGGGGGGATTGTCATCTTAGGGGTCCCATGCAGCCTGAAGGGTCTTCTTACCAGCACTGACACCCTGCCATAATCAGCTAGAGCCATATTGACCGTTAATGTAGCCCATACTCATGTCCTTCATATTGCTAAGTATTCGCCTGATTGGTGAGCATTTGGGTAGGAGGCACTTTTGACAGTGCACCTTGCTCAAGATGTCTTGTCTTTTGTGGCTTTACAAAATTTGAGAAAGGGAAAATGCTATAAGCCATCTCATAATGCAAAGCACATGAAAGTGACCACACGGCAGGCATGAATTACCTATGTAAGATACATCCGCCTGCCCAAGTACTTTTCACATTCCAGGGGCCAAACAACACCCCTTCTTCTTCTTCTTCTTCTTCTTCTTCTTCTTCTTCTTCTTCTCCTCCTCCTCCTCCTCCTTCTTCCTCCTCCTCCTCCTGTGCTTCCTTCCTACTCTGCCACCAGGGCCCTTACATCCCCCACCGCAACTCTCGCCACCTTTTTGAGCAGTGTCCTCTCGTCCGCCTCCCTATACCTCTCCCAACTATCCAAACCCTCCTTCGCCTGTATGCTGAGCGTCTCATACCCTTGCTTGATGACCTCAGCAACCTGCAGGCTCGTCAAGACACCCGCAGCGCCAGCCTTGCTCCCCTTCCCACCCTTGCTCCCCCCACCCCCCTCAGCCAGCAGCGTCTTGTAGTGCGTGCTCACGCTGATCAGCGTCTCGATGCTGTTTGTAGGCCTGCTTGCCAACCGGTACGTATCACGAAACTTGACCAGCGTGTCGCCCGCCTCGACGACCTTGTAGAAGAGGTCATCATAGGCCGCAGGCGTCGGGAGGAAGGCCTCGCCTGCTGACAGACCTAGCGCGAGGAGGTTGACTACGTGGTCCAGCAGCGTCTCGATGTGCGGCAGGTCCTTGAGGTCTGCCGCGTAGGTGGTGAGGAACCGTATGAGGGAGAGGAGGGAGCGGAACAGCTCGGACCAGTGGTATGGCAGTCGCGTGCGCGACCTGGACATGTAGCTGATGATGCGGAGCAAGATCCCCACGCAGAGCGTGTACATGCCCACGTCCAGGCGCCTCTTGAGATTGTGGTTCAGCCCGTCAATCATGGTGTCGATGATGGCCGTGGCCAGTGTGCGCTCGCCCCGGACGAGCGGCAGGTATGGCTGTCTCTGTCGACACAGCCGCACCGCCACCTTGTTCTCATCGCTGCATATGCGCTTGCACAGGATTGGGTCTTCAATCAGGAGACGGAAGACCATCAGGCTGAGGACTGCGTAGAGGCTTGTTTTTGTAGATAGATGTGCGTGTGTGAGGAGGTAGGACGTGATGGAGATGTAGCTTGCGAAAGGATGCTCTTCGCCCTTCTCCGAGGCCAGCGTGACAAAGTTGAAACAGAAGAGCTTGTTTGCATGTGTGAAGTCGTAAGTAGCCAGTAGAACCGCGGCGTCATTCCCCGGTCTTCAGTACCCAGCTCCGTCAGTTTTCTTTTCTTGCGAGAGGAGCGGCAGGAAAGCCAACTTACAGCTCTGCAAACATCTTCTTCGCCGTGTCGGCATCATACACAGGCTTCTTGTCTGGTTTCGGTCCCGGTGCTATCGCTCCCAGCCCGATCATGTTCAAAGTGTTGCTGAACGTCCAGCCTTCCGGCAGGTCTTCTTGTATGTCCACATACTGCGTTCTCAATCTCTGGCAGGTCTGTCCAACGTTCCTGATGATCTTCTGGATCGTTTCCTCGTTCACAAAATCATTCAACCGCAGCTGGTATGGATTTTGAAATTCGAATTTGTTGTAGTTTGCCAGAAGACCGACAAGAGTAAAAGGTTCAAAGATCTCGGACGTATTCTCGGCGTCTTGTATTAACTGCGACAACGTATATAGGTTAGACGAGTGTTTGATACCCTGAAACAGGCCGAGATAGGAACGAAGACACAAACCTTCATGACGGAGGGGAACATGTCCTTCTGTATCAAGTATGTCAAGAGACTGGTCTGATATGCTCCGGATGTGATGGCCAATGCAACCTCGACAGCCTTTTGTCGTATCTCCACTGAATACGAGTCCCTGTCAGCCAAATCTTCCCCCGTCCCGAGGGTTGGACTGCCATCCGCACTCACCACTCTTGCCATTCCGTATTATGTTGTCCAACGATCCAACAAAGTCTGTAAAAATCGCATCGATACTGTCGAGACCTGCCAGGATCGTGATGATGTCGGAGCTCGGGTTGGTGTACCTCTTTGCCAGAACGGACGAGAGGAAAGTACTGAGGGTCTGTATTTCTCGGGCCGGTGTGGCTGGTCAGCGAACAGCGAACAGCGAATAGCGAACAGCTACCATATCATCACTACTTAAGACGGAAAAAGATGATAGTCAAAGTGTTTGGGGGGGGGGGGCACTCTCAGCTTCATGTGGCCACACATACATCAAGCGCATTTGTCTGAGCAACAACCTGGGAGCTCTTCAGGGTCTTGACCGCGCGCGAGAAGAGCTCCCTCGTCTGCTCCTCGAGATGCTGCAGGTCGGCGGGCGTGAGCCCGTCCAGAATGCGCCGGAGCGAGGCGCGGTCCGGCTTGAGCAAGAACAACTCTCGCCAGAAGCCTTCTGACAGGTCATGCTCGGCATCTTGATCATCCTTCCCATCTCAAGTATCAGTGCTGAAGATCGATCGTCGGGGCCGGGGGATGGCGGGTTAGGTGGGTGTCTTCAAACCTGTTGATCACATGCAAGAAGTAATTAGCATGTGAGGTTTTCTTTGAAAATATTGGGGGGGGGGGGGAGTGTGTGGGTGAGCAGAGAGGCAAGGGAGCACAGACCTTGAATAAATCCTCATACAGCTGCACGACCTTTTGCTGAAAGGCCTCAGGTCGAGGCTGCTGGGTGAGGGGGGACTTCTCCATCCACGCGGCTTAGCGACAACATGGAGCAGCAGCGGCAGCAGCACTAGCAAGGTGTTTAGACCGTTGCGTGTCTTTCTCTGCTTGCTGCTGTTCACAAATTGGAGTACCCAATCTGACAATGTTGATACTAAAGAGCGATTGAGTCCAGAGAAGAGAGAGAGGTAAAGACTGATGTCAGACCAAGCTGCTATGTTATGGTATCGACGAGACCAGAGGCTATTCCGAGACCCCTTTGACAAGGGTGGGTAATAATTAGTGGTGATCTGCCGCCAGACCTCAAAGTCCTCAACACGTCAACGTCAGGGTCTTGGCGGTGGTACAGTACTTTGCAGTCACAAGGGTTACTCTACGGCAGAAGAAGTTGCCGAGGGACCCCCCCCCTCCATTCCCCCCTGGAATTCTCAAGGACCACCAGCCAATAAATTGGAGAGCCATCCCTAACTGCTTTGGGGGAACGCGGGTCCCGGCACCCTGGAGCCGTCATCTGTCAATCGGTAGGGCTGAACCAGAAACAGTCCTGGTAGAGCTCTGGTAACTACAAGCTTAGAATGAAGATCAGGTTCATGACGCTCTCAGATAGATAATCGTCCTTCTAAAGATTCATCTCACATGGCGTCTTCCCTGACTTGGCTACCTTGCACGAGATTGAACGGAGTCTCATGATTGCCAGGAAATGGCCACCTTGGAATCTCAATTTCTTCGCTATCCTATGTCTGTTTGCCTCTTGCCAATCTATGCTGAATGATGCTCGCATGACCACACACCCTCCCTCTACCACATCTACCATGTGTTTAGCAAAATGAAAAAGAAGAAGAAAAAAAAAACATTGAAAAGAAAGGACAGAAAGGTGAGGGCTCCATTCCTCTTTTATCCTCTTGCCACTCCTTTCCACATCAGCAATGAAGTGACATGGTGTCGAAACCAGTATGCTCTTCCCATCATAAGTCTGTCTATCACATGTCATAACCATGCTTGACCAGCATGGACAAAAAACCTTCTAATAACGAACGCAATGGCACCCAGTAGTGCATAGAACCTCAAGGGACCCTGGGGGGGGGGGGGAGAAGGGGGAAAGGCCAAACGAAAGACGTAAAGATAGAAACTGCAAATGGCAATGGTGGCTAAGAAACTGCCCCTCCTCTCTTCCCTCCTCTCTTCCCTCTAACTGTTCATGACAGCCCCATCTCTAGGGATCATATGCCCCAGCTGCCTCGCCTCTCTGCCACACCCCATGCAAGAGGGGTGATGCTGTCGAGATCAGGATGTTGTCGAGCCCACTCAAAGATGTACTGCTTCAGGGCCCTCCAACGTGGACAGCGTCTATCCTCGCTCATATCCAGGTCCATGCTGATCTTGATATGACCCTTAGCCCGGCTGCCTATGCCGTCCATAACGACGTCATCCTCAATCTGCAACTCGTTGGTGGGTATCCTGCTGATTTTCGACAACTCTTCATCAAAAGCCCGCGCCGTAGCAGGATACCCCAGGCTGAGGTAATTGTAGACCTGCGTCACGAACTGGTCATTGAACTCGGCTGCGATGCGCTCATTGAAGTCCGCGGCAGCCTTCTCCTGCTGCAGTCGCTGCTCCAGGCCCATCAGCATATGAAGGCCCTTGGGCTGACCGCCGCGGGAGCGGTGTTCAGAGATGGAAAAGAGCCCCGACGACTGGCCAGATGCCATAGGTGTGGGCTCGGCAGAGACTGGGTAGGGGGCCAATGTCCCATCGGTCGTGGCATATGGATCGCTGTGTTCAAAAGGCGTGGCGGGAAATGATGGGGTCATGAGCATGGGTGCCGGGCGGACAGAGGGGGCCAGTGCTTCATCGCCCTTGCTCGTGAAGCAGTACCCTCTCCAGAGCCCATTTTGTCCAGTAGTATCCCGGTTTTGCTCGACGTTGGCGCCGGCAGCGACGTCCCACTTCTGGTCCGACTCGAGCTTGGTCTGCTTCGGAGACGGGCACATACGAAAAGTGAGGTCTTTGCCGGCCATGGGCGGGCTTTTCAGGGTCCTCAGTCGGAACAATGCTTTCTCGGCGGCCTTGTCCTGGGCACCAGCCTGGTTCTGATAGCCATAAAAACGACCAAAAGCCCCACGTGGGCGTGCAAAGCCTGTCTCTTGCGGTGGTTGGGACGGCGAAGCAGCAGCAGCAGCAGAAGGGCGGGATGGCGCATCGGGCATGTCCACATCCACGGTCTCACCGAACGTGCCTGGGCGCGTGCTGATTGGCTGGTCAGAAGTCTTCGCATCGTATGATGCAGCAGTGCCAAAGTAGGAAGACTCGTCTGACTTGTCCACCGCCTTCAAATCCTCGCCAATGGGACTCAGAGGCCCTATGGATCCCCTAATGGTATGGCGAGCCTTGTTGGTGAAGGCAAAGGTGTTGTCTGGCGGACCCTCGCTCCTGATCGATCCAGAATCCCAAGAGTCGGCCTCACCCCTGTCTGCAGCCAGCTGGTCGGCGTGCTTCTGCATCTCCTTGACCATCCAGTTCACATTGTCCTCCGACGAGTCTCTCCGCTCGTCCTTGTTGCCGGCGCGTGTCTTGCCCCTGCCCCTCGGGCTGTCATCATCGTCAGACCCTTCCCGCAGAAAGAAATGTTCTGCACCACCCAGTCTCATCGTGCTGTTAGGGAACGCCGACATGGCCAGCTCCTCCATGCGCTTCTGCGCCTCCAGCTTGTTGAGATCGAAGACATGCTCGGCGATCTCATCATCACATGATTCTCGCCTGGCATGGCCGGGCCTCCTATTGTGTGGCCTCTTCTTGGACGACAGGGAGTAGATATGTTTCGAGTAGGGTGTAATGTCGGTCTTATCAGCCGGCTTCGTGGCGGGCACAGTGTCTCCAGCTCTTCGTGATCTTCTTGTGGACTCGAGGAGTTGCGGTGCGAACCGGCGCTTCTCCCGCACGACAGTCTGAGTCTCATGATTGGCGACCTTGGGAGGTGACGGGGGCGGAGGGGGAGACTCTTCTGTCGGGGAGGGTTCAGGCGTCGGCTCGGCGGCTGGGCCTCCTCTGCGGTGCTCTTTAAAGGTGGTCTCGATAGGCACAGGAGCGAAGCGCCTCCGCGCCTGTGTTGGCTGTGTCATGCTCTATACAACAGGGGGAGTCGAGGGTAGTTAGAGGTGATTCAGCGACCTCGAGAGGCTTGCAAGATCGTAGGCGTGTGTGGTTAGAGGAGGACAGAGCAATTGAGGTGAGGGCTGCTGCTGAGGCGGGGCGAGGGAAGCTGGCTTTGCACCGTAGGATGATGGTATGACACAGGAAAGTAGTATTCCTCAGGCGATGATGACCCAAATTGGTGTGACCCCTCGTCGAGTGAGGCGATCAGCAACACCTTTTTCTGATTTAAGTGCTAGAGCAATGCAAAGACGTGGCCGATGTTGGGACGATCGTCGTCTGAAATAGTGTGTGTTTGTGCGTGTGTGCGTATATGCAATGCGCGGGAGAAGTTGGTCTTGTGACTCCGGTCCAGAATGGCGTGCGTGCGTTTCTTGGTCCTCGTCCTGTCCACACACACACAAACACACAAAAGCGAGGCGTCTCTCAGGGGAAGTCCAAGGGGAAGAAACGAGGTCAGGGCCGAGGCCGAACAAATGATCGTGAGTATGGGGTAGGGAGAGTTGTTGTGGAGCCGAGAAACCCAAAAGGGCGGTCACAGACGGTTATCATTGAAGCTGGAAAAAGGTGACCACGATGCGACTCGGCGGTGCAGTTCCAGTCAGTTCTGGCGCCCGCCTCTAAGCCCCTCTTGAATTGATATGGGGAGGGGGGTCAAGTCAAGTGGGCAAGAGCCCTGACCGTCTTAGCGGGGTTGTGTTCTGCAGTGGCAGTGGCAGTCGCACATAGCAGAGTTAGGTACTATGGCAAGTACGGTAAGACGAGTTGGAAATGTTCTGGCCGTGCGAATCTAGTTTGACAAATCTGTGTGATGCCACACATGTACATAGTGTTGGGCCGCCATTAATCTTGACCCTCTTGATAACAACAAGCAAAAAGAAAGCAAGAGAAAATACCACCAAAAAGAACCTTGTCCCCAACGACATACTACGTAATACCCGTGTCAACCTCCCTAAAACATGAAAGTGAGCTTTTTTATCTCTCTTGCCCCCTGAAAGAGATTTGGTTATCCTGGTGCACTTGTAAAATGCTGCAGGGCAGGTTCGATGGGGCAGCAACATGGGCCCTTTGCCACTAATTTGTCTAGCGTCGTATTGATTCATCTCAACGATTTATCTTTCATGTGATTTCCAAACATACTGCCAGCCAACTGAACATGCAGATATGCTTTCAGGAGTTTCATTCGTACTTTCTAGGTGAGTACTTAAGTACATAGGTAGACTCTCTACTCGGGAATTGTACAAGTCTTTTGTGAAGTTCATACCTCAGGCATGGGGTAGGGGAAGAAACCCCCTTCAACACCGTCCCATACAACCTTTTTCAGCTCGACCTGTTCTGGCCTACTTACTCACGCAGGTGCCCCTGCTGATCTGGTCTGGTCTCACGTAGCGCGCGAGCCGCTGCAACAGAAAAAAATCACAGCGATGGCAAACCCAATACTATCAAGCAAGAAGATATGCCAAGTATAGACAGTCCCCAGCTGCAAAACAATAGCAGCGCGATTTCTCAGGAATGAAAGAAAGAAAAACCAAATCGCGTAAAGGGGACACAAATTTGGAGCGACACACACCTCATAGCACGGCCTATCCAAGGCAGACCCGCTTCATCGTCGGCACTGCTAAAATAAGTATCGCAATACGAACACCAGGGCACGCTACAATGGGGTCGGAAAATTTCATACTATAGTAGTGCCGAGTTTACGATGAGAAAGATGAACATAGTGATTGATACGAGCAGAGTGTCAAATTATAGGTCCCGTGATCGCAATGCTGAAAAAGTGTTCCTGTAGCGGATCGTTCCGAGGAGGAGGGAACCTTTACATCGGCTCCCTACTCGCGCCACATCTCTCTCACACACTGTACACACCGCCCCCCCCCCCCCCCATACTACCATAGTACACTCCGATCCATCATCCCCGCCTGCCTAGACCATCGCCCTCTTCCGAGATCAGATGTCGAATCGAAAGTCTGGCACGCTGACAGGGACCCACGCGGGGAGGTTTCTTTGTCTCTGCCAATAATGCCCAGGTGCTTGCTGCTCTCCTCTCCACTTTGGGGGCTCGACGGGCAAGCAGAATGGTTTCTAGATCGCTTCTTCCCGCGAAGGAAGACGAGATTTTCACGACACGCCACACCACACCACGCCACAGACTTGTATGTGTTTGCAGCATTAAGCAGCCAAAGGCAGTACCCTTATTGTCCTGGACAGGACCAAAGCTAGGTTGCCGCTGACTTCTAATCGTGCTGCGTCCGGGACCACCCGTTCTCCTGGATTAAACTCTTTCAGTACACACTATGTAGTATCATGTACAGTAACAGTATGCAGGCGGCAATGGCGGGCCTCACATAATTGTGAGAACATCTACCATGGTACAGTGTGAACTTTGCTCATGTTGGATGAGATGTCTGGACAGGCTCAACAGATCTTAACGCGACATATACTACGCATACTAAGTACCAGTTAAGAAAAAGCATGTGTGCATATGGCGAGGTGTGCAGCTAAAAAGGGAGCTGGATGGAAAGCTGTTGTATCGGCGGACGTCCCAACATTCATGCATGCGCCTCACTTCAGCATCTCGCGAAAACTTACGATGCCTCTAGACAGTCATTACCACACTTCTACAAAGAGGACTCATTGTAACTCCTAGTGCAGTCGCCTTGGATTAGCAAGACGAGAACATAATCACGGGTACCTGCGAGAGAGACTGCGAAGGCCGGGGGCGAGTGACACCAATTTTGACTCTTGCACGCACTATAAAGACGGACACACCGCTGCCGGCACGACATGGTAGGCTAGCTGTACACAGGCACACGCGGCCGTGGTCCGGAGATGGACCCGAAACCTGCCACGGCACTTGGCTCCGAGGAAATGTGTCTGAGACGCCAAATTTTGAGTCCCCTCCCTGCTCTATTTTGACATGCTGCGATTTCCGTGGTGATACAGCTCGCTCTTGTCTTCTGTTCCGGAGGGCGGTTCTCAGTAAATCACACAAGAGTATTGGAGGACCAAATGGTTTTGAGCTTGACTCTCAGTTGGGGAGCCGTGTTACATAAAACAAAGGCTATGATTCCCCAACGGAATCTTTGCCACCCTTCATCGCCACAACCAAGCCTCGACGTCTTAGAAACCCCTGGCCATCAGGCGCTGTTCTGGGGTGTCTCGTCTATTTGCCGCTTGATAAATGAAATAACCCTTGCTTGTTGTCATTGCCCAGCCGTATTCCCCAACGCGCCGCCATACTCGGCGGCTGTTGGCAAGTGATGATCCGGCCAAGCTCAATAGATCTCAGACATGGCCGCCTGGGAAGGAAATGAAAACCGGCTTGGCCCTTCATCTCGTCGAAACAACGCCATGTATCCTACACACACACACACAGAGAGAGAGAGAGAGGGAGGGAGAGAAAGGTTGATTGCACAGAAGAACTTTACCTTTCCCTCTGACACTTTGATTTTGTTGTGCGCCCTCGCGTACCGACGACCTTGTTCGTAAGCTTGACTTGCAGCGCCGGATCTTGTGCACAAAGACGGTCAAATCGTCCAACCACCACCGCATCCCAGGCAGGGCGATATGCAGAAAGCTGCAACACACAGCTTGTATCGTCTCAGGGAATTAACTGCAAATCCACAGCAGGAAGGTGGAAAGAATGATCCCAGGTGCCACGTTAACAATAGCGGGTCGGCTTAGGAGGGCATCCACACTTAGACAACTGGGCCACGAATAGGCCACGAATCAGCTGGGGTGGTTTAGGCTCGAGTCTCGTTCAAAGTGTGGAGAGAGAGTTCTTGTGTCCAAGGTTGTGAAAACTTTCCCTGATGAGGAGCGAAATTATTACGAAGAATAAAGAAAAAAAGGGGGGGTGTCCACATGCAAGAAGAAAAAGCAAAGCGAGTGCGTAATCAAGAGCTGAAGATAACGAGGAATGCAGTGTACCATAGAATGAAGACTTACGAACCTCGATTAGGATGCTCGAGAACTTGGCACCTCTCTCACAAGGTTGCAGGCCTCCAGAAAATATTTACTACCGAGACCATACAATGGTACTATAGTGCCACTGTATACAGTTTTGCAGATCGACCGGTGCCCTAGAGATCCAATCGGAGAGGTGCAATCTGAGATACCGCTAAGATCATGGTTATTTTCTTCATTTTAGATAAAAAGAAAGGAAGTAATCAAGACATGGGAAATGAGGTGTGTGTGGGCGCACGCGTGTGTCTGGCAAGATAACATTGATGTGGTGGTGAAAATGTCGGCCCAGCACACAGTGATAAGAAAAGTTCCGTCTCTCATCTCGGAAGATTTCCATGATGTTATGGTACAATCGGGAAGCACGCGACACATGCACAGGTAGGCGGGAAGAGGATACGGGGAGGAGTACGTAAAAGTAGACGGATCTCGGATGGCTGCCCACACACAGAAGTACCACCATATTACCTTAGTATGTGGTAGTACATGGGACACTGCAGGTTTAGGGGAATTGGGGGGGGGGGAGGGTGGATTTTGAGGGCGGGCTTGCTGCTAAAATAGGGACCATCATGCTTATCGAGGGCGCATACTAGTACTACGGTTAAGCGGTACAGTGACCTGCCAGAGTAGCAGTACAGGGTATTACAGAAGGTGTATCCTAGGATATATTACAGAACAGTAGGTAGCCGTGGTACCCCTGCAGGAATCTGCAAGCCTGGCATTGATGATGAGGCCCTGGTCCCTGTCTATTACAGGCAGTCTCGATTTCCAAGAACACGAGCAAAGAGCCAAGATGAATGCAGACAGACCTGACAGACAAACCAACCGCCGTGATCGTCTTAGTCAGGCAGATCAATTCAGCAACAAGGGCTCAACTCAGCATGTAGCCACCAGCGTCTTCTGCTCCTCCTCCTCCTCTTCCTCCTGCCGCCCTGCTTGAAACATATCAAATATTGTTGCCAGGAGCTACAGCATTCCCCAAAGGGGCCCCTTGTCCCTTACCACGCGCCACGCACCACACACATCATCACCACCAACACCACCAGGACAGACTGCCTGCCCAGTTGGAGTCGACGTGCCCTCGTGCCCTCGTTCGCCAGGTCAGAACGGCATTTGGCAGCAGCGGCATCAGCCCTAAAGAACGCCAGTCATCCATCAAATGCCATGCCATATCCGTCGTCCGACACATGCTAATCCCCCCCCCCCCCCTCGACACCGTTCCAATTCGTTCGTTCGTTCGCTACAAGCAACAATACAGCACAGCCGACGCTGGCCCCCATTGGTTACGTCGCTCACTCCTCTGACCACAAATTTACTAATCCCCCCTGGCTTCGAGCAACTTTGTCCTTGGTCCTCTTCCTGAACTTAGTGCCGATCTGCAGTGCTCTGGTTCCCTCTCTCCTCTCTCCCTATACACACATGTCTTTGGCGACTTGATCTCTCTTCGCTTCTGTCGCCTGGTCTCTCCTTCGCTCGCCTGCTGCTGCTGCTGCTGCTGCTGCTGCTGCTGCTGCTGCTGCTGCTGCTGCTGCTGCTGCTGTCTCTCCCGAGGCACCCGAGGCAGGATCATGTATCCCACCGCGACTCCTCGAGACGACACGACAGACGCGCTGCACGAGACTGGCTTAGGCTCTTCTCCTGCTGCTGTTACTGGTGCTGCAACAGACGACAGAGCCAACGCCCCCCAACCGCCGAACCGGAGCCAGGGCCGTTTGCAGGCACCACAGCCGCAACCTGCCCAATCCGTACAGGCGCAGGAGGAAGTAAAAGAAGGACAGGCAGAAGAAGCACAAACGAAGATACAGACACAGACACATGCACATGCACATGCACATGCACAGGCGCAGGCAAAAAAAGCACAGACACAGACACAGATACAAGCAGCAACACGAGCCACGGATGAAAATGACCCTGCAAGTCCCGCTCGTGTATCTCCTCGTCCTGCAGAGGAATCGGTACCACCAAGCGAGAATGCATTTCCCGCTATAGACAAGGGTATTGACCAGGACGCACTCCAGCAGCAGCAACAGCCCATGGCCACAGACTCTCTCGCCTCCACAATCGAGGCCCTACAACAACGGCTCCATCTCGAACAGGACGGCCTCGCCAGCCCGAGACACGAACTCGAACTGATTCCAGAGGACCAGCCCATCTCCTCCCCCCACTCCGCCGGCTCGGAGGCGGCTCCCCTCCTGCCGCCAAACTCGATTCTGACCAGCAGCGGCTCTCATTCTAATCGTGCCTCCGCCACGTCAACCCCTGACACGGGCATCCAACGTCCTTCCGCCCTGCGTCTCGTGGCACATCCTCTCCCATCTCGCCCGTCCACACGATCACCCATCACCCCGACCTCGCCCATCGAGCCGCCACTTTCGCCCACCATCATCCGCACTGCCTCTACGAACTCCGTCCTCCGTCATCCTGCCCCTGACATCAACGCCCGGTCAGGCTCCTACACCAGCAACATCGCCGCCCTCGAGGCTACCGCTGAGCGCTTTTCTATGACCAGCAGCATAGAGGATGCCATTAGGGACGCCCACAACGAACTAAAGCGCAGCGACAGCCGCCGCTCGTCCATCCTTGCCGCAAGCGTCCGGAGCGCCGGCGACCACACCACCGACAGCCCCCAGGTGCTGTCACAAAGCTCGATTGTCGGCCTGAACAACGCAGCAAGAACGGGCGGCTACTCTCCCGGCGGCTACATCATGAGTCCAACGCAGTCCCTGACGGGCTGTCTGAGGAGCGCAAGCAAGAGCAGCGGGCCCCTGTCGAGAGCGAATAGCACCAGGAGCAAACCCGAAACCATCGACGGCGAGGCATTTCCCAACTTGTCTTCGGGCTCCTTTATGTCAAGAGATGGTCCAGGAAAGGGCTCTACAAGAAGTGTCCGCAGTGTGCGCAGTGTCCATAGCGTCCACAGTACCCATAGCGTCCACAGCAATCGCTCTGGTCCGCTTTCCCTTGCCGAGATCGCCGAGATGGAGCCTCCGGCCACTCTGACACTAGATGCCATGGACGAGGCCGACCGGACGGCCCCTAAGCTGGAGGATCTGGGCGACGATGAGCACACGATCCTCGCAAGGGCTCATCAGCATGTCGACCCTGACGCTACGGACATCCACGTTGCAGAGACCGCGGCACAATATCCTAGCAACAACGGCCAGGAGGAGACGGTCATGCTGGAACATTATGCTGGCGACTCGTATTGGGACAACCACGGGGATGTGGACGTGCAGCTTCGCAATCCCGCCAACCCGCCGCCAGATCGTGTCCGTGACGAATATGAGCCTCCAGTCGACCTCCACCAGCACGAGCACGGGGCATATGGAACTCCTGACACTGTCGATGAGGACAATGTCTTTGCCGACTTTGATGGAATGCACTGCGACCCGGATTCGGTGGCTGAGAATTTCCCTATTCCACAACAACAAGAGGATGAGTTGCCCCAGCCGCGACCACGACCAGCACAACAGAGAAGAACCACGACGGCTCGGCCCCAGTCTTACTTCGACCCCGAGACAAACCAGCAGATGCTTTACTATCCTGCTCGCGTTCCAGCTATGCTGAATTTGCCGCCGAAGCTGGGCAAGGGCATGAAAGCTGCGCAGGCGGCGAGGACCGCGCGCAGGAGCCAGGTGTTGAGCCAGATGCCCAAGGCTGCGCGAGAGAGCAGATTCTGGCTGCCTGACCCGCTCGAGAAGGAAGAGGGCTCGACTGACCTGCTGGGAGTCGATCTGACGCCGAGCTCAGGGAACCTGCTGGGCGACGATGTCACGCCGAGCTCAGCACACTCCAGCTCTCGCGACTTGGGTCGGGACCATGCACTGGCTACCCTCCAGGGCCCAGGAATGGCGTCGCACGAGAATTCGCCATTAGATTCGCCGGATCTGCATAACCTGCGGCGCCCGGCCAAGCTTGGAGGGTCTGCTGCACGCCAGTCCCGGATGAACCTCGCGGACCTGCCACCCCAGCTGCGCGCCAGCGTTTTCTTTGATCTGCCCACCGAGTCTCCCAAGCTTGAGGTCAAGAATGGTTCTGCGATGGACACATTAGATAGCATCCTGGACGCGGCCGCCTCAGCCCCGGTCAACGCCTTCACAGACCACGCCTTCGCAGGTCACCTCGGGGCGGAGGTGTATGGCCATGAGAAGAGAAAGAGCAGCCGCAAGAGCCAGCTCATGGTACCCGAGGCCGCCGGCAATGCGAAGGGGCACAGACTGTCCAAGAGCGCTTCGACTACCCTCGCCGTGCCGGATACCGAGAAGCGCAAATCGGTCTGGTCCCTGCTGCCCGGCCGTAGCAAGTCTAGGAGTAGCGTTAACTTGCTCAACGCGCAAGATGAAGACGCCCGCTCGAAACTGTCGGCTTCTGTTGGCGATGAGGACTCGCCGTCAGATGTAGATGAGCACTCGGCTCTCGCGCCTGACGAGGATGAGAGGGGCTCAGGATCCGGCTCCGAAGACGGAGAGCAGGTATATACAGGTCCTCCTACGACGCTGCTGGCCGAGCTCCAGATGCGCAAGCAACAGCACAAGAACCGCACACGCAACCCCCTGCACCAGGGCATTGGACTCCACAGTACGCTCCTGGAGCTCGATGCCGTGGCGCAGATGGAGGCCGGGCAGCGGAAGAAGAAGAAGGTGAACCTGGCCTGGGCTGCGGATCACTCCGACGCGGACAGCGACGACGAGGACGACGAGGATATACCCCTGGGCCTATTAGCTGCCAAGAAGCAGCTTGGTCCCGAGGCGACCGACCGAGATATGGCCATTGCCCTGCAGGAGATGAGCCGGCCGTTGGGCTTGATGGAGAAACGAGACCAGGACGACAACGAGCCTTTGTCTCGGAGGCGGGACAGGCTGCAGGGCAAGCCCGTGCCTGTCAGCATGTATCTCCAGCCCAACGGCAATGGCACCAGGCTCTCGGTGATGCCTGGCGGCAGCAACAAAGATCCGGTCAGCCCACTGCGTATGGTGCATCCGCTGAGTGCTTCGGCCAGCGCCACTGGTGGCCAAGATGGCGCAGAAGAGGAGGTCGAAGGCGAGACCCTCGGCGAGCGCATGAGGAGACTGCGGGCCGAGGACGAAGCGAATCCCCTGCCGAGGGCCAGGCCTGTCAGCACGGCCTTCTCCGAGGAGTTGCTCGGCGAGTGGGGTGTCGACGAGGCCGCCGAAAAGAAGAAAAAGGAGGAAGAGGAAGCCAAGAAGAACGCAGTTCCACCTGCCGAGGAGGAAGAGACACTTGGGCAACGCCGCCGCCGCCTGCAAGCGGAGCGTGAGGCTCGTGAGAAGGAGATGGGCATCCGTGTCGTGTCGGGCGGCAGCCAGAAGGAGACTGTATCCCGACGCCTCAGCTTGGCGGGCGTGCTCGGCGCAAACCCACTCGAGGGGCCGCAGGGCAACATGGACCCTCGCGAGGTCGAGCGTCGACGCAAGGAGGAGGAGGCCGCCCGCGCCGCTCGCGAGCAAGAGGTCAAGATGCGCGCGTTCCGGGCCCAGATACCCACAAACCTGACAGACCCCCGTGGTGGCGTCGTTCAGCCCGGTGGATACCAGAACGGCAGGTTCAACGACAACATGGGTGGCCTGGGCGGTTCGGTCCGTTCGACGAGCCGTCATCAGCTTCGTGCCAGCATGAGCATCGGCCAGCTGGGACAGTACAGCCAAGGCGCCCGAGCTGTCAGCGGCACGAATCTGATCGGCGCGGCTGGCAACTACGGCAACGCGAACGGCATGAACCCCGTCTTTGCCACCCCCAACCCCTTCGGCAACGGGTATAATGGAGGCTTCATGCAGCAGCCGCAGTATCAGCAGGCCAGTCCCTTCGTCAGTGGCAGTCTGCTGGGCCAGGGAGGAGGCTTTGGGGCGTTTGGTGGAGGCATCGGTGCGGCAGGTGGGTATGCGACGAACCAAACTGCGTATGGCGCCGGGGTAGGTTTCCACGGTGGAATGCCTGCCACCAGCTATGGCGTGCAGGCCGGCGGGGTGCCCATAGTGGGTGGGCAACAGACGGATCGTGTGGAGAGATGGAGGCAGGGCATCCGATGAGTGAAGCCTGGCACAGGCAGCGATCAGAGTACAAAGACAAATGACCGGACCACTATAGTTCTCTGGTCAGGCGTTTGGGATAATCTTTTTTCTCATCCTTCCCCTTTGCTTTCTTTTGTTTGTTTAGAGGGACATTGAATGCAGCATAGGACATATGGGATGGAAAGCGAAGGGGAGGGAAGAAGGCGTGACATATTGGCACCAGGCGCGTAGGGTCGGGGCATGGGATAGGACGACAAAGCATACGAGCATTGTTGTTGAGACTTGCATTGCGAGGGCGTCCGAGTGCCTATCAAGGATTTTCATATACAGACAGATACAGGTTCAGATTCAATTATTGTTGAAGAGATCTCTCGGTCAGCCTCTGAGGAGATACCGGGGAGAGAGAGAGAGAGAGGTACGGGCTATCTACGGCTGCTTAATGGAAAGGCTTCATTCAGCCCAAATATAGTGCAGTGTCTTCATGGTGAACAACAAATTATAATAAATCAAATACCAATAATGCCAATAATCTTACACCAACCAGGGTATGACCTATCTATCTTCACTATGTATTCCCAGCCAGATCACCACTGATAGAGGAGCGAAGAGAAAGAAGGAAGAAGAAGAAAAAGATTTATCATGCTGGCCTCGTCGCCAGATCAGGCCGCTGCTCCCGTAACACCTCCTGAATAGTAGTCAAGAGACTCGCATGTAAATGTGCAGGCGCAGCGACGATGCCATAGTTTTCAATCATCTTCCTGTCGGCGGTCAGATCAATGTCCCGGCCATCGACGTCACTGACCTTGCCGCCGACCTCCTCGAACAACAACATGGCGCCGGCGTGGTCCCAGATCTTGGCCAGGCGGTCGCGCGACTTGTACACCCACCAGGTGCTGTTGCCCACGCCCAGAGCGAGGAGGACCCAGCGGAGGACCCAGGGCAGGAGGGTGCTGCCGGGATACTCGACGCCTAGGCGGTGGGCTACTTCCTGGTGGACGGTGGGCAGGCCTGATTTGTTGCGGGCGGTGGTGGAGAGGAGGTGAGGCTGGTGGGCGTGACTGGGTAGACGTCTGAGGAGGGAAGAAGAAGAGGAGGAGGGGGAGGAGGAGGAGGAGGAGGAGTTCGTGTCGTCGCCAACGTTGTGCAGACCCCGAATGAAGGCGCCGTGGCCTCGTACGGCGAGGAGGATGCACCCCTCCCCAGCCGGGTCAAGCGAGTCGTCCGAGGCAGGGTAGGCGACGGAGGCAGACAGGTTGGGACAGCCGACCACGGACAGGGCTTGTTGGCCGTCGTGCAGCAGAGCGACGTTGACGGCGTAGACAAGGCCCTGCACGAAGTTCTCTGTGCCGTCGATGGGGTCAAACACCCAGATGCGGGCGGCCTGGTCTGGGCGGCCGGTACCGCACCAGTCAATCATCTGGCACATCTGCTCGGGGGAGTCTGGGATCTTGACGACGGCGGCGGCGCCTGAAGAAGCTTGCTGCAGGGTGGTCCAGACGCGGTGCAGGAGGGCTGGGTTGGCCCGCAGGGCGTCGGCCGACTCTTCGCCCACGAACCTGTCGTCTGGGAAGGCGGCGTGGATGGTGCATGTGAGGAGGGCCTGGATGGCGAAGTCGCCTACTGTGACTGGGGAGAGATCGTCCTTTGCGACGACGCCTAGTCCTTCGCTGGTGCTGGTGTCATTGCCGTCATGGCCGGCTTCTTCTGCGTCTTTGTTTTCTTCTGCGAGGCGTTGTGCCTGGGCGAGGACGAGGCTGCTGAGTCTCGCGGCGGCCTGGACGGCGGCGATGGCGACCTCGAGTTCTTGTGTGTAGGGGGAATCCATATGTTGTGTGTGTGCTGTGTCTTTTTTGGACATGTATATCTTCTTTTTCCTTCTCTTCTCTCTCTTTTCTTTCTGGCAGTCTGTTGATAAGCTAGCTTGACTTGACTTGGATGGCTTGGCTGAGTGGTGGTTTGCGATTTCCCTTCTTCCCTCATGACTCTTCAATGGGCTGTTACTTCCTCAGTAGAGATTTATTTCATATGAGAATAGACTCTATAACCCTAACCCTCACTGTAAAGCCTGGAAGGATGAAGATCGTCTTCGTAAAACAGGACGCTGGTTACGGAAGCCTCTCGAGCTCTGTTTTTGCCTCTCACTCTGACCTGGTGCTGGTCACTTGATAATTTGCCTTGAGTACAGTACTTGTGTGCTGCCGAATCCTTTCTCATCTTCTTTCTGGCGTTGTTGTGATGATGGCTTCACGAAACAATCTCGGGAGGACTTTATTGGAGTGCAACGTAGCGCCTCTCATCATCTTTTTAAAAATGGTCAAGGACAAACGAGATGTGGTCAAAACAATGAGCCAACATTTTATGGTTAATCCAATCTACTAGTCTTCTCTATAGCAACGCTTCATAACTGCCCTTCTGGAGAGAAGATATGCCATGAGCTTCAAAACTTGTTTATCTCCTTAAAAGTACTCTGCTTGAATAATTAGTAAGTAGCAGTAGTTCCGAGGTTTAATTGTTGCCGCAAACGAGGCCGACCAACGTACATATATTCAGTCAAACCTTAAATCAAACCCCTCTTCTCTTCAACTTCATGTCCGCTACCATTATCGTCCGAGAAAGACAGTTTGTGTACATGCCTCTCGACGCACATATCCCATCACTCACCATGATTTCCTCCTCTCTTGTTATCAAGGGCGTACTCGTCCTGTTTGTTCTATACATCTTGTACACTGTCATCTGGGAGGTCTTTTTCTCACCGCTGCGCAGAATCCCAGGCCCTCACGCCGCTCGCTTCACGAGGCTGTGGTACTTCACCCGCGTGGCCAACGCCAACTTCCAGCATGAAAACACCACCCTGCACCGCAAGTACGGTCCTCTCGTGCGCATCACCCCCAGCCACGTAAGCATCGATGACCCGAGCGCCATCAAGACCATCTACGGCATAGGCGCCAGGTTTCCCAAGTCAGACTGGTATCAAGGGTCTCGGGCCCCCGGGAAGAGGGTCGTCACGACGCTTTTCTCGGAACAGGACATAAAGGTGCATGCCGAGAGCCGCAAGCAGTTCCAGAATGTCTACAGCATGAGCTCGCTCGTGTCGTATGAGACGTTTGTAGACGAATGCGCGGACCTCTTTGCCCAGAGGCTCGACGAGATGGCGGCGAGAGGCGCAAGAGGAGGCGGAGGAGGAGGAGGAGACCGTGTCGACATGGCGCACTGGTTCCAAGCGTACGCGTTCGACGTGATTGCGTGCATCACCTTTGGGGGCCGCTTTGGCTTCCTCGACGCGGGTGAGGACATCAGGGGCATGATGGCCCAGCTGCACGACGTCATGCGGTACGCGAGCCTTGTTGGCATCTTTCCGAGAGTTCATGACTGGATCTTTTACCCGTCGGCAAGGTTGGGCCTGTTCGGCTCGGCGGGGAGAGTGGCACACATGGATTTTGTGAGGAGGCGCATGGCGGTCAGGGAGGAGGAGCGCAAGCTGCACGGCGGTATTCACAAGGCCCGCGCGGAGAGGGGAAGCAGCAGCAGCGGCAGCACGCCAAGGGACTTTACGGATAGATTATGGGATAGGCATGACGAGAATCCCGACAAGACGACCAAGGACCACATCTTCATGGTCGGGCTGTCAAACATCACGGCGGGCTCTGATACCACCGCATCGACGCTGTCCGGCCTGTTGTACCACCTACTTGTCAACCCGCGCGTGCTCGCCAGGCTCGAGGATGAGATCATGGGGTTCGCCACGAGCGGAAAGCTCTCGGAGCGCCCCACCTTTGACGAAACCCGCCAGATGCCGTACCTCGACGCCGTGGTCAAGGAGGCCCTGCGCCTGCACTCGGCTGTCGGCCTGCCGCTGTGGCGCGTGGTGCCTGAGGGCGGCGTGGAGGTGGCCGGCCATTTCCTCCCAGCTGGTACCAACGTCGGCGTCAACGCGTGGACGGCACACAGGAACGAGGAGGTCTGGGGCCGCGACGCCGAGGTGTTCAGGCCGGAGCGCTGGCTCGAGGCGCAGGCCGAGGCGGATGTGGGCGGGAACAAGGCCAGGCTGCAGAGGATGGAGGCGTATTACCTGCCCTTTGGCCTCGGTTCGAGGACGTGTATCGGAAGGCACATCAGCATTCTGGAGATCTCCAAGCTGGTGCCGAGGCTGCTGAGGGATTTTGCGTTCGAGCTGGCCAGGCCGGGCGAAGAGATGCAGTGTGAGGACTTTTGGTTTGTGCTGCCCAAGTCTCTGGCTGTAAAGGTCAGGAGGAGAAGTACCAGTAATGAAACTTGAAAAAGTATGGAGCAAGGTCTGGTTGTGTAGCAGCGTGAATGGGCTACACAGAGAGCAAAGAACTGGGTAGAGAATCCTGCTTGCTGGCCTTGTCGCCTTGGCAGCTGCGTTGATTCAAATGTCATATAGATATTCTACAAGGCCCTACTTTAGGCGAAGGATGAAGATTTGTGGGGTTAGTTGCCAAGTAGAGATAAAGTGAGGCTATTCAGAAGCTATACTGAAGAAGTGGTGTTTTGATGTGCTGTGGACCCCAGCAGGTGAGCAGCTCGAGAAGGTACTAGAGTCAGGCCATGTGTGGGGCCCCAGCTCAGGGTGACTGTAAACTGTGGGTGAGGACCCACCAAAAAAAGACCCGTTGCCGATTAACGGAGAGAGCCGGCCTGAGGTCTGGTCTGACGCACCCGCAGTACACAACCACCTAGAGCTGGGGTAGGATTTGGAGAAACCACCCTGCACCACCCTACATCAACAACTTCAAACGCGAGTCTTTTTCGTGGTTTCCTTTTTTTCCCTCTTCTCATTTGAGCTTCCTGTTTCTTCTACCGCCAATTCCCTCTCTCACTCTCGTCACCACCACCCATAGCTTTCAGAGCTCCTCCTTCACTCCTTCCTACAACGACATCACCAGAAATTCAGCCAAGATGCTATCCTCTACTAGAATCGCAGCTCGTCGAGCTTGCCTTGTCAACAACACAGTTCTGCGAGCTGCCTCCACCTGGGCCAAGGTCCCTCAGGGTCCTCCTGTGAGTCCAAACCAGATCGAGCTAGGATGAATAGCTGACTGCCTCTTACGGACCTTGCTAACCAAAGTCACCATTTATAGGATGTAAGTGACGAATGTATGCCAGTAGGTGATCCTAGGGAAGCTGTGTGACTGACGAGAGCGTTTTTTTTTTGGTCACAAACATCAGGCTATTCTTGGTATGTCTTGGTCACCACCACAATGCAATGCAAAACAATGTTACTAGCAATGATTAAACTGTTTACTAACACTCTGCTCCTTTCCAACCAGGTATCACCGAGGCATTCAAGGCCGACAGCTTCGAGAAGAAGATCAACCTGGGTATGCTGCCCTTCGAGTACTCGTCCCTGTCCTCCTCAACATCCACCTATCTCTCTTTCCCAGCCAACCTCGAATCAATGGTCTACAATCCAGAATATACGACTATGCTGAGTATACTGACCGGTCCTTCTCTTACCCACCCATAGGTGTTGGAGCCTACCGTGATGACAAGGGAAAGCCATACGTTCTGCCCTCCGTCCGCAAGGCCGAGGACAAAGTTGTCAGTTCCAACCTGAACAAAGAGTACGCCGGCATTACTGGTGTCCCCGAGTTCACCTCGGCCGCCGCCAAGCTGGCCTATGGAAAGGACAGCTCCGCCCTCAGCCGTACCGCCATCACGCAGTCCATCTCCGGCACTGGTGCCCTGCGCATCGGTGGAGCTTTCCTCTCCCGTTTCTACCCTGGCGCCAAGACAATTTACATCCCCACGCCCTCCTGGGCCAATCATGCCGCTGTGTTCAAGGACTCGGGCCTGACGGTCGAGAAGTACCGTTATTATAACAAGGACACAATCGGCCTCGACTTTGATGGCATGGTGGCCGACATCAAGGCGGCGCCCCAGGGCAGCATCTTTCTTCTGCACGCCTGCGCTCACAACCCCACCGGTGTCGACCCCACCCCCGACCAGTGGAAGGCCATCGAGGCTGCCGTCCGCGAGGGCGAGCACTACGCCTTCTTCGACATGGCCTACCAGGGCTTCGCCAGCGGTGACATCAACCAGGACGCCTTTGCCCTGCGCTACTTTGTCGAGAAGGGCCACAACCCCTGCCTGGCCCAGTCGTTCGCCAAGAACATGGGTCTGTACGGCGAGCGCACCGGTGCCTTCTCCGTCGTCTGCGAATCTGCCGAGGAGAAGAAGCGTGTCGACTCCCAGATCAAGATCCTGGTCCGCCCCCTATACTCCAACCCCCCCATCCACGGTGCTCGCATCGCCGCCGAGATCCTGAACAACCCGGACCTGTACAACGAGTGGCTGGTCGAGGTCAAGGGCATGGCCGACCGCATCATCAAGATGCGTGCTCTCCTCAAGGAGAACCTGGAGAAGCTCGGCTCCAAGCATGACTGGTCCCACATCACCAGCCAAATCGGCATGTTCGCCTACACCGGCCTGACTCCCGAGCAGATGGACGTGCTGGCCAAGGAGCACTCTGTCTACGCCACCAAGGACGGCCGTATTTCTGTTGCCGGCATCACCAGCGACAACGTCGGCCGCCTGGCTCAGGCCATCTACGCCGTCAAGGGCTAGAGATACGACGGACAATGGAAGCTTCCTCCTTTGGGTGATTTGAATAGAAAAATTTGGATGTGGATCGGCCAAGGGACTGGGCCCTCTGCATAGAAAGTCGTGCTTTTACTACTGAACCGGCGTGTACAAAAACTCGGTGCATCATGGGGCGCGGAAAGAGGGCATGATAGATGTTGAACGAACGTCGCACGAACAACAGGTCTAGACGGCAATACCGTGAGAAGAATCAAAGAAACATACACACCTGCTCTTGTCAAGGAAAACTGATCCAGACGTGCCAGAAGGAAAGTGACCCAACTTCGTTTCCGCCGCGAGCTGGCCCGCCACTTCGAGGATGAGGCAGCATGTGAATCTGATGCAAGCGCGGAGACGTGGTTTCCTGTCAAGACACATCCAACTCTCGTTGCATTACGGAACTCTACCCATACTCACACGTGTGCCACTTTCCACAGTACTTGACTTACTATTACGACTCCTACTACGCATGTACGTCAATACACCCTCCTGCCTTCAACCTTCATAATACGGGGTGGCTCTGGCCCCAAGATGTCTCACTCTCCCCCATTCAAGTACCAGGTAGGAATCAATTTCCCTGCAGGCCTATTATGGCACTAAGGACCCAAAATATTCCTCGTGAGTGAGCGAAGTGGCTGATCAATCATCAGCTCTCGAACCAGGAGAGGTGGTAGGATTTGCTGTCGGACTGAGAGCATGATCATAACAAGACCAAAATACAGTTGAAGGAGCAAGTAGTGCCTGGGAAAAGGGCATCCAAGGCCCAACAAGCTCAGTTTTTCCTCGCTGGACGGACTTAAGCCACGGTAACTTAATTACCTTGTCCCAACAACACGATCTAAGGAAGAGGACGCCTATTCCGGCTCCTCGGCTCTACCCATCCAAATTTCCATCCGCTGACCATGCAATACAGACTGAGGGATGGTGGTGTAGTGGCAATGCAGCACTTCCTTTTTTTCCTCGTCTCTCCCCCCAAACGCGGCCGCAGCCTATTGGTTGCCTACATCTTAATGCTGCAAAGCCGCTATGTTCGGTCCTGACCCGCTTCGTGGCCTATATTTTAATCCTGCAAAGCCGTTGCGTTCGGTCCGGACCCGCTTCGTGGCTGGTCACCAGCGGATAGGCAGGAGCTGCTGTGGCCGCCGCCGTAGGATTCCCGCCAGAGGCAAAGCTCATTAGCAAAACAACACGCATAGGTAGGTAGTTTGGACCCTTGCAGTAGGACTATGAGTTCAGCTGACACATGGTAATTACAGTGAGAGAAAATATGCTGAGTGGTGGTTTTGGATTGGGACCAGAGGGGGGAAGGCTGAGGCTATTGATTTAAATATCACTTGCTGGCTCGCCCTCCTTGGATATGAGCCAAGTCGAAGTGCCCGGTAGGCCTGCTCTGCTTCCTTTCCGTTCTTCATTCTCTGCTCGTCGATCATTCCCCTTCCTCTCTTTAAGTCTCTCTCTCTCTCTGTGTGTGTGTGTGTCTGTCTCTTTTGTTCGTGTCACTTGTCAAGATGAAGCTGGCTGGCCTGTGCCTTGTGGCGCACGCCGCCTTCTTTGACATCTGTCATGCCTTCTCCTCCTCCGCCCAGACCCCAGGGTCGCTGAAATTAGGCCTCGCGCGGTCCCAAGACAATCAGCCGCTATTGAGAAGCCGACATACTAAGACCGACCATTCGGTACTGAGCAAGATAAAGAACGCGGAAGCGAATTATTTGATTAACTTGACAGTCGGCACGCCGCCGCAGGCCTTGACGCTGTCGCTCGATACGGGGAGCTCTGATCTCTGGCTGCCTGGAGTCTACTCGGCTGCGTGCCAACAGGGAAACTGCACGAATGGAGAATGTATGCCTTTTTTTCTTCTTCTTTCTTCTTCAAACGTTTTGCTGCCTTGCATTATCTTTTGGTCTTTATTACTTCTTCCTTCTTCCTGAAGACTAATGCGTGCTGATAATAGATAACATGTCTGCATCGTGCACAGCCGAGATGTTTTTGGAGGACGAGTTTCTCGTGAAGTATGTGGATTCGACTCAAGCAAGTGGAAGTTATATTGTACGTCGCCACCCCCCTTCACCTGTTCCCCTTTTCCCCTTATTATGTTCACAAGAAAGGGATTCGGGCTAAACGGATCGCATCAATTAAAAGAACGACACTGTCCGAATTGGAGAGGCGATTATAGAAAACGCCACGGTCGGTTATGCGAGTATTCTTACCGGCGTGAACACTGGCATAATGGGTATTGGGTATCCATGGATCGAGGGCACCACCGAGCGTGTGTACTATGACAACCTTCCTCAACGGCTCGTTGACGACGGGATCATAAACACTATGGCATATAGTCTTTGGTTGGATGACCTTGGTGAGTGGGCTCTACTCCGTTCCTCCTTTCTTTACCCTCTCCTCGTCTCTCTCTCCGTCTCTCTCTCTCTCTCTCTTTTTTTCTCTTTCTCTTTCTTCATAGTGCTGACTTTATTTTCCTCCTCCAACCAGATGCGTCCAGTGGCTCGATCCTGTTTGGCGCCATAGATCGGTCCAAGTACGTCGGCGACTTGACAATTGTGGACTTCTGGCCCGAGACTGGTTACGACATCATCTTCAGGTTCCTCGTCATGCTGTCGGGTGTCACTGCTGTCAGTGACTCTGGATCTGACGCCCTGGGCTCCTCATCTTTCCCCTTTACTGCCCTGCTGGACTCCGGCACCAGTGGTACCTTCCTGCCAGACGATCTCGCCCTCGAGATCCTGGAGGAGGTCGGCGGGACTTACTATGAAGCTGATGGTACGACATGGGTCCCTTGCGACCTGGTCAACAGCACGGGTTATTACTCCTTTGAGTTCGGCGGTGGGCCAGCCAGGGTCAACGTTTCGATGTCTGATCTCGTATTTCTCGACTTACGTGCCGAGATGGACAACACGCTCTGTGAGTTCGGGATCGTCCCCATGGGCAACGTCTCCACGTCTGTCATCCTAGGCGACACCTTTCTCCGGTCTGCCTACGTCGTCTATGACCTGGCCAACAACCAGGCCGCCATCGCCCAGACCAACTTCCACGCAAAGCCCGAGCATTCGGACATTGTCACCTTTGCAAGTCTTAGTGCTACCGTACCATGCGCCACTCTGGCGCCAGGCCATGGGAACAGCACTGGGGCGAAAGGCGCCGTGACAACCACGTTGGCGTCCTTCTCGGCGGCGGCGGGCTTCTCCGATGTCCCAACCGCTTCTGCTTATTCTGTTGCCTCCTCCTCGGGCTCGTCCTCGGACCACAAGAAGTCCGTGAGAATCGTTGGGGCTGCGGTAGGTGGGGCTGCCGCGGGCGTTCTCTTGCTCGGTAGCGGTGCGTATGTGTGGAGGACAGTGGCTGCCAAGAAGAAGAAGAGGTATGCCCAGGTCGATGCCACTCCTGCGGGAGCGGATGCTGGCCATGTGGACGAGGCCAAGGTCCTTCTTGTGCCGACGGAGGTCGGGTATAAACGGCTGGATCAAGTCCAGACAGCTTATAAGGATGACAAGGGGGCATGATGGGTGTCCAAATGTATAAGATATTATTTTCACTTATTGGCTATAATGATGGATATGAAGATGGCAATATAATGGGCAGCAAAATGTACAACTAGTATAGAAGATATTCACTTCCGGAGAATATGCTTGTAAGACCTGAGATGTGACGCATATGAACCAGTGTCTGCGCTGCATGTCCATTAATTCTAGCCCTACGCGTGACTCCTTCGCCTCGAATAGGAGACGGCCTTGTCCTCAACAATCACTCGACCGCGAGTATTAGGACAAACTTGCCAGATCTCACTTTTCGCACCACCATTCAGCGGATAGACTGTTCCTTTGTCGGAATGTCACAGCCGACCTGCCACAGAAAACCGCCTCTCATGCCGTGGCGCAGTGCATCACAAAGAACTGGTAGCTCGTCTCTGACCAACGACAAGGACAAAGCATGCGATCAGTCTTCTTGTCTTCCTCCCTCTCTCCCTGATATTGAGAGGACAAGGAGGATATTGCGTGCTCCGTTCACCTGTTGGGTTACTTGAATGTATTTATTCCCCTAATTATAGTGTAACTGTTGACTCTATGATTTACGACTCAAAAGGACTCACGATCAGCAGCAACGATGGCTTGACTGTGCATCATACAATATATTCACTCTCATGTGTTATTTCCAAAGACTTGATCGACTTCTTTCCCTTTGTTGTCCTCCTTCTTCTTCCTTGGCTCCCCAGATTTGTGTATCTCGACCTGTCTTATTTTTTAGAGATTCAACTCTGGAGTAGTAACTTCATATCCATTGAATGTCGAGCCAACCATCTCCACGACGGCGTCACCTACAAAACACCAAAGCGTTTCACGCACCATTATTGAGAAATTTCACGACGAGTCTTCATTCCCTTAGGCGTGTCCGCATCCTCGGTTTCGAACTCTCTTCTATTACTCCTCAAGCCATCTCCCGCTTCCAGGGCGGACATATCAACCAGATTCACTCCTCTGATATCTCATACCCAGATTCACGCTCGGTATGTTCTTCTCCTCCTCCAGGCGATCCTCCCGGCCACTGGAGGATCCCGCCTTTTCTCCTGGCCATGACCAGCCATTCGATCGAAATGACTTTGGCAGGATGGATTATCCCACGACCTCTGCTTTCGACCATCGTGATTCTAGCAGCATACACGAGCAGGGAGTTCCTGGTCCCTACCGCCGTGAGTCTCTTGCGCCTTCATCCCTGAACGACGACCCATTTGCCCTGGATAGCACTGTTACTTTCTCCACCACTAGCCAGTATACATGTCCTCCTTCTCACTCCCACCACGAGGAATCTTTCGAGATGCATGACCTCAAACAGCAGCAGCAGCAGGAATTGTCGATCCCCCCAATAAGAAAGCAGTCCCTGTATGACTGTGCTGCACTTCCGGGAGAGATCACTCCCTACCTCGGTCTCCGCGCGAGATTATCACAGGTTCCGATCAATAGGTGGACAGTGTTGCTGCTGCTCGTGCTCGTGCGGATGCTCATCTTGTTTGCGCAGCTGAACACGAACCTTGTAAGCGCACAGCAGGAGGCTACAGCGGCTTGTTCAAAGGTGGAGGATATTGGGTCTACTTTGGCCTCGATGCCACATTATCTCTCTGCCGGCGGTAATTAAGTCTCTGTCATGTCCTACGAATAAGTTTTTTTGGGCTGATTCTTCTTCAATATAGTCAACAAACTCGTCGCTGGGGGCGTTACTGACACCGTCCGCGGCCTGGTCAAACTTCTCATCATGATTGTCAACGCCGTCATGCAGACCATCATGTTCTTCATCAATTTCGAGTACGGTACGATCGCCTGTGTGGCTGATGACTTCATCCACGGCCTCATCACCGTCGCCTCAGACACCATTGGCGCGTTGCTCAAGGAGCTGAGCGAAGGGCTCAAGGACATCGCCAATGGCCTGAGCAGTGCCGTCTCTGGAGTCGACGATGCCATCAAAGGGATCGAAAATACTGTCAACAGTATACCATTTGCGCCTCACATCGACTGGCCCGACCTGGATGCCCTCGACAGCGGAATTGCTTCCTTGAAAAATTACCAAGGCATCGATGCAAATCAGACTGTTGCCGCGATTAACCGCTTCAACCAGACCGTACCAGATTTTGACCAGCTCGAGACAGACGTCCAGTCTGTGATCAACATCCCCTTTAAGGCTGTAGAGTTGCTGCTCAACGAGTCCATCGGGAACTGGACCATGGACCCGTCAGTTTTCCCGACGGCGAGCAAGCAGACCCTCACCTTCTGCACAGGCAACGATGTCCTCACGCAGTTCTTTGAGGCTCTCTTCACAGTCGTCAAGGACGCCAAGACAATTGCGATTGTCAGCCTGATCCTCGCAGCTATCCTCGCAGCCGTCGTAATGGCCTGGTGGGAAGTCAAAAGATACCACAGGTCCGTGGCCATGGCGCAGACCACACTCCACCGCCGCGAGCCCATGGACATCGTCTACATTGCAAGCCGTCCCCTGACGGCGCGCACAGGTCTCTGGATTGCTGAGAAAGTCTCGGCAGACCCGAGACGCCAGATGCTCATCCGGTGGTGCATCGCCTACGCGACGACCTACACGGCGCTCTTCGTTCTGTCCCTAGCCGTTGCTGGTGCGTTGTCTGTGCTCTGTCAGTTCTTGGTCATGCGAGCTGTGCAGAAGGAAGCGCCGGCTCTCACGCAGGTGGGCGGCTTCGTGACGGAGGTCATTGACAGGCTGGAGGGGATCTCGACGTCGTGGGCCAACGAAAGTAATCAGGCCATTGCGTCTTTTCAGGACGATATCAACGGCAAGGTCCTCGTATACGTGTCCAACGCGACGGATGCTGTCGTCAACGTGATCAACGTCTTTGAGAACAAAACAGAGCAGATTCTGGGGGAGGCACTCGGGACTGTACCCCAGCTAGAGAACTTTGCCAACGGGCTGCTCGACTGTATCCTAATCGACAAACTGGATGAAGTGAAGGATGGCATGGAATGGATCCATCAACACGCCCAGGTCTCTTTTCCAGCGTTTCCCACGGACATCTTCTCACTGGGCATCACCGCGAACTCTTCTTCTGCGGGAGACAACTCAAGCGTGTTCAGCCTCCTCGCCAGTTCAGGCAACAACACAGCAGACGATATCACAGGCGCCGTCGACAAGGTCGTTACCGCGCTCCGAACCAGCATCATCACGGAGGGTCTCATTGCGCTCGTGTTGATGCTTATCTACATCGCCTACGTTTTCTTTGCAGTCGCACAGGCGGCTCTGAGGATGTGCTTTGTTCGAGAACGGTATGGGACCTGATTATATTTATTGGAGATTATTAAGAAGATTGGAGTGTGTCGAAATTTTTGAATGGCTAACAATGATGGTCTCTTGTCTCTGGGACCTATAACTTACATACAGATTATCACCAAGCGGAATTGACCGCACGCCTTCCAGCATGGGCAATCGGCAGGGGCAACTGCACTCGTCCAATGATGAGACCAGAAGGTCTTCGAGTACACTGAGGTCCCTGCCGCATCGAGGTTCATCTATACCCAAACTTTCCGAGGTCACGGTGCTGGGCGATAATTCTGAAAGAGCGGGAGACACTTATGGGAAACCGAAGGGGCTGGCGGGCTCTAGGCATGTGGAGGTTCAGTCGATACTATCGGACGAAGACCCGTTTGGCGATGATGTATATGCGGTCGACAAAAAAAAGCGAGACAATAGGGAGCATGCCCATGTGAACCATGGATCAAAAGACAGGGAAGAGATCAATTTGACTCCTCGAAGAGGTCACTTCTTTAAAGAGGACGGAGACGGGTAGGATAGTCAGCATGGAAGCTTGTCTTTGTGTTAGGGACCTGCACATAACTTCAGTATATGACGTCTAAATGAATGAGAGAGGTTTGTTTGTACTCATGTTTGAATTTCCCTCTTGTATCTCCTCGATTCTATGCGCTCACTTACTGGAGACGTAATTATAAGGCTACAGATGAGATCTTGTACAATTCCGAAAGAATTGGGCCGGATGAGTTACAAGAACGCCTGGCTATAGCGCACACGCAACGTAGACTTACTATGTCATCAAAAAGACCCATCGAAGGAGAAGAAGAAATGGAGGTGGTAAAAGTCACGGTGGTTTCTGAAGTACCAATTTGTATTTCTGCTCGATCAACCAAAATCGGGTTTCATCCTCTTCCTTTTCTACAACTTGGCAACTGCTTACAAACTCAGTCCTCCTGGTGAAGTTTGGCAGAGTACACATGCGTTGCCCCGTGGAAGGTCCCACCCATGTTGTGCCCATAGATATGCTGATGTCCGCGCCCGGAGTGAACAGGCTGAAGCCCTGAGCCGTTGTTGTTGATATGGTAGACGTATCCAAACTGCTCTTCCTCCGTTAAAGATGGCGGCAGCTTTGCGACTAAATCCAGAGCTGCCTTTAACTCGTTTTGCTCTTTCTCTTTGATGAGCCCAAGAGGAGACTCTGCGACCTGAAGCATAGATGCCAGCATATCCTTCATCAGTGCTTCGACAGTCTCATCTACCGAAGTCTTCTGACGGTAACGAGTCTCGCGGCCCTTTGCGTCTCCCGGCACAACTGCTTCATATATTGTTGCCATCTTGGTCGCTTTGGTTCTGCAGTCGTCGACGAGTTGTTGAACGCTCGGATAACTTTCCTTTTGCTCCCTGGAGTCTTTGTCACAGTTCCGATCACTCAGACGGCGTTTGATGGCACAAAAAACGCTGGCAGTGGTGGATAGGTGCTCAAGAACGACAGGAAATGCTTCCGGCAACCCTTCGTCCTCGGGTCCCTTGAGACGGCTGGGGCCACAGACGTTGACGATCGTATCAATCGACAATAATATGTGGCTCACACATATCATGATCTTTGTGGCTGCTTGACTCGGCATTTTGGAAGGATGGCGCGGCTGGATCCAGTCCTTGATTCGAATTTTGTCTGAGGACATGTCCGGTGTGCAATGACGTGAGAAGCAACGAATTTATTTTATAGTTATATGTCAAGTTGAAAGGAGTTTGTGAGATCAACATTGAGGCTACAGGATGACAGAGCCTTAAAATGCATCAGACTACCAGATTTAGAGCCCAAATCCGAGCCATGATACATGCATATATGGTAATTACGACGTTCTTGCCGCGCTAGACTGATGAGTGTTCGAAATTCTCGGGTACTGAACAGTCACTCGACACCCACATTCAAGTAATCAGCTCATACATCCATTTCCCGCTTGGCTTGGACAGGAAGCTCTCGAATGCATGGAAAGCGATAGACTGTACAACTCAGAGTGGTGTGGGTGGCGCGGAATGCAATGCCATGTCACTCAAACTGAGATGGCATGGCGGTGAGATAAGTGGCACAACCCAGGTGGCTTCGCCCCCGAACAAGCTGCGTATAAGTACTTAAGTACTTATGCAATGTAATCAAACAGTGTGGACTCCTCCGAAAATCCAGCCGAACTAAAGAACGAAAAACGAAAAGAGGGGGAAAAGGTCTGGATAAGGCTGTGGAATCAGAGCCTTATTTGTCTCGATATCACCATTTTGCCCACACCAAGCTTCCAGCGAAAACAAGACGAAAGATTGTATGGTTAGACCCGCAACGACTTTGTGAGGCTCTGCGTTGACATCATTACAGATTTTTTGCGGTTATCCGAAACTCAGGATGTCGGGAATCGAGGTACTAGGGCTCATTTCGAGCATTATCTCGGTGATTGACGCCTCACTTGAAATCTACAACGCCGTCAAGGATGCATCCGGGCTGCCAGCATCCTTTCGCGACGTAGCATCGCGGCTACCTGTTATAAAGATCACCATCCGAAAAGCCATAGACGAATTCCACACAAACGAATCTGACGATTTTTACAAAGACATGAAGCCGTCACTCGAGATGTGCAAGGAAAAGGTCGAGGAGTTGGAGGGCATATTCCGCCATGCCATGCGTTCCAGCGAGGCGTCCCGAATAGCGAAATCACTCAATGCCATCAGAACAATACGCAAAGCAGAGAGGGTCATGTTGCTCAAGACAGGAATCATGGAGGACCTGCAAGTCTTGACAGCAAATCAAACTATCCGGACAGCAACGCGGGCACAGGTTCAAGAACTGTCAGACACAGTGAGCAGGGGCTCCTTTATACACCGTGGCAGCTCATTCATCTCAGTACGCAACACCGGGAATGGAAGACAGACAATTCATTCTGGAGCGGGCGACCAACGTACTGATGATGGTCCTTTGTTTAGTGGTGTCTTCAATGGACCATTATACTACACTCGAAGCAGATAGAAAGGAAAATCAGGCCCCGCCCGCCTCTGTGCCCAGATTTCGTTGTGACGCCAAAGGATGTTCCATGATAGCCACAATCATCTCCCAACCCCGCTCTTTTGCGATATCTTTTGCCGTCTGGCCTTCTGCATCCCGAATGTCAAGACTCGCTCCGAACTTGAGCAGAACATGGGCATCCTCTTCTCTTCCTAGCTCTGCTGCCAACATCAAGGCTGTCTTCTTTCTAGAGTCCTGAATGTCGACTTTCGCCCCCGCTTTTAGTAGCATGTATATAATATCCCTCTCATCGCCGGGTTTCACGGCATGATGGAGTGCCGTGGCTCCGTTTTGGTCCTGTATATCACTGGATGCCCTCTCTCTGAGCAGGTATTGTATCATATCCCGACGCCTCTCAAGTGCTGCATGAGCGAGAGCTGTCATCCCGTCAGCACTTGTTGCATTGATATCGACCCCATATGTTAAGAGCAGATGCACCACACGCTGGTGACCTTGCTTGGCTGCGAGGCACAGCGCCGTGGACGCTTCGCGCTTCACGTCTTCGTTCTCGCCTCCAGTTCCTCGATTGTTCAGTAGAATCCAGGATACCCAGGAATCTCCCTGGAGAGCAGCTAGATCCAGTGCGCTGAACCCGCTCAAGTTTCGAATGATCGGACTCGCATTTCGTATTGCCAGTAACCATGTAATCGAATTATCTCTGTGATCAACAGAGTAATGTAGCGCAGTTGAACCACTCGAGTCCTGCTCGTCAGCATTTGCTTTTTTGTCCAGCAGGAGCCAGACGATACGAGACCTGCAATGTTTGGTTGCCTGGATGAGAGGCGTGGATCCGTCCTTGTCCTTACGCTGTACATTGGCGCCGTGATCGATGAGAAGCTGCGCAATGCGTGCATAGCCATAGATTATAGCAGCCTCCAGAGGTGTGCTGCCGTTGTAGTCCTCGACATTCGTCAGAGCACCGTACTTCAGCAGCAGCGATACAATGTCCTCGGTTCCGGCTTGGGCTGCGGCGATCATGGGATGCCACAAGCAGCGTCCGGATTGTTTGACAAATGCGCCACCCTGAAGAAGTGATGAGACGATACAGAACTTCCACTTCGGGTCAGCGAGACTCATCGCTTGCCGGAAAGGAGACCAATCCCTTTCGTTTCCTACGACATCTGTGACGGGCTGGTGCTCTGCTAGAATCCGCATGGCCCAGACGGGGCCGTGCTTGATTACTTGCTCAAAAGGCGTGAGACCGCCTTTGCCCTTATTGCGCACGTTCATTTGACCAGCATCTTGAGCCACCAGCTGTGCAATCACTCTCTTGTACTTGGAACCAGCCCTAGAACCGGCAGCCGTGATCGCCATATGCAACGGAGTGTTCTCGTTAGCATCTCGGATATCGGGGCGAGCGGACTTTCGTAGGAGCAGATCGACAAATGATGCAAGCCCCTTCCCTGCAGCCCAGTGCAGCGGTGTTTGCCCCTGCGAGCACGTTGTGTTGACATCCATGCCTTCCTCGATGAGTTTTCCTGCCCAGGTGCCACAGTCAAAGTACACCAAGGCGTGGAGGCCGGATACCTTTGCAGGAGCATCCTTGACCACGGTCTGGAACCAGCTCGTGACCTTTCTGTCATGTCTCAATAGTTGCATGGCCTGTTCCTCAACTTCTGCTACGCCATCCCCGTTCTGTTGTTGCAGAATCGCCTTCCAGTACTCGGCAGCATATGGAAGGAAAGCGTATCTCCGTTTACGCTCCTGAACATCATCGTGGCTGGATGCTTCCTTGGAGAAATCATCAGAAAGAAGGTATTTCAGACACTGCCGCGCCATCATAGTGTAGGGCTCCCGCGACAGTAGACCGGCTTTCTGAAGAAGGTCTTGGACAGAGTCGTGAACCAATCGCACGACCTCATCTCTCGGGTTCACGAAGGCGAGACCTTCACAAACTGACGTCAAGTCTTCTGGAGGCCGGTCAAAGTGTCGATCAGAAGCATTTTCGGCTTTCGTGATGGCAAAACTATGTAGGAGCTCTTTCACCTTCATTGGTCGCGCGGCATATACCAGCCAAGTCAGTACGTGCCTTGAGAAGGCTCGATCGGATTCTGAAGATTGGTTCTTGATCCGCTCAATGGCGGAGTTGAACACCTGAGGTAGACCTTCGGGTGGCTTTTTGAGGGCGGTATTGAGGTCTCCCAGAGACCGTTGGTTGCGGAGGCCATTGATATGCAGCGTAGCAACAAGTATTCTATGTATAGCGGACGTCAGCAACTACTCAAACAGTATGAGCACCCGAGATCTTGAATGTATGCATTGTCTAATGCCCAACGTACACTTCTTTGCTTGCAAGCCTGATACATTTAATCACCTTTTCCTTGAACCCTGGCTCTTCGGCCTGCCCTTGTCGCACCAGCCGTTGTAAATTCTCGTCTTCGTCAATGCGATACCTCACATAGTCTTCAATGTCGGTACCATGTGATCGGACCAATAGTTCGTAATCCCTGCTGGTCTGAAGGATGTTAGCCACAGCTGGGCCGGATGCTGTGGTGATCAGGATCTTGACATGGCACGGCAGGCTTTGTATGGTGTCCAGCATCAACTTTTGTTCTCTGAGAGAACTTTCATAATTGTCGAGTGCATCGATTACGAGGTATACTTGCTTGAATAGGGCAGATTGCAAGCCAAGAAGTTTAAGCAGCTCCTCGACCGGAAGGGGGTTCTCGGGCTCGTGGGCTTGATACTTGGCGTGAACTGCTCGCAAGCCATCTGCACATTGATCATCTTCACCTTGGACTATTCTCTGCTGCAACAGTTGGGCCAGCAAGCATGCCAAGACCTGTACCACCGTTGGTTGCCTGGTTTCTCTTTGGAAGTAGAAGAAAATGCAGGCCGTGTCGTTGCGCGATTCGACTCTCTTGCTCAGGTGGTCAATGATCAAGGAGCTGAAAACCACGTGGTGAGCGATGATGATTTTTTTTAGGCATGAAAGGACACAAGCAACTCACGCGAGCATGGTTTTACCGGACCCGACTGTCATGCAGAGAATGTCAGAGAAACCAATGAACATGCCAACATGAAGAAATGGCATCGCAGATATCAACTCACAAATGCCATGCATCCACAACATTCGACGTTTGATCTTCCAGTCTTTGAGCTCGTCACTGTCCAGAACCCATGTCCCTATCTCAGCAACCCGTTGTTGCTGGAAATTGCTGTGCAATTGCTGAACATAGGGCTTATGGAATGGTGCTGCCTGCGAATTCAACCATTTGACGATGTTCCTCGCTGTCTCTGAATTACCTTGAATCAGCAGTGATCTTTTACGCAAATGATACCAGTCATTCTGATACGTACGGGTTTGCTCTTCAGGTGCATCGGCAGGGCTGTAGAACTCAAGTCGCTCAATGTGAACCGGGCTAGGGCCCGTAAAAACGATCTGATTACCACGTCCTGAATGCAAAGGCTGTGTGCCGGTGCTCGTGTTGCTCGCTTTGACCTTGTCGCTCGAGTTGTCAATTTCCGGAATGTGAGATGGCATCTTGAAAAGCAAGGCAGCATTGTTCATGTGAAACCCCTCTCGGACAACAGCAGAGAGACACATCTAGTGCAGAATACCGGGCTCAAGTATTTATAAGTACTTGTAGAAGTACTTACTGAGTGACCTTGTCAAAATCGCACAGAATGTGCCAGACAAGGCTACGGGCTCTACAATGGATTAGTTCAAGTGGGTACACAACGGCAGGTTTCGAAGGAGCAGTTACATTTAACCCCGATCTGTTCAGCATACCGAGTGCAAATCCCTTATGCAAAGAGGCCTCTCTTCTGTATTAACTGTATCAAGCACCCACCTCCGCGCTGACCACCCTCACGCCTCTGAGGTAGTCATTCAGCTCGCATGCAGGGTCGCAGGGCTGACTTGTGGCAGTGAACCAAACCTTCTCGGGCTTCTGTCCATGCGGCTGAAAACGGGTTTGCATCCAGTTTCTATTGGAAAAAGAAATGTTTTAAACACCTGGGCGAGGGCCCCGCGGTAGATTTTTGAGGTTCCAGAACGTCCACGGGCACGCTCAAATCTCTCTCTCTCTCCTTCGGCTCACAATGTCGTCGCTGGCTTCATATCTTGATTATACTCCAGAAGATACAAGACGGCAAGGTTTGGCTTCCAGCCTGCCCAAAAGATTTGCTCGACAAAGCCAAACTTCATCACAGCGCACGACATCGGGCTTTGAGCGCCCTCCATCAACGGAAACGTCCAGTGACGAGTTCTACCAAGATGAACGTCTTCGCAATCCCTTTGGTCGACAATCCGAGTCGACACATAATGGCTATGCCCTTGACCCTTATCGACATGGCTCGTATCAATATCGGAGTGCTCCTGGTATCGTTCCATTCGGCCCACCAAATTATCCGGGCCCAGGACGGTACGCACCACCAGCACAGGGTCAGCCACCATGGCCACCGACGTATTATCCAGGCATGAACTACAACTCGGCAGATCCCCTTGCACAGCCTGCTGAGCAGAATAAAAAAAATCTGAATTCAGATCTTCGACTTTTACGCGAGGAGCTGGACCTTATCAAGGCAGAGAAGCAACAGGCCCAGCTTCAAGAAGAGAATAGAACGAAAGTGATACAGCTCGAAATGAAGATTTTCAAGGATGAGATCATAAATCAGGCAATACGACAGATACAGAACGTCACATCCGAGAAAGAGGCTGTGGCCCATGATCGAGACAGAGAGATATTACAAGGCGAACCAAACTCACAGCGCATGCATCCCAACGCAATAGGAGATCGCCAGGAAGAATCAGACCGACGGCATTCGAGGACATATCTCGACAACCTTGACTATCGTGATTTGGCACGGCTCGCCTCCCGGTTTTATAGAGAAACAGACCAGCGCAAAAAGACAGCAGAGAGATCCAGAAACAGACCAGGACAGAGCAACCGAGTGAGGCCTAGGCGGGATACAGGACAGCAACAGCCAGAGCAGGTATTCATACCGAGGCGCAGGAAAGAGACGGAATACATCAAGCCATCGCAGCCAGGCTCCAAGAGAGTAGTGATGAGTGGTGCATTGCCATTGCCCAGGATAGTATCCAAACCAGGGAGGACGAAAGGGCCGGGAGTATCAGAGAATATGGCTCAAGACACCTTGATGAATGATCCATCCAATGTGTCTCCTCAAGACAGCAGAAGACCAATCCTGCCGCCTTCCAATGGGAGACATATCCCTGGTGCCAACTTTCGGAAAGGGCCTCCCGCACCAACAGCTGAGGACGCAACGGCCTCGCCACCTGGTCCACCTTCTGCACCTCTTCCAGTCCCTTCGCTTTCTTTGTCCCCTTCTCCCCTTCGGCGCGAGACAACGACAGGGAGACAAAAGAAGTTGAAAATACAAATCCCATCTCCAGGCTCAGTTGGGCCTCTATCGGAGAGAAATGAGACTCATCATGCAGGCCAAGCCGCCCAGTACGCCCGAGAACAAGACAGCAACGTACTTTACGGGGATGAAGCGCTGAGGCATTTCGAGAGTGTGCCTGGAAGCAAATACAGCCCGGCACCACGTAGACAAATGTACAATGGTATACCAGGTATGTCTCGTGGTCAAACCCGGGGGGAAACCCATAACGACACTGGGTGGGGGCGGGTGGGACGAGATCAAGACGAGCACTCCCCACAATCTGGAATTGATGATCATTCCGAGGAAGATGGCTGGCCTGAGGAGGATAGAGATCGAAAGCTGCACGCTCACGTTGAGGATGAGGCAGCCTCACCAGCACCTGAAGAGGTTGACTCGAAAGAGCAAACATATACTGGCTCTGCTATGGATCGTGATCTAAACGGCTTCCACTCCAGGCCTCAGTCTGGTTTACCGTCTGAAGATCGCTCAACTCCCTCTGTCCTTGATATTAGCCAACCAGGCCCTCATACTCCGCAGTCGGAGTCTGTTTCACTTTCATCAGTAGACAGCCCTTTGCGACGCGATGGTTTGGAGCAATTTCGTCTTTCTCCTGAGTCTCTTGATGGACAGCGGCCTATTTCCAGTTCGCAGTCATATGCAGATCCCAGAGGAGCACAATCGAGGAAACCTGAAATGGACTTCTTCATGTTCCGTCGCTTTAAGAAGAATATGTACGATGCCATGATGGATGCCCTTTACGACGCATACCACTGCCTCCAACCTCCCGCTGTGCATGTGATACCCACGATGGCCACTATGCTCCAGGTGCCCCAAGTCATAATGAAGGAGGCGCGGCCCCCCAGAAAGTCGTCTTTGTTTGGTGACGACACTTACCTTTCACTGGACGACGATTCTGACGACAGAACAACTCGGACACAGCGTCGAAGCCGCCGGGATCGTCGACACAAGCGAGGCCCGGGTTCATCACAGTTGTCACCAGAGCACCATCCCTCGCACACGGATGACTTCAATTTTAGCCCAAGCAAGGGAGATGATGAGACACATGGTGGTGTCCAGCATTCTACGAGGGACGATGCGACGGTACGAGTTGATGGTCACCACGGGAGAAGTAACGACCCCGGGCAGCCAGAACAAGACCTCAACACTCTCCTGGCAGAGCCGGCCATTCAGCAGCGATCTGATAGCGAACCTGGGAACGCGTTGGCCGACTATACAGGACCCAATGGTGGTGAAGACGCGCATGATGATGTGCTTGAATCGGACTCGGAACAGAGCTTCAAAACCGCGTCGGCCGGCTCCTCAAGGCGCGGAAGTTTCGAGGGCAGAAACGGGCCAGATGTGCGGCCTACGGGAGCAGCCATGGCTGTCGAGGCCTTGCAGTTGAATCACAGCGATGATTTGAATTCCCAGTGGGATTCAGATTCGAATGAAAGCCGGTCGACCGCTGCAAATAGAAGGCCTCCAGTAGCAACCCCCCCAAGTGCAGAAACCCGAGACAAGCATTACCGTCCGTCACACAGAGTGCGGCTGGCCAAACCTACCATGATGATGGTCCCTGTGGCAGCTCTCTCCTACTACCTCGTCCCACTTGGCCACCACGGCGCACGCAACAGTTTCGCTGTTCCCCATCAGCATCAGTGGTTTTCGCAGCCATCATCGATACCTCGAGCGCAAGCTAGATCTGAGACACCCGAGCCAGCATCAAAGGACCTGTGGGATCGAATTCGCCGCCAAAGACATCAGAGATACAAAGACGAAGAAAGTGAATCAGGCTTCGAGAGCAGCGAGGAAAGCGAAGACTCCTACATGTAGATATCTTCCTAGAATCAATAATGAGCACCTAGAAATCATAAAATGCTGGAAAAGACCTAGTTTAGATGTCGAAGTTTCGGGGGGGGGGGGTTGTTGCTTTGAAGTTGTTGTATTGGCGGACCTCACTTGATCCGACCCTCGCATGCATGTTCTGAGTGCATCTTCTTTCACAAAGGAGTTACAGAAGTTCGTTCCGCTGCTACACGTTGGGGGGTGGCGATAACGATAGCGGGAGACGCTGCAGCAGCAGCATCATGCATTATTTAGTACTAAGTAGACAAGCGCCCCTCCACTGTGTCATCGCACCCCACCACACCCACTAAACCACCCACTGAGGGGCAGATGCTGAGAGGCCGAGGACGGGACCGGGGATCGGTGCAGGGGGGCGTGGCTCTACTATGACTGTTCATACTGCTGTCTTTGGCTCCGAATAAGAAATTTGGTGACTCAAGAAAGACATCACTTATATAGTACCTTCCTCAACATCCTCTCCCAACTCCGTGTTCTCCTGCTCTTGTACAACTTTCACAGAGCCAATTGAACGTGTGAGATCACCATGGAGGCACTCAAGCAGACTTTCCAACGATGCAAGGCGGAGAAGAGGGTATGTCCAGCGCTCTTTTCACCAACACCAACGACGTCTTGTCTCGTCAAAGAGATCATCGCAGTTTACTGACGCGAGCAATGCGGCCAACAACAGAGCGCCTTGGTCACATACGTGACGGCTGGCTACCCCAAGGCCGAGGATACGCCTCAGATCATGCTGGCTATGGAGAAGGGAGGCTCTGGTAAGTTTCTGCTCTTAGCTATGCTTCTTCTTCCTCTTCTTGGAAAAAAATTGTGTCTCTGGCTGACTGCGTTGCGACTGGCAGACATCATCGAGCTCGGAGTGCCCTTTACAGACCCTATAGCAGACGGACCCACGATCCAGACCTCCAACACTGTCAGTTGGAACAATGCCATCTATGGCTACTCCGAAAACCTTCTGCTTCTAGCCTCGCTGACCACAGGGAGCAGGTCGCCCTCGAAAATGGTGTCACGCTGGCCACCACCCTCCAGATCGTTCGCGACGCCAGGAAGCAGGGGCTTAAGACCCCCGTGTTGCTGATGGGCTACTACAATCCTATGCGTGCATACGGCGAGGAGAGGCTACTGCAGCACTGCAAGGAAGCTGGCGTCAACGGTTTCATCCTCGTTGATTTGCCGCCAGAGGAGGCCATCTCCTTCCGGAAGCTCTGCTCGAGCGCAGGGTGAGTCAGAGACCACAGGCATTTTGACATGGACACGCATAGCAGACTTCTTACACTCTCTATACACAGTCTTTCTTATATCCCCCTGATCGCACCGGCCACCTCCGAGAACCGCATGCGCATCCTTTGCCAGCTGGCCGACTCGTTCATCTATGTCGTCTCTCGCATGGGCGTCACTGGCGCGTCAGGCACCATGAACGCGGACCTACCCAACCTGCTCGAGCGCATCAAGAAGTACTCTGGCGACAAGCCTGCCGCTGTCGGCTTCGGTGTCTCCACACGTGACCACTTCGTCAGCGTGGCACAAATCGCGGACGGTGTGGTCGTGGGCAGCATGATCGTTACTACCCTGCAAAAGGCACCAGAGGGCCAGGGTCCGAAGGCTGTCCAGGAGTACTGTTCGTACCTGTGCGGCCGAACGCCCGAGGAGGGTCTGACGAGGGAGGTGGGCGTCATTGAGGCAATTGCTGAGGCTAAGGAACCCAGCAGCACGCCTACGGTCAGTGCCGTAGTTACAGACGACGGTGTCAAAGGCGACGATTCTGCACTAGTAGCGCAACTCGCCCACATGCACAACAAGATTCCCGACCGCTTTGGAGAGTTTGGCGGGCAGTACGTGCCTGAGTCGCTCATGGACTGTCTGTCCGAGCTGGAGGATGGCTTCAACAAGATCAAGGACGACCCGGTGTTCTGGGAGGAGTTCAGGTCGTACTACCCGTACATGGGCCGCCCGGGTCACCTGCACCTTGCTGAGCGGCTGACCAAGTATGCCGGTGGTGCAAACATCTGGCTCAAGAGAGAGGATTTGAACCACACCGGCAGCCACAAGATCAACAATGCTATCGGTCAGATCTTGTTAGCAAGAAAGCTGGGCAAGACCAAGATCATCGCCGAGACTGGTGCTGGTCAGCACGGTGTTGCCACGGCGACGGTGTGCGCCAAGTTTGGCATGGAGTGCACAGTGTACATGGGCGCGGTAAGTCAAATCGCCATCCAAGTTTTGAAGCAAAAGGAACAAAAGAAAGGAATGAATGAATGAGAAAAGGCGCTGACCAATATACAGGAAGATGTGAGGCGCCAAGCTCTGAACGTGTTCCGCATGAAGCTACTCGGTGCCAAGGTTGTCGCCGTCGAGGCCGGCAGCAAGACGCTCCGGGACGCTGTCAACGAGGCTATGCGGTCCTGGGTAGTGCATCTTGAGGACACCCACTACATCATCGGATCAGCCATCGGGCCACACCCCTTCCCGACCATCGTGCGGACGTTCCAGTCGGTCATCGGTAATGAGACCAAGGAACAGATGCTTGCGAAGCGGGGCAAACTGCCCGATGCCGTCGTCGCATGTGTTGGCGGAGGTAGCAATGCCGTGGGCATGTTCTACCCCTTCTCCAACGACCCCTCGGTCAAGCTGCTTGGTGTCGAGGCTGGTGGTGACGGTCTCGACACCAACCGCCACTCGGCCACGCTGTCAGGAGGCACCAAGGGTGTGCTGCACGGTGTGAAGACATATGTGCTGCAGAACGAGCACGGCCAAATCCAGGACACACACTCTGTATCTGCTGGCCTGGACTACCCGGCTGTCGGACCGGAGCTGTCGTCCTGGAAGGACAGCGAGCGCGCCAAGTTCATTGCCGCGACGGATGAGCAGGCGTTCTTGGGCTTCCGCCTCATCAGCGAGCTGGAGGGTATCATCCCCGCGCTGGAGTCGGCACACGGTATCTACGGAGCTCTCGAGCTGGCCAAGACAATGAGCCTGGACCAGGACGTCGTGATCTGTCTCAGTGGTCGCGGTGACAAGGACGTGCAGAGTGTTGCGGATGAGCTGCCCAAGATCGGACCCAAGATTGGCTGGGACCTGCGATTTTAGATGACGTCTATAATGGTGTCTTTGAATTATTCTGGCTGAAAAACATGCCAGAGGTAAGAATCTTTTGGTTGTTCCGGTTATGTAAATATCAAGAGTTGTTCTCAAAAGTCATAGAAGAGAGAGAAGTCCATGGACTGGGTTGTACATGGCACCTTCGGGATTCTCCCAATCGATGATGCTGTTGATATCTGTATATGGTTTTTGGTTTTGATCTTTTTTTTAGGTCGCATGCGCAGTCCGTGCATGCTCTCCCTCCCTCGACCAGGAAGATTATAATCTGCCCTCATCTGGACCCAGGGCAAACTCCTCCCCGGAACTCAACATACGATCCATCTCCACAATCATCTGCTGCCTCTGGGCATCATCCGCCGCCTTCACCATCTCATCTGCCGCCAACATCTCCGCCTCAATCTCCGCCTCCGTCTTGGGTATCAACCCCAGCTGTTTCCTCTGCTGGATGAACCTCTCCCGCACAGCATCGCTCTGCATAAGCCTCCACCGCAGCTTCCAGCCCCAGGGCCCCAGGTCCTTGATCCGCTGCGCCTTGTCCCCCAGCAGGTACTCATCCAACCCCCCACACTTGTCAATCGTCCGCAGCACGCGCGTCGTCACGCGGGTCTGCACGAAGCACTGCAGGGCCGGCGACCACAGGCGCCTGCGCTGGACGTTGGGGCGCCACTTGCGGTGCGTCTTGACGTTCCACTTCTCGGAGACGTTGTTGCCGAACTGGAGGCGCGCGGAGCCGTACAGGCCTGCGTTGGACTGCTTGTAGATCTTGCGCGGGCCGTAGGGGTAGACGGGGATTTGCTCGTCGCGGGCGTGCGGCTTGGGGATGGGCAGGCTTGCGCCGTGGCTGTCGCGGGGGATGCCCTGGCGCGGGTAGCCCGTGGCGAGGGCGGCTGGCGAGGTGCTGAAGCATCGTGTCGTTGGTGTTGTTGCCGCTGTCTTGCTCGTCGTCCTTGAGGCTATTGAGGCGACTGCGAGGGAGGTCGGGGCTGTTTGTTGCGAAGGGAGGAGGAAGTGGGATGTTGTCGGCCTGGGGAGGAGGCCAAATCGCAGCGTAGAAGCCATGATGATGGCAGTCGAATTTGGCCGAGGAAAAGATGGTATGTAGATTGCTATCGGCTGGCCATTGACGAAATATTTGTTACGTTGTAGCGGGCGCGGAGCCTGAGCGCAGGTTTGGTGGGCGGGGTTTTGGTTGTGGTTTGAAGGTTTGGTAGGAGCTCTAGAAGGCTGCTGAAGCTCTGGTCCCGAAATTTCCCAAGCCTCGCGCCAGCAAGTCCGCTGCGGCACCGCTGTGGTCACGTGAGCACCCGACTTCCCAACCCAAACCGACCACGCGTCCATGTCTACGACAACGCGTCAACTGATCCGGCCTGGCACACGAGGACTGCACTGTCATTATGCTACCGCCTGTGGAGGAATCCGTGTTGAAGAGCAACCCTGAGTTTGCGGCTCTCCACAGCACACTCACGACGGCTATTTTGAATTCAGATGGGACAACCAAGGATGACCAGAGCAGAGCGGCCAGGGAAAGAGAGGCAGTTCGCAAGGCATGTCATATTTGTTTGCTACTTTTTTTTTATATATATCTCTTATGGAAACTTTTTCTTGTCTGACTTTTGTGCACAGGAACTTGATGTCTATCGGTTGAAATCAGCCAAGCAACATCTGCTGGCTCAAGCCATCTCGTCCGCAGCGCCTCCTGAGCCAAGAACAACAACAACAGCTAGGAGGGGTAAGCCCTCATCAACGTCCCTGCCAGAGCCGTTGCTGGACCTCTTGTTGCTCCTGCCGCCACTGCTCACCAATGCCGAGCAGCTCTCCCAGGAGAGTCTTTCATTGTTGCTATCCAGTCCACCGTTCTCGTCACTCGACGATCTGCTGCCTGAGCTAGCAAGCCTCGTCTCCAGCAACCTGCAGTCCTCCGCCGTTCAGCTCGCCCGCGCAGCAAATTCAAACACGAACGCCTCCTTTCTCCACCGGCACATCTCCTCCGTCCCGAAGCACATCAGCACCCTCTCGTCCGCCGCAAGCCAACAGTTCGCCAGCCTAGCCAAGGCCCGCCTGGCAGCCGCCAACTCCCTGATCACACTCCTAGACAGACACGCGCAGGCACTGACCAGCCTCATCCGCTCCCTCGAGGCCAAGCACGGCGGCGTTGCCCGGTCACTGGAGCTTCGCGCCGCCGAGGTGGCCCTGGAGGCGCAGCGCGGTGAGATGGCCGTCGAGACGGTGCTATGGAATGTGCGCAGGGATGTGTACACGCCTGAGGTGCGCGATGCGCTGCGGAATTATGCAGATCATGTCCGGGATGGGCAGCGACGGCTGCGGGAGGCAGCCAGGGCGGCGGAGGCGGAGCTGGGGGAGTATGGCGTTCAGCTTGACGACGAGGAGGGCGGTGATCCGGTCAGGGAGAGGAGATTTAGAGAGATTGCGAGGGCGCATCGAGACGTGAGGAGGCAGATCGATGAGGCTAAGAGGGATTTGTCACGCCTTCGCTGATGGAGGCTTGGCTCGTTAGGCTGGCACGTCTGAGACGTTATGGAGACCATTGCTGCTGCGTCTGCACCACAGCAATTTTTGGTCATCTTTTGAGAGATGGAGGCCGCCTTCTTTACACAAGTATCAAGAATAAGTTCTTGATCTAGCTACGCTCCCTGGTACGTCAAACTCCAACCTAAGCGCTTCTGTTCCGTCCCTAAGCTCGCTCTGACCAAAATGTATCATGACTCTAGTGTTGCTTGGACTCGCTTTCCTCCTCGGTTTCTGACATAGTTCTGCATTGGCTTTCCGACTCCGTCAGCTCTGGTGTTTTCTCCAACAGCTGCGTCATTAGGAGACGTGTGCCGCCGCGTAGAACCCACGCGTACTGCAGTTCCCAAGGGCTTACTGTGCATGCTGCCTGATTGCCTTGTGCTTGGTGGGGATCTCTTGGCAGCATAAGACGGCCAAACAATCGGCACTGTGATCGACCCGTCTTACTTGCCGCCCAACAGACACAATCTCTGCTGTTTAACAGCGGTCGATTTAATGCGACAGTCGAATTTAGAGTAAGTATTCCGGGGATTGAGAAATCTCGAGTACCTTGTACATTAAATAGTATAGACGACAGAGTATCCAGGGTTAGGGTGTCTCATACTGGCGGCTGTTTTACTTGTACAAAATACAGTATCCCCCGCACCTACTTTGTTTGGCGTCACTTAGGTCTGACGATTTACTTCATTGTAGTATGAATATCGGCAAAATACCAGGTACTTCTGGCCTGAGATATCTTGATCAGATTTCTCGCATAGCTTTTTCATATGTAGTGAATTCTCCAATCTACACAAATTTGCACGAATTTCAGCCGCTCCCAGATCTTAAGTGTTGCATAATTACATAATTCCCATACCACCGGTCAAGATGATTCAACAAACCCGTTTCGCCCACGATCTTGCTAAGCTGCTCACACCACTCCCATGCCGTGCTCCCAACAGCACGCACGAGGCTGGCCCCTCTCAACCTGATGTAACATCCTGGTACAATACCTCTGGGGTCACAGTCGCTGCCGCCACTTCATCAGCAGCGGCTCACGACGCCAACATTTGTCACGCCGAATGGGGCGCCAGACAACTTCCCAGTGGACCAACTCCCGATGCAGAGACGCTCTTCCAAGCCTGTTCCATCTCCAAGCCCTTCCAGAGCCTGGCTATTCTCCACTACATCAGTGAGGGGGCCATCTCGAGCCTCGATGACCCCGTCAAGCTGTATCTATCGGAGGCGACATACCGCACGCTCCTCGACACTTCGATCCGAAGGGGTATGCCGGAGAAACTGGCCGCCCAGATGCTCGACAGGATGACCATCACGCAACTTCTCTCGCACACGGCGGGCACATCGGCCTCGGGCTTCCTGGGCTACCCGGAGACGAGCAGCCGTGTGCTCTCAACGACAGAGATCCTGAAGGGTGGGTTCGGCAATGCAAACAGCCCGGCTGTGTACGTCCACGCCCTACCTGGGGTGCAGTTTGAGTACTCTGGCGGCGGTTCAACGATCCTGCAGGCCATGCTGGAGAACATCGGTGCCGGTGACGGCTTCGGCTCGTTTGCGGAGCTGATGAAGGCCAAGGTCCTGGAGCCGTTGGGCATGATGAGGTCCTTTTATTGTGGCGGTGTGCGCCTCCCAGAGGACGAGGGGAACTACGCCACAGGCTATCAAAACGGTGTGCATGCCCTGGAGGCTGGCGAGTATCACGTCCATCCAGAGCAAGGTGCTGCTGGGCTTTGGACGACGTCTGTGGATCTCGTCAAGGGCATAACAGGCTTCGCTCACACGCTGCTCGGAACTGCCTCGGCCATCAAGCTGAACGGAAAGCCGTGGATCCGACCAGAAGTGGCCCAGGTCATTCTGCAGAAGCGGTCAGAGCTTGGGCATGGGGAGACTACGTACTACTGCGGCTTCGGTGTCGCCTTCTTCGATGGGGAAGACGAGTTTGCGAGGGATGAGCACCTTGTGAGGATCTCACATGCCGGGGGAAACCATGGCTATCGATGCTGGGCGGCAGCTGTGCTTCCACTTCCCGACAAGATCGATGCGAGTCAAAAGGATAATATCGCCATTCATGCACAAGCAATCATGACGGACTCTAACTATGGCGGAGAAATTGTGGGTCCACTGATGGCCGCCATCAGCGAGATGCTCGACAGCCCTCTCGGACCAGGAGGGTTGGCCACGTACGGAGAATTCACGCCCTTTATTGCTCTCGAGGAGGAGACCATAGCGGCAGAGCCCAGCTTGGATGCGTACGAGGGAGAGTGGGAGATCAAGGACAGGTCTCAGACGCTACGTATCGTGACGAGGCCGAAGCCGGTTGTCATATTCAGCCACCTGCAGGATGTTGAGCTGCCACTCTGGGCGGTGGCAGCGAGGAGAGGTCCTGGCTTTGTGAGGCTGCGCGCCAGTTCTTTGGATGTGGTCCTGGATTTTGGGGCCAAGAAGGGCGACGGTGAGGCATCGTTAACACTCTGTACTGCTGGCTCCAGGATCAAGTGCTCCAAGCTGCGCTCAGGACAGTAAGTGCCTCAACAAGCCAGGATGCTTCGATTCAAGAGATAGGAAACAATATAAAATGAAATTTGCTGAAATCCACGGAATGCTTTGTGCAACGCGGATATCCTCAACACGCAATTGAGATTTGAGGAGATGCACTGTTGTCTGGCGTTTACTATGGGCTGAGTAAGCCTCCATAACCCTAGCCCTGATTTTTCCTCATACCCCTACAGTTGCTGCCTGTCTTTTGAGTTGCCAATCAACCAATCATTCATAGGATAGTCGAGACTACGCAAACGCATCTACAATGACACAGCATGGCACCTTGAAAGTGTTTCACTTTCTGTCTGCGGCTCTCACTTAGTTTGTCTAAATTATGCTCACTGGAAGCTAGTCAATTTTCACGTGGCTTGACACAGCGTGGTGCCAACATTGAACTCTGTCAAATCACCAGAGATGCATAAGGTGTCCTCCGAGATGGGCACCTCCCAAGAAGCTCTTGGACCGGGGGCAATGCCGAAGAGCTTTTTTCCTTTTTTTTCGTGGCTGAGCAGGCACAACCACGCGCCTCACACGTCTTTTTTGTACATATTTTACCAGTCTCTCTGCAAATGACTCGACTGCCCCGAGGTATGACGAAGGCGGCGTGAGACAGGCAGGCTGCTGCCGCAAACCCTGGAAGAATTTCAGGTACGCTTGGAGATACCGAGTCAAGTCCAGATTGACTTGGAAGATTACTTATTTATTTAGCCTCGGCGAATTGATTGCACTGCACTGCCTTGGTTATTAGCCAAGTAAAGGTTTTATCAACAATACATTAACGAAACTGGGCATAGGTCGTTCTCTACTTGCCTAGGCAAATAACTGGGAAGTTGGAAGAATGCCTTCAGAATCTTTCTCATCCAGGGGGTCATGTTGCAGATCGCTTGGCAGGAGAGATCGGCACAGGATGCATGAACAGACTTTTGCTGTGAGCTCTAAAAGCCACGTGCGGTGGACCCAGTCAGTTGGGCCCAGGACGAGCACAAGAAGACTTTGTAGCTCCTTGTAGCCACTTTTCTGCATTTTCCTTTTGAGATGATAATACTGTGCTGCGATCTTCTCTGCTGCCCGCCACTGATGCTGCGGTCTTCTTGATGGATGATACAATACCAGGGATCTCAAGAGAGAAGCCGTATTTCTGCTGCTCACCTCTACCTCACCACCGAAACTATGAGAATCGAGGTGACGCACGCGTTATTGCTATGACCTGGACTTAAAGCAACTCCCTGCATGTCCCCGTTCAACAGTAGTACTCCAGTATCGCGGATGATCCTCGGTGAGATAAGACATCCTGCCGGAAGAGAGATTGTCCAGAGAGGATGGCGACAAACAATTCTTGGATCCGTCCCACTTGAGGCGCTCGCATTCTCTTCTGCTAGGCCCCACGACCTTCTGTGGAGCACCCGAGGTTCAGCGGGAAGATCCGACAGCACATAGTAAGCACTCAGTCTTGTTAGCGGCGTCGCCACTAGAAGGTCTCACAGCTTAGTAAACGGAAATCTTTTTTTTTCGGAGTTTGCTGAAGGTAGCCGAATCCAAGTGTTCTTCGCCGGTGCTTTCAGATTACCAATTAGCCTTTGTATAATTTTTTTTCACTCCTTGGTCCTTATCATTTCATTCCTACATCCCAGTCCGAGGAGCGGCACAGAATCTTTCGCCCACGACATTGTTCTAGAAGCGCGGTTTCTCCCCTGGTTCAAAAGTAAAAGGGGAAAAAAGGAGGACCCCACCATGACGTTTCCACTAGGCCCGTCGCATCGAGTTTAAAAACTACACTCTCCATTACCAATCTCGAAGAAAAGAAAATCCCATCGTCGGTGTTAGGTGAAGAGTTTTTCCCTTGACGGACGTCATTGAAGATCGTGATATTACGCGCCAAGGGCTTTGGTAATCAAGATAAATAAATATATAACGTAGAAACTTATATATATGAAGCGAGCCGCGTGTATACGAGTGAAATTTGTATCTGAGACTGAAACTCCACGCCACACTACAAATCAACAAACAATTCCCATCTCCACAACCAAAAAGAAAAAGAAAACAGAAGAAGGAAAAAATTATTGCAAAATCACATACACACACGATGCCTACTTTCACTGTGTTCAAGGGAGCCAAGGATGGCAAGGTGATCAAGTCCTCCACCACCAAGCCTGACGAGCTCACCGGCGACAAGGTCCTGCTCAAGGTCACCGCGTCGGGACTCTGCTACACTGATATTCACTACAAGACCGCCGACATGGCCCTCGGCCACGAAGGTGTCGGTGTTGTCGAGGATGTTGGTCCTGATGTCAAGCAGCTGAAGAAGGGCGACCGGGTTGGCTGGTATGTATTTCTCCTTTATTCCCTGGCTTTCTACATATAAGTGTCAGCAATACAGCGCATACAGATCAAACAAGGATTGTAACTAATGTGCGGTCTTTAGGGGATACCAACACGACAACTGCGGGCTCTGCAAGCAGTGCCTCACTGGACAGGAGGTTTATTGCGCAGAGAGAGTCATGTACGGCTACGCCGACCTGGATCAGGGCTCGTTTGCCTCTCATGCCATCTGGCGCGAGGCCTTCCTCTTTAAGCTCCCCGACGAGCTCAGCGACGAGGATGCCGCTCCTCTGTATGTGTGATCTTTTACCTCCTCCTCCTCCTCCTCCTACGGGTCGTGATGCTAACATGTTCTCCTTTCTCCTAGCATGTGCGGAGGCGCCACTGTCTGGTCCGCCCTGACAAGCTACAATGCCCGCCCCACGGAGACAGTCGGCATTCTGGGCGTCGGCGGGCTGGGTCATCTGGCCATCCAGTTCTGCGCCAAGTTCGGCTGCCGCGTGGTGGTGCTGTCCGGCACCGACAGCAAGCGGGACGAGGCGATGCGCCTGGGTGCGCACGAGTTCATCGCCATGAAGGGTGCCACCACCCTGGAGGTGTCGCAGAAGCTTGACCGCCTGCTCGTGACCACGTCCGCCCAGCCTGACTGGGCGCTGCTCACCTCCATCATGGCACCCGGGTCCACCATCCACCCGCTCTCCGTCAGCAGCGGCAACTTCAGCTTCCCTTACACGCCCCTCGTCACGCAGGGCTTTGCTGTCCAGGGCAGTGTCGTAGCCCCCCGCCAGATCCACCGCGACATGCTCACCTTTGCCGCCCGCAACGGCGTCAAGCCTGTTATTCAGGAGTTCCCCATGACCGAGGAGGGTATCCGGGAGGCTATCGACAAGCTCGAGAAGGGCGAGGTGCACTTCCGGGCTGTGCTGAAGCCTCAGGCTGGGAAGCTGTGAAAAGATTAAAATAATTGTGTGATTGAGGGTTTGTTCTTCTTTTCACTTTTGGAGATTAGAGCGTGGCGTTTGTAGACGAGGAGAAAAACTCTGGACTATACTGGGAATCGGGAGAATGGGTAGTAGACCTGGCGTGACTGGAGAGAGGAAGGAACTCTTTCAAGAGCAAGGACATGGTGCTTAGAAGGAAGGAAACAAGACTTCCAAGGTTGGCACGGAAGCTGGTCTTGGCAATATTAGCATTTTGGATATAGAAGCATTCTCAAGGCATATACAAACAACATCAGAAAAATTCAATTCACTATGCGTGTCTGCGCAACAATTGTACTATGGACTTCCTCCAGCCCGCGCCCTTTTATTGGCCTTACAGCTTCGAACGATTTTCCGAGAGCGCATGATCATCCACTACGATTATAGCTGGCTGACAAGCTTGCGCATTGATTACGATGCATGAGAGAGTTCAGGTGTTTCATCGAGGCTGTGAACAGAAATGTCAGCCGCCACATTTACAGGACTTGGCAAGTGCATAATGACTGACCTAGAGAGAAGATCTGATAGGAGATCCATATAAAAAAGGTCTTATTTTAAGCTTTTCATCTGCAAAGAATCGAGTATTCTATGGTAAACATTCTGCAACCTATCCTATACCCCAGACTCTTTGTCTCATACAGACATTCAATCTGTTGTTTTGATACACGATACCTTATTTTGAGATGGACAAGTGCACTCGGTCCCTCACTCGGTCCCTCTCTGTAGATGCTCTCATGTGCTAGGCTTAGTTAGCACAAATTAGTTCAGTGCTTGCCGCTGCCACGCAGGTCGCCAGCCTCAACGGCGCGCGGTGTTTGCTCAGCCACAAACTTCGGAAAGTGATGTCAGTCAGCCGTGTCTAGCGCCTTACCGCCCCAACTTCCCGTAGTGGAGAGTGTCAAAAAAGAAATTTTCGTGTTCGAGAACTGTCTAATCCGTTGTCGGGCCCGAAGACCTCGGTGGACCGAGGGACGATCATCATGAACGTCACAAAGAAACACAGCCCAAGCCTATCATCATCGCTGATCATCATCATCGTCAAATGAAAGAAGACAAAAAAGAGAGATCTAGAGGCGGCGCGACGCGAAAGGGGTCGAGTCACGAACACCCCCCGGATCCGCTCCTCTTCGGCTTCTGTCTTGTCCTGTCCCGTTCTCAACATCCAATACCCAGTCGGACATGGGTGGAGATTATCAGATCAGGAGAGGGGGGGGGACAGAAGAATGCCTTGCAGAAGAAGAGAAGAAGGAGAGAAGAAGAAAGGAAAAAACGCCTTGCTAACCCCACGATTCGGACATTTCATGGCCCAGATAGGAAGAACCTCCCCTTCTCCGCCGCCCAGGGGCAACAGTAAAAATAGTCATAAAGCACGAGATGGGATCATGGGTATGATCATACCCATACATAGTAGCATGTTTCAATGCGCCCACAAGCCGTTACGGCAGAATGTTCACCTGATGCTTGCTGCAAACACTGACGGCTGCGGCTGCAGCTGCGGTTCGCCCTTGGTGCCCTCGCGCCATCGTCCTCCCCACCTGGAAACCTGGATGGGACGGGCGAACTCCCCCACTCCCATTGAGACCAGGGAATGCTGTGGATGGATGGCTTGGGCTTTGGTAAGGGGCCAGAGGCTAGAGTGAGGTGAGGCGAGCGGCTGTCTCTCTTTTCTCCCTCTCTCTCTTGTTCTGAAGCTCTGAAGCAATCTCGGAGAGGATCCACTCTCAGGGCTCTGCCGGAGGCTTGTCCAGCTGGGGACATGGATACGCGAGATGGGACACATTGCGATACGGGGCTTATACTTTCGATGAGATATAGGGCTGTATGTGTGTGCAAGTGAGTGAGTGAGTTTGTAAAATTCTAGCACGTGGAGTAATTAATTACCATATTATATGTGGGCAGTCGGGCGGGCATGCATGAATCAACTGCTAAAGATAATGAAAGTTGTTTTTTCCTTCTTTATTCCCCGGAAGGGCGATGCCGGAGCGGAGGGAGGGAACTGGATAGGCAGTTGAACCACTTGTGCAATTTGCGGCGCCATTTCCCTCGCGGAGATGGGGATCAATCTCAGCCACGGGATGGCGGAAGAAGCCCATTTTCGAACGGTCAATGTGTTCATTCCTGACTTCCTGTAAAATCACACTCTGAGCCGCTGATCGACTTGGGTTAGAGTACGGCAAGAAGAAAGAAGAAGAAAAAAAAAGAGACTTTAGACTAACACAACGGCGCCGGCTGTTAATTCTGCGAACCGTCGTATTCCCGAGCATCGAGCGAGCGTGTGTTTGACCGCCAGACGACTTTCTAAAACATGCTATGGTACGTGCGTGCCCTGCGAGTAAGTCGAGAACATAGCGAAGAGAGAATTTTGACCCGGGGGGAGGGGGCCAAACAGGGTCCGGGTCCTGTTACGCAAGGCATTTTTTGAGATCACATCACTGGACGGAAAAGGGAAAAGGGGGTGAAACGGTTTGTGTGCTTTTCTTTTTCCTTGTCGCTTACTTTTTGGCTGGGACAACCCCCTTGCCCGAGCGGGTGGCACCGCGGGTTCGGCGCCTTGTGGGGGAATTTTTGTTTACAAGAGCCGCTGGGGTGGTGGAAAAGTGTTTCGAGAAAGCCCCGAGGGGGGTGCATTGACAACCGTTCGTCTTTGAGGAATGTGAGACCCGACAAAAGTTGGGGGGAAGGGGAGGGGGGAGATATCCACAATTCCTCAATCCCGCGAGAGGTCGAGAAGTTGGGTGATTGACTGACTGGAGGGTTTGAATTTTGCCAAAGGAAATAGGCCCCTTCGGAGGCGAGGCAGACTCGGTGGGACGCCGGCAGATTACCGTAGTAGGAAGTCTGGCTCTTTGTGTCCGTGCTGTGATAGAGAGGGACTGAGCACACACCCAAGAGAGAGTCTGGCCTGTGGAACCCGTCCAGTAGCATCACTGATACCTTTCGGGTCCACATCTGATCCCCTGTAGAGTTCTACTGTGGTACAGAGAGACTGTCGGGTCAGGTCTCATCTGATCAGGGTCAGGGCTGAGATCTATCTTTGTCCGCAACAAGGCATACAGGACGAGGACGGGATTTTTTATTATTATACATTTAATATATTACTTTCCCTTCTTCAAAACCTAAATCATGCTTGTTGTAGGCAAGTAGGTTGACAAGGTCTCAACTGGGAACGACATAATAGCATACACAGTAATGGTACTTTGGAATGGGGACCTTGAGGCTTATCTGGTGGCAGAAAAGCTTGGCCTGGGGGGCTGGCAACTTGGAAATAATGGGTGGAGGAGGGCTCTGCACGGCTCATGTTATGGTCTGTGCATGCATGTGTCTGTACAGAATTGTTTGTACCGAGGTGTACTTGTACATGTTATGATGGTGGCAGTAGTAACAGGAGTAGTAATAGTATAATAGTTGATGGTGTATTGCAAATCCCTTCAAGTTGTTGCAAGGCCTGCTTGATTTGGACAACTTTTGTGTGGGAGCAAATGACCGTGAAATCAGGTGTACCTCAGGGGAGAGAACCAAAAAGTAAGACGTGCATATGTCCATACACGAGCTGGTTGTAGAGAGGACCCATATTAATCATGTGTGGCATAACGGGGTATTCTCTGCACAGTACAGTCTGATGGCCGCGGCCGCACACCAAGGATATCCTCTGACTGTACCTGCGACCAAGGAAAGGCCCCGGTCCCTCACACGACGATGGCATCAGTCTTCCCCGGTCCTTTCGAGCTCGGGCCTCAACGTGGGCAGATGTCATCATCATCACTAGGTTGGGCGGCAGTCAAGAGGAGGGGAAACTAGAAGAAAAATCAGAGGCTCCATCACATTAGACAACAGGAAACCAGAAGTCAGAAACCAAACAATCAGACACCAGACAACAAGGACACTGGGGAAATGGGCAACGTATGCCAACTCCATCTTCGTGCGTCTGGTGTCGTCAACCTACGCTACGTCTCATAGGACCTGTTGGAGACCGTGATCCTATCGAGAGACACAAACTGGGGAATTTTATTGCCTGGAATTGGAACTACTGGCTGAGCGTAATCACTAGGAACAGGCAGGCGTCGTCATCACCACCACCACCCCCTCCTGTGTGTGCCATCGCTCCCGGGCCATCGAGTAGGCGCCTGAGATTTAGTCACCTACATTACATGCTATGCAGCATGGTTAGTCTGTAACATAGACGACTATGTAATAGTAACAAGTAGTAGTGTCTTTAATAGTTTACCTCGGTCGGATGCAGTCGTACCTGCTAGTGCATGGCGGTGTCAACGTTTAGGACTTATTTTCTTCTCTCAACGTCTTTTTCCTTCTCTCGTTTCGAGTGACGTATGTTTGAGGTGAGAAAGAAAGGCTCTCTACAATGGCTCTGTGGTTGTTTGAACCCATGTTGGCCTTCTCGAGGGTCGACGCTCGTGTTGGGCATCTTATTTGAGACTTAAAGTTCTCTCGTTGAATCCCTCCTCTTGAATGACTACGCCTTCTAATAGCAGCCCCCGCACCCCCCCCCTTTCTCCTTTGTACCAGCAGGCCAGGAAAGTCGAGCACATAGTAAGGGTCACATACATATCGATAGTATTACTTTTGAATACCTCTGGTACATACTGTAGTAATCCGTACGGCGATATAATATCTACTACGGTAGGTGGAATATTGGCTAGGACGGGGAGAGGGAAGAGGAGAAGCAGAAGGAGGAGGGAACCCGTCCGAGAGAAGCACCAGACGAACAGGCGCGAAAAGAGGGTGCACCACCATTCCCTGATTGGTCTATTGTGTACAGGTTGGGGGAAAGGCTTACGCGTCCTTCGATACATGGCCACAGGGAACCAGGGCTAATCATCCCTGTCTTCTGCATTGATTCATGCGCCGTCCTTGGTCGAATTCTAGTGGGCCTTCCCGTTCGGGCCAGGTCACCGTCCCGACGCTCTGCCACCCTAGCCTGGCCTGGTACCGCTGTGCTCGGGAAGTTCTCGCTTAGAAAGCCCCCCCTTCTCCAAAGCCCCCATTCCAGTGGGAACCAGTGGGCCTCGGGGCGGGCATTGAACTGGAGTGAATGTCAGGGCAACATACTAAATAGTAGTGGACTGACAGGCGGGGGGGCTTGTAAACTTAGAGCACCCAGAACCCGATACGATGTACATCCAGCACCACCTACTACAGTCGTAGTACCAAGTACCGCCCAAATACTGGCATAGTAGCGCCAACCAACCCCCGGTTTAGCCCTTGGCTGCGCCCACCCGTAAGGCCTGAGAAAACCCCATCCTCTCCCACCCCCCCCCAAACGATTCAACTCTTGCCCTCTGGCCTCAACAACTTCCCTCCTGTTCCTATCTCGTCTCGCCTGTCGTTTCATCCATCCCCAATCCACACACTTGTTACCATCACAATACATCACAACGGCACCGTCCACCCCATCATCTCTTACCAGCTAACTCTTTTTTCTTGTCTTCCTCTTTTCTTGATTCAACAGTCAACCAAAACAGAATTCAGCAAGTCGTTCTATTCAAAACTGGGTTCGCTTTCCATCCATCGTTTCGCTAGCCGTCTTACCCGATCAGCTTGACTGCGCGACCTTCCTCCCGATCATCAAAACAAAGAGATCAGGGTGCGTGTGAAGAGAAGGATATCTTAGTACTACTGCTGCGCACGGCAGCGGAGAGAAAGAAAAAAGAAGATTGGAAAAACAGGAAGAGATGTCGAGGCAAACCCTCTCACAGAGCCCAGCTGCGTCGCAGCCCGGCATGGTCGACTCCCTTGATTCTATGCTTGACCTGTCCGGTTACGAGGACGCTGGCTACACATCGCCATCAATGTCTCCCGCTGGGTCCAAGACTCCCTTCGCGAGACCAGTCAACACTGCCGTCCAGACCGCGCCCACATCGCTGCTCTCCACCGCGCAGCCCCTGACTGGCCCTAGCCATCAGTACGACCTCTACAAGCAACAGACCGGCATCATTCCCGGCGCCCTCGCCAACACTCTTCAGGTCAACCAGAACAACTCCCAGATTACTGGCTACCAGCAGTTCGATATCGATGCCTACTTTGCCAACCTGAATGGTGTCGAGTACGGCTTCAACACTTCCCCAGCCCAGACCATCGGCTCTTCGGACATCGACATCGAGTTCGAGTCTCCCTCGGGCGCCTACTTCAACGAGTCCACCATCAACCCCAATGCCATCGGAGGCCAGGAGGGCCTGCCCTCGCCACCAGTCGTCTCGACCCAGAGCAACGTGGGCCGCATGTGGCCCGGCATGCACCAGCAGGCTGCTATGGCCAAGGCCCAGGCTCAGCAGCGCCAGCAGCAGCAGATTATCGCCCAACAGCAGCAGAGGGCCAGCCAGCAGGCCGCCAAGCAGCAGCAGCGACCCAGCAAGACTGCGCAGCCCACCGACCCTATTGTCGAGCAAAAGATCACCCAGCTTCTGAACTCTATGCGTGCCAGGAGCGGCGGGCCCGAGCTGGATAACTCTCCCCTGATGAACGTGCCTCGTCCGAAGAAGGATGAGGACGACATGGACGAGGACGAGAGGCTGCTGGCAAGCGAGGAGGGCAAGAAGCTGAGCAGCAAGGAGCGCCGCCAGCTGCGGAACAAGGTCTCCGCCCGTGCTTTCCGGTCCCGGAGAAAGGGTAAGTCTAATTCCAACACATCAAATCCATACTTTATGAGGCAACACGGCTAACGATGAACAGAATACATCACACAGCTCGAGTCTGAGATTGCCAACAAGGTTACCGAGAACGGTGACCTGCGCGCCCAGAACCGGGCACTGATTGACGAGAACAAGCGCCTGTCGGACTTGACCCGCATGCTCCTGTCGTCGCCCTCATTCTCGGGCTTCCTCGAGAACCTGAGCACCAACCCCTCGCAGCTTCCCCAGGCCGCGCCCCAGGTCGAGCAGCAGCAGCAAGCCCCTCGGCAAGCGCCCAAGGATGTCAACCCCTATGCTCAACAGCATATGCAGCGTCAGAACGTCGGCGTGGCCATGATGCCTGAGCAGACCATGGACTTTGCTGCCTTCGGCGACTTCCAGCCTCAGGTCTACGCCGTGCTGGAGACCCCCGAGGCTCCTATCAACATTGACACTGCCGCTCTGTCTGGCAAGACCTCCAACTTCGTCGGCGAGTGCTTCGACTCCGAGGATGAGAAGGTTGAGATGCCCATGATCGAGCAGCCTCCGGTCGTTGAGGAGAAGGCCACTGCGCCCAAGCCCATCGAGACGCCGGCTGTTGTCATTGATGACGACTTCGAGAATGATCCCGAGTTCGCCCTCTACCATGACTCTCCATCAGCCGCCACTACCGAGCCAGCTCAGTCCACCCAGATCGACGCCGAGGATTCGTCAGAACTTGACATCTTTGGTGGTATCGAGTCCGAGAAGCTCCTGGCGCGCTACGAGCTTCTCGACGCGTCGGAAGAGGAGCAGAACGCCGCGCTGGCCATGGCTTCGGTACAGAGGCGACTAGCCAGTCTCGAGGGGTTGTGTGCGAGGTTAGACATGCTCACTGCCGATATATGATGACCATGACATGGTCGTCTATCTCCCCTTGGATATATTTGTCAACATTTTCTCTTATCGCCATTGTCTGTCAAACTCAATCACAGCTACACACACATCTTCCCTTGACGTCAAAAATTCTCTGTAAATGGATATAAGATCTATCGGATTTTAACTTGTTCAATGGCGTTTGGGCTTTGGGGTATCTACATGCCGAGGAAAGACCTCGAGCATATTATGTTTTATTGGTATAGCGGTCGGCAGTCCCCAAGATCGTGGGCTGGGGGTCGCGGATATGGCTCTTTTCAAGTTGATGAGATCAAGTTCAGGAATAGGGCTCATGGGATAGGGTTGATTTATAAGGTGGACGTGAGTAAGTTTTTGTCACGCCACTATTGATAGCATTAGAGCGCCATTTATTATGGAATAAAAAACTCATAACTGAAATCATCCCTCTTTACCCCACCAAGTTTGTGTATCACTAAGTTGTGTATCAAGTATGTCTAACTGTGGAGAGCTTCTTTACATCTCAACTAAGGGAACAGTTCCCACAGTTGCCCATGAGAGTGTGTACTGTGCAGGAAATGCTGCTATGTAGCGTTCTCTGTATATATGGTTCCTCTGTGAGGTTGGTTATCGCACCGTCGATTCAAAGAGTTTCGATCATGAGAGTGAGGTCATTCACATAAACGTGGCAGTGGCACCAGAGCCTACCGGTCCGAACCGGTCCGAGGCCGCTGGAGGACAAGGAAAGTCAAGTACGTACACTTTTTGACTAAACGAATGACATCTCGTTTGCTCCGCTGCGCTTTACCAGTCCAAAGCAAGAGAAGGAGAAGATGGGACAGGCAGCCCTGTATTTTACCGGCGGCAGCAATTATACCGAACCAGGGTTGCACCTTCTCTCTTTTGGATCAATAAACATGAACCCCCAGGTCTTGTTTCTCCGCACCTCGGACAAGCGCTCCTGTCGGGGGTCGCAGCAGCACGATGCGGTACCGACACCTGCCTAGGCCGACTGACGAACAGGCCAACCAGACGGGATCCTTGATGATCCTATCTACATGCAATTTTTCGCGTAGTAAAGTGTATATAAGTGTGGGGAGATGTCTGCTGATTTACTATTCTACCGACAACCGGGGGGGGGGGGGGGGATACTGTGGACCGGAACAGGCTGCTCGGAAGAGGACAAAAGGCTTGCTGCTATTGCACATGGGCGCAAGAAGCCTCAAGAGGTCATTCAAAGGCACCGTCAAGTACAGAACGGTTCAAACTTACTGCAGTGCTGCTCAGCCTCGCATTGATCGCACCTACAGTATCTATCTGAACCCCCAGATCCAGCAGCTGTACCAGTCAGCCAAAGCCCACGAGAGAGAGAAAGAGGAGCAAGAAAGCGACAGAAGGAGGGAAAGAAACAGAGAAATACAGAAAGCCATCGTTCTACACTGCAGGCCATGGGCCATTCTCGGCTGCTTTCTCTGCTCGCTGGGCTGGTGGGCGGTTCTCTGGCGCATACCAGCTCCGTCGACATCCCGTCCAACCTGAGCACGCGTGCTCTGGTTCGAGATGCGTACGGCTACTCTGTCGAGCCTGTCTGGCTCAGCTCGTTCACAAACACCAGCCTGATGACCACGCTCCTCCAGCAGATGGCCGACGTCACGGGCAAGGCACCTCCTATCCGCATAGGAGGCACCACGAGCGACGAGACAACGCTCTACAACACCAGCCTCGCGGGCAACCTCACCTCCAACGGGACCTCGCAGTTCAACATCACCTCGGGCTGGTACACCTCCTGGGCAGACTACTTCCCCACGGGAACGGATGTCATCTACACACTCAACTTCGCGGCCAACGAGAGCGACTGGGCCAACGCGCAGGCGGAGGCGGCGGCGGTGGGGGCCGCGCTGGGCGACAAGCTGGTCATGTTCGAGCTGGGCAACGAGGTGGACCACTTCATCAGCGAGGACTGGCGGGCTCCGGGATGGGGAGTCGCAGAGTACATCCCGCAGTTTGACAACCTGACGGCGAGCATACAGGGCGCAGCGTGGTACGAGGAGGCGGACACGGCGGCGCCCAAGTTCCAGGCGGCGGTGTTTGCGGACCCGCCGTGGGTGCCTGACCAGCAGACGGAGATTGACGACTTTGACATCATCAATCTGACCAGGGGCGGGCTCGTGGACCCGGAGCACAACGTCATCGAGACGTACTCGGTGCACCTGTACCCGCAGTCGACATGCGACACGGAGCGCTGGCTGCGGATGCGCCTGGACCTGCTCTCGAACCACACGGTGCTCTGGCTCAACGTGTCGCAGTACGTGCCGCAGGTGGCGGCAGCAGACGCGTACGACACCCCTCTGGTCTTTGGCGAGACCAACAGCGTGTCGTGCTCGGGCCGTTCGGGCATCAGCGACACCTTTGGCGCGGCGCTGTGGAGCACAGACTACGTGCTGCTGGCCGCGAGCATCGGCATGCCCAAGGTGTATTTTCATCTCGGGGCGCAGAGCCAGTACAGCGCGTTCACGCCGGAGCCGTACGTGCTGGACAACGAGACGCTGACGAGCGGGATCCGGGCCAACTTCTACAGCCACTACTTCATCGCGCAGGTGGTTGCGGGGCTTGGCGACGATGACGACTACGGCATTGCGGCGCTGCCTGGGGCAAACTCGAGCGACCTGAGCGGGTACGCCGTCTACCGGGGCACCGACCTGGCCAAGGTGGTGCTGCTCGACATGGGCGTGTGGAACGGCACCGCGGGGCTGAGCAACCCGAGCACGCTGAGCAGCACCGACGGCACCGTCTTCAGCAACGGGACGAGGCCCAGCTACAACATGAGCGTGGCGACGTCGTGGTCGCCCGGCGAGAGCGTCCAGGTCATCCGCCTCCAGGGGCCCGGCACCAACGCCAAGAGCCTGGTGAATGTGTCGGGCGTGACCTTTGATCCCGTCACGGGTGACAAGCTCGGCAACCTAACGGAGGAGTATATCAAGGTCGGCCAGGGGGGTGTGGTGCAGTTTGGGCTGGTAGAGGCGGAGGGTGTGCTGCTGCAGGTTGTCAATAACACCACCACCACCACCAAAGTGCCAAGAGTCTCGTCTTGAGGAGATTGCCAGCTCTCTCGCCCTGTGACGAGTCTGGGGCTCAGGCAGACCGCGCACGGGTCTTGTAGAGTGCCGTGGTGGCGGTTGTGGGGTCGGCAATTTTGGGAACATGTTGTTGTTGTTGTTGTTGTAGTTGTAGTATTGAGAATAATCCAGAGTGAAACAGTGAGGCAAGTCCAAATTTAGGTCGGACATTTCGTGTTCAGGTGATATGGTATTGAGATGCGTCGTGAGTTTTGTCACAAATTTGTTTCGATCATACATTTGCATTCTCCATTTCTACTCCCTCGATCTCGACTGTCCTCACCTCATCCTTCAAAGATAGGGTGCAAGTCTCGTAGTCGTACCTGTGGAAGGAAATCTAGAGGATGATGGACATTGGAGGAGATCTCATTTCGCGTCACGTCCGTGGCTAATGGTGAGGATTTTCCAAGAGTGGGCCGGATGCAAGGCTGTGGAATTTAATTACACGATCGGCTGTGCCTTTTTCCAACGTTGACGCCTGCCTGCCTGAGTGAATGAATGTAGGTGAGAGCAGACAGTGAAGAGAGAGAGAGAGAGAGAGAGAGAGAGAGAGAGAGAGAGAGAGCACATGTGTATTTTACTGCAAGGTTTGGTCTACAGCCATTACTTGACCATATTGTCGTGGCGGGTTGGGTACTTTGGTATGCGCGATTCGGCGCATCACTGGGGGCTGTACCTGCAGTAGCCTTTGATCTCCTGGTCCCAGTTTTTCTTGTATCTCCTCCTTATTCCTTGATTTTCCTCGCCATGTACCATTGAAAGGTCACAATTGACTGACTGTGAGCACATGTGCATATCTCTCTCCAAGTCTTCATCTGATGTGTGTGCTTTTTACTGTGTTGGGAGGAGGGGAAGTTTTGGAATAAAATCCCTTTCCTGCCACCCCCTACAGTTACAGTGGCACACCTCAGGACTCCGTTCAGTATGAGTGCTCATCAGGCACAGACAGGGGGGTAGGCTGTTCCAGAGGCCCCAAGGGGGTTTAGCCTGCCATCAACTGTTGAATGATGTGCAGGGGTCTCCATCGCAGTGTGCCAAGTAATTAAGTAAGTACACATTACCGTATCTACCCTGCCACAAGTACTAACTGCAGGTACGTACTGCGTAGTAATGAGCAGGACACACGCGATGAAAACCGTAGCGCAGGTTGTTATCAAACTTTGTCAAATGTGCCTCTTCTCCAACCCACTTCCAGTCTCGGAAAATTAATCTGTTGAGCAGTATTATCACTGTTCCCAATGGGAACCTAGCTTCCAACCGTGTCCCACATCCAAAATCCACTACCACTTACAGAGAACACACACACTCACTCACCAACCCCTGGAACTGCAGATGCAGCACATGTTCTCTCACCCTTCTCAGCTCTTAGAGGCCTGGGCCCTGCTGGGAAGGATACCAAGATATTACCTTGTCTCCTGAGGCAGCGAAAATTGGCCTGACTGACAACTTCACGACATGAGAGACATCTCAACACTTGACGGGAGTTGAAGCCTGCAAACTCCAATTGCAATTTGCAACTCGACTCTGTCATAGCAGAGCATCTTGGCTTCACCTTTTTGACAGCGTACCGAGGAGATAGATGCACACGCCTTTCTCCGGTTGAGCGAACCCCCCCCCTTTTTTTTTTTTTTTACTTTTCCTCTTCCCTTTCTTTCCCAGACCCCACGATCGACACGTGCTGGCCCTGTCCTGCCATGCTCTCTAGTCGTGAAATTTCTCTGCGTCGACATCATCTGAACACAATCTGAGGAACGATTGTCTTCACTCTCGACTCTTGCTCTGGTGCCAGACCCTTTTTTTTTCTTCGGTTTTATTTTGTTCCCTCTTCTCTCAAGAAACCCCCTCCCCTTTTGGGTCTGTGTGTACAGTAGCGTCTTTTGGGGTTTGCCTTGGCCTGTGATCGGCTGCAGCAACAATCGGCACAAGCTTCGCCAGATGCCCCAGACCGCAGAGAAGAGGCTCCACCCACTGCTGCAGAACTGACTTGACACCGCATCCGACGTCTTTGCTCTTCACGATCCAACGACCTACGTGTCTCTCTTGTACATACACACGAGCGGAACCCTCCTCTTCCTCCCTCCACCAACACTGTCGTCGAGCAAATCGTGTCAACCCCTCGAAGCCGCCTCCTCACTGGCTGTCCGCTGCCACCCCTCCTCCTCCTCGTCGCAAGCCACACCTTGCAACAAGAGCCTCGATCAAACCTAATCTGCTGTCTCGACTTGGACTTGGGACTTTGGGAGGGGCCGGTTGGTAGCTTCATGTCGCCTCCCCCAAGATGCCCTGGCAACCTCTGCCTCGAATCGCCTTCGCTATAGCGACCTATCCATTCGCGCCCCAGGAGCCTCGAGATCTCCCCCTCGAAATCGGCGACGAGTTATACATCATAGAGGAGACCACAGATGGCAATTGGCTCCGTGGATACCTGGTCGCACAGCCCTCTCTGCTTGCCGGCCTGACCTCCGTCAAGGGCCAGACCCTCGAGGCCCGCATATATAATGGCATCTTCCCGCGCAGCTGTGTCGAGATACGTGAAGTCCTAGGCGAGCCCGACGATGTCGAGAACCGCGACGACGAGGAGGTCGACGACGAGCAAGGGGCCGACTCTGCCAAGGGTGGCCTGGCCGACGATGTGCGCAAGAAGGGCAGCGACGCCGCCGCCGGCGGCAGGTCGAGAAAATGGACAAAGGACGTGCCCCTCGGCACAAATGGGAAGCTCTCCGTCCCGGTCACACGGGATCCCGACGCCCCCCGGCCTCAGGCTCCCGTGCCGATGCTCAAGATCGGCGACGAGACGCCCACGTCCGCCTCCGAGCCTCTTATCGACGAGATCGCCTCCTGCCTGCGCGAGTGGCACTCCACCAACCTGCACGAGCTCCTCCTGTCGCGCCAGTATCCCAGGCTCGACGGCCTGTCCCAGCTCGTCACCGCCCTCTACTTTGCGAGGCAGCAGTTCCTACACAACGTCCTCACTGCCTGGGAGTACACACATCTGCGCGAGAGGACTGTCTGGGACCTGGTCCGCATGAACAAGCTCTGCGGCGGCGAGGTTATCGTGCGCGACCCCAATGAGCGCGGCCGTGTCCTGACCGGCGACGACTCCGTGGTCGAGGTCACCAAGCTGCAGTCCGTCATGAGTTTGCTGGACGAGCCTCCCCGTCCCATCGTCGAGCTCACCTCCCTGCATCATCTCCTCGTCGACATCCGAAGCTTCGCCGGCATCGTCAGCGGCTCGACCACCCTTGTCCTGTACCTCGTGAGGAAACCACTCTCCGGGTCGCTCGTCCAGCTGTCAGAGTGCTACAGCATCGACGTGCCGTCCGACGGGGCCATGAGCGCCCTGGGCAAGAACGCCCACGCGCCCATGCGGACCCTCTTTACGGATCTGTCGCCCCAGGACACAGGAAATGTTCCCTCGGCCGATTCCGAGATCTATCTGGTCGTCAAGGTCTATACAGCCGAGCAGCTTGTCTCAGGAAAGCCGCGATCGAGGTCTGGCTCTGTGTCCCGGGAAACTGCGCCATATCATGCCACCGGCGCGGCGCGGCCGCCACTGTCGAGTGGGAACAAGTCTATGCGTCGGAGTCTGATGTGGGGAAGTAAGAGCTCGAGAACCGCGGCGGCGCGAGGCTCTGCCATGGCCAAGCTCGACGAGGCCGCAGACGAGAGGCCCTCTTCCAGTGCGACAGGCGAGAGCAGGGATGGCTCGCGGCCACCAGGGACTGCGCATTCAAAAACCTCCCAGACCTCGAGCGACGGCTCTGGGACTACCATGGCAGATCGACTCGCTGGGGTCGGGTGTCTGAAGTTGAACGCCATCATGAAGCAAGACGAAGAGGTCGAGCAGGTCGTCAACATCTGGTCGCCGTCGCTGAGGTGGACGTCGGAGAAGGAAGATGGCGGCGACTGGGATCCAGTCCTCCGAGATTTGCTGGACAGCAGCTCTGGGCAATACGAAAGGTCGAGGACGGCAGAACGACTGCAGGTGCGCCTCAAGGCCTTCGATCACCCGGACTCTGACGTGCTCGTCAAGGCCACGCCGACCTTGCTGTCAGGCATCTCCAAGACGAGGAAGATGGGGTTCTCAGGGGCGCCGACAAAGCCAAGGTCCGACATTTACATTACGCTCGACGGGGCTGCATTGTCTAAGCAGACGCTTCTGTCGAGATATGGCGGCAGCGCGACGTCCATGCTCACAAGCTGGCCAGGGAACAATCTTCAGGTCACGGTGGAGGTGCGAAAACCATCTGGTGAACTGATCGAAGGCTGTATTTTTCCGTCTGCGAATTCCGACGGCCTCGATACCTGGCACTCAATTGCAGTGGAGGCCAATGCGCCGTGGAGACAGACCCTGCGCCTCAACCTGGACGACCAAGATGTCTCGAGTGCTCACGTGGTTATGTACCTGGCCAACATGCCCAACGCGCCGTTTGCGATGGCATATCTTCCCCTGTGGGACCAGCAGGCTTTCGTCCGAGACGGGATGCACGGACTGCTGCTGTACAAGCTCGACGAGTTCACGGTGTCGGCACAGGCCGGTCCAGCGGGCAAAGGAGGATATCTCACCCTGCCCTGGGGCGCAAAGGGTCACTCGGCCGAGGTCACTGGCCCAATAGCGATCCTGCGACTCGAAACCTATCTCTGCAGCACGAGGTACTCCCAGGACCGCGTCATCCTGGCCCTGCTGAAATGGAGGGACCGACCCCGAGAGGAGATACCAAGTCTGCTCCAGGAATTCATCTTTGTGGATGAGATTGAGATTGTGAAGCTGCTCAACGACGTCTTGGATGCACTCTTCAGCATCCTCGTCGAGTGGTCTGGTAATGATGAATACGAGGACTTGGCCTTCACGGCTCTGGTCCGAGTGCTGGACATCACCCACGACAGGCGTTTCAACGTCGCACCGCTGGTGGACCAGTATGCCGAGAGCAGGTTCAACTACCCCTTTGCCACGCCCTGTCTGGTCAGGTCCTTCACGCGGCTCCTGCAGAAGCCCACCGAGCCCGAGACGTCGAGGAAGCTCAGAGCTACGTTCAAGGTCACCCGACACATTCTCAAGTTCATCACCCACGGCCGTGACCAACAAAAGGCCAAAGAAGCCGGAATCGGTATTACGAGAACTGATCCAGGTTTCACGCGGCACTTGCGGAGCATCTTCAAGGCCCTTGACTCGATGATGCGCAGCACTGCGCCGGTATTGGTCGGCAGCCAGACGTTGGCCGTCCAGCACTTCCATACCTGGCTCCCTGAGCTCGCCGGGCTCCTGACGGCCGAGGAGATCCTGCACATAGCCATCGATTTTATGGACTCATGCTCGCTTGTCAAGGGCAAGCTCGTCCTGTTCAAGCTCATCCTCATCATCAACTACGCCAGACTCGACATCTTCTCCCACCCAGAGCAGAGATCCGCGCTGAGTGCTAATACCGTCAGGTGGATCGCGCCACACTGGGGCCACACAGAAGATGTGACAGACCTCTGGAAGGACCAGGTCCGCCTGTGCTGTTCGATCCTGGCCAGCCAGGTTGACCACCTCGGGCCCGAGATACCTGACTATATCCCCAAGATCATCGACTCCTACCTCTGCATCCAGACAAAACCTCAGGCCCCCAAAACCACACTGTCTCTCCTGTTTCCCACGTCCTACCCCTTTCCCTCCAAGCCGACCCCGGAGAAGATGGTGGTCGAGGAAGCACTTGTTGAGCTGTCCGCCGTCCTCTCTGCCCTCGCCAACTCGCCCAGCGGCATGCAGCTGGAACTCACCGACGACGACCTGAGCATGGTGCTCGAGAATATCCTCCTCGTGCACATGAGCATCCTGCAGGGCGAGGCTTTCCCGCCCGAGTGGCTCAGCGTGCACATCTACCACCACAAGTCCACCATGCGGACCTTGCAGTACCTGTCGGGCATTATGCTCGAAAGTTTCCTGCCGCAGCCCGACGAGGCCGACGGATTCAACACGGATCTCTGGAAGGCCTTCTTCACGACGCTACTGAAGCTGGTGGGCAGCCCGTCCCTTGCGCTCGAGACGTTCCCAGAACAAAAAAGGCGAGCCGTCTGGAAGATTGCTGGAGATGTTCGCGAGCATGGCGCCGAGCTGCTGAGAAGGACGTGGGAGGCCATCGGCTGGGACACAAGTCCCGACGAGAGGCAGCGCTACGGCCTGACCAGGATGGGCGGCTACCAGGTCCAGTACGTGCCGACCCTTGTTGGTCCGATCGTGGAGCTCTGCCTGAGCGTGCACGAAGGCCTGCGGAAGATGGCAGTCGAGGTCCTGCAGACCATGGTCGTGAGCGAGTGGACGCTCAGCGAGGACCTCTCGATCATACAGACGGAGATCATTGATAGCCTTGACGCCTATTTCAAGTCGAAGCCGCTCACCGAGAGCATCCTCCAGAAGCTCTTTGTTGGTGAGCTGCTGGAACGCTTCGAGCCGCTGGCCGACCTGGAGGACGAGCCTCTGTACACTGCCATCCGAGATCTGATGGCGACCGTCGTCGAGTTTTTGGACCTGCTTGTTGCGGTGCACGGCGGAGACGGCTCGGGCGAGGCCTCCAACCTCATCAACCGCTTGCGGCTGATGGAGTTCCTGCGCGACATGCAGAAGGAGGAAATCTTTGTGCGCTATGTGCATCAGCTCGCTGATCTGCAGGCCAGCGCGAGAAACCACACCGAAGCCGGCCTGGCCCTGCGTCTGCATGCTGACCTCTACGACTGGGATCCTGTCCGGACGACACCTGCACTAGTAGACCCGGCGTATCCTCCTCAATCCCATTTTGAACGGAAAGAGCGCATCTACTTTGACATGATCAAGTACTTTGAGGACGGCGAGGCGTGGAGTAGTGCTCTCGCTGCGTACAAGGAGCTCGAGGTGCAGTACGAGTCGAATGTGTTCGACTTTGCGAAGCTGGCCAGAACCCAGCGCGCGGTCGCGACCATCTACGAGACGATTGCCAAGAGCGAGAAGCTGGTGCCCAAGTTTTATAGGGTCGTCTTCAAGGGCCTCGGGTTCCCGGCCAGCCTGAGGGACAAGGAGTTCATCTACGAAGGCTGGCCGAACGAACGGGCATCCGGGTTCACAGACCGCATCCAGGAACAATTCCCGTCGGCCCAGATCATGACCAGCGATCACATCGACGACATCGAGGGGCAGTTCCTCGTCATCTCCTCGGTCAGCCCCCACCGCGACCTGACACACCAAGTCTTCCAGCGGGCCCGGGTCCCGCAGATCACCAGGGACTACATCATGTCTGCGCACCCACAGAAGTTCTCCGTCTCGACCAAGAGACATACAAGCGGCCCTCCCCAAGACCATTATGCCGAGAAGACCGTGTACACCACAGTGGAAGCGTTCCCTACGATCCTGCGCCGCAGCGAGATTGTAAGCACGGAGGAGGTGCACCTCGGACCCAAGGAGGCGGCGCTGGAGCGCATCGTGCGCAAGACGCAGGAGATGACCGCGGTGGAGAAGAAGGTCGTGGACGGAGACAAGAGTGACGAAGTCGCCCAGCTGCTGGTGGACGCCATCAGCATCAGCGTCAATCCCGAGTCAGAGAACAGCGTCATTGTGTATCGTCAACTGCTCCCTACCAGCACGAACCCAGCTTCATCAGACGGTGGTGAAGATGCGGAGGATCTCGATGAGGACTTGGTTGAGCACCAACCGCCCGAGCTGGACTACCAAGAGAGTGCAATCAAGATGGCGCTGATCGACCACGCCATTATGATCAAACGGTGCCTTGCTACGTTCGCGAAGAGCTCGAACCAAATCCTCGTCAGGGCGCATTGGGATCTGCAGAAGTGTAAGTGCTAGGCTCGCAGTTCAAGGTCTCAACGATCTCCTTCTTGGTGGCGGGGATATATACTAACGTTGTCGTGTGTGTGTGTGTGTGTGTGTGTGTGCTAGACTTTGAAGCAGCCTTTGCGCCTGAGATCGAAGTATTCACTCCGCCGCAGGTACTTCCTATTAATCCACCGCTGTCACCGACCGTCGTGTCTCCAACCACACCGAGGCACCATCAGCATCACTCCAGTGTCATGTCCGCAAGCAACGGAGCAGTCGAGGTGAACACCGTGCAACCAGTGTCATTACGCCAAAGCCGTGGTGCACGGCTGAGCTTCCTTGGGGGACGTAAGAAGGACCCTTCAACATCCGCCGCGCACATGAGCACGAACGGCGTCCAGCACCCCATCCCCGAGACGACCAAAGACGACAGCGCGCCTGTCGCGACAGAGGAATCCTGGAGAAAGAGTGTCTTCCCGTCGTCACAATCCTACGAGAACCAGCGGCCGAGCCCAGGAGGCTACGGCGTGTCGACGAGCGCGAGCAACGGCACGCTACCCCATGGCCCACTGTCTAGATCGGGTACAGATACGAGCGACTGGGTGACGGATTCTGGCGGAAGCAGTCATGCAAGCTACGATACCAATGCGCTCTCGGGCACGCTGGTCAACTCCATCGATAGGGAGCGAGAGAGCGTTGGGGGTACGGGAACGCCCAAGCTCGGCAGCGTGAAGCGGAGGCTTAGCCTGCTGAAGCTGGGCGGGAAGAAGACCAAGAGCCTTGCGATGATGGGAGCTTTGAATGAGGAGTGAAGAGGGCCGTATCTGGCTATTTCTCTTTCACACGCTGAGTGGACCTGACACGACGACTACTTTTAAAAAAAAAAAAAAAAAAAAGAGACGGCTCTTCTGTTGATACTGCACTCTGCCATCATCCTCAGGGCCCCTTTGGCTCGACGGGCCAGAGGAGAGAGGGCCTTCAGGATAGTAGTGGATTTGGACATAAAGGGAGAGGGTGTAGGATAATTTTTGTTGGGAAAGTGTTAAGAAGCTTCTTGTCAGGTTTGGAAATATAGTGTGAGGACTGGCGGAAAACCCCTTTGCGAATGAATCCCTTTGATTGGGCGCAAACTTGGTCGGTTGATTGGATTGTTTAAAATGCGATCGAGGCCGTGTGTATAAAGATGGCTGGAAGGGGGGGGATGAGACAGAAAAGGGTGGCAGGCACTGGGAGGCCAATGTATTATTATCATCATTACTCTTTTTTCTTTCTTTTCGTTTTTCGTCTTCTTTCTTTCCTTTTTTCTCTTGTCGGATTCTGATGAGCGCCGTTTAGATACCACCAAAACAACAAAACACAGCCTTTGACTTCTTCGGCGAATCCGCGACGAACGAGTTATGAACGAGGAGGCTGCGAATAAATATCCGTTATTTATCAGTACTGTACACACATACGGTCTTTTGTACTGTGTTTTACACGGACGGTTAGCAGGCTAGACTTCTTTGGGCGCTTTAAGTGGCTTACTAGCGCGAGGCTGTTGTCAATTAATTTTTAAAGCAACAACCCGCCATTTGCAATCACTCGCAGGTGGGGCCAACCGAACCTTCCCGCAAACAACCCGAAGCTCCATCTGCAACAACGACGAACCAACCCTCCGCCCCCTCCTCCTTCTCCACCACCGTTCATCTTTCCATATAGGTCGACACAACCTCATATTGCAGCATAAAAGAGAAGGGGGGAGGCAAAACCATGCCCAAAGCAAACGCCCGTCGCCTCGACCAGGCGGAGAAAAACGTGCTGGTGCACCTCCTGCAGGCGCCCAAGCTCACCAACGGCGACATCGCCAAGATCATCGACGTGGACGAGCGGACTGTTAGCCGGCGAAGGAGACAGCTGCGCACATTAGGACATTTAAGCCCAGAAAAAAATTTCAAGGGGGCGGAGAAGTTGCGGCCGTGGCATCTTGAGGTGGGAATTCCTTTCTCCTTTTTTTCTTCTTCTTCTTCTCCTTCCCCTCTCTAAAGAAGACGGGAACTTGGGGGATGCTGATACGCGAGAGGAAAAAGGAGAGAGAGAGAGACAGAGTGGGCTTACCACTTCCACAGAGAATCATCGCGCTCCTCGCCGAGAACAACGACCTTCATCTTAAGGACGTGCAGGAGTTCTTAAAGAAGGAGTTCGACCTGCACGTTACCGTCTCGACTATCAGCCGACAACTGTCGAGAGCCAACCATGCGAGGGCAAGAAGGCCGGGATATAAGACTACAAGGCCGGACCTGCAGGACGAGGCCGAGGCCGAGGCTCAGGCACAAGTGCAGGCGCAAGCACAGCAACAGCTGCAGCCAGCCGACACCCGGGTCCAGGATGTACAGGCCCCGACCCAGCCACCGTTGCAGGGAGGCCAGGACCTGAGCGCGTTGCAGCAGCAGCAGCAGGAAGAGGCGAGTGCGTCACCATCCGTACGTTCACGACAGTTGCCCCTTCCTCCTCTTCAGCAGCAGCAGGAGCAGCAGAAGTCATCGGTGGAGCAAATCCCGACTATACGGTTGGCCTGTCCTTTCTACAGGCACAATCCGCAGAGGTATATAAGCACACCGTTCTGCCAGAGCAGTTGGCATAGTGTACGTGATGTCAAGTACGTATATTCCCAATAATCACCTCTGGCCTTTTCTCCATCTGCTGTCTGCTATCTTGTGTGCAGGTGCTGATACTCTTTGGTCCACCCGTCCTTCCGTTTCAGGGAACACGTCTTCCGGCAGCACATGCAGCCTAAATTCAGATGCAATCGCTGTATGCAGATTTTCGCAGACGATGAGTCCCTTGTTCTCCACCAGCGATTACCTGAGCCGTGTCTCTTGAGCGAATGGCTAGACTCAGAAGGGTGTGACGAGGCGGCAAAAGAAAAAATACGAAAAGGAGACAGGGTGCGTGTTACAGATCATACGGGCACCACCACCATGATTTTCCACCCACGACCCTAAGAACCCACACTGTTGGATTGACTGACTGACTGATCTTTTCTTCGTGCTCAGGGCGACGAGAACGAGCGCTGGAAACGCATGTTCCGGATCCTCTTCCCAGACGTCAAAGCTGAAGCTGCCCCGGACGGCCTGATCGATCCCCAGGTTGCCACCCCTGCTTCCCCTGCGGAAACGTGCTTTCAAACAGCAGCTCCCATCGATCCGAGTCTGGAAGGCTGGCATGGTCCATCGGCAACCGATGGCTGACTGAGTGTTGATGGTGGCGTAATGTCCACACAATCACTCTTTTTGTTGGTCAAAGTCTGCTCCTTCAAACCTCAACACCATTGCACATTTGGCATCTACTTCTGCATGGTCGAGATCGATTTTCACTGCGAATCTATACCTTCGAACCTAGACAAGGTTGGAGACCTCAAGCGTTAAAATGACCGATTGAGTTCTCGCGGAAATATCAATACTCTTGGCGGCCTGCTCTAGAAGGGAAGGGCAAGAGCTTGCCTGTATCCTGGGCTCAAGGCTCGGAGACATTAGTTCCGAATGTGTTTGAAGGCAATACCGAGTTGGTACGCACCTCAAAAATGGATCATCCAGCTGAGCTTCTTCACTGCCGCATCTTGTCCAAGGGCATTGTCCGAGCTATGTTCACAAACGTAATGTCAAGGTGAGATGGTTTGGGATGAGAAGCTAGAAAAAGCGTCGAGGACCATGTTTATCGATATTATCCTAATCAGAAGCAGTAAGGGTTATATAAACATGGGGTATGTATAGTCCTCCCTCCAAATCGATGATTGACTTGGTCATGTACCGAACAGAATGACCCTCCACCCTTCCCACTTCACAGTGCCCTGTCCCCCTCTCCTGACCTGGCAAATTTTAAATTTAAGCTTCTTCACTGGGTGGTAGGGTCTGCCTATGATAGTTTAAAGCATTGTTCAGATATGTTTACACAACAACACCTACAGCCTCGGAATTTCTTATTCTTACAAATAGACCAAGTAGGAAGTAAACGGGAGGAGAAGGAGGATTTTGTTGGAAATTTTAAGCTCTGAGTACTATGAAATGCACAATCGTCTGTGAAATTTAGAATGTCTTTGTCCAGAAACAGAACAACGGCAAAAGAAGGTCAAGAAAAGCACAAGGACAGGGTGGGAGGAAAGTACCGTCCCCAGCCTTACCAGAGGGCGACACGGGAAGGAGGAATCTTGGCGATGGCGATCGGCGGCGCGCGACACGTGGGACGAGAAGATGGGAGCTTAGAAAGGGGTGTTTTAGTCCTCTTTTATAATAAACTTCACTAGCAACTTAGAGCCTACTTTCATTCACTGCGCTGAGGTTGACGATACTGGCCACCATATATATATATATATATATATATATATATATACTCTATATTGATAAATTTAGTATGTAGTAGTCAAGATATATTTCTTCTTTTCCTTAAAAAAAGTAGTCTTCGAGAAAAAAGTCGCGACAAACTTATGGTCTGAACACACTTGACGCGTAGTGGAGGGGACGAAATTTCCTCTGATGAGACATTCAAGTGAGACACGGCTGGTGGTGGTGGTGGTGGTGGTGGGACACAAGTAAATATAACTATGCTGATCAAGGCGGATCTTTGCTTGTCCCCAATCTCACTTCCCCCATTTATACATGGCAAAAATCATCTGCCATCTGTTCATCAACGCCGCCGCCCCTCCCAGGAAAACGATCGGCTTCCCGACTTGGGAAATATGCGTAATACCTCATCTCTATGATGCTAAATGTGTATGAAAAATTCCCCTTTCCTTTTTTTCCACAAAATAATCAAGACCCATGTAAACGCCGTTCAGAATGCCTTCCAGGTACAGTAGTACTCCATCGATATACACGCCCACAACTTTATTGTCTTTACCAATAAGGACCCTCATGGCCTTGACCTTCTGTAAACACGTTCCAATCCCGCTGCAGGGTCCACGCGTCCTCAGCGGTGCGGTCAAAGATGTCACAGCCGCGGTGTCCCCACTTCTCCGAGAAGACCCTCCGGCCAGCCTCGATCTGTGTGTCCAGGCCGATCTGGAAGCCTTCCTGGTCCCGGTAAAAGGGCTCGCCCTGGCCTCCGCCCTGGCGCAGCTGCCACATGTTGCGCCATGACCCGCCGTCGATATACTTGACGGCCTGCATGCGGTAGGAAATGTCCACGAGGTACTCGACCGTCTCGCCCTCCTTGTCGACGAGCCTCTTGCGCTCGGCCTCGCGCTCCTGGAACTCGGCCTGCCTCGCCGGGTCAACGCCGACGCCGCCTTCGTACTGCTGCAGTTGGTCTTCTGGGCCCGGGTCGCCCTGGAAGGTGGCGTGGATGCCTGGGATCCGGAAGAAGGCGCCAAAGTCGTCGAGCACGGTCGAGGTGTCGATGATGATGCCGATCTGCGTCGAGCCCTGGAAGTAGCCGGCCCATTTCTGGCGCAGGTAGAAGTCGCAATCGGTTGCGTAAAAGGGTATGTGCGTGTCCCAGCCGCCAATGTCGAGGACGGCGTCGCGGTGGACGAGGGTCAGGTGGTCATAGGCGAAGAAGTGGTTGGCCCACTTGGGGGTGCCGGGCTGACGCAGGAAGCGCAGGATGGCGACGGCGCGCGCGTACAGCGGGTAGTTTGCGTTCTGGATGGACTTGTCGTCGGTGTGGGGCCGGAACTCCTTCTCGAAGGAGAAGGCGACGACGTCCTGGTGGCTCCAGAAGAACTCGGTCCAGTTCCTCTCGAGGGCGGTCCAGGCGTAGAAGTTCTGCAGCTGGGCGAAGCTCATGAGGGTCGGGGTGACGATGACGTTGACGCCCAGGATGTGCAGCTGGGTGTGGTTGAGGTAGAAGGGGTTCTGCAGGGTGAGCTGGCCGTTGCGGTTGGCATGCATGACGCCCGTGTTCTCGACCACGTAGATGTCCTCGGCGGGCCACCCGGCGGCGATGTAGCTCGACACGCACTGCAGCAGCTGCGGCCAGTTGCGCGTGAAGCCGATCAGCAGCGGCGTCTCCTCAGGAACGTGCTTGCGCGGTGGACGGTTGATCTCGGGCACCACGAGCTTCTTGCGGACCTCCTCCACGGGCACCTGCGACAGGAGAGGGAAGGGGTCTGGGATGGGAGCCGCCGTCTCTCTCGCGGGCTTTGGTGGTGGTTTCGCCTTGGGGTTGTACGTCTCGTCGCGCCACGACATGAACTCCTTGGTCAGGGGGTCCATGGGCTGTGACTGCTGGCGCAGCTCCGTCTGCAGCTGCATGACCTTCTCGTTGGGGTGTTGGTCTGCCAGGTTGGCTATCGACAAGGGCACATCGTGTGAGCCTGTGGGCACGACAGTCTTGGACGAGGCGGGGGTAGCTCCCTGACCTTTGGCCTGCTTGTCCTCCTGTTCTGTCGGAAGCAGAATCTCATAGCCGCCATCCTTCATCCAGCTGATGATGGACGCCGAGTTGGTCGAGTCGTCGAGCGGCGGCGCATAGTGATGAGACGTCAGGAAGAAGATGCTGAGGCAAAAGACCGCCAACACCGCAACGCCCCTGTAGCGGTAGAGGGTCGAGCGACGATATGTCATGGCGCTCATCTTGTCGACAAAAAGATAGCCAGGTTTCCCATTCCGCTGTGTGATTTTTGTGCTGTTCGCCTTCGTCGCAACGGGCGAGAAAGCGATGTAGCTAAATATAGGAGGAGGAGGAGGAGGAGGAGGAGGAGGAGGAGGAACAGCGGTGGGTTGGCAGTGGGATGGCGGTGATGGGCGGCGGAGCACGGAGGGGGGGAGGGGTTCTTTGAGGATCTGAGGTCGTCGTATTAAAAGCTCGTGAAGGTCAAATTACCGCAATTGGTGCGATTCAGGCTCAGATACGTTTGTCGATCAGAGGTGATAGCGAAAGGGTAGTTTCTTGCTTTTTTACCGGAACCCGGCCAGGGGCAGTCAACGGAATGACGATGTTCAGGAGAAATTGGGAAAGAAAACAAGACAAGACAGTTAAGAGACCACAGTTGTTTCGCAGGGTCGGTCGATCTGACAAGATCAAAAAGACAGGTCCGATGAGTGAGAGAAAGACGAACGAACAAGCCCCTAAAAAGAATAGTAGTAAAAAGGAAAAGGTAAAAAAAGCCAAGGTGATTTCCACCTAGTCATGTAAGAAGGAGTAAGAAAAACGGAAGAAAAAAGGAGAAGCCCGGCGCAAGAGGCTCTCTGCTAATCTCCAGCTTGTTCGAAAACACGAAAAAAAAATTAAAAAAAAAAACCTAGTGACGACAACCACGAAAACCTGGAGAAACGAGGTCAGCAAACCTGTCTACCAATCGTTGCCACTAAGCAGCCACTCTGGCACGTCAGCTCGAGTGTGCATCATTGTGGAGCTCCTCGTCCGTGATGATTAGAACCAGGATGGCAGGCTGCAAGAGAGCGAGAGAGAAGGTATGCAGGCTTCTTCCCCAAGCGAGGAGCAGGCCCTGGAGGGAACACTGGACACCCTCTATGCAGGACTCCAAGATCCAGGGGCCTCCTCCTCAGTGAGACCGACCAACGGCCGCGTCTACAGGCCCACCCGATATGCATTCACCCAAGTCTAGTGGATCCCTTGCGTTTCAAAACACGCCCACCACTCTGGGTCGCATTCAGAGGTCCCCCATGCTCAAACATGACCCGGAGGAATTGTGAGGCACACCAATAACGCGACTGCTCGAGGTTGATGAAGATCCCATATTGCAAGTAGATTGCACATATATTGCCTTGTCCCACCCATTCCCAACTCGACTGTACAGAGGGTCGAGAGGAAAACGAGTAGGAGGAGGAGGCCCAGCCGCAGTGGTCATAATCGCGCATTTGTCTGTCGGCCCAGCACATACGTGTACCGCGGGCGCAGTACCATACCATTCGATAGTACGATCAGGGCCGCCTGGTGGCGGCTTGTCCAGTGCCGAGCTACTACTGTAGTGGTATAGTAGAGCAGAGCGAGAATAGCGCACACACACACACACACACACACACATCCACGCCAAAGGAGCCACGATTCTAGCGTTCCCGCGCGGCAGAGGATCGCCATCGTCTCCGAAATATCCGCGGGCCGACTGAATGGCTGCTTCTCGTCGTTCGCGTGGCTCTTAGCGTTCGGCAAATTCCAATGTGGTTCCTCTTTTCTCTTGACAAGAGACAAAAGAAGAGGGGCCGTGTTGTGCTGTATTCGTAACAGGCTGCACTGCCACGCAACCTCTTGCAGTCTTTGCATGTTCTCTTGAGCCCTCGAGAGCCTATCATTGTTTGACAAGCGTCTTGCTGCACTTGATCGACAAATTATCCTCTTCCGGCAGATCTGATGTCAGAACTTGGCTCGGAACTGTGACCAGAGAGCAGATCGATGCAGGGCTGTGGCGCCTACGTCTATTTCCGGCCATGCTCACTGCCACCCTCTCTTTCAAAAGAGTATCCCGGCCTGCCAAATATGGGAAATGTCGACAGGCTGTTCTCTCTTGACTTGTGAATGTATCCACAGGATCAGCGCTCCGAAAAGTTAAAGATCCGACGAGACGTTTCAACCATCATGACAATCTGCTGACTCTTACCGCCGATTGCCTGGTTCACTGCATGCATGTGTGTGTGTGTGTGTGTGTGTGTGTGTGCGTGTGTGTGTGCGTGTGTGTATCACGATATTGTGTCTTTCAATCGTGGGCCGACTATTCTCGCACACAACTGTGAGGGGTTTCTGTCGGCTTAATTCACTGCTGATTTTCTTCTTTGCTGCCCATCACGATCACGATGTTATGTCTGCAACAAGTTTCCAGCATTGGCGCATTCCAGTCCCCATCGTCTCTCCTTCCACAGCTGCCGAGGTGGCCCAGCGGCGTGGGTTCTCGTCTTGGGCGTGGGCTACTGGTGTCTCCTGTTGGCCGTTCTTCAACCGGAACAGATGGACATGCATCGTAAGCTTCAGATGAGAGAAAACCCATGGCACGCTGCCCAGCTCTCCGCGATATTCTAGAATGAGGCTCTGCTTCCTACCCGCAGCCGACGAATCTCCCAGGTCGAAAAGATCTGTCACAAAATTGCGGGCCGATCGCTTTCGAGACGCTGCAGTGCTATCGTTGGCCTCTGCGAGAATCTGGCTTGGAAACTCCCACATACCGGCGAGGAGACCTATTACGTTTAGCAGCTTGGCCTTCCTGTTCTTCTGCTTCCTCTGCTTTTTCCTTCGGTGCGACTTACCTTTGTTTGGACGTTTCTGTAGCAGATACATCCCATCACTAGCCCGCTGTATTGCGCACACGAGGGTCTCCTGCTCCCGCAAGGCTTTCTTCACAACCTTGACCGGGAACTTCTGAGCATGGGCAACGATGACTTTGAGCGCTTCAGGAGAGAGACACTCTTGGGAACTAGCCCCAGCCTTCTTGCCAGTTGTTCCTGTTGAGCCAGGTGTGAAGAAGGACGACAAGGTAGCCTGTTTTGGTTTCCTCACGGCCGACTTCTGAGCGGCATGGTCTGTAGCAGCAGTCTCGAAAGGCTCACATAATCGACACAGGTCCTCGATCTCGACTGGTTGTGACGTTTTGATGACACTTCTCCGGGGCAGTCCGGCTTCCGAAAGCGTGGAGCCCTCTTCGTACGCGCGGCACGTCATCGTAATGGGACATATCGAGCAGTTTGGCTGGGGAGTGCAAACAGTGCTTCCTAGCTCCATCAGTGCCTGTCCCCAACGCCCTGGACCGTCGTTGGGCTGTACCTCGCCCACCTCCTCACGTTCTTCTTCTTCTTCAGTAGCAGCAGGAGCAGTAGCAGCAGCCTCGAGCGCGACAGTCTCCACAAGAGCACTTGCACAAGCCCAGATTAGGCCAATGATGGTCTTGTCGTTCTTAATATCCCCCAGCACGCCTAGCTGGCGGCTGAGCACGCGCAAGACGTTTCCATCGACCATCGGCGCCGGGCGGCCAAACACAATGGACGAGAGAGCACCGGCGGTGTACGGCCCAACACCAGGTATCTCCTTCTCGAGTGTCTTGGCATCCTGAGGCATCAGGCCGCACCAGTCTGGGTGTCGGACGACCTTCCTGCAGGCCTCAAGAATGCGTTTGCACCTTGAATAGTAGCCCAGACCTGTCCAGGCACTCATGACATCGTCTTCGTCGGCCTTTGCCAGGTCGTAGATCGTTGGCCACTTCTCCATCCACCTGTTCCAATAATCAATGACAACTTTAACCCGCGTCTGCTGGAGCATGATCTCAGATATGAAGACCTCGTAGGCGCGCTGTGTGAGGGCCCTCTGAAGCTCGGCAGCATTGTCGTAGTCCTTGACATCTATGAAAGGCTTCCTCCAGGGCATCAAACGATCGGTGCTGACCCCATCATACCAGTCCAGAAGGGCAGACCTGCCACGACTGCCGAGTTCTCCGTGGAGCAGAAGAGGCCGGTGATACTCGAGGCTGTGCTGACGGAGCGGAAAGCGGCACGAGGATACTTGAGCGTCAGACTCCGAGTTGGTTGTTGAGAATAGGCGTTGATGCAGGTTTAAAGCTGGCTCCGGGCCTGTTCCATTCTTATTCCTGTTTCCTCTGGCCCTTTTTACTGGACGCTGAGGTGGTTGGGCAACACCATCGCTTGCATCAGACGCGTCGCTTTCTCGTCTTGACACGCGTTTTTGTGGCGTCTTCCGGGGTGATGGCTTCCCTCTGGTCTTCTCGATGTAGTTCTCTGTCTCTTCATACGAATTCAGCTGCGTCTGTATGCGTTTCGACGCGACCAGCGAACTTTGTCGACGGACTGCCATCTGAAATATATTTCGATGGGTGATTTTGACTCCACGCCCGCCCACCTTAGCGTGTGGTTCTCGTGAGATACAACAATAAATGAGGCCAGGACTGTTTTCCTCCGGGGGTGGCAGGTATGGTACGAGTGAATCGACCAATTCGTGAGCTTGCCTTGGTAAATGACAGCAGTGTACCGTAGTACTCGCTCCTGCCCAAGCAAATCCAGCCAGGAGGTTGCTTGGATACTATACGTACGTACTACTACATGTAGTACTATGTACATAGTACCGAGATGCTGTCACCCTAACCCTGATGGGCTGGCTGCTAACCATAGCCTGCACCTTTGATCGCGGTTGGCTGTCTCCCAAGGCAGCTCGCTCAGAACAGCTGTCGGACCTCGAAGAGGATAGGCCCAGCTCGGTGCAGACGTCCCAGTGCCCTAAGCTCTGGAGGATCTCGGCCCTGAATGTCTATCGATCTAGCCGTGCGAATCGTCACCTTTCCTACGCCTTCTGAGTCGACCCGCTCTCTTTCTCTTTGTCTCTGTCTCGCGCGCACAACTGGGAGACTGCACAACGCCCTCCTCCAGAATGCCTCGGAAGTCGAGTGCCATTCCAATCGTCGACCCTGAAACCAAGAAGGTCTCTGACCCCAAAGCTGTCGTGCCAGCTCTGCCAATACGTCCCAAGATCCCAGACACGACGGCGAACAACCATAACACATGGTCCGGTGAGAATGGCATACGAGGCAAGGAAACCGGAACGAAGAGTACCGTTCAACCTACGAAAAATGACCAGTCCGACAAGAAGAACCCCAAGCCAAGCTCTACTACTACTACACCCGCCCCGTCATCTCAATACCCTCCTCTCCTCCAACCAACTCACGCTCAAGCTGTGAACCTGGATGAGGAGTCGTCTTCTGCTTTCAACGTCTACGCCCGCCCTTTTGTTCCAACAGCTTTCGCTGTCATAAACACGCTTCCTGGCAGGAGTATATCGACCATCCCAAAGAAAGCTATCAACTATGACGCCTACATCTCTCAATCGCTTGGACCCGCCGCTGGCTTCCTTCCCACGCCTCGCATTCTGGCCCCACCGCCGATTCCTTCAGCTGCTGCCACAGCCAGCCTCGGCCCCCGTCACTATGAGGCTTTCTTCGAATACCATCAGCGGCAGGAGAGGGAGGCTGAGGGGAGAGAGATTGAGGCATGTTCTCTCTATGGTCATGAGTGCAACATCAAGCCGGCATTTCCCTCGTTACAGCCCGACGAGGCTCTCTTGACCGTGCATGTCCCCGGTCTCAGGGAAAACAGCCCCTTTGTGGAGGAAGACGATGTTGTCCAGCTGCGCCAGCTGCGCTACGGAAGTGATGGGAACCTGCTTGGGATGAAGGAATGGCTCTCTGAGATGACGGCACTGGGGAACAAAATTGCGCAGACATCATTGATCAAGGCCGCGCCCGGTTGGACCGGCGTCATCTACTTCGCACGAGTAATGGGCGTTGCACGATCCACCGAGACTCTTCATCTCCGGGTCACTGGTCTCCCTCCGTTCTCTACCAGTTACACTGCAAGGTTCAACATCCAGTTCCAGGTGTCCATGGACAGACATATGCCCATGTTATATGCCCTTCCCGAGGCACAGAATGCACTTCCTCATGGAGGCTGGCTCAACTCGATGCTCTTTCCGACCTTTGTGGATGTGACTATTCAGGAGCAACTGCACCCAGGTGTCTTTGAGCAGCAGTTCTTTGACCCAAAACTCAACTTGGAGCAGAAAAAGGCCGTCGAAAGTATCTGGTCACGCTGCCACGGCACGTTACCATACTTGGTCTCTGGCCCGCCTGGCACGGGGAAGACAAAGACCATCATCGAGACAGCCCTGCAGCTCATCAAGAACTCAACAGAGCATAGCCACATCATCCTCTGTGCGCCTTCAGATCCCGCAGCAGACATCCTCTGTCAGCGTCTCATCGGACCCCTCGAGCCTGGCCAGATGTTGCGACTGAATAGGCCCTGCCGGACATTCGCCGAGGTGCCGGATGCTCTTCTCCCTTTCTGCTTTGTGCACAAAGAAGAGTTCTCGCTGCCTCCTTTCCACATTCTGATGAGATGTCGTGTGGTCGTCACGACCTGCAAGGATGCCTCCATGTTGACAAGGGGCAGAATGACCAACAAAGACCTGTACGCCATTCAGATAGGCATGCAGGATACGTGTTCTGTCATCAACCCGCGCCAGCCTGTTGCACCCGAGCCCACGCTGCACTGGTCAGCTCTCTTGATCGATGAGGCAGCCCAGGCGACGGAACCTGAGGCCCTGATACCCCTTGTTGTGGTGGCACCACCCGCCGTGCGTTACTCTGGCACACCAGCGCCCTTGGTTGTCATGGCTGGTGATGAGCACCAGCTGGGACCAAGGACATCGTTGGCACACTCGCCTCTCCAGAAGTCCCTCTTTGCACGGCTCTTCAGTCGTCCTGTATATGCTGATCATCCTCTGGCTCGAGGCAAGAAGGGCGAGGCGCCTACGCCGCTCACGCGGTCCATCCTGCCTGTCTTGCGGCCCGCCTTCACCAATCTCATACGCAACTATCGATCGCATCCGGCCATCCTGGCACTTCCCTCGCACCTCTTTTACTGGGACACGCTGGAGCCCGAGGCGACAGGCACTGACCGTCTGTCCACGTGGGAGTGCTGGAAAGGTCGCCGTTGGCCTGTGCTCTTCCACGACAACCCCTCGCTGGACGAGCTCGAGCTTCCTGGGCTGTTCGAGGGGACAGGCGGCTGGTATAACCACGGCGAGGCTGCCATTGCGTGTGCCTACGCAAAGTCCTTGGTGCAGTCCGGGCTGGTCGAGCAAGAAGAGGTGTGCATCATGTCTCCATTCAAAGCACAGGTCACACACCTGCGGAAGTGCATCCGAAAGCCCGCGTACGGAAGCCTATGGGATGTCAATATCGGTCCCACAGAGGCTTTTCAGGGGCTTGAGAGGAGCGTGGTGATTCTCTGCGTGACGAGAGCGAGGAAGAAGTTTGTCGAACGAGACCAGCAGATAGGATGGGGTATCATCGGCACACCCAACAAGCTCAATGTCGCCCTGACGAGGGCCAAACACGGCCTCATCGTTGTGGGGAAACGGGAGCTTCTCGTCGAGGATCCAAACTGGAAAGCCTTTATAGATTTCTGCGAGCGAAACGGCCTTGTTTCCAGCGTCCCACAGACATCAAAGGACCATAATGGTGCTGTTGATGACGCGTTACATCCCCAGGGACAGGTCACCCGGCTTGAGCAGACGATTATCGACAGAGAGAAAAGCATGCTGATACCGGCGCCGATCAACTCTGGCTTGCTGCGCAGTGCTGTACCCAGCCAGGAAATATGGCCTGGCAGCATGATGCAAGCGCCACCAGGCCCTGAGGATCAGAACGATTATGACGACGACAACAACTACGACAACCTTAATGAATATGAATATTATTACGACCATGATTTTGATGAGGTTTGATGGCTGTCCATCGCGGAGTTTTTGTGAGAAGGGATGCATCGATGGGACGGGATAGGACGGACAGGTTGGATTGGATTCAGGGCATGGCAAAAAAAGGGTCTCGCAGGCTATACACATTCCAGTTGCAGGATGTCTCTTTCTATGGCAATTTTGCATCAAGGGCGTTTCGATTTGACTGGCTTGCTGATGGAAGGTACTTACTTGACTTTTTGTCAGTCATCCCATCTTCATACTCATACTTCATTGTGTGTTGATCACGCTTGCCGTTCTTTTTAATAAATCTTAAATATCTTCTTCATTCTCAGTACTTCAGTCCGTCCTCAGCCAAGCTGACGAGGCACAGAATACAGAACATGCTGTTCATTATTCAGTGGGGAAGTCGTCCGACACACTCGTAAGGATGGCAGCAGAATCAACGGGCATGCAATCTTCTCCTTGGACCCAAGTTCGAGTATACTTGATAGTAATAGTATTCGAGTTTGGATCTGTACGTTGTTGTTCCCACACGTGTTTGAATACAGCCAATTTGTCCCCACTAGTGGGCCCGAGCCCAAAAGAGTGGCACGCGCGCACTGCAAACAAGGCTTAATCGTCATTCAAGGGCCCCTCCTCCTTTCCTCCTCCTGCCCCTCCCCCTCCTCAAGGAAGTCGGCTCCATTACTCTTGACCCACGCTATTCCTTTTATCTCTCATGTATCGCCCATTGAGGCCTCGGATTTCCCTGCCGCAACAACTTTGCAAGACGTTATCCTGTTCGTCCCTGCGCACTTTGAGTCCGTTCACGAACTTGGCATGTTACAATAGTCAAAGAACCTACTCAGACTTCCTCAAAATGAACTCCTCTGAAGCCACACACCAGCCCGATGCTACGGGAACCGACCCTAAACAGCTTAGTTACCTGCCCAACCTCAAGCTCAATGACGGACATGACATCCCCATGGCAAGTTCTTTAAGATGCACCCTTCAATTCAATTCCATTACCCTCCAAAAAAAAAAAAAAAAAAAAAAAAAGAAAAAAAAATTTCTTGTCTCATAAGACTGACATGTTTGCCCTCCCTCCAGCTTGCCTACGGCCTCGGCACAGCCAACTACAAAAGAGGCGCCGGTCGTGATGTCATTGATGATAAAATTATTACAGACACTGTAACGGCCATCAAGTGCGGCTACACCCACCTAGACGGCGCCGAAGGCTACGGTAACGAGCCCGAGCTAGGCCGCGCGATCAAGAAGGCCGGCGTCCCGCGGGAGAGGCTCTTCGTCACGACCAAGTGCAGCAACGTGGAGGCCGGACAGCTCTCGCAGAGCCTGGACACATCGCTCGCCAAGCTGGGGCTGGACCATGTCGACCTGTACCTGATCCACCAGCCGTTCTTTGCAGATGGGGACCTCAAGCTGCTGCAGAGCACGTGGGCGGAGATGGAGGCGATCCAGGCGTCCGGCCGCGCCACGAGCATCGGGGTGAGCAATTACACGACGAGACACCTGGACGTGCTGCTGGAGACGGCCAAGGTGGTGCCGGCCATCAACCAGATCGAGCTGCACCCGTACCTCCAGCACGGCGACCTGCTGGCGTACCACCGTGAGAAGGGCATCGCGGTGTCGGCGTACGCACCGCTGACGGCAGTCACAAAGGCACGGCCGGGGCCCTTGGACGATGTCTACCCGGCGCTGGCCAAGAAGTATGGCGTGGGCGAGGGTGATATTGCGTTGCGGTGGGTGATCGACCAGGGCGCCGTGGTGATCACGACGAGCTCCAAGGAAGAGAGGCTGCAGAGCTTCCTGACGAAGCTGCCGAGCTTCAAGCTGACCCCGAAGGAGGTGGAACTGATCTCTGAGAAGGGGAGGGAGAAGAATTTCAGAGGGTTCTGGACGCACAAGATCAAGGAGGGTGACTGGGCGTAGATGGGGCCTTGTCGTGGGTGGGGGGCCTGAGACAAGAGCCTTGATTAAGTGTCCCATGTAGACGCCATGCAGCATCACGAACAACTGCGGGGGGGGCTGATACAGCTTGATCTCTAGAGAATAAGTGTGTAGAGGCTGTGAATATCAGAGAGCTGTACATCCCATATTCTATTGCTATGCCTCGAAATAGTGCTTAGACGTCTCTGCGGGGTCTCAGATCAGTACTCGCCAGTCCATGTCTGGTGACATAAATGTAACACTCTCTCCCTATCACCATCTTCCCCCCTTGGCCTTTGATAGGAATTTGCAGTCATACACATACAAACACCTCGCTATCATTCGGAAGCCGTCGACTCATCCGGATCGAAGACCGGTGGAGACCTATTCAGCTTGGTGGCGGGCGACTTAGTATCAGCCTCAGATTCTGATGCGGAATCTGTAGTCTTTCTGTTTCGCAGGTTCCGGCTCGGCTTGTCATTAGCAGATTTCTTCCCCTTCTTCTCCTTCCCGGAGCCTCGAGCCGTGGAGGAGGAGGAGGGAGATGCCCGTGCCACCTTCCAACCAGCCTTCTTGGGCTGGGGCTCAGGCGCAGGCGTGGGCTCAGGATCACTGCCACTAGCCGTGTCCGAGCCCTCTGGCGTCGTCATGCCAACATCAGACATTTCCTCGTCAGCATGACTGCTTCTCTCATCAGCCTCCTGGTTGACGTCGTCAACATCCATCTTACTCGCGGCATCATCGGATTGCACGTCGACGCCAGGATCCTCCTCCTCCTCCTCGTCCTCCTCTTTGGCCTTACGCTTGCCCCTCCTCGAGGCCCCAGCGGCACCACGACGCTTTGATGATGCTGTAGCAGTAGCAGCCACTGCGTCGAGCTTACCCTGGTCCACGTCCGCCGTGGCCAGGACCTTGTCCTGCATGCGGATCTTGAGCTTCTTCTCGTTCAGCAGGTCCCTGAGCCATGAGTCGTGCTGGGCCTCGAACGCATGTTTGCTGCGCTCGAGCTCCTCAAAGTGGGCGGTCTCCCTGGCAACGAGCTCCTGGAGATGGTTGTGGCTACGCTCAAGCCGGGCAATCTCCTGCTCCAGTCTGGCGCGGACCCTGACGGACTCAGTACACCAGTCGAACATGTCGAGGGTTTCAGCCGCTGCCCGGCTCCTCCGTAGCTTCAGGGCACCCAGGGTTTCCTAAACATGTCGCGTCATTCGTTAGCCTTGGGAAGATCAGTCCCGGCTGGAGCTGCAGCCCCGAGGGACCCTTAGAAAGGGGGGGGGGGAGGGTCTTCAGTGGCGAACACCCGGTGAGATGGTGTAATGGGTGGGTCCCGTTTGCATAAAGATGAAAGAAAAAAAAAAGGACCAAATAAAGAGCCTCTTATTTCAGGGGTCCAAGCGGGAGGATGATGAAGCAGATGAAGTGCGAGACATACCGGACGTCCCGAGACCCTCTTCTTTTGGACGTGGATGAACAGGTAACCCTCGTCACTGGTCTGGGCATAGGCTTCAACATCCTCAATAGGATGGCCGTCGAGAAGCAGGGCCTCGAGAGAATGTTGCCACTCTGGGTCGGAACAGGCACTGTCGTCATGTTTGTATTTTGCAATCTTGCCTTGCTGTACTGTAGCAATAAGGCCAGACGGGGAAGGTCTCCGAGATTAGCAACGGCGAGATCAGCGCCGACGAGAGAGAGTGTGTGTGAGTGGGTAAGAGGGACACAGAGAGAGAGGAGGGATCTGGGGAGGAGGATGATATGTGATGGCTGGGAAGGTGTTACACACACACACATACACAGTCATAGCCATGGGCCCTAGGAATTAAAACTGGCATGAATGCAGGCAATGATGGGATGATGGGATGATGGATAAATGGCCGATTGCCGAGACCAGATCGGCAGGGCCCAGCTGCAAGGAACCAGAAACAGGCTGGGTACGGGGACGGAGACGGGGGCCGGCGGAAAAGGAAGACTCACAGGTCATGACATAGGCCTCAATATTGTCGGTGGCCACAAGTTCCAGATTGAGTGAGCGTGTGGGAGATCCTTCAGCAGAGGAGGAGGTCGGGGTGATGCCAACCAGGACATGCGTCTTCTGATCGCCCTGGGGGTCCCTGAGTGGGAGATGAACGACATATGGTGCTGCCGTTGCCATAGTGAATAGTGATATTGAGGACCCAACTTTTCACTCTCTTCCCTTCTTTTTTCTTTCTTCCTTGCAAGGGTGTATGGGTGGTGATTGTTACCCGTTCAAGCACTTATCCCCGTGGAAGCGAACGGCCGTGACGTGACAAGTGGTGGATAAAGGGACTGAGAAGAGTAGCAGTCCAAGTCCAGTCCGGTTCAGGACAGCGTAAGGACGTACGGAGGAACGGACGGTAGCGCAAGGCACCGCGTGAGTGGTTCAGAGTTTGGTAGTTTGTGTTCTGTTTGGGGCTCAAACGCTAGTGTGAACGAGATTGGAAGGGCTATCGAGGCTGGTTGAATCAGCAAGCAAGGAGAAAAGAGAAGAAATTAACGCGGCTGGAACATGTCAAATTGGCAGGTCCATAGGATGGCGAAGATCACTTGCCACCTGCTGATAGGAATCATGTGCAAGACAGAGAGAGATGAGAGATGAGCAAGAGGATGATGACTTCATGGGTGGTATGTTGTTGTCATTGTTGTTGTCGCTGTTGTTGTTGAAAAAGGATCTCTTTCCGAAGATGATACACAGTACACGGCTGTTTTCATATTATGTACTATAGTTACCTGTACCACTTCTGGGCAGACGCGGGGCAGCTGCCTGGTGGCTGATGGATACACCCCAAAATTCCATTCACTCTTCTTCCTCTTCCCACAAGAGTTCACAGTTTGATCACAAGCCTGCACAGTCAATTGTTATGAATTGTTATTAATCTATATTAATGTGACACGGAGTTTTTAAAATTCATGCTATGGATGCTGGCAATTTTTTTCGTACATCCCTGCTTAGAACAATATGTGTTGGTAAGCGTTACAGGGCAGACCTGACTTGTTTCTCTTGACGGGATGCCCTGCAGCTTCAGAACGCGTTGACCTCGCAGTATGACATGACTGGGGATCATCCTGAGGATCATCCTGAGGCCCAACTCAGGGACCATTATTGCAAAACACACTTAGTGTGTGCCATATTTACTGCAGGATCTGCAGGATATACATATATGCGTGTGTTCCTACTATAGAATGATTATAATAGTATGCCTTACTAACTCTTACCAGAGGGACCCTGAATATATTCACATGTCTGGAGAAGGAAGGAGAGAGAAGAAAGAAGAAGAAAAAGACGCGTCACACGACTAGTAGCTTCGGATCCATGAAGTGAGAAATGTGGCACAAAAAGGCAGAAGAAAAAGAAAGGGAAAAAAATTGATAGGTCGACAACATGACATACTACTGTGTACTATGTATGTGATAATGTGATACCATAGTACCATATAAAGTACATAGTAATGCTGTGCTGAGCTCTCAAGCTCAAGGAGCCTCTGCCCCACTGAACTGCGGAACAAACAGTGCACGAATCCGCCCTGCCCGCCTTATGTGGTCCATGCTTCGACCTCTCCTCCCCAGCCCGAGTCGTGTAGAGGTTCATGTCCTTGAGGGAGGCAGGGGTTCTAGGGCCCCAGAGGCACAGGGGGTCACATGTCTCTTCTCTTTCTCTGCCCAAAAGGCTACCTGAACCATGCTGCTACGCAGTAACCGTCATCCCTGTGCACGGATACTAATGCTTAGCATTCATTAGGTATGTACAGTAGTACAGAGTGCTAGTGCTGGTACAGCATGCCTGCAACTCGTCTTCCCCTCCAACCCCTGACCCCCTGGGTCCCGGCCCCCTGCCTCCGCTGAAGCCCTGTCCCCAGCCGCTCGCTACGCTAGCCAAGCAGCAGCACATCATCACAATTTACACCAGCTGCCAGCCCCAGCCATCTTTGGTCAGATCAACAAACCTCTCCACCAAACCCACCCGCCCTCCCAGGCAAGGCTCCTCCTGCAGGTGCAGTGTGCAGGTTTTCCCCTTCCCAACCCTAGACTGGCCCCAGCCCAGCTGCGACCACCCCCTTCCCTTCCCTCCTTCAATCCTGCCTCCAATCAATTCCCACAAGCATCGTCACCGCAACCACTCTTTCTCTCTCTCACATACACTCTCTCACTCTTCCTCCTCCTGCAAGGCGTTTTGTTCAATCTTGTTCAATCTCACCACCCTGCATCCTTTGCATAACCTCTTGTGTTTTTTTCTTCTTCTTTTTCTCTCTTCCATTTTTCTACAGGACATACCAGGGACAAGACAGTGGAGAAGGCACTGTTGGTTACGCGCCTGGTCAACGTGGTCGCAGCCATCAGCCATCAATCCTGTCCTTCGCAACTGGAGCCCCCACCCCAATTTCCCTCTCTCTCTCTGCCTCCCCCCAGCCAGGTCTTATTTCCACACCCAGGCCAGTTGACGTGCATTACGCATCCTCCTCTTGTCATCTCGTATCCCCCCCCCTCTCTCTAAAATCTCCACAATACCTTTGGCGACACGGACCAGCAGCTTTCCTTGCAAGAACCTTCAGCTTTTTTGTATCGCACAGCATCGGCGTCGTACCGTGTTCATCTCCCAAATCCGCTCTCGACAAGTTTTCTTTTCCTCTCTGCCTCTCTTACGCTTAATTTCCACCCCTCCCCACACCGGACCCCTCCAACGACGACATCACTATCGCCTGTCTTTTCACGGGGACCACAAGGGACCAACAAAGCGCAAGCCTAGAAGAAGGATACGTCCTGCGGAAATGAGCCAAGGGTCTGCACGTGGCCGCCATTGATGGTTATGATGATGATCTGCTTCTCGATCTACTCTCGCAATCAGACTCAAACGCCACCTTGCCGCGCCCTGTGACGGCGCCGGCCATAACCGAGTCGCAGCCCAGCTTGTTCTTACCCACTTCTTATGACGACCGCCGGCACTGCTTCCCGAGTTACCTCGATATCATGAATATGGACATCATGAACACATTACGAATCAAAGAGCGTCACCCTGTCGAGGACGACGTCGAAAACTGGGACGATGACGACTTTATGATTGACGGCGACGATCTCGCCCTTCGAAACCCTTCCGCATCGGCCAGCAGTGGACCCCCACACCGTCGCGATAGCTTCTCCTCACACCACTCCTTGCGATCCGAGCGAGAGTCTGTTCATGGTGAGGAGGCTAGACAAGTCCATATGCCTGCTGATGACGAAACCTCCACCATGAACGCCATTGCCATCGCTGCCAGTGCTGGAATTCCCATCCCCCGGACCGTTCCTCCTTCCGCCCTACAAGGCACCATACGGAGACTGGGAGGTCGCAAGGTCAAGAGGGTCCTCCAAGAGGACTGGAGCGATGACCTCATGTTCCCCGAGGGTGCCAACGCTCTGCGCATCAGGACCCAGGACCCTGCCCGTTTCCCCGAAGTCCTGAGACAGGTCAGCAGCGGGTCCTTCCAGCTGAGCCCGCCCAAGCCGTCCGAGTCTTTGCCAGCAGCTGTGGCTGGCTTTGTAGACCCCATAAAGACTCCCGCCAGGACCCTCGCACCACCCATCGACCTGTCCAGGTACCGCGATACCGAAGATGATGACGATATGTTTGGCGACGGCACTGAAACGATCAAGGTGTCCAAAACGCGTCAGGCCGTCAAGCAGCCCCTCCCCCTCCCCAAGCTCGCCACTACCCCTTCACCACCGCGCAACCCTGGCGAGGACGACTTCGAGAAGGACTTGGAGCTGCCGTCGGACGGCACGCTGAAGCTGTCCGCCCGCAGGGACATCCCCAAGACCCCGCTCAGCGCCAACGAGGACTTCGATTGGGGAGAAGGCAGCTTGGGCACCCGCTACGGAGGCACGAGGAGGGACGGCCGTTCCAACCGGAGCTCTTCGACCTCGGCTTTCAGCCCCAGCATCTCGAGCACCATCACCGCCGAGAGCGAGGACGAGGCACAGTTTGACGGCATCGAGATACCTACCGGGCCCCTCGACCTCAAGGAGAGGCTGAGAAGGCAGCGCCGAAACCGATCCCCGGAGTATACCATCGAGGAGGAGCCTGCCCCCTCGTCTAAACTGGCCTCGCAAGACGGCGACGGTGCAGATTTCTTCTCGGGCTTGGATGTCGGCGACGGCTCGGTGTTTGGTTCGGGCAAGCTCAAGCTTCATACGAACGTACAGCTGAAGAGCGCGCGGAACACGAGCCCCACCCGCCCAAAGGCAGCTGTCTCTCTCACCTTTACCAACAAGCCCACACAGAACAACGTTTCTCGGCTGCCTCGGCCTGCGTCCGGCCACGAACGGACGCCCACACAAACTTCGCTGGAGCCCGTCCTCGAGAGCGGAGGTTCGATGGCGTCTCGTAGCCTGAGGAGGTCGCAGTCTCGACTCGGACACATGTCTCAATCCTCACAGTCATCTACTGGAAGCAACACGACGCCAATCACGCCGTCTGGGGGCGGACCCTTCTTCCCGCCCCCCTCGACACCTCGCAGGAGAGAGGTCGGGAAGCAAACGTCAGTCATGTCGCTGCGGCAGGAGCCCACAACCACCAACGCCCAGCTGCTGCGGCTCAAGCGGTCGCTGCCTGTCATGAAGCCGGCCGTGTCACCAGGAAAGCCAATGGCTGTGCGGCCCTCGTCCAGAACCGACACCGGCCCACGGCCTACTTCGGGCTTGCGGCCCAAGACGCCTGTGGACCGAGCTCGTTTCTCTATGAGCGATGGCCCCGCGGCACAGGGCCGGAAGCCCTTCTTGCCTGCAGGTACTGCATCTCAGTCCTCGAACGTCAACGCCAAAGTCAGGACATTGCGCCGCCACGACTCCGACGCGTCCATGGAGATGCGAGCGGGTCCACGAGCGGTGTCTCGTACGATAGCGAGATCGCCGAGCCCTAACAAGCAGCGAGACCGCAAGGTGGAGAAGCTGGCGCAGGCAGGGATCCGCCTGCCCCTGAGCCTCCCGAAGCGGCCCAGGCACTTTGGCGATGGGCACGAGCTGGACGCCTTCGACGACCTGCCGACCTCTGCAAAGACCGAGTCTGAGTTTGTCAAGCAGCCCAAACACATCGGCCAGCAGTACCCGACCCAGTTTCGCAACAAGGGCATGCAGCATTTGGCGCCAGGAAGAACAACATCCCCCGCCCCATCCCCGCCCCACCAAGCTCTCCACTCACCAGCGAGGTTCGACTCCCAGCCCCGTTTTGCACGTGACACGGCGTCCAGTAGGATCGCGAGGGAAACAAACCTTGCGCATCGAGTTCCCTCTTCTGGGCCGCTCGCTCCTCTTACGTCGCAACGTGTTGCGCAGCTGTCCACGAGGAGTAATCTGCATGCTCTGCATCCGCCACAAGGCTCGATCAGGTCCAAGAAACATCCTCGCAAGATTGCTCAGCTCAAGCCACACCTGATCTCCAATCTGAACTCCAACAACGAATCCAAAAGTGAGTCCAGCGCAGCCTCAACCCCAACGCTTGTGATTTCATATATATCAATTTGTTTATATACCCCCCCCCCTTTTTTTTTTTTTACAAAAAAAAAAAGTAGCATGACTAACACCATTCTACAGTGGTAAATGGTATGCTTTACAATCCCGAGACATACCAATGGGAGGGCAATGACAACGCTCTGAGCGCTTTTGAGGTACCCGCATCCTCACCGTCTACTGCCTCCGTGCCGCCCTTTGCGGTGCGCGATAAGGAGAACGCCACCCCGAGACCTGCTCTCATCACCAACATCAGCGCGACCAAGGGCGTACAGGTTGTCGGAGGCATGGTGTTTGACCCTCAGAACATGTGCTGGCTCAAGCTAGGTCCCCAGTCTGCCCAGTCAGAGATCACGGATCCCATGGACGGCTTCAATGCATTGGACGATGACGATGATGTCTTCAAGGACATACCGGACCTAGAAGATAACACGGCCGACACGACTGAGACCGGACGCGTCAGTGAGGTTAAGGATGACTGGCTCATAGGCGAAGAGTTCGACGTCGGCCCAGAATTCGTCAGAAGACAGCGCGAAGAAGAGGAGCGCTGGCGGAAGAAGTGTGAGAGGTGGCTTGGCCTGGGTCCTCGTGATTGCGAGAACTGGCGATGGTTAATTCGCAGTGTTGTCAGCGAAGCTGCAGAACAGTGACTGACCTCTCTCACCGCCATTTCTCTCAGACCCTTGCACCGCATAACTCCACCAACCTTTTTTTGTTTTCTGCTTCTCATTCCCCCTTTTTTATTTCGTCTAGACGTTTTATTGCTTTTCAACGGATCTGTACAACGACGCAAAGACAAAAGTTTACGACACACGAGCCGGAAGGCATCACCAAAAAAGGCGAAAGAGAGGGTGGGAAAGAAGTGGAGTTGAATTTTTATTATTTTTTTTTTCCTTATTGAGGAGTACGTGCAACAGAACAGCATCCGCAGTATACACACTGCACGATTGAATGGATAGGGGGCCCCACGGGGCCATTCTGGATACCACGACATGGTAAACTATCTGCTGGATCCATGAGTTGTGGGGACGGAGGGAGACGCGAGGCTTCGAGGAAGGGGTGTCTCACGGCGGGGAATGGAATACAAGGGAACGAAATGAAACAGACGGGCAGTCATTGGCCCAAGTACTAACGACGGAACGACACAAGATATCATTGATGACAGTTAACGGTGGATTCTTTTTCATCTCTATTTGTTGTGGACCGGTCATGTCTATTGGGCATGAAGAGGGGAGACTGATTCTAATGCTGAGGCTGAAGAATGAAACAGAATCGAAGCAGTGCGCGAGAGTGTGGCGACCCGGCGAGGTGATGTGCGATGAATTGCTGCGAAGAGGTGCTTTCTGAAACCAAGAAGTGAGAGGGAAATGCAACGATGGCACTCGATGGGCTCTTGTCTGAGACGACGACGATCGATGATGAAGATGATTATCACAGAAAAAAAAACGATGACAGTGATGATGACGGCGGGCAACGAATTTCCTTTTGGTGGCGCTTCCTTGTTCTCTGTTTCTTTTCCCTCGAATCAGCATGGACGTACCGGCCCCGTCCAAACAACCCCGACTCTAGATTAATAACAATGCAACATGTACAACACGACTTGTCAATGTCTCTCACAAGAACCACCAAATTGATTGATTGGCTGGCTGATTGGCTGATGGGTGTCTGACAGTGAAACAGCCCACTGATCGCACGGCATCCTAGCAAGACGAAATGGTCTATGCATACAAAGGCGTAAGGTTGAATTGGACATAATCAGGCGAGGTTGAATAAATACTTCGATTTCGACCAAGGTGCACGTACACCTTCCTGGTCAGAATAATATACTTCCTACTCCTTTTGTCCCCCTTCCCCAGTGAAAGATCTCTCTTACCCTCTCTCACCTCTCTACTTGGCCGCTTTCTTCTTGCCATTGGCCTTTGCCGGCGCGTCCTTCTTAGTCTTCTTGTCCAACGCCCTGGGATCCAGACCCCGCCTCCTCATGGCATTCCTCTTGGCCTTCTCAATGTACTGCTCGTCTTCATCCTCATCGAAACCACCAAACTCATCAACCGCCTCCTGAGCGTCCTCGTCCAGGATGGGCGTCTTGTCGATGATTTCTTCGTCACCATAAGAGGCGTCACCACCCGCAGCAGCAGATCTCTTGGCAGACGGCGACGTGGCGGACTTGCCGCTGCCGGTCCTGTCGGCCAGGACGGCGTTGGCCGGCGTGGGGCCCGTCTTTTGCAGCTTGGCGACGAAGAAACCGTCCACATTGTAGGTGTGGGGGTAGTAGCGGCGGGTGAGCTTGAGCGAGGGGTGGAATTGCTTGCCGCGGTAGCTGGTGAAGCCCTCGCGACCGAATGTCAGGTTCGTCTCGACCAGCTTGACGTTGGGCCGCTTGGCGAGGGCGTAGGCTACGACCTGCTCGTTTTCTTCTACCGTGACAGAACTGAAAGGGTGTAAGATGCCGGGTTAGCTTGATATAAAGGGCATTGAGAGGGAGCAGGTGATTGATGGATGTGTGTGTGTGTGTGTGAGTGTGAGAGAGAGGCTGGCTTACCAGGTAGAGTAGACAATGTAGCCACCCGTCTTGCTGTGATGATTGACGGAATCAATGGCGGCGAGCAAGAGCTGCTTCTGCGTGTGCGGCAGCACCATGAAATCCTTCTCCGTCTTGTTCGTCTTGACGCTGGCATCCTTCGCGATGACACCCGTTCCGGAACAAGGCGCGTCGAGCAATACCCTGTCGAACCCACCGATAGGCTTTGGGAACTCGCGGGCGTCGTAGTTGCACACAACGACATTCCTGCACCCCAGGCGGTGGATGTTTCCGATCAGGCCCTTGGCACGAGACTTGCTCATATCGTTGGCGAAGATGCACCCCGTGTTCCGCATCAGGGCGGCCATGTGTGTCGTCTTTCCACCAGGAGCGGCAGACATATCGAGCACGCGCTCGTTCTCCTGTGGCGCGAGCGCCATGACGGGCAGGAACGAAGAAGCGGCCTGGATGATGTACTGGCCGGCCAGGTACTCTGGGGTAGCACCCAGGGGAACATTGCTTTCGAAGATCTGCAGCCCGACCTTGGACCACTTGCCAACGGGCTCGAGGGTGACGCCACGGTTGATGAGGGCGCTGGCGAGATCTCGGCGGTTCGTGCGAAGGGTATTGGTGCGGATGACCATAGGACGGGCGCTCTCGTTGGCTTCGAAGAAGTCAAAGGCCTCAGACGGGCTGAAGAGGTGGTAGAGCTTCTCGGCGAGATACTCCGAGTAGCCGTAGTATGCGCAGATGTCCTTAATCAGCTGATTGGTGTACTCGGCTCTTGACCTCCCTTCCTCTGCCAAGCTCGAGAAGTCTTCTAACACCCGGATATTCTCTGTTATTCGGTTGCGCAGGAGCTGCAGGTCTGGAGCCAGCAGGGTCTTCCTTTGGGTCTCTGTCTCGTTCCGATCCTCCTCATCATCGAGCACCTTGGGCTTGTCTCCGCGGATGTTTGTCTGCAGGGCTGTCTCCTCCAATTCTGCCTGCGCATCGGCAGCTTCTTGTTCCAGCTGCTTGTCGAGTTTCCTCGACAGTCCCTCGATGTTGGCTGCGGTCAGCTTCTCCTCTCCGTCCGAATCGTCTTCGTCCTCGGAGAAGACAAACTCCTCCTTGCGCTGGTCATTATCCGAGTCGTACACCGAAGAGTCGGAACCGAGAAAATCGTCTCCCAGTTTCTGAGGCTCATCATCGCCCTCTAGGCCCGATAGGCCCTCCTCCTGCTCTAGATCCGAATCCCCAAACTCCTCGTCGACCTCGATGTCAGAGTACGACTCTGCCTCAGGCTGGGCTCTCTTGGCCTTCTTCTCAGGCACCACGGCCTTAACCCTAGTGCCGTTGGTCTTCTTCGCTGCAGGGCGCTTCGCAGCCGGTGCGGCCTTCTTCGAGCCGTTTGTCTTTGCATCGCTTTTGTTCGTCGTCTTGCGCTTCTTGGCTGGCAATTCCTCTGCGACGTCGGCTGGCAGACCCTTCTTGCGCTTGAGTTTGGCAAAATGATCCTCTGATAATGGCTCAGGAGGACCTTGCTTCTTCATTCGACGTCCAGGACCCATTTTGGGAGGATAATTAGAAGAAATGGGTTATTTGAAGAAATTGGGACTCGGAAGAGTTGTTCTTGGTTGTTACAGAGACTGAGGCTGCTGGAACGAAAAAAGTATAAGGAGCGAAGGGGACCGGGGGGGGAAAAAAAAAGTCTAGGCGATAAGATAACGAAGGAGAGCGCAAGACAAGTGGCTGAGTGACTGCTCCAGTGTGCAAGGTCTGCCCCTCTAGAGTAGTCGTAGGTGGGGTCAGCACAAGCATGTCTTGACTCTGCACCGCTAACTAGTAACTACGTAACAGCGTCAGCCAGTCTTGCCCCAGGGCACATTAGTGTCCAACGTTTAAGCTTCTCCTCCCCCTCCTCCCCCTCCTAAACATACCATCTTTCCGAAGCTCAGAAGTCACTCGTTACGCCGACCTCGCCTTCATCTTCTCACATCTATTCAAGATGTCAGAAGTCACATTCGCTAAGTCGTTCCTCTCGGCGGTCGGCAGCCGCCCGCAGAAGCTCTCGCCCGACCATGTGGAGGATCCCAAGAACTACCCAGCTCGGCCACCCGTACGTCCACGTCCATCTGCTCCCCTAACCTTTCTTAAAGTCCAAAGAGGAAAGCTAACGAACGGCCTTGATTTTACTACACATGTGCAGTACATCCTGCCCAAGATGCCCAAGCCCATGAGCAAGCGTGTCCCCCTCGCCCCAGGCCAAGAGCGCTCCGTCACCGTGCACATCAAATCGCTGCGAAACCCCCCGCTGGAGATCAAGCTCACCTCGCAGCCCCTCAACACGTCCATCCTCGACGTCAAGACTGCCGTGGCGGAGCAGGCCGGCCTCCAGTTAGACAAGATTAAGGTGCTGCATAAGAAGAAGCCCGTCGCAGATGCAAAAGTGCTCAAGGACCTGCTGAGCGAGGAGGAGACGAGTGTCGAGTTCTCCGTTATGGTGATGGGTGGTGCTGCTGCTGCTGCTACCGCCGCCGCCGTGAGTCCAAGCGTTGGAGCCAAGGTTGAAGAGGCTGCTGGTGCTGGTGCCAACCCGGCGCAGGGTCTGAGCGGGGAAGCGGTGTTACAGACGGATGAGTTCTGGACGGATCTGAGAGGCTTCCTGTCGCAGAGGATACGGGACGAGAAGATCACCGAAGAGTTGTTTGGGAAGTTCTTGTCAAGCTGGGAGTCACGATAGCGTGTAGGCGGGGCTGAGCAGAGTGCACATAAGATATCACCTATCAGTAAATACATGCATGGGCAAGATAAGATGACGAAGAAGTCCAAGGTTGGACACCCTTACCTCGATATCCAGCCGCAGCATCTGTAGACAGGAGACATCTCTGTAGAGCAACGCGTCCTTATTCCGGATGCTGAAATGGTTATGACACGTGACAAAACTCGACAGGCCATAGTGGGTTTTGGAAGGAGGCCCAACGCCCAATCTGATTGCTATTCTAGAGCAACGCCGATATCAAGAATCTCGGGTTGCCGTCCTGTCTTTTTCATTATGGACATAAGAGCAAAGTGGTCCCCCCAATGTTGAAATATGATTTCTTTCCCACCTCAAGTCTTGCTACACAACTACTCGTGAAATCCGCGCGTGGCACGTTCTCAAACCAGGCCAGCCGTCTACTATAAAGGCAACGCAGCTTTGTGGTGCTTCTCTCGCGATCATGGCTTAGGCGGCGGCGCCCTTGCTGACCTTGCTCAGGATGGAGTCGTACTCGATGTCATCGTCGTCGTTGGCCTGGATCTCGACGGCGATACCGCTCAGCGCGCGCTTCAGGGCGTCCTTGGAGGAGGCGTACACCATCTTGGCCTGGTCAAGAGGATTAAGTTAGTTGAGGCCTGCACACTCTAAGGGAAGATACAGTGGTGGTGGGTAGGCTGTGGACTACGAACCTTGATGCCGGCATCATCGGGGGACCAGGCGATGAAGGTCAGCTTGTTGCTGTGCAGAGGTCAGTCTCGATCGCGTTCTCGTGGTCTCAGCGCACGGAAGATGCTTACCGCTCGCCCTCACCAGAGGCCAGGTTGTACTGGAAGTCGTAGACGGCGTATCGGGGACCCTTGCTCTCGGCGCCCTGGAAAGAGTATTCAGTACAACGAGAGTCACACGAGCATGACGGGATGCTCCGGGAAGGGGATAAATGGATAGCGTACGGTCTTGGAGACGGTCTTGGCGTCCTTGAGCTTTTGGCGGAAGGCCTCCCAGTCCTTGTTGTCGCTCGCCTCCTCGACGACAATCTCCTTAAGGTCGTCGGACAGCTTGAAGATGACATACTTGTGCTTCTTGTTGAGCTTGAGGTCGTTCCAGGCGGTGACGCAGTCCTCGTGGACGGTTGCTCTGTATCAAGAAAAGCGCTTGTCAGCTTGTGTCCATGTCTTTCTGTGGTTGTCTTATCGCGGTTGTTTGCTCCCATCCGCAGCTGGGTTTGGACGGAGGACGAGGGCTCGATCTAGCAGCTTCAGACGGAAAGGTCTACTAACCCGGATTGCGACTGGACGAGTAATCATGTCAGTGAGCGTCAAATATGGTCACAGAAGGTTCGAGGGCTTACCATTTTGGCGGTCTTGTTTGACAGAGAAAAGAATTTTGAGTTTGGTGGGTGTAGGTCTGGTTGCCGGGGGGAGGCTGAGATAAAGCTGTCGCAGGTGAGGGGTCGAGGTCAGCGGGAAAATGCTCCTGGGCCAAACGGTATGACGTGACAAGAGTAGAGAGAGCTTCCTTCTGAACGGTCAAGGCTCATAAAAGGAAGAGGGTCATACCAGGAGCAGTGGAGGGTTTCCTCGAGGAAGAGATGCGTAGACTGGACACGGAAGATGGACTTTGTTGGAAAAGGTTTGGGGGTGGGTTGTTGTAGGGTAAAGTGGGAGAGTTGCAAAGCAAGTGGGTGCTGAGGTACAGGTGGGAATTGGCGACAACACAGGCTGACAAGTTGCTGCCCAGCGTCAAAAGGGGGGAGCCATAGTGGGTGAGTTGAGTGGGTGTGGAGGCCGTTTTTTGTTTATGGTGGGGCCCCTGGTTCCGTAGGCTTGGGCAACAGGCTCACCATACGAAAGCCCCTCCTTCCCACCACCCCCTCACCCTTCAAACCTCACACCACCTCAAACAAAACACTTCTCTCCCTCTTCCCCTCTCTTTTACTCACATGGCCTATCCTTTCTCTCAAACCTACAGCTAGCGTATCACTCTGCAATGCCAAGCGCATCATCAACCACTAGACAAACAGGTAGCCAAATTAGGTGACTTTTCATAACCCCTCCTCAAGCCTTGGGGAAAGCTAAGCCGGAGCGACCACAGCTCCCAAAACAGCACAACGGTGCCTACAACCGAGCGTCCAAGCTTTTTTCCTTCTTCCTTTATCTTCTTTTTATGCCACCAATACATGTTTTGGTAGAAGCGCGAACCTTTTTTTCTTCCCCTTGTGTGATGATTCAACGCCCCTTCACTCTCGCCTACGGGGTGAACCTGATAAGCGCTGCCTAAGCCAAGACTCAACGCCAGGCAGAGAGTACGCGTATCCAATACGCAAGTCTCACTGCCACACGACTTGAATGAGGATGACGACGACGATCCATACGTCTTGCAAGTAGGCAGGCACGACAAAGGTCATCCTTTTCCTTGGGTTTCGGACTGTTTTGTTTTGATGTCGCATCTATCAGATGATGATGGTAATATACAGGCCTGGGAAATGTTTCCAGACAACGTAGCCGTGCGGGTATGCCAGGTAGAAGAGAGGAGATGGAGTGGGGAGAAGATATGAGAATACATGACCACCATGGATCCAACCAAAACACCAAAGCCAACGTGCCCAAATAAACTGTGCCGCTCTAAAATAAACAACTTTTTCTCTTACTTGTTCCAGTCACTAACCTTTTCTACATCATTCCCATGCCGGGCATACCACCTCCCATGCCACCTGGAGGCATGGATGGCTTGTCCTCTGCTGCCTCGACAATCGCAACCTCAGTAGTGCCAAGCAGGGAGGCAACACCGCTGGCGTCAATCAGACCGGTCCGGACAACCTTGAACGGGTCAAGGATACCCGCTGCGATCATGTCCACGTACTCGCCCTTGGCGCTGTCGAAGCCCTTGTTAAAGTCCTTGCCAAAGTCGTCAGTCAGCTTGCCGACAACGACGGAGCCCTCCAGGCCAGCGTTCTCGACGATTGTCCGGGCAGGCCTGGTGATGGCGTTCTTAACGATGCTGACGCCGAGCTGCTGGTCGAAGTTGGCAGGCTTGACGCCGGCCAGGGCCTGGCTAGAGGCCTTCAGGAGGGCCGTGCCACCACCGGGCAGGATACCCTCCTCAACGGCGGCCCGGGTGGCGTTCAGGGCATCCACGAAGCGGTCCTTCTTTTCGCCAACCTCAACCTCGGATGAGCCGCCGACCTTGATGACGGCGACACCACCCGAGAGCTTGGCAAGACGCTCCTGGAGCTTCTCCTTCTCGTAGTCCGAGGTGGTGGGGTCAGCCATGACGCCACGGATCTGCTCGCACCGCTGTGTGATGGCGTCCTTGGTACCCTCGCCGTTGAGGATGATGGTATCCTCCTTGGTGATGGTGATGGAGCCGGTAGAGCCGAGCAGGTCGGCGGTAGCCTTCTCCAGCTTGACGTCGAGTTCGTCAGTGAAGACAGTGCCGTTGGTCAGAACAGCAATATCCCCAAGAATGGACTTGCGGTTATCACCAAAGCCGGGCGCCTTGACGGCAGCCACCTGCAGCTGGCCACGAAGCTTGTTCAGGATGCAGACAGCCAGAGCCTCACCGTCAATATCCTCAGCGATGATGACAAGGGGTCGGCGGCTCTGGGTGGAGATCTCGAGGGCGGGGATGATGTCCTGGACGGCGGAGATCTTCTTCTCCGAGAGGAGGATGAGAGGGTTCTCAAACTCGACCTTCTGCGCCTTGGCGTCGGTGATAAAGTAAGGGGAGATGAAGCCGCGGTCGAAGCGCATACCCTCGGTAACCTCGAGCTCGTCGTTCAGGGTCTTGCCCTCCTTGCAGGTGATCACACCCTCCTTGCCGACCTTCTCCATAGCGTTGGCAATCAGCTTGCCGATGTGGGTATCGCCGTTGGCGCTGATGGTGGCCACCTGCGCAATCTCCTCGCTCGTGGTGATGTCCCTCTTGTTCTTTTGCAGGTACTCAACAACAGCGTCGACAGCGGCCTGGATACCACGGCGCAGATCCATGGGGTTGCAGCCGGCAGCAACGTTCTTGACGGTCTCGGAGAATATGGCGCGAGCGAGGACGGTCGCGGTGGTGGTACCGTCACCAGCAACCTCGTTGGTCTTGGAGGCGACATCTTGCAGGAGTCTGGCGCCGAGGTTCTCAAACTTGTCCTTGAGGGAAACGGCCCGGGCAACGGTCACACCATCTGCAGAAGGTCAGGTCAGCCATGAAGTGATTTGTATGTAGAAGAGATTTAGATTGAAGAGAGACGCACCCTTTGTGATCTTAGGAGAGCCGTAGCTGGACTCGATCAGGACGTTGCGGCCCTTGGGACCGAGGGTCGTGGCAACGGCCTTTGCGAGGGTGTCGACACCAGACAGCAGAGCAGCACGGCCCTCAACGCCGAACTTGAGCTCCTGTTTGCGCAGAGATGTCAGCTTGTTTCAACTCGCAAACCGAGGCAGCCTGGAAATGATGTCAAGCTTCGAATTCGAGCCAACCCACCTTGTGAGCAAAACGGAGCTGTTGAGAGAGGGCGCCGTTGGATCGGAATCTGGAAGCGACGGAAGGGGACAGGGCCGAGGCCGCAGTCCGGCTAGTCAATGCTCGCTGCATCTTGATATTATGTGATGATGAAGATCAAGGAAGTACACGGCGCAAAGGAGACTGGCAAGTTGGGGTATCGAATTGTCCAGCGCACTCAGTGAAGAGGTAGGATGTGAGGGAGAAAGAAAGACTTAGAATCGTGACGACGAAATTCGAGATTCTGAGCTCCAGAAAAAAAAATTGGAGTTGCCGACGAGCATGGGTAAGTTAGCCGGCAGCACTAATGCGCTAACCCAAAAGGGCGCATCATGGGATTCTATAACTTTCTGTGGGGCTCTGGTCGACCTGGATCGCTCCCGACACTCATGGCCCCTGGAGTTCAGGTTCCAGAAGTCAAGGTCGACGACACCATGCTGCCCTCTCAATTTTTGGCCCAACATAGTCCTCGACTATCATTCAAGGGCCTGAGAGGTGGAGCTGGTCCCTCGCTCGCCCTCGCAGCAATTAATATCACAAATTTTGACAGATATTGCGTGGTGCTCGTTCAAATTGTGGCCCTTAATCGCTCGGACAGGTTGTCAAATTTTGTCCAATGTATCATTTAGACACTTGTTACGAGTTTTTGTGACTCTAATCAGGTTGCAGTGACAGCAGGTTGGTCCGCAGATTGTGGAAATTATGCCGCACGTTTTGGAGCATGTACCCAGTGGTCAGTCCAACAAAGGCCCAACGAGGGAGAACACTGAAGCCAAAAGGATGGGAGAAGAAAAGAAAGTCATAGCAGTGGAGAGAGCACGGTGTGAATCACACTTATGCACCACCTTCTGCAGCCCAGACCGGAGCTCGAAAGCCAGGTCTCAGTCTCGTCAATGACAGTTCACAGATAGGCCACGGCCGCCACTACAGATGTGTTCACTGGAGGATGTTATAACAATTTTCATCGATTTCGACAGCTGATGTGTCCGGGATGGTGTTCTTGGACTACTTGGGAGCTCACCCTCCGCTTTTCACCCTCACGATCCTCCGACCCAAACAAGACAGCCTTCAACCGAAAGACATGTGTCAAGAATTTGTCAAGACCTCAGACCTCCCCGACACTGTCCACACAGTCATGCATGTCCGTCAAGAAGACAGCCATTTCCGCAATATTTATCATCATGACCCCCCCCCCCCCCCGGCCCGATCGCTTTCAGGCTCACCATCAGATGGTGAGCCTCAAGCATAAGTTCATCAATCGATAGGTGCGTTAAAGCGACGCACTTGAAGAAACAAATCCTTCCAGCTTCCTCGCAGGCCATGAGTTTTAAGAGACAACGAATTATCCCTGCAATGGTAGCAGCCACAGGAGGTGATATTGCAGCCAGAAGATGCTGCAGGAAAACAATTTTGAGACCATGAGACAACAACGTCCAGGGACTGAGCCGCAAAGCCTACCAAATCAGGACGACAAATCTGGAGGTTGATAAAGTACCGAACGCCGAAACTTCTTAGTCGAAGAAAAAGAATCAGAAGAGAAGAGAAGACCGCAATGAGCCATGACAAGATCCTGGCAGCCATCTGAGAGGAACAAATTTTAGCAGATGGGCAGTTCCAACCTCAGAGCTTCATGCCCAAAGTAACATGAGACGACGACAAATGAGAGTGCCGGATAAGCAGAGAGGCTCATACAGAAAGGCTGTTATTGATCCATGAGATGTCGAGCCAGCTGTTGAAAGAAGGAGAAGTCGTATGGAGACGTAGACATTCCTTACGGACTCAGTCGTCCTTCTGTACCTTCTTCAGCTGGGCAGCAAACTCGTCGGTGTCGCTGAACATGGAGGGGAAGTCCAATGCCCGGTTGGGGTCCTCTTGAAAGCTGGGGCCAGAGACGGACGACAGCATAGGCATATCAAAGCCACCGTTGGACAACATTGCGGGACGGATGATTCCAGCATTCCACTCGTTCATGTGCTACAGGGTGATTGATTAGCTCAAGACTTACTGGGGTAGGAGAGACATCAAGATCAAATTGAGTATACGGAGAGGAACCGACTTACAGTCCGCATGGCAGTAGCGGTGTGGGGAGTGGCACTGGCCATGTCGAAGCTGGCGGGAGACGAGGAGGCCGTGGTGAAGCAGGGAGCTGCTGCAGCCACAGGAGTGCTTGGGAAGGCTATGGGTTGAATCGCGTTCAGGCCGCCAGGGGCCATAGTTGCGTATCCCCATGTCTTGCCGCCGTCGGGAGTGACGGGAAAGATTGGGCCCATGAGGACCATTCCGCCAGGCTCAGCGGTGCCGTCGGTGAATCGGCCGCCGCCACGCTTGGGAGTAGGGGTGCCAAAGACCTGTTGGAAGGCAGCTTGAGACTGGGCGGTGAACACCGGGGTCGCGCCAGGAGTGGCAGTGAGGGTCGTATCCTGATCGAAGTGGGAAGTCACTGTCGTCAGCAAATGCAATTTCTCGTGGTTTTGTTTGAGGAGTGCAATCGACAATTTCTTACCTCGTTGGCAGCACCCTCTTTTTGGTTGACATCGTCCTCGCCCTTGTCGGTGAGCTCATTCTCCTTGACGCCCTGAATACTATCGTCGTCCGACTCAGGCTCAGCATAGTTGGTCTTCTTCTTGGCGGCAGCGCGAGTGGGTCGCAGAGCAACACTCTTCTTCCTCTTGTTGTTGCTGGCGACGAGGGCCTCGTCATCTTCGTCGTCAGGAGACTGGTTAGAGATCTTCTTGCGCTTAGGCTTAGACTTGGACTTCTTTTGGATGTTGGGATTCTCGACAAAGACATCGCTGTCACCGGTCTCGGTAACATGAGCAGCTGCATCAAGAAGTCCATCGAGAAGTCCAAGGTCGGTGGCGTCAGCACTCTTGTCAACGGTGCCGTCGACGTCAGCATAGGCAGCATCACCGAGGCCCTTCTTCAGATCGTCCATTTCCTCAGTCCAGCGAACAGGACGGATGGTCTCGTAGTCTCCAGAACTTTTTCAAAAGGTACGTTAGCTAACTTTGTCTTCAAGAAGGCGTCTAATCGAGAGATTAAACCTACGCGTCTTGGAATCTGCGAACATAGCCTCGGATGGCGGGATCAGGCTTCTGAGTTCCAGGCTTCTGGAGGACGGGAGGGACGAGGTGGCCCTCGGCGATCAAGGTCTTGCGAAGACGGACCAGCTGCTGCTGAACAGAGCTTCCAGAAGAGCCAGGATCTATAATTGATCCCTGTTAGCTGTCCCTCCAGGTGAACTGGGGCATGCATGCCTGCGACACCCGTCTGTCGACGAGCCACTCATAGGAGAGAAGGAAAATGTGTGGCTGACTGACTGAGACGGTGTGCAATATTATCCCAGGGAACGGAGATGTTGCGCAACTGGCACTCGTATTCCATGTGCAAGATGAGTTTCTCCATCATTCGAGGGCCTGAGACTTCGTCAGCTTTTCTTGTTCGTGTTTTGTTTGATCCATCCACGTCACGACTCATATCGACTTGGCGCAAGGATTCTGGACACATAGGCTGTCGAAAGGCAAGAAAAGAAGTGGGAAGAGGTACTTACGGTTCCAAGCGATCAGGTTGCGACCGATCTTACGGCCATTTTGGGCAAGATCGCTCTGCTTGGGGGGGACGTGGGTGTACTGAGACCAGTCGCGGTTCATGCCGCGATAGCGCTTGTTCTTGGGGATGGCATTGCTGCCGTCACCATCGCCAGCTCGCTTCTTGCTCTTCTGACCCATTTTGAACGGTTCTCAAAGTGATTCTTCTCTGGTCTGGGGTGGTGTTCTTGGTGTCAGTGAGACTGACAGTGATCAGGAGGCTGGCAGCAACTTTGCTTTGAGGCGGGAGCTTTTCTGGATAGACTATGGCAGGACGGGCCCCGTGTATGGGCGCCTGGCTAAGGTGTTGCTTGTCCAATAAAAATAGTAGTAGTATCGAAGGAAACGAAAGAAGATGATGGATTAAGGAAAGGTAAGGAAAGGACGGAGAGAGGGAATTTGGTTGTCAGGTGTCTTGTTGAACTACTGGTAGGAGACGTGCAGGAAAAGAAAGATAATAACAAAGGAAGAAGAATGCGTGACTTTCCACACGCAACGCGCAAACCTCGCGAACGTGGAGAAAGACGCGCCAGGATGTCCTCAAACTTACCTCAGCTTTCAGCAGTCGAAATAGAAGACGGACAATGAATCTCAATCACGTGCTCCGCAAGGTGCAATGGGGTTTGGGAAGTGCTGAAGAGGACGAGATATCCACGAGTTGTTGTGTTCTCCGCGTCAGGAGCTGAAGGTACGGTTTGACGAGAAGGGTCAACACCGATTTCCCTCGTCCGCTGCAATGGTGAAAGGAAAGGAATAGGGGACGTATTGTTACGTTACCAGAGCGTGTCTGGACAAGGTGGTGGAGGAGGAGGAGGAGGAAAGAGGGGGAAAGAGAAAAGTCGAAGATAATACGGGGGCGGGGGCCTTTGGTCAGAGGGCATAGGTAAAGCTACTTGCACTGTGCACACATCATTAGTTGCTGTAATCGGTAGTCTCCCACCCCCCTCTCCTTCGCCAGGAATTCAAAATGAGGTAACCACCGACACATCAACCTTGCTCAAAATGACCTTGCGATCTTGAATACTGGAGTTACAGACCTACGCCTCTGAATATTATTTTCTTCTTCATAGTGTTGGACTGGAGACCTAGGAGAAGCAAGTCTCTAGCTACATCATGAAGATCTCAACAGAGAATTACTATTGTTGTGGTAGGATATAAATTTAGGGCCAAGTGTTGTCCTCATCTGGCAATACTTTGGGGCTAGGTCACTCCAGAGTCCGTGCAGCAAGGCACTTGGACGAGCAGGCATTCCCAGTTTGCAACGCACACACATACTCAGTGTCTCTTTTGAGGCCATCAAGAATATTCCGTACTCGTGTGAGATGTGTCCAGACAATGTATTCAGAGGTACTCCGACTGAGAGTATAGCCGCAATAGTCCTGTATTCTAGTTTTGGTTTCTCAACCGCCCTGAACATCCAGATTTCAGTTCTTCCTCCTAGACCCCCAAGCATTTATTCGACGTGAGAATATACTAGTAGACAAACATGACCAGATCTTTCAGCTAGGTCCGTTCAACAATCCATGCAGGACCTGACAATTTCGTCCTCTCGGTCTGTATAAGTTGACAATTCGGTTCCATCTCAGTAGGGCCTCCCACGACAGCCTTTGATAGTCTCTGTGACGAAGCAATTAATACCATTCTATACACACACATCAGCCCTTCCCCCTCCCCCCAAAGGGTTACGTTGAATCTTCCTGAGGTATGAAACCCTAGCAAAGAGGCTTTGCTCTGAGGGCAGCACCTAATTACAGTGCGTTACGTCGAACCTGGACGCCATATTGACCTGAAATGGGTTTCATTAATGGAACGCGAGTGACTACACGCCATTATTGCCGTCAGAAAACACCTTGAGGACTTGTGTGTCATTTAAGGGCAAGAAAAAGCCATGGTAGGTCCCCTTCTAACAGACCACTTACACGGGTTGTTCCGCAGTGAGAGCTGAGGCTCGGCGGCTGCACCCGCGCCAAGGACAGGGATCCTCCCCTGTTGCCTGTCCACAGCGCTTTAGCCTCGAATGGGGAAGTACGTACTTTTCGACTTCACGTGCAACAGGGCAATTTGCCCAAAGTCACCACCGTAATGAGTATTGCCCTTTTATTTCATCGAAACTACCGTTTGTCTGTGTCGAACGAATCCTCCCTGCAGTGGAACTCTCAATATGCCCTCTACCAGATTCCACACAAAGAAAGAGCACAAACGTGGAGCCTTCAAACGACTCATCATCAAGACCAAATCGTAATGTACCGACGTCCTGTGCCAGCATCTGGTCAGAAGAGTCTTCTCCCACCCCTCTTCTCTCTCCACCAACCAGGATAGACTTACTTTTTCCAAAGTCAGACGCAGCCAAGAGTCTCACTGCTTCTCATACCTGCCTAAGAGAAGGCTGGGTTTTGGTGATGCAGCCAGTGGCTGGCGACCTGCTCAGACGTCGAAAAGCTCGTCTGTGTTGTGTAGTCAGCATCATGAACGTGTCCGTCGTGTTCTTGCAATACTGTAGCTGAGGTTGGCGGGAGGACGGCTGTGTGCGTTGGGGCGGCGGTCATGTCACTCGCAAAGTGGTTGACGAAGCCGTATAAACTCTCTGGGGTTGTTGGGTGCATGAACATTTGATGGGCAAAGGCAAGAGGCGCTGGTGGACCAAAGAAACTCGAAGCGGCCGACATCAGATGGACTTTGTCATCAGCTCTATCTCCGTAGGCAACGCCAGGGGTCGTCGTCACAAGTGTGTTTCCTGCTGTCATCTCAGGTGGGGTTTCATTCCGGTCTGTAGTGTACGAACCATTGGCATCGATGGCGTCACCGATCTCGTGCTTGACCTCGTGCTTGACTTCGGCTTTGACCTCGGTCTTGACGTCCTCGTCGATGTCGGCACCTCGAGCGGCCAGCTTGCGCTTCTTGCTGGCTGGGGTTCGGGGGTTGGTAGCTGCCTTGCGACCACCAGGGGTCACTGGAGTGCTGGGGCCCGAGGCGGCGGGCGAGCCAGCACGACCACCACCGAGACCGTTGCCAGTGATACCGTGAGCCTTCATGAGACGCTCGTACCGCTTAGCACTATTGATAGCGTTAGTAAGCAACGGGTCCCAGCCAGGAGTGATGGAAGACACCTACGCGGCACCCTTGCTGATGATGTCGCACTCGGTGGCGACCTGAGTGAAGTCAATCTGGCAAAGTTCTTGGTCAGCTTTATGTAAGAGTTCATTCTTGGTTGGATTACTCACTTTGCCAGCCGTGGAGTGTTTGATGCACGCGATCAGAAACTTGAACTGATCCTCGGTGTTGGAAGGAGGAGCCATGATTGCTGATGTCGTGCAAGATTGTTTCTATTTCTTGACCGTGCGGATGATGTGTCCAGGAGCTGTTGCCCTGAACTGTTAGCTTCCAGTATATATGTGAAAGTGAACACATTTCCGCGCCTCGAAAATCCAATCCACATCAGATGCTCATGCGCGAAAGGGGGTCTCTCCTTGCTCTCTGCCCCCGATGCTTTGGCCTTGTAGCACTGTGAGCTCGTAATCGCTGATCTGATTAAACTAACGTGAGGTAAAACGCGTCAGGAGCAGTCCTTCTTACCTTGATGAGTATTTGATCTTGCAGTACAAAGAAAAGAGAGTCGTCTGGGAGCTTGCGAGCTTGCGATGAGTAGCGGTAACGCAAAGAGGTGACGGTGGGAAGATGTAAAAACGGGACGGCTGGTTGAGAGATGGGGGGGGGGGGAGGGTGTGAGAAGGCTACAGTTATCGAGATACTTCGACCTTGACCCTTGGTTCACGATTAAATGGTTACTTCGTTTGGCTTAACCCTCATTAGTGGCTTGGCGAAGATATGTCTGGGTGGACAGGTGTGCTACGTCTGGAAAGTTTTCTGAAGGGGTGTCCCAATATTCTACTCGGGAGGATGGAGCCGGGCTCATGGATATATGTTGGATCCTTCCCAGTGTCTGACCCCTCAAGGCAACCACTTTCTATTCAGCTTCCTTATATGGCCATCCATGAATCAGCCTGTTGGTCTTGTCTTGGGACCATAGAAAGCCAGACTTGTCCAACATGCCTTCCAGTTGAGCTTGGCTAGCCATGGAGCTGGTTGTCCCATTCTCTGCTGTCTTTCATATGCTTGGGTAACAAGGGTTCGGCAGCAGTAGAGATTCAAAGTCCAATTAAACATCACATCTGACATTATCATGTCATGTCCAAAGCCTCTTTCAAGACCATCCTTTGAGGTGTAGAATAAGAGATGACATGTCCTTATTGTATGTTTGGTAGGATGAACCCGGAATGTATGATAGGTTTCATTCCTGTCTCAGTAGGCTCCAAAGTATTGCAGTATGTCTAACCCATTACTTACGAGATCGACTTACACCCACATTGCAAATAATTACCAAGATCCCAGATCCTCAGAGGGGAAGGGGGAGGAGGAGGAGGCGAATTGGATGGAATTGTTGTATCAATTGCATTACCCAAGCCTTTTCCGTGTCATGGTGAAAGCATGCTGCTGTATTCACGTACTTGTGAGCCTCCTCACAGTGTGAATCTGGTTGAGGACCCCCTTCAAGGGAAAATGCATACACAGTATCTCACCGTTCATTTGAGGTATGCGGAACTGGTTTAAAGTCTCATCATTGCTCCTCACAATGAGTAAAAAGTGTATGATGATGCATTTATATATATAAAGCGAACTCTTCTCGCTCTCTGCAAAGGTCTAGTGGCACAGTCTGTCATTGACAAGAGCGAGTCTTCACTATCTCCTTCAAAAAGAGCTCGAGTTTCTGTTACCATCCATCCTTTTGGTATTCTCTCCCTTCTCCAAATCCATACTGTCGTTCCTGAGTCCACCTTCTCCCCCAATGATGCAAATCTTCGATCTAATCCCAGCCTCGTGTTGACAACAGCGACATCATAACAACTTTAGCAGCCACCCGGATGCTTCTCCAAAGCCAACACCTTCTGCCTTGGTATCCCACACTCTTTCTTCTCCCAGCTTGCATGCGCCTCTTTTCTGACCCTGCATCTGCTGTCCTGTTCATCTTCCATTCTCTTTTCGTTTCCAACCACCGATCGCAACAACGCAGTAACTGCTTCTGACATCAACCCTTCACAGCAGCTCGCAATCCAGATCTGCTCAGTCTCTAACGTGGAACACCAGACCAAGAGTAAGTATATCCGTTCCCATCACTTCAAATTACCTGCCAGCCTTTCATCGCGTACGCGTTCACATGATACTATCTCACCGCATGGGCTACACGGAAGTTACCATCTACCCAACAGCCCCCCTTCCTTCTCAGCACCCAACCATGGAAACTCGTTCTTGATATATTGGCTGAACCTCCTATTCTACAGAGCTACAATGGACTCCCCCTCCAAGATGTCTTCCAACCAGTCGGACAAGGTCCCTGAGGGCACCGGCCCCAAGCCTACTGACGCCCAGATGCGACTGTTGGCCATCATGATGCAAAACATGAAGGGCAAGCCCGAGTTCGATGTAAGTCTACAGCGCGTCCCATTCATCCACCCTGCCTCCGCTCTGAAACTTCCCCTTGCAACAATCTACGACTCAGCTAATACCCTGTTCTCTCATCCAAAAGTGGGATGGCATCGTCGCACAGGCCGGCTACAAGAATGTCACGACTGCCAAATCCGTCTACAGCCAGATGCGCAAGAAATTCGGCTGGAACATGGGAAACACTGCCTCCACCAACACTCCTAGCCCGGCCAAACCTGCTAGCAACGCGATTGCTGGTTCCTCCTCGTCCTCCTCCAGCAACCATCTCGTTGGAGGCGCCAAGACTCCCACGAAGGTCGGCAAGAATCCGGGCAAGGGTGGCTCCTCTGCGAAGAAGCCCCGCAGCAAGAAGGTGAAGGCGGAGCTCGAGGGAGATGGCAAGGAGGGTAATACCTCCGGTGTCGATGCCCCCATCAAAACCGAGCGAGGCGAGTCGATGTGATTGGGAGGTCAAGTCGGAACGGGATGGTCTGCCTCGGACATTCTTTTTTTCTTCTTCTTGCCCCTCAGCCTTGCCCCACTGTTACATTCCGGCTTCTGAGCCCAAGGTTACGATTGGCTGAGGCAGTTTCTTTACACCAAGAAGGATATCGAGGAACTCTGGCCAGCACAACGATTCAGTATCGACGTGCTTTCGAATGATAATTATGAAAACACACAATGAAATTCATCCTGATTTATTTACACTGTTCCACTAAGCCTTTGTACGTGATCATACCTGCATAAGGATGATGATCTTGACTTCAGCTTCGGCTGACGGATTCGACTTGGTGTCAAAATCTCGAACCTGAAGTTGTGGGAGGCTTCAACTTACATCAAGTGTTCACAAGCTCAGTGCAGGGTGAGTGCTGAGGAGTTTATGACGATTGTATGATTTATTCATTGGGGGTGGTCCACTATGTCCAATTCCAAACTGTGTCGGCCTCGAAGCCAACACCACAAGAGAAGAACTTCCCTTTATCTCAAGTAAAACGCATTTCCGTGGACCATACCCTTTCATAGAAAAAGAAGAAAAGAAATCCTCCCCTAAGACGCAACCCAGGCAGACCAAAGATTTTGGTTCCAAGTGCGATCATCATAGCCCAACCACACACGATCCTCCTTCCTTATACCCAAATGAAGCCATCAAAAGTAGCCATCTTTTAGATACTTGGGCGGTGCACGTAGTAAGTAGTCAAGCAACCATGACCGTCGCACCTAGACGTCGCCATCGTCGTCGTACCTGAAGGCTGAAGTCAGTATCATAAGAAATGCATTGTACTTTCACTATGAGGAAGTACTTACTCGGTAGGCTCGTGCTTCACAGCATAACCCTCGAAGTTCTCCTCCTGTTTGACGGACTCGGAGGCGGGAGTCTTCTTCTTCTTGCCGCCAGCCGAAGTACGACCCTTCTTGGTCGGAGTCTCCTCGTCATCGTCAGCGGTCTGACGGACACGCTTAGCGGGAGTTGACTTCTTGGACGAGCTAGGCTCGCTGTTGCCGCCACCGGAGGCAGTCTCCTTGCGCTTCAGCTTCTGAAGGTGCTGACTGGAGAAAATAGTCAGCAAGAAATGCTCACAAAGTACGGTTCAGATGAAGGCAGGAAGGATGCAGCTCGGGTCTTTCCCACTCGGGATATCCTGTTGGATTGGGATGAGGTAAAGTCTAACATGCGATGGGAGGCTGCCTTATAGGTGCAGTCAATGCCACGCTCATTCAGAATGTCGACGGCCTGACGAAGCGTGGCACCCTTGGGCTGTCCACAAGCTACGAGGCAGGCGCCAAACAGGTCGCGCTCCGTCTCTGCGTCCCACTTGACGCCCTTTTTGGAAGGAGTATCCATTTTATTGATGGACACCGTTGGTAGAGGGCAATGAAGTTGGGTTGGTGGTGTTCCTGGAAATTGAGGGAGGAGTGACGATCAAAGTAGAGGGGGGTGATCCAAGCTTGGGGAAGTTGGGAAACAGAAATGAGAGAGGAGAAGGAGAAAGGGGAGAGAGATGTAAGTAAATCCTTGGGGGAGTGTGGTTGGTAGCTTTGGGGGGGAAGGAGAAAGGAATGGGGCTCCGAGGGAAAGTGTTGGGCTGGGAAGCGCGGTCAGAATAAAAGTAGGTGTAGCGTACACAGCAGCCTTGTATGTGTAGTTGTAACCCTTTGCGCAGAGCTCAGGGTTGATCTTCTTCCACTCTACGTCGGTGAGCGTGATATTGGTCACGATAGCCACCAGCAGGTCCTGGTGAGCCTGAGCGGTCCAAACGGTGCGGTCAGACATGATGGAAAGGGGAGACAATATGCGAGATTCCGTGGAAAAGACGTTGCTGTGAGTTGGCAGAAGACCAAAGCTGCAGTTGGATGTGAAAGACGGGGAAGTCAGGAAACAAGAGAGAAAACAGCAAGTGGTTGGGTCTGAGAATGAGGTGGCTTATCAGAAAACAGGACGAAAGGGTTTGGTTGATGCACTTGCAGTCACATCCCGCCCGCTACGTCTTGCCAGATGTGCAATGAGATTTTCGAGCCGATTCCAGGGCACCCCACCGAAACACGAAACTGAGAATTGCAAGCAGGTGACATACTAAAGTCCGGAAGCTGAGAACTCCCAGCCTCCAATAGCCTTGGCCTTTTCAGCAATCTGGATGATATCTCCCTTCGAAAGGGAAGAGTGCTCGAGCGTGGCAATGAGGACGTCCCGGTACAGACCCGCCTCGTTCCAATCCTGCTTGAAAGCATTGGGCTTCGCCATGATCGTTTGTGTATGTATGAAGCGGACGCGGTGTTGTTGATTGGGATCAGGGCGCAAACGTGGGTGAGGTGAGAACAGAATGGAGATGTGTCAAGCCAAAGGTGAGGTGTGGAAAACAATGATTGTGAAATCATGTGAAAGGCTTCTGTGGGGTACACCAGCGGGATCCCGAGATCTTTCGAAGTGAATCGCCTTGTCAACCACTTTCTCGAGACCTGCCAGTGTGGGGAAACGGTCGGTCATATTCAGAAGTGCACTTGCACATTGCAGAATATGACAAACTGGAGAGCACTCTCTATGAAAAAGGCAGCCCCTTCATCTTTTCAAGTCTGATTGGAAAAGAGGCCACTGCTATACCCCAGGCCAAAGCCGCTTCATCCAAGTCCTGGATCATTGAGAAGGGTGCTATGGTAAGACAAGCTGGGATGTGCAAGAACTTGTAAGGTTTGCGTAAGGATCCTTGAGGCTGGTGCCCTCCTGTGCCTGCCTCTGTATGCATATATGTGTGTGCACGTACGGGCAAGAGGTGGGAAGGGGATGCTTTGACACCAGCACTATATGAGGACACAAACATACCGAATTCCCTCCCAGGTGGTCTCGGAGTGGCCATGCTGATGCATGAAGGCAACAATCTTGTTACGCTCCTCATCCTTGAGGTGTAGAAGACCAGGCAGGGAACAGAGGATAGCCCTGAAGAGGACCACTTCGGTCTCAGTGTTCCAGGTGGTAGGCATCTTGAGAAATAGAGAAGCTCGAGGCCCTTGAGAATGAATTGGAAAGCCTCTGGATGGATTCTGTGTTGTGTGTTTTGGTGTTTTGGAGAAGAGCGTGAACAGTGAGGAAAATAGATGGGGAAATTGAGACCCTCTTAAGATTTCCGGCTGGGCAATGATGACCAAGAGCTGTATATGCCACTCCAGCGCAGAATACGAAAACGATAAGATCAACAGACAGACAGGCCAACAAAAAATAAAATCAAACAAGACAAAGACACCAGTGCAGTAGAATGTATGCTGGCAGAGGGAATGTGCTCACCGAATGGCATTCCAATTGATGTCGTTGTGACCTTTCTCCTTCATGAACGCAACAATGGACTCCTTTTCCTCAGCAGAGACACTCTTGTGCACAAACACATGGTACATGCTGTACAAGAGGTCCCTCTCGACCGCTTCGGTCCATTGCATAGGCATTTTATCTTGATGAACGAAGGCTGACAACAGAGAATGGATAGAGAACAGAAGGGGGTTGGCGGCGAGTGTTGATGATTGAGTCAAAGAGAGATGTTGGCAGGAGCAGAGAAGTTCTCTTGTTGCCTAGTGCAGACACGCGACTTGCGTTCTATTGTTTATTACCACCCCTGTGGCAATCAAAAGGTACGTGACTACCAGCGTACGTTACCAAGGAGATCACGTGAACCTTACCGGATGCCCTCCCAGCTGAAGGTCTGGCCACGGTCCATCATGCTCTGCACCAAGATATTTCTGTTGGCTCGAACCGATATGTCATTCGCTTCGAATACCTCCAGGAGGGCCCCGCAAAGAGCCTTGTGGGCTTCATCACTCCATTTCACGGCCCAAGATCTGCCGCGGGCCAGGCTGTATCTAGTGGTCGAAATCTTTGCAGCCCTTTTGGGGGGCCGTCGAGGTTCCATCCTAGTTGTGTTTCGTGCGTGCTGTGTTGATTCCATTGATGCGTGTCGAGGTCTGACGCTGCAAGAGAGCATATGCACGCTGCTAGAATGTTTGGCATGGTGTGTCGACGGGTTCGAAAAATATCATACGGTATATAATGAACGAAGACCTGAATCTTCACGACTCACTCCCTCTTGTCGATGACTGACAAGATAACGTGCAGTGCAGTGAGTGAGCGAGCCGCAACCAGCCTCCCCCCGGCGTACACTTCCCCTACGACACATCAATGGCAATCGACAGAACAATAGTTCAAGTCATTCGTATCTCAGACTCACTGTAGGGCATCTGCTTTGGAGCATCCTCAGTACCCTTCGCAAGCAATTCTGAAAGGGACTGATAAACCTTAAAGAACAGCAACTGCGCATACCAGCCCAGAGTAGTATGTGAAGTGCTGGATTCGTGATATTAAGATAGAGTAAACAATGCGGATAGGCCATTGAGTAAGATGAAACGAATACCTGAACACCGGCTGACCAAATAACAGACACCATTTTCTTTCCAAAGCGTTGACCAAAGCAACGCTGACGTGAACTCCTCCGCTTCTAGACCCTGATCCTGGGTTTCTGGGCGGCTAAATGCCTCCCTCGTCTCGGTACGGCGCCTGCCTTCATGCCTCGCCGTAAAAACTTGAAAGATTAAGTTAGCAAAGAGTAGAAGAGATTGCCCAAAGGTAACTCACTCAGGGTTATAATGCTCCACGGAGCCTGGATTGTTGTGAGCAGCCAACGCACTCAGAATAGCCTCATCATTGAGGGCAGGGTCGTGATTCTCTTCAAGCTTGGCACGCTTAGCAACATGCTCATCAGTCTCTACGTCGACATCTTCAAAGGACACATCCCCTGCATGCATCACGACATGCTGTGGTGGGGGCGGTGCCTGCATCTGATGGGCAGCAGATTCCATCATGGGAGTTGGAGCAGGTCCCACGCCAGGCTGCATGCTCGGCTGGCCCGGTAGAGGTTGCTGTTGAGAATGCCCTTGTGGCGGATGCTGCTGCTCCTGGGCCGGATCAATATCATCCGTGTCTTGAGCAAGGGCACCATCTGCAGCGTTTGCGGTGGACTTTCGAGGTCTGCCCCTCCCAGGACCTGGCCGACGGGTGATTGGGTTCTGTGTGGGATCGACCTTCCTTGGATTGTCGCCCGAGACGCCATTCGCCTCTGCCTTTTGCTGAGCTCGACGGAGGCCCTGGAAGTGTTGACTAGGAACTTGGTCAGCTGGTGCGAACCGCAAGATGGTGTCACTTGAGGAGATGGAACAAGCTCAGTTGGGTTCAAAGTATCAGAGTAGACAAAGGACGTGTGGTGGCGGACAGGGCCCAAGGAGTCACAAAGTATTTTTAAGGCTGCTTTCCACAACACAAGCAGCATGAGACACTGAAGCTGGGGAGTCACGAAGGCGACAATAAGAGAAGGCCAAAGTGGGAGAGGAGAGAAGGCGGGGGTCTGGGGGAAAGTATCAATGCAAGGCGATGAGAACGGCTGACTCACCGGCATCCTTCATTCGTGAAGCCATAACCCATCGATCTCATGTGATTGCCGATCGTGGTCCATTCTGAACCGCTGATGACTCCAATGTTCTTCACTGATAGGATAGTGAAAAACAGGTCCTTGTCGGCCTCTGAAGACGGACGTGGTCAGTCAAAGTATATGTCTACGTGAATGCCAGAGCACCAGTTTGTTGAGCAGGCAGGCTCATGTGAACACATGATTGGCAACTGAGGGACAGACGAAAGGCATCAATGACAGGCAATTTTGGCAGTGATGAAGAGTAGGACAGACGAGCGGGGAACAAGGAAATCAACGGAGAGCAAAGAAATTACTGACTGTCGCCCCAATTCTTGTTATTCATTGTCGGGTGAGAAGACTTGTGAGCTGAGAAGAAGCCCTGGACCGGTGTGAATAGCCTCAATGGCGCTGTTGGGCTCGACTGATTGGCAATGCGATTTATTGTTAGGTCAGTAGCAGTCGTCGTGGGATCAGGGCAACAAGAGGGAGCGGAAAAAGATAGGTGGCCATCTGCCAGGGTTTCTGAGACCACGGGGGGGGCTCTGGAGGGAACCTCGGGGAGGGCAAAAAGCTCTCTGGCTTGGGCTAGCGGCACACCTCCTACGCCAACCAGCCGTCCCAGCCGCTCCGGTCTAGTCTCTATGAGGTTAAAACCACTCTAACCCCCTGCTATGAGCCCGCTCATTCGTCAACCCGCCAGCTCGTACAGGCCCCAACCACTTCTCCCCTTCCCTCCATCTTTCCCCGCCCCTCTCTTCCTCCCGCCCTCCCTTCTTTCAATCAGGTTTCGGCCGACCCTCCTCTACGCCAGTCTAGTCTCTTTCCGGTCATCGGTCATCACCTGACTGCGCGTCTTTCAGGCGTTACCCTGTGGGGCAACCATTATGAGATCCATCCCTGAAGGTGACCAGTTGGACGCGTCTCGGTGCACGACTCGGGCAGATCGCCGCACCAACAGGACGTCAATCCATCGCGGGCTCCGACATTATCCAGCCCCCCCTGAAAGCTCTGTCAGATGGATCCGTGTTACTCATGATTCATCTAGACTCGCCTCTCGCCTGCGACAGATTGCCACTCCTCTTCATTTCCCTCTCTTGATGGATGGCGGATGACGCAGTGCTGTCGTTTTTCCATTGCTCATAGCACATAAAGATGATTATTCTTTGCTTTCTAATTGATCTATTAAGGCTGATATGTATCCCTGTGACCATAAGACAGGCAACGTAACTATGGGAGATGTGGTTTGACCGCGCAAGAGGCATGATGCCTATCGCTCTCCTGCAGCCTGGCCCCCCCTGGCCGCCTACCCTGAATCTGCACTTTTCTAGTCCGCCAATCTCTCCAAAGGATCCAACAAAAAATTTCACCGAGCGTCTACTTATTTCCTGGTAAAGTCTGCAGCAAGGTATGCAGACCTGCAATTCCTCCACGCTCGCATCGGGCCTGGTACCGTCCGGGTTCAGGGCCTGGCCCCCGCGGAAGAGGCCTTCTCGGACATTCTCTGCGACAGTGTTCCAATCAAGATCCCTGGAATCGGTGAACAATCTGCTCCTCTCATCTTGTCTCAGCCTGGATGTATCTGTCTGTGTGTGTGCAATGTGTGTGTATGCAACAAATGACTCACTGTCACAAAAGCCATCTCTAGTCACACCTTTCCAGGCTTGTCTTGCATCGAGGAAAATCGCACTTTGTGATGCTACCTCCCCCACTCCTGCCAGCCCTCCTGCCTGGCCGTTGGACATCAAAGATACTGACACACAACCCAGCCACGCCTCGAGCTGGACGCAGATGATTGCGTTTCCTGCAAGAACGGGGCAAGGGAAAAACCAATACATTCCGATCCTCGTCTCAGACAGAGACCAGTGCCTTCTCTTTCGACCTGGCCCTCCTAGACCCCGATCGATCCTTGGGTTGTCTCGAGGTAGAGGTACTTGGTGTACAGGGGCCAGGATCTGAAAAATGGATGCAACCCATCTACACAGCGGTACGAAAACCACTTTACGCGAAGTGCCGCGATAGCAGATCGAGCCCACACCACCCTTCGCGTGTGGTCCCTGATTTGTTGAGTCTCCGAGGTAGTGACCAGGCAACTACAGGCACCCGCTGCCATGACCTGTTTCCATTTTTCTTCTTCTTCTTTTTGGCGGCTACAAGACTCTGTCAAAAAGCAAGAAGGCCCGAGCAGGATAATTCCAGACTTCTTTTGATTCCCTTTGCCATCCTTCTTTGAGCGGTCTCCCTCCCCAAACAGCGGCAAACAAGTATTCATGCGGTGGCTTCCCTTTTGGTTATGGTCCCTATTTTGTCAAGAACCCTAGTGGTCACACTTGGGCTCTCTTGTTGAGATTGAGTTCATTCTGCTCGGGCTTGTTGCCGATCCTATCCTGGGGAGTAGCAGCACCGAGACCAGCACAAGCTCTTGGCTTTGCCCACTACTGCCTTTCCCTTCCTTGGGGGAGTCACTGCAAGGCATCATCTCCTTGATTTCTTTTAAGACTTTTGGGTAGACCTGACATATAATAACCTCTCAAGCCTCGCCTCACTGATTTTCACATCACCTTATCAAGCGCTTCACTACACACACCCACACGTATTTCCAAGTCCTCCTCACCAGAGCGGATCTTTCCTTGAAGCGGGTCCTCCCACTGGCAGTTCTCCTACGAGTGAGCCCTGACTGGAAAGAGGAAAGGGAAAGGGAAGGAGAAGAAACCCCGCTCGCATCGGATCAGTGCCTGCTCACTGCTTTCAGTCCCAATATTCCTATTACCTAAAACCACTTGTCGTGTCCATCTCTTCCTGATCCCGCCGGCCATGTCTCCTTCCAACGATAATACTATGGCTCGTTTTCTGTTCGCCATCCTGCAGCAGAAGTGCCTGAAGGATGTAAGCAATTCCGGGGTGCAAAACTTTGACACGCATGATTGGGGTCCGAGGACTCCCGACGCTGACCCAACAAATAAATAGATTGATTGGAACAAAGTCGCACGTAACCCCATCCTCACCCAAGAAATCACAAACGGTCACGCCGCTCGCATGCGGTATTCTCGCTTCAGACAATCAATCCTGGGCATCGAGCCTCAGCGACGGAACCGCAACCCCAAGTCCAAAGTCACAAAACCTAAGAAAGACAATAAGACCAAAAAGGAGAAGCAAGAATCAATCAAACCCGAGTCGATCACAACACCCGATGGTGCCTGCGAAACTTACAACGACACATTGCTTCAGGCAAAGAACGAAGAGACATTTGTCAAGCAGGAACCACAACCCATCCGCCACGATGGCCCCCTCACACCGGCCGACCTGCCTCCTGTCTCGATGGCTGACACGCAGCTTCAATTCCACAAGCGACTCATGACCCCTAACAGCGACACCGACCTCTTCGCTCCAGCCCATGGGTTCGCGACGAACCCAACGGCCGACATACTCCATCAAGAGACAACATTCGACTACACAGGACCAGCCGTTGGTCACTGTTCCCACGATCAAACCTCGTGGCAGCCCAGCCCATCCTATTCGCCCTTCGCCCTTCCATCCTACGAAGTAGACAACTTCAGCGCTACAGCACAGTTCTGCGAACACCAGCACGTGTCTCATTCGGAAGCGTTCGGCATTGTCCCAAGCGCCATGATGACACCAGACACTACCCATATTCCGGTAAAACATGAAGAATGGGACACTCGCTTCCACTGAAGAGAATCACCGGTCTATGGCACTGGCGCGACATCATATACAGTAGCTATTGACGCTCGATACATACAGATTGTTTGGGACTTGGTTGGGGAAAAGACAAAAACAGGATAAAAAAAAATTCTCTGCTTGATAATCTCATTGGTATTTGGGGTCTAATGATGGAATGGCTCGAGCTTGTTTGGGTCTTCTTGGTTCGCAACTAGTTGATTTCTTTGTGAGTAGTATCACTGTTGGCTTCTGGAAGCGCAGCATCAATACTAATGGGACACGAAGAGCTGACTGGAAGGAGATCTGTCCTTATTACGAATGGAAACGAAGTCATCACCACTCTTGAGTCACACAGCACAAAAGATGCAACTGTATCAACAGCCTCCTTTCCGTTGATGATCATCATCTCTGCTCTCTCTGTATTACAAGATTTTTCTGTCCTCTAAACGAAGCATTTCACAACTGCGCCAATTAGCGCCAGAGTCCGCTCTCTTTCTCTCCACAAGTCGACCTTGTGCAATGCAAATGTCTCGGGGCGTGCTACTACGGCAGCCATGACAAGGTGTCCTTTCCCCCTCCTGCCACACCAGCCAGCCAGCCACGCCAGCGCTTTGACCTGAACAATTCCGGGAGGGCAATTACGCTGCTCTCTCGGTGAAAGTTTCACTTTTTTTTTTTAGTCCCGGCCCGTTTGGCATGTAATAGACGCAGCTACATCTGGTTTTCCTGCCCGTAATTACGAGTAACTGATTACCTATTGCTGAGTGTCCTAGTTTTGAAGCACAGTCGGCACTCTCAAATAGGTTCTTCTCTTGTTCTTGTTACTATGCTGCCATCCAAACACTGCTAAGCTGCTCAATTACGGGGCGGACCCTCTCTACTGCTCCTGGGACTTGCTGAGCGCAACACCCTTGGCCAGACTCTTGTCCCCTCTCCACCCCCCCATCTCCTTCTTCTTCCCCCCCCCTCTTCTTGTCCCTTCTGACAAGAACTCTTTTTCTTTTTCTTGTCCATTAGTACACCGACTTTTCTTTTTTCTTTCTTTTCTCGTTACGACTGTGTCACCCCCCTCCCGCTTGTCGGTTACAATGCACAGCTCAATCACTTTCTCCTTCCACTCCTGGATAGATCAGCAGCTCAGCAAGGATATGAAGTTTTTTCCTTCTTCCTCTAGTAGAGAGGGAAAGTGCTTTTCCTTCTTATCCTTTCTCTTGAGCGAATAACTCGTCCCCTCCCGGTTCCCCCCCCCCCCTTCCAGCACTAGGTTTCATAGCGAGAAAGGAAAGGCTGGTACTGGCCCCCATGCCTTCCAACCATCATTTTACACTTTTGATTATTGTTTTGATGATACCAGACCGGTATCACGACATCAACCCACAGCGGTTTATCTCTTCTTTCATTTGTCTTGATCCACTTTCTTTAGTCCCCAGAATCGAATGATTACAAGTTGGGCATCATTGGCCGCCGTATCACGTCGCATGTACTCCATTCACACAAAGATACTCATTAGTAGGATACTGGATCTGGCCATGGTTTGTGTTGATTTCTGCATATTTGCTTCTTTCTCTCCATGCCGCTTTCCCTCCCCTGAAACTCGCATGCATTGAGTTCACAAGGATGCTTACTTCTTTTGACTTGGAAAGAGATTCTTCAGAAGTACCAAGACAATGCAACCGAGTCCAATTTTTCGATCGAGCCACAGTTCCCACCCACCGCTACGAAAAGACCCAGAGTTCGGAAAAAAGGTAGCAAGGTCCGTCATCTAGCAATGCAAAAAGAAAAAGAAAAAATTGAGTCGGGAAGATGGAGAGCCATCCGCGCAAGCGCCTCGTTGATCACCATGCAAACCTGGGGAGGTTACTCCTCCTTCTTGACTCCACCGACGACACCCTTATCCACCTCGTCCTGCATGCCCTGAGCCGGGGAGTCGTTCAGCTTGCCAGGGTTTAGAGTTGGAGTAGGAGGGCCGAAGAAGCCGGCAGGGTCGTCGTTATCCTGCAGTTCAGACTTGGGAGCTCCAGCACGAGAAGCAGTAGCAGCAGCAGTCTGGACGAAAACCTGGCCCTGGGCAGCTTGCGCAGTCTGGCTGCGAGGGGAGCCAATATACTGAGTAGTGGGGACAGCTTGTTGGCGACTGGAGTGGCCGCCGACCATATGGTAGCCAGGGTGAAAAGCAAAGGGAGAGCCTTGGAAGTACTGCTGAGACGACTGTCCCATGGAGGCAGCATGCATCTCCTGCTGCCTCTGCTGCATCTGGAGTTGCTGGAGGTGAGCCAACTGTTGCTGGCTCATCTGGGGCGTGGGGCGGGCATGTTGGTGCATCATACTGTAGTGGACCAAGTCCAGGCCGCGGGAGTTATTGAATGCACGTACGTGGTCCTGCTGCTGCTGCTGCTGCTGCTGCGGCGGCGGCGGCGGCGCCATGTTTACGACCATGTGAGCCCCGCTGAGAGGGTTGGCACCACCACCATTGCTGGACTCTGTCTTAATCTTGCAATCCTTGTTGGTAAAGACGCCACCTCCCTGGGTCTCGCCACCAGCGTCAGATGCCTGCTCCTTGACCTGCTGACCATCATCTTTCTTGGTTCTTACATTGGCGGGAGCAACTCGCTTGCGAGGCGGGGCCTTTCTGGAAGGAGTCTCGCCAGTAGAATCATCATCCTCATCATTCTTGTCCTCGACCACAGCAGAAAGGGTAGTATTTCCAAGCGCCTTGCGCTTAGTTCCACCAGTTTTTCCACTGGGAGTCAGACCCTCCAAATTGTATTTCTTCTGGATCTGGCGATAGCGAACCTGCAAGGGAGGGGGGGGAATAATAGAAATGGAATATATGAGTCCTGAGTGCCATTCAAGAAGACGGTATGATATCTTGGTAGGAGGGGGGGGGGGGGGAAGTCGTCATGAACTGACCTTGGCAGAGCCAGCATTCTTCAAGTTGGAGTGAATGGCAACCTCGTTCCAGTCGACAGCGCTGGGATCTTTGTTGAAGCGAACAATGTTGAAGAAGAGTAGGCTCTCAACAGGAGTAAGCTCGATACCACCTTTTCTGTTATTCTTGGGAGTCTTGTCGGTAGAGTTGGTAGTGTTGCCGCCTCTAGCATTGGCCGCGCCGTTGGCAGAACCTTCATCAGCAGCGCCTTGGTGCGATGACTCGACCTGAGGGTGATCGTCGTTGTCGGACATGGTTGCGACTGGGAAAGAAAAGATTGGTCAGGAGCTTTCGACAAGAGGCGTTGAGAGCAAGGTGAGAACGAAGTTAGGATCATTGTGCAAACATACTTGTATGGTATGCTTCCTTAGAATTGTGATGTGAATGGGCTGAGTTTTACTTTTTTCCTATTCGGCTTGTGGTGTTGGGAAATGCGAGGCAAGAGCGTCGAGGAGAGTTGGAAGAACCTGCTAACAAAAATTAGCCACGAAGTAACTTTATGTGAATGATGGCTGGTCTCAAACCTCCTCCTTCCCTCCGATGCAGAGGAAGACTTCTTTGAGGGGGAGAGGGAGATTGAAGAAGGAGGGGTGTTTGGGGAGGGGGGGGGGGCCTTGGTGGGTGAAGTGGGCGGTGAGGTGTACGTGACAAGCTTGGAAGACGCAACCAAAGCAGCGTGCTGGTTGGTTTTTTTTTTTTTTTTTGTTTTTTTGAAATCTTTTGCAGAGCCAGAGAGTATCAATGTCGTCTTGAACGGAGTATTGGACAGCAAGGCGATGGATGGTGTTGCAGGTGGACGTTGAGCCTTACTTGAGGGCTACCAAGACGCGTTATTGCGCTGGTGGTAGAGAAAACCGTAAAAGACGTGTCGAAAGGGTCGTTGACTTGGGAGTCTCCGATAGAAACCAAAGCTCATACGAAGAAGGGGCAGGTTGCAAGATATTTCAAAAGTTCTGTCTTCTGCGCGTGTGCGATTTCACTCTTGGGGAAGCAAGTCGAGAGAAAGCGTGATAGTAAACCAATTGCGAAGCTGTAACTTTTTCTCTGCAAGACCCCCTCGACAAGACGATATCAATCCACACTCAACATTTCGTCCGTGGTCGACTTTCCTGGAAACGGCCCTACTTCTTTGCCTTTCTTTTTAAAATCATCGCGTCACTTCACTTAACTCCGTGCTCAACCACTCGACCTTTCCATTACCAGAACCTTGGCCCTGTGAGCTTCCTCGCGTCACGACCGCCACCAGCTATCAACCACGCCACTACTGCGTCGCTGTGCTCGTGTTATTCCCTTTGATATTCTCTTTTCCTGGATATCCTCCCGACATTCTCATATTTCCTACCAGTGACAGCACCAACTTCATCAGCAAAATGTCTGCTCCCGCCAAGTGTAAGTGGGCTCCCATCTCTCCTCCTACCAAGCCTTCCTCTTGTAGACCGGCGGCACCTCACGACTTCCCATGCAGGCCCTCCTCCCCATTTACACAATCTGAATGTTGTCCTTCATGATCAGAGATGATGCGTGTGGTACTGATGATCGACAGGGACCGACGCGGCCATCAAGGACCTCACCTTCGCCATCCTGATGTCCACCAACAGTGGTGGCATCAACGTGAACGCCAATTGGGACAAGGTGACCGAGACCATGAATGCCTGGGGCTACAACTTCACCAAGAGTGCCATGAGTAAGTTCCTATATGCCATCATCATCATCATCATCATCATCATCTATGCTTCATTTGCAATTTCCTCGCAGGTGCTATCTGTCGTGTCTCGTCTGGTTGGATTTTTGTTTCCTTTTTTTGGTGTTTGTTGTTTGTGGTGCCATGTGATTATTACTGCAAAGCCTTCCCCCGCCCCCCCCCCCCTCATCCATCTCCTCTCATGCCACAACTTCAACGGAGGCCACTTCAATTGCCCTCTGACCAACCCCCGGAATTCCAACGCCCTTACTCTAGCCGTACAAACTCCCCAACCTCAGGACCTATCTCGTATGTTTCTCCAGCAAAGTCACTAACTGCCCCCTTCCCCCCCCCCTTTTTTTCCCTCTCTAGGCCAGCACTGGACCAAGCGCGTCTTGAAGGAGTTCCGTGAGCGCCACCCCGACACCGGCAGCGCTCAGAATACCCCCAAGAAGCCCCCCCGGACGCCTGGCAAACAGCGGCCCCCCAAGACCCCCGGCAGCTCTGCCCGCGGCAAAAAGCGTGCCGCCGAGGACGACAAGGACGACTCCCCGGAGGGAGGCTACATCAAGGACCCCATCGCCCGCAACAAGACGCCCCGGTCTTCTGTCAAGAAGGCCAAATACGCCAACGCCAGCGACGCCGAGGAGGACGAGGAGGAGCAGGCTGAGCTTGATGACGTGCAGGCCAAGGTCGAGGCCTTGGATGACGACTTTGGCGTCTAAGCTTTTGGGAAAAGGGAAAAGGGGTGGTTTTATGTTCTAGATTGGATTGGGGTTCTTTCACCTGCAACCATGCCCCCCACCCGCCTCTTATTCACCAAAACCAACGCGGTTGGTGGAAGGAATCTTGCGTTGTTGCGCTTGCATTCTGATCTGGTTCCTTCTTGATTTTTTTGACAACATTGACGTTGAGGTCATCATTTCTCTCAGGGTTATGCGTCGACCGTTTACGGAAGACAGTCTAGTTTCCCGTGAAAGCTAGTTAGTTCCCTCGTCAGATAAGGCCCCCAGTCAACGTGAACTCAAATCGACGTCTAACTGCACCTCAAGCAATACATGATGACCATGGTGTGATGGAAGCCTCCCCCAAACTCCGTTGCCTGCACATGACCAGAACGCCTGCAATTTGTTGACCCAACCCCCCATATGGCTCAGGCCACCTTCTTGCCATCGAGACGACGTCCGCCCGCATCTGGATTCTTCTTTGCAGGAGCTCCATCCTTCTCATCAGCCTCGCCCGCCTTTTTCACCACCCCCCTGAGCGTCTGTCCCTGGCCTGCAAAATGTGGTCGCTTGGCATTCTCCGTCTCCTTCAGCTTCTCCTCCTTGGTCTTGTAGGGTATGATCTCGTAGCCAAGGAACAGCTTGTTGGGCGGCAGACGCAGTGGTAAGGGACCGTTGGTGCGCCTGCGAGGAGCAGCGGAGTCTCGACTATTCGCCGACACGCCCGCAACGGGTGTGGCTGGCTGCGGCGTAGGGGCCTTGCTGCTCTTCTTTGAACCAATACGGTTGCCCTCGCCCGAGAAGTTGGTCACCCTCGCAGCTGCCGAGGACGGCGCGATAGAGTCGTAGTTGATAGCCTGCGCCATGGTACCCTGGCTGTGTAGCAGGCCGCCGGCTGGCAGACCTCGGCCGCTCCTGGGGGTGCTGGTACCGCTTGCTGGCGCCCGCGAAGGCTCGACATAACCGACCGGGGGCGCAAAGTCCACCGAGACATCCGTCTCAATCATACACACTCCCATCTTCTCCGTCTCGGGCTTGACCTCTAGAACCGCGACGTCGTAGACAGTATCGTTATACTCAAAGTTGAAGACATCACCCTTGGTGAGAGCGGCGAAGTTCCGAAAGGCGCGCTCCAGGACGGCCTTGGGGTCGCTGATGTCGAGGAATTTTATGGACTGGGGCTGGAGCTTGACCATGCGGGCCAGCTCAAGCGAGGTGGTCTTGATCTGGATCATATCGCCGACGTCGAGCAGGAGCGTCTGCATCATCTGGAGAGCCCATACATCATCAGCATCCATCCACACTGGGGCCGTCGCGTACACATCCGCGGTGCTAAGGGATTCTACCAACCCACTGCGGCAGGTATGCTCTGCCTTCTTCCGCTACGAACTCCAGCACGCCAGCATGTGAGTGACGGCCTTTCTCGCCGTTGATGAGCTCCATGAGCAGCGGCCACTGCACGTGGAGCTTGGAAACCTTGTCCAGAGCTGATGGCGGCAGTAGGATCTTGGAGCCGTGGTTCAGCTCACTACGCTCAGGACCAGGGGCCATGACCATGGGATAGCAGCGGTAATACTCGTCGAAGCGTCTACTGGCCGGGCCGCGCATGCCAGCTCGAGCCATGTGTAGGAGATCGTTCGGGTTGTTCGGGTCCATGCCGTATGGTCCGCGAGGGTTGAACTTCAAGTAAAAGGGTAACAATCAGCATTACACCACAACTGAGGGTTCAAGCAAGAGGGAAGGGAAACGGCTTCTTTATGGGAGGACGGGGGGAGGGTACCATCTTGGCGACTCCTTTGAGGGCAGAGTTTATCGAGAGTTGAGAGGAGGGCCTGCGGTGTGTACTTGTCGGTATGTAAGTTGTGATGGCTGGTGGTGGTTGAACTCAGAACGGAAGCTGTTGAAAGTGTAGTGATGCAGCAAAAGGTAGTTGTGTTCGTATTAGGTGGTGTAGTGTACTTAGTAGTATGATTGCGGTAGCTCGCCCGCCCAGGCAGGTGTGTGAATGACGAAATGCCACACCCCTGTCAGAAATCCCACAATCAAACAGGGGTCCCCTCTTCAGGTGAAGTTTTGCAAACCGCCCCCCATTATCTCAACTCTCTTCACATGCTCGTCCACACCAAACATCAAGCACATCCTCCAAAAGAGATGCTGGACACACATGTGGAGATGACATTAGCTTTGATCAAGATACCTAGATAGTGTGATGAAATCCTCGTCATATTTATAGCTAAACTGCAATTGAATTTCATGTGTCATAGGCATTGTTATCATTCTTAGGGTGTTTCTGACAATTGACTCCGTGTAAAGCAAATGCTCACAGAGGGTACCGTACAATAACCACAAAACATATTGTCCCCTGCCCCGACAAGATTATCTTGACAAAAGCTCGCATCAATACAGTATGCATCATCCCTCATCAGCAAATGGAAAGAAGTAGCACGACAATATCCCATAGCAACAAGTTGGGGAGGGCTCCGATGCTCTTCTCAAGCTGGAGAAGCTTGCTGTGCGGCGAGGCCAGTGGCTGCTCCGCTCACATCCTCCACTCTCTGGCGCTTTCTTGTTCGTTCCAAGGGGTCGTTGTTCACGGAACCACGTTTTCCGAAAGTTTCTCGCTTCGCTTCAGTTTCTCTTGCCCAGTTCTTTACCTTCTCACGGTGCTGCGTTATGTCCGTCCGCCACGTCTCAAGGTTGGCCAGCCTATCGCACAATCTTTTCATCTCCGCCGGGTTTATGGTCGCGGATAGCTTATTGAAATGTTGCATGATGAGATGCGCCATGTCCACAGTGGACATGTTCTGCCACTGCCCATCCAAGTTGAGAATCATCTGCTCATTGGCCTTGAGCCTGGTGTCATAAGCTTTCCGCAACACCTCTAGGTCGTTGCGTAACGTGGTGCTGGCACTCTCGAGGCTCGAGACCGCCGTCTCCGTAGCCTCAATACGCTGTGTGATAGCTCCTGGCTCTGCAGCAGGACTATTTGGGTGGGATGATGCTGCCCCGACAACCAAAGGAGCCCTTGGCGGGGCCGCAGCCTGTGTCTCTACGGCTTGAACGCGCTTCTTTAGGTCAGATGCCTCTGTCGATGCCTTGCTGATGAAATTACGCATAGTTTCAATGACCATATCCGTCAGCTTGCCGAACTGTTCCTCCACACCCCGGCGGCCCTGTTCATCGACAGCACTCAGCTGCCGGAGTCGATCGTCCAAGGCGGTCCAGGGCGGGTAGGCCAACGACTTCTGCAGAGCTTCGTGGTGCGCTTTCATATCGAAGCTGGCAATCTGTTTGCCATGCTCGTCGACTCGACGTTCCACTTTCGTCATTCTTTCCTCCCATGATGCTGCATGCTTGGCGGCTTTGGAATCCTGCGAGCAGGCATATTGCTGGAAAGAATCGGTAGCTTCGGTATGCTGGGTAGCCACCCGCTGCACGAACGTGGCAAACTGGTCTCGAAGCTGGGAGACTTCGTCTGCAAAGCTCTCCTTTGTTCGGTTCAACGCATCGAGTGCAGACAGCTGAGCCTCCGCCTGGGAGTCGAACTGGCGCTGCAATTGTGCGCATTGCGTCTTCAGAGTTGCCAGCTCACCGGCCTGTGACTCATACAGCGCCTCACGGGCGCGCAACCTCTCATTCTCCTGCCGCAGTTCGTCCAGACAGTGTTTCTGTGCGTCCTGTGTCTCCTGGACCGAAGCAAACTGCTCTTCTAACTTCTGAATCCGGTCCGCAGCTTCTGGCGCTATCGTTGACTTCTCGGCGTTGGCCAGCTCCTCCTTGGCGATCTCAATGTACTGGCGGGCCTTGCTCTTGTCAATAAGCTGGGCCTTGGCCAGACGTTGGCAGAAGTTGTCTGAGACCTTGTCAAGCAGTGCCTCGGTCTTGGCAATCTCCTCATCGAAAACGTCCTGTTGCCGTCGGAACTGAATCTGCTCTCTACGCAACGACTCGGCGAGAGCTGGAAAATGACTGCTCCCAGGCTTCTTAAAATTCTCTTCCCTGCGCTGGAAGCCTCTGGCCTCTGTCTCTTTCTTGTTGGTCCACCTCACATTGTCAGCGATTGTGTTGCACAGCTGGCGGTGCAGCGTTGCAAGCTCCGCCTTGTCCTGGTCCGTCTCGTTGCCTTGGAAATCGGCACTCGACTGAGCCTGCTCACGCCATTGCTTCTGGGGCGAATCCTGCCGAGGCCGGTTCTGCTCAGAAACGCTTGTATTTTGATGTTGATTTGGCGGGTCATGATCGCGATCATGGTCGTGGTCAGGATTTGTTGAGTGGCGTTGGTCAGCATTCTGGTCGCGATCGCGCCTGCCAGGGCGGTAGAAACCACTAGAGTTCCGACGAGGAGCCGAGCGACGAGAAGACTGGGACGTGGGCTGTCGATTCATGGCTCGAAGTGAAGAGTCAAGCGGGAGAATGCAAGAGAAATGTTTCGGCCGCCGGAGAGGAATGTGGTAAAAAATACAGTGGGCAAACACAGTCCTGGGTGAGACCTCCCCAGAGAATGATGCACACAGAACGATCAGAGAAAACACATGCCCTGCCGTGCTTGAGAACAATGGCTGAGAGACAGGTGAATCAAGGCCAGGCCAAACCAGACGTATTGGGTATGAGAGCTATGATTTGCTACTCTCTGCAGTGTAAGTTGAAAGGAGAAAACATGCGACTTTCGAGCTTCGAGGCTGTGGATGCGTGCACTGGTCTCCTCATCTAAAGGTTGCAGAGCTCAGGCACGTTTCGTTCACAATAGATAGATGACCTATCTACGCATGTGCAGTACACATCTGCAGTGGCCCGGCCTGCTCTGTGTACCTGACCAAGTGTGGAGGCGGAAGGTGCCAGAGAAGGCGTGGGGCGCTGCTAGGGTCAAAGCACCCATGTACATAGTCCCTGCACGCCCTCAAGATTTCATCACGGCGCTTTCACAGTTAGCACCCAAACACCCCTGCCTGGTCCGCAGTCTGTCAGCTCCAGTGCCCCGACTGACTAGCTGGAAGAGCACCGCACCAGCGTAAGTTGTTAGCACCGCAGTACTAAGAGGCGCGCCTCCAAATTTGTTCGGGTGCCTTTGTCGAAAACGTGCCTCGCCCGACAGCTTCCCTGGTGATACTTTTCATTGCGCAAGCACACCAGCCTTACCACCGCAAACGAGCAACAGCATACAATTCAGCTTCCACCTTATCAACTCGACCCCTGACTTACTGCCTTTGCGACCCCTCACCCTCTCACAGCAAGGTTGAACGAAATCATGGCTGCGGTTTGTACACCCCGTCTTGACGGTGTATCTCGCGCGCGCGCGCGTGTTGTGTCCAGACAGCTTTCATGCTAACCAAGGAGACGCGATATGTAGCCAGTAGTCACGGTTTCCGAGGGCAAGGAGCTCCGGGGCATCAGCCTCATCGCCGCACACTCCCATATACGCGGCCTGGGCGTTGATGCCGACACTCTGGAGCCCCGTTCAGCTTCTCAAGGTCTCGTCGGCCAGGCGAAGGCCCGCAAGGCTGCCGCTGTGATACTGGAGATGATCAAGCAGGGCAAGATTGCAGGGCGCGCATGTCTGATCGCAGGCCCGCCGAGGTATGTTGGTTGTTTGGCAGCCTAATCGGCTACTGCCTGCCGTTCCAGTGTACGTGCTGACGTGTTGGATGTCTCTGTCACAGCACAGGAAAGACCGCCATCGCCATGGGCATGGCTCAATCTCTCGGCCCCGACGTCCCCTTCACATCCCTCTCCTCCTCCGAGATCTTCTCCCTCGAGATGTCCAAGACCGAGGCACTCACCCAGGCCTTCAGAAAGTCCATCGGCGTGCGGATCAAGGAGGAGAGCGAGGTTATGGAGGGCGAGGTGGTAGAGATCCAGATCGATAGGAGTCTCACCGGCGGAGCCAAGCAGGGGAAGCTGACCATCAAAACCACCGACATGGAGGCCATCTACGATATGGGTGCGAAGATGATCGATGCCATGACCAAAGAGCGCGTGATGGCCGGCGACATCATCTCGATAGACAAGTCATCCGGCAAGATCACCAAGCTTGGCCGCTCCTACGCACGATCGCGTGATTACGATGCTATGGGTGTTGATACAAAGTTCCTGCAATGCCCGGACGGCGAGCTGCAGAAGCGGAAAGAGGTCGTCCACACGGTCACGCTGCACGAGATCGATGTCATCAACTCTAGGACGCAGGGCTTCCTCGCCCTCTTCTCTGGAGACACGGGCGAGATCCGCAGTGAGATTCGGGACCAGATCAACACCAAGGTTGGCGAGTGGAAGGAGGAGGGCAAGGCTGAGATAGTGCCGGGTGTTCTGTTTATCGACGAGGTCCACATGCTGGACATCGAGTGTTTCTCGTACATCAACCGCGCGCTGGAGGACAACCTGGCGCCTATTGTCATCATGGCGAGCAACCGCGGCCAGTCCCGCATCCGAGGCACCGACTACAAGAGCCCACACGGCCTGCCGCTCGACTTCCTCGACAGAGTATCCATTATCCAGACGCAGCCCTACGGCCAGGAGGACATCAAGCAGATCCTGTCGATCCGCGCCACGGAGGAGGAGGTGGAGCTGTCTCCAGACGCGCTCGCTCTGCTGACCAAGATCGGCCAGGAGGCTGGTCTGCGGTACGCCAGCAATCTCATCACCACGTCACAACTCGTCGCCACGAAGCGGCGCGCGAGGCAGGTTGGTGTGGACGACGTCCAGCGCAGCTTCAAACTGTTCTACGACCCTGCACGGAGCGTGAACTTTGTGGCGGCCTCGGAGAGGCGGCTCATAGGCAACGACGGCGCGGTGGATTTTACAGCTACTAACGGCAGTGACGGCGCGGCGAATGGCGGAGAGAAGATGGATACCACGTAAGGAAAAGAGGTCGACGGGCTTCGGAGGAGAAAGACGGGAGGCAAGGCGTTTTCGGTGGGGGGCAGAAAATCAAAAAGCTTCTATAATGGCACGGATAGGGGTTCCTTGTGTACTAGATGATTCACTGTAAGTTCTCGGACGGCGTAATACGGATTATCAGATACAACAGTTCCCTGCTGGTGCAGACAGCTGGCTCTCAGAATTTCTGACTGGACTGGACTATCTTGAGCACGAACGAGGGACCTCACTATGCATCCCAAGCCCCATGTCTATCAACTCGTAAACCGCGCAGCAATGCACACTTGACTTCTTGTACAAGCTGCAGGATATAAACGTGTAGACAATTGCGAGAAGACGTGCTTCACCCCCTAACTCGACTCATCGCCAAGGCGTCTTATTAGAAGGAGAACGTCCGACCGGAAAGGACGAAAAACATCGAACTCTGGTCCGATCCCTAGATCTCCTGATCTCAAAAAAGCAAATAACCAAACAGCCTGGTTCTCCTTCTCAATATTTGCCCTTGAAGGGTAGAAGAACAATATGATTTCGATGCCGTTCGCTCCAGTCTTCGCTTCTCTCCATGGTGTGTAGTACGAGACGGACGGGTTCAGGTCCACGCGGGAGCGGTAATTATCACACCTGGAGTGACCAGGGGCAATCGGAGCTACGGCGAGACCAGACCTCGAGGATCGCGTCTTCGCCCTGCTGGGTCTCATGAATCTCGTTCGTATTCAGCCCTTGATCGGCATCGTTTGGGTGAGGCATTGAACCGTTGTGCGGCCACTCTACGGACCAGAGAATGCCATTGTTTATGAGGACCGTCACTTATCTGTACAAGACATGATAAGGGTTCCCCTCTTTTTGTGCACTGGTATGGCGAGTTTGTATCGTGATGCAGCTTTGGACGAACGTCTGCCTGCATGTCCGCCCTAAAGGTAGCGGGCAGTTCATAGGACACAGGATCCTCCTTCCTTGGCATTGTGTGGGGTTGTAGTATGTTGCAAGCCAGACGGGGCGCACATCTCAGCTACCTGGCGGCCACGGAAAAGGTTGATCATAGCCCGGGGATGGAGTTGCACTATCTGGCAGCACAGAGCCTTCTGGCCCGCCGATCCCAGAATCCGCCTCGTCAACGGTCTGTGGAGCGGGAACCCAGCCCGTGTCCTTGACCCACGACACCGGTTTGCCCTCGTCGTTGACCATGATGAGCTTCGGAACGACCTCTGACCGAGCGCTCGTGGGCTCCCACGCGTGATTGCCCTGGATCAGCTTGGCTAGCTCGACCTTGTCGGAGATCTGGAGGGCCGTGCGGGGGACGTTGAGCAGATGATGCCACTCGACCGGCAGGTAATTCATGATGTCCTGGATGCCGCGGTCTGCAATGCCGCTCAGCCACCAAATGTTATTGATCAGCTTCAGAAAGGGGAGGTAGTGGGCCATGATAATAAGGGTTCTCGGGGTGCGCCTCTTGGCGAGCTCGATAAAGTCCTTGGGCAGGAAGGTGAACCAGGTGATGACGCGCAGGCTGAGCACGGGGCTGAAGCCGTTCTCCAGCTCACGATACAGGCCGCCCAGGTACTTGAGGGCATTGTAGTACGTCTCGGTAAAAGGATAGTCTCGGTCGCCTTCCTTTATGGAGGTGACCATGAACAGCAGGTTCGGCGGGGAGTGCAGGGCTCCCTGGTTGAGGTCGAAGACGGGTCGCGAGAACAGCTTCTCCAGGCCGGAGTCGAACAAGACCTCGCGGGGCAGCATCTCAAAGATGAGACCTATACCACGCCACACCACCATCCAGTCGATGATGTACAGGGGTCGCATATCGCGCTGCCTGAAAAGCTCCGACGAGAGGGCGCACAGCAGGAGCGAACAGGAGAGCAGAGCGGGAAAATCCTTGGGCTCCGCTCTCTCGATAGCCTGACGGTACCCCGCGAAGGCCCTCTGCTTGTACAACAGCGCTTTGGACATGGGCACCGGCTGGTGCAGGAACTGCATGTGCTGTGCAGAGAGGCCTAGGATGCAGTCCATCAGGAAGGGGCTCTGGAAGGCAAATTGGACAATCTGCGACCTGAGGATGGCATCGACGTGCGGTAGCTTGCCGGCCTCGACGGAGAAGGAGGTATAGGTCTCTGCCGTATAGAACCAGAGCAGCTTCATGTCGAACTCGTCGGGCCCGGCCAGCTTGATCAACGGTTCGTCCACGATGATCAGGTCGACATCTCCATCTCCATCGTCACCACCACCTCCTCCTCCTCCTCCTCCTCCCCCTCCTCCCCCTCCTCCCCAACCGCCTTCCTCACGGCCGGCCGGCGATGTATCATCGTCATGGGCACCACGGAATGCGGCTTGTGCAGCCAGAGGCGACCTATGCGGCAGCGTGAGAGATGTAGGTGTCCCCAATGATACAGGGGCATGCTGGGACAGCGGAGAGGTGGAGTTTGTGGAGGGTGTGAGGGGAGTAGGCACTACACGCAGACGGCCAGGCGGCAGTGCCGATGCCGAGCCCGGGGAAGTCGGAAATGAGGCTGAGGTCGGCGTTGAGGCAGAGGCTGGAGCTGGGGCCGAGGAGAAGGAGGCGGAGGCAGAAGCGGAAGCGGCGGAGGCACCTGTGGAGCGCGCGGCCGCCGCTGAGTGTTGAGACTGAGACGGGTAGACACAGGTTTCTCTTCTCAGAGCGCAGTTTCTGCAGCTGGGCTTCTTCTCGTCACACTTGACCTTGCGCGTCTTGCAGTTGCGACAGCCCAGACGAGACTTCCGGTGAGGCCTCTTGGCGTGATAGGGCTTCTCCTCAGCCTCGGCCGGCGGAGTGGGCGGCATCAGGACCGGGGCCGTGTCTGGTTGGCCGTGGCGATCGTGAGATTCCCGGTCGGTAGGCATCATGGCAGAGAAGGGGGGGCCGACGACGCATACGCACTTATGTTGCAGTGCACCTCTTCACTACCGGTTGAGTGAGTATTTGACGCAGAGAGTGAGTGAGAGAGACTCTGAGATACAAGAGAGATAGGGCAGCGGGAGGAGTGGGCAAACAAAATAAGATAAAAATACCAAAAATAACATGAAGAAGAGATACAACTCGTGTGAGATGATTGACGATAAACCGAGTCAGTGATCCTAAGCTTGTGCCAGCCTGCTGGAGCCTGGCTGCAGACGCGCACACACGACACCCTCGTGAATGGTGACGCTTACAAGTACAGGACAAGGATGAAATAGGACTGGACTGGACCCCACGTACCCTAGGGTTGATGCACTCAGGCGGCTGGGTACCAAGTACTGAGGGCCCTCTATGGTTCTCGTGGCAGATGGTCCCGGGTTATCGTTTGGGGGGGGGGGGGCTAGGTTTGTTGTCCGGCGTAGGGTGATCTGATCCGTGTATGAGGAATTGTGGACCTTTGTATATGATCAAATAGGGTCAAAAAAGGACTATAATAAAACAACTATGTATGTCAGGTGATAATGGTGATCTCGTAGTACTATTAGTAGTGTATGGTAGTAATGATGGGTTGTGGTTTTCGTGTATGTGGATGAGAAAAATTGTTGTGACGACACGACAGGTGATGATTCTTCTTCTTAATGCGCCAGCCGCGAGTGCAGACAGAAGGCGGAGCAGCCGCCGCAGCGACAGACGTGCCTTCCTCGTTCATTTTTCCCTAAAATCTGACCAGTACGTTGGTACATCATGCATAGTGAGTCCCCTTTCGGAATGCGGGTTCTTCGCACTTTCCTTGTCTCTCGCCCTACCTGCTGCCATCGTGCGAACGTGCCCTACTGGCCGCTGCCTACCCAAAGCTACGCTACACTTTCCCAGGCTGACCTTGTCTCCTGCAGTAGACGACGTGCAAATCCCTGAGCACCTGGGCACACCACGACGTTCCAAGGCCCTAATCATGCTCTGGGAACTGATTGCTCTGTAGAGGACATTTTGTGCTATACATATAGTAGTTAATGTGCGCAAGCTATGGAGGTTGTCGAGTAAGTATGTACTATCCTATAGTATTAGACTTACTGCCCTCAAGGCTCATAGGCAGGCTTCTTTTCAGAGGAAGAGAGACCCAAGCAGAGAATCAAACTTGTGTATGCTGACCCACCAGATCGGAAATTGACAGAGAAGTGCCATTTGGGATCGTCGATCAAGAAGGAGATCGACTCGTCCCCGCCCAGCGCTCCTCCACAATGATAAAAGTGATAACGGTGGTATTATGATACTATAGTGTGGTCACTACACGATTACTACGCACTACGTTCATCCTGCTGCAGTGAAGTACATGGGCACAGTACTAGTGCTTGAGGATGATTGAGGTGGTATTACAAGGTGCTGTGGATGCTTTCTCTTGGTCGACCTGGTGAAACTCACCAATCAACCTCGAAACCCTTTTTATACAGATCTGTTGAGGATCGGGGCCGGGTGAGGTACTCACGCCGGTACTACCCTACCCCTAACCCTTAAACGCGTTCTCTCCCCTGGGTCGAAGCTTCACGCGTTGAGGTCCTACCTGCTTGAGAGCCTCAAGACAACCCCATTATCAAGCAAATCACGAACACGCCAACGATACAGGCGAAACAAGTCATGGCGGCTTCCATGAATATGTCTCAGCTGCCGGACGAACTGGTCCTATCCATCCTCAACGACAAGTTTCCCTGTCGTGAAACTCAGACTAGAGCCCTTGCCGTCTTCTTCGACGTGAGTTGCAGGATATTAATTTATAGTCTCCCTCTTCCTTTCTGCTGGACTACATGGTTGCTGAAATCTTCCATAGCCAAGGGCTGCCTCTTGTCGAAATTGCATAGTGTACGGTACCGAGGCCACCGGCAAGAGCGCCATCGTGTCTGCCCTGCTTCAGGAGCTGGCCCAGGCTCACCGCAATGTAAACGACGACGACGACAGCGAGGCCGAGTTCCAGTATGCCATCGTCAGCTCGCCCGAGTGTGTGACGGGGCGACACCTCTTAGAGACGACGGTCAGGAAGGTCGCAGGAGCCGTCGGGTTCGGGTCCTTTGCCCCGCGATGTGAGAACCTGGCGCAGTTGACGTTTGAGCTTTCCAAGATGCTCAAGTTTGCACCGCAACCCAAGGGGCGCCACTTTGTCCTTGTCTTTGATGGCATAGACCGTCAGAAAGAAGCGCCTCCCACCCTTCTTCCTGCCTTGGCCAGGCTCTCAGGGATTGTGAGTGTAAATCCTTCGTCTCTTCTACCTTGCACGCACGGCTGCTCCCAGATATTAATCAAGATTTCACAAAGATCCCTCATCTGACGACAGTATTCATCGTGACAAATCCGCCGCCCAATGCTCTTCTCACCACCTTCGTCAACCACGTTCACTTTCCCAACTATGACAAGGCCGAGTTCGTCAAGATCCTCTCCACCACGCCGCCTCCAGCCTTAGCGAACGCCACAGCCGCCGAGACAACCGAGCTCTGGAAGCGCTTCTGCGGCGCCGTGCACGACGCCCTGACCAGGTCCGCCGCTCGCACCCTGCCTGCCCTCCAGCTCGCCTGCAACTCGCTCTGGCGCCGGTTCACGGCCCCGATCCGTGAGGGAAACCTCGGTCCCAAGGACTTCTCCAAGCTGCTCATCGCGGCGCGCAGGCATTTCCAGGACGAGTCGCTGCTAGACCCGGGCATCGTCAGGCGCAGGGACAAGGACAAGGACACGGCTGTGCCTCAATCGGCGGCGGCGGCGGCGGCCATCTCACGGACAAGCCTCGCCGCGCTCCTCCCCTTGACGGCCCGGATCCTCCTCATCGCTGCCTATCTCGCCTCGCACAACGCCGCGCGCCACGACCTGTCCCTCTTCTCAACGTACTACCACGGCCGGCGCAAGCGGCGGGGTGGCGGCGCCGGGGCGCGGGCCGGCGGGCCGAGGAACAAGCACCGCAAGATAGCACGGAAGCTGCTCGGCGCGCATGCCTTTGTGCTGGAGCGCATGATGGCCATCTTTGCGGCCGTGCGGAACGAGTGGGGGATCGGTGGCAGTGTTTCCGGGACAGATGCGGACGTCGGCATGGCATTAGCGACGCTGGCTTCCTTGCGGCTGCTTGTGCGTGTGGGCGTGGGCGGCGGCGACCCTCTGGATAGGGGCGGTAAGTGGAGGGTCAATGTAGGGTGGGAGATAGTCAGGAGTCTGGGCCGGAGTATGGGAGTCGAGGTCGAGGAGTGGCTGATAGAATAGCCCAGGGTTTCCGAACCGAGAAAACAGACAGATAGACCAAGCCGATCGTGAACAAGTCACGGTCACTTTGTCCAAAGTTTTGATTCGAAGCAAGTGCCTTTTCAGACTTTTCTACCATGCTGTATAATAGCCCGTTCCGCCCCGCCCCCAAAGCACCTATTGTATAATGATGGGGGAAAAATGGGGTTATCCTTAGTCTAGAACGCCCGTCCAACGCCAACCCAAATCCACATCCTCCAAGAATTGCCCGTTTGATATCGTCTTATGCTCATGTCTTTATACACACACATACACACAACCCCAGAGTTTCCTTGTAACCAAGTAGTGTGCCCCAAGCAGTGATGGGTGGCCCGCGAGAAGATCAGCAGATAGAGAGAGCACAGCATTCTATGCAGCTATGTTGACCCCTTTGTCGCCAAGCCTCCACGTCTCTTCCTGTTTCGTTCCCGGCGGTAGCCACTGCGCACTGCTCTGGGCTCTCGCCCTCGACGGCACATTATCGTCAGACTTCTTGCTATCATCACCGTTGCCGACCAAGAAGCCGTTGGTGTACGGGTGCGCGCCAGCAGCTGGTGTGGCGGCTGCTGGGCTCTCGAAAAGGCCCGTTCCGTTCTGATTCGCTGCCAGGCCTCCGGCTGTGTTGAGTGGTAGCAGTGGCGTGCCCTTGCTCTCCGTCATGGTGCGCGCCTTCCTGTCTGCCTTATTCTTCTCGCTGCTCCTGTCGTAGAAATACAATCCAAGAAAGGTGAGTCCGATGCCCACAGCCTGGATTCGCGTGGTCGGCGAGCGGAACCACACGATCGCGACAACAATGACAAAAACCCGTTTGATGAGGCTCGCGACGGAGTAGGTAACTGGAGAGACGAGCGACAGGAGGACGAAGGCCAGGATGTTCTGCCCAAAATGGAAGCTACCGTTGAAGACGAACTCCACGAACAGCCGACCGTGATCGAAGGTGTCTGGTCCTTGCTCCAAGTCCACAGCTCCATCGTGTAGGAAGTCGCCTAGGATCCCGAAACCTTCGCTCCAGAGCCAGATCGGCGACGTGAGCACGAAAGCAAGACCTGACGAGTAGCAGAGGAGGTTCAACTTGTCTAGTGTGCGCGTTGTCGTGGTCATCCCTTCAGCCTCCGCCCGAGCGGCCTCGTTGAAGAGCCGCTTGGAGAAGATATTCTGCGTGACAAAGATGAGCGTGGCCAGGAAGGCATAGAGAATTCCCAGCAGCTGCCCGCCGAAGGAGTGGCTCCCAGAACAGGCGAGCATGACGCCAATGGTCAGTGGTATCAGGGAGAGGTAGGTCGCCACGGGATATCGAATGTCATAGATGGCGCGGTAGGCCAGCACGGTGAAGAGGGGTGACAGCCCCTTGATCGTATGGACAAGGGAGACGGGTATCTTCGAGGTCGCATTGGAACTCAACAGATGGCCTCCGACCTGGAACAACGCCAGAGGCATTGTTGTCCGGATCACCTCGACACTCGGCGGGCGAATACCGTGTCTTAATGCTGGCACTGCGGCTTTCACGGCTGGGAATGTAGCGGCGGCCCACGAGAACAGCATGCAATATCCCGAGACGAAGAGAAATTGGATCATGGTCAAGGTCGCTGGTTTGTCGAAGGCGTTGAGGATGGACTTGGCTGACGTATTGGTCAGGGCCGAGGAGGCGTACCACGTAATACATAGTATCTACAGTTTTTGGGAAGAGTTTGAGATCAGCACGTGTCTTCAGGGACGGCGTGGAGTCTTGAAAGGGTCGTCGTACTATAAGTCTCGGGGACACGGGGGCCCGGAGCGCGCCTGCGAGCTCATGTGCATTCTGGCTGACGCTCCCACCTCGCGCTCTGATATCCCGGAGCGTATCGTTGATACTTTTCTGCCGAGCATGTCCACGCGTCGGCTGACCTGATATCGACGGCGCCCATCCCGCTCCCCGTGCAGAGCTCTCCCTCCGAGGGCGCCACTGGTCTCCAGAGAGGTGCGTCCCGCCATTTACGTAACCTTCTGGTCTGCCATTTAGACGGCCCTGTGCAGGACCAATACTGTATGCTGGTATTGACGATGATTCGAAGTCGGGGAATTTCTCCGTCGCCGCCTCATGCGAGTCGACGCTGGCATCGCGAGGACCCTTGGACCGTCCCTGCGACGGAGCGCGCTGTTCCGAACCAGAAGCAGTCGAGCGTGGCATAGCGTTCGGAGGGAAGCGAAAGGGACAGGCTCGAGGGCGGCGGGCCTGGAGGAGGAGGAGGTGGAGGAGGAGGAGACGGAGGGGGTGTAAACAAGAGGTTGTGCGATTTGAACGAGCGACAAAGGTGGGCGTGAGAAGGACAGCCGGCGCGTCTACCGCAACATTTCCTGTGCTTCAATCTTCAAGTCGTCGTCGTCGTGGAGAGTGCCATTGATCATCTGCAGAAGATTCGAGGCGAAGGGGTCGTCAAAGGAAGGGGGACGGAAGCTTGCGTAGGCGGCGATGATGCGATGATGCGATCGTGGACAAGTTACATAGGACCCTCGAACAATTGGTCGGTCGTAGTTGCAGGACCAAAACTGTCTGTCCCAGCTATAAAAATGTACCGTAGTGCAGCAGGGGTGCGACAGGTAGCTGCAGCCAAGCCTTTTCTGGGTCTTGGCGGGACCCAGCGGCGCTGGTACTGTGGTACACTGCTGTGCTGCAGGCTCTAGAGCCGTACTGGGATTCGCTAAAAGAAATAATACCTACCACCTGGAACTCAGATCTCGGCTGGCAAACTCGCGACTCTGGGACAACCGACTGAACTTCTTCTCGCCCCCGTCGACACGTCTCTCGCCCTCGACCCCCCACGCGTCATCGACATCTCTTTAGATTTGCACAAAAGCTTCTCGAACCTGGTCAGTCGGCTCTGCCGGCCAGCTCACCGTCAACATGGCGGCCCCAAAGATGACCAAGAATCAAATGCGCCGCGCAAAGAAGAAGGAGCAGAAGAAGGCACAGGCAGAGGTAAGCGCGCACGGCGAGATTCGGACCTCTGCGATCGGATGTACTGACCACAAAGCTCAGGTATCCTCGAAGCCAACCGAAGATAACGAGATTCGGGAAGACGACCAAGCTGAGACCAACGGAGACGAGGCTCCAGCAGCAGCAGCCGACGCCGTGGAAGTCAAAAAGGACCCAGACGTCAAAGAGGAGGCAGCTTCAGACGCGCTCGTCAGCTTCAAAGTCGACGACGACGATCCGGCGTTTGCAGAATACAAGAACATATTTCAGAGGTTTGGCGCGGACCTGGAGGACGACGAGGTTCAGCGGGAGGCAAATGCCGGCAACCAGGGCTTCACGTTCTTCGACCAGGACGATGACATACCGAGCGAGGACGAGGAGAATGGGCAGCCCAAGATGTCCAAAAAGAAGAGGAAGAAGCTGAACAAGCTTTCGATCGCGGAACTCAAGGCCCTGGTGAGAAATCCCGAGGTTGTTGAGTGGCAGGATCCCTCATCTACCGACCCGCGGCTGTTGGTCCAGATCAAAGCACAGCGGAACGTGGTCCCCGTCCCCGGCCACTGGTCCCTGAAGAGAGAATACCTGTCGTCCAAGCGAGGTATCGAGAAGCCGCCGTTCAAGCTTCCCAAGTTTATCACGGACACGGGCATCACGGAGATGCGGGATGCCGTCCTGGAGAAGCAAGCCGAGCAGACAATGAAGCAGAAGCAGAGGGAGCGGGTGCAAGGCAAGATGGGGAAGCTCGACATCGACTACCAGAAGCTCTACGACGCCTTCTTCCGCTTTCAGACGAAGCCCGACCTGACCCGCTTCGGAGAGCTCTATCACGAGGGCAAGGAGTGGGAGGCAGACTACAGATACTTCAAGCCCGGGGAGGTGAGCGACTCACTACGAGAGGCCCTAGGGATGCAGCCTGGCTTCCCACCGCCATGGCTATTGCAACAGCAGCGCGTGGGTCCCCCACCATCCTATCCTCTGCTGAAAATCCCTGGCCTTAACGCACCACTGCCGCCTGGTGCCTCTTGGGGATTCGGGCCTGGGCAGTGGGGTAAGCCGCCGGTAGATGAGTACAACCGGCCCATCTACGGTGGTGACATATTCGGCGTCACGGCGGGCAATCCGGCGGCCCAGACACAATTACAAGCAGCACAACCCCAGGCAGAGCCTATTGATCGGGCGCTTTGGGGAGAGCTGAAGCCGCCAGAGGAGTCTGAGGAGGAAGAATCTGACGAGGAGGAGGAGGATGAGGATGAGGAAGAGGATGCTGATGTTCCTGGTGGCCTGCAGACACCCGGAGGTTTGGAGACACCTGGTGGCCTCGTCAGCTCCGTGCCGACGGACTATCACGGTCCTAGCGGTGTCGAGAGCAGTATGGCAGGCGAGTTTGACCTCAGAAAGCAGCGCCGGGGCTATGAGACCGAGGAGAGTGTGGCAGGGCCGCGTTCTGCTTACCAGGTCATTCCCGAGAGGCAATCCCGTGCAGAGGGCTTCTTTGGCAGTGACAGGGTGTACGACCTGTCCAAGAACAGGGGTGGCGTGCCTGTGCTTGGACAGGAAGACGACAGCCGCAAACGAAAGAAGCCGGGCGATGTTGATGTCGCCCTCGACCCTGAGGCCCTGGCGAGTCATGACGGCATCAGCAAGGACGAACTGCGCAAGAGGTTCGAGGAGGGTCGGAAGGAAGAGGGAATCGGCAAGAATTGGCAGTCGTATGACGACGACCTTTCTGAGATGATAGCCCAAGAAAGTCGGAAGAGGATCAAGCGGGATGAGGAGAGACGGTCTGGGGGCGACAAGAAGAAGGAAGCCAAGTACAGATTCTAGGTAACCCGCCGGCGCTTCAGTCATAGGCTACGTTTCAATGCACAATATAAAATTGCTCTCGACCAGTCCATCGCAACCACGGTATGCCTTATTTCACCCCTTTAGAGCCAAAACGAAACGGTGTGCTTGACTTTTCATTGGCTCAATCGCCTTCGCGGGGACATGCTAGCCCGGCAGCATTGTCTTATATCTTGCAAACCTCCCGTCATGGTTAGTAGGCGTCTGTCTCATCACGATGTGAACACCATAATCATCTTTTCAGAGTGTAAATAGGCCCAGCTTGTGGGACTCATTTGGTCCTGATGGCTCTCGTCGTGCACTACGACTCGGCAGAAGATGTTTTGTAAGCCGAACACACCTACGGAGAGAGAGAGAGGCAGGCCCGCAAGACGCTTATATCAGCACCAGCATTACGCCCAACATCTGCAGGAGCTCCGTCAGTCACCACATCATCCTACCATATAATTAATATTGAGAGCGTTCGTCAGATCAGCCTTCTGAGCAAGTGTGCTTGTAACTTGTAACTTGTCTCCAACGCTTTCAGACATTAAACATGGCTACACACAATGCGGTGGGGTGGTTACATTCGATGGTGAGAACAGTCTGCCAATACATATTATTAGGCATGCAAAGTCTTGATTTGGAAGATGTATCTGAATGTTAAATGTCCTTATAATCCCATCAATTTTCATGCTTAATCTTGGAAGAGTTTAATAGGAGCTGGAGAAACGAATAGCTCTTACAAGTCTTCTTGGCCATTACTGATCACACCAATTGTATCTGGAAGTTCATGCTCCCTGGGTGTATTTGTGAGAAGTAAAGACTCCGCCCACATCATGACAACGGAGAAAAAGGCAAAAAACTTGGACGGGCACAGAAACATGTCCTAAGGAGAGGACGGATCGGTCCTGTAGTGAGTGTGGCCAATGAAATTCACGTACGAAAATGCCCGTTGCTCCGTAGTGTTGATCTCCAAGTGGCTTGACGAGAATTCACCTTTATCTCGCATATGTACAGAATATTTTGTGTGCACTACAGGCAAAGGGTAATTATATCTTTCCATCTCCCTACTTATCTGAGTATCTTAGGTAGTATGATCTGATCCGAGCCAAATGTCTTCCAGAGGTCGCAAAAGGGCGTACTGTGGATCAATAATAGTCGAAAGCCAGCTTTGAAAGCTGCCCAGTGTAGGAGAACGAGCCATGTCAAATTTGCAGTTTATGCTTGCTCACGTGAATCAATCAATAAAAGGACAGCAGAAATAAGGAATTCATACCTCATGAGTAAGGGTTTTCTGGGTTTGTATATCTAAAAAGAATGAAAAGAAAGCATTGATAACGTATAGGCCCTGGCGATGTGACATGCATGCACGAGTCCTAGCTCTTGGTCCCAGCAGCCCAGATAGGCCCGTCTCGCAGGACAAATGACCACTATAAGAAAGGGGTAAGAAGATTGACAAAACTAACGGATGGTTCTAATCATTCTCTTGAAGTACAATAGCGCAAGCTTTCTTCACCCGGCTCTGCCTATGCCTGATAGAATAAGAGAAGCAACATGAGACCACAGCAAGCGAGGCTTGTGGCGGGCAAAAGTTTCTTCGGCAGCATCGGTCTAGTCTGAGAGAAAATGACGGGGAATGAATGACTGATTAATCGCAAATGGGGAAAGTGGAGAGGCAAGTTCGCTGAGCGTGATGGTGGTACTAAATGTTATAAAGTCGGGTTCAGAACCGCACACCCTCTCCCCCTGTGTTCCCCCTCTGTGGCGAGTGATGTCGAATGTTTAGAACCAGTAACAAGCACTCGGGCTTTCGCTACGGAATACGGTTCTGAAACTGATTTTGGAACCTCACTTGTGTGTTTACTTAATCGCTGAGAAAGAAGATGAAATGTGGACTGGGAGCTGCACGAAGTCATGGCAGCACAGAGTGATGAAGATCTCAACCATATTAGATTTGATAAATGTTGCCGTCGACACTACAGCATCTTTGCTGAATATGTTTGTGTCAAATTTGCCATTGTTGCCTCCTTTCACATCAAAGTAAACCCCAGTGACACCGAGCAAGAATGCTCCGAGTAATTAGTTGATAATAACAAATCAGTCGGCTGACGAGAATTCTATGCCTGATCCTCAATCCCTCAAGGAATCGCCCTATTTCATACAGTTGTTGCATCGCCAATGCGGATGCTCCACTGCCATCTGCGCTACCTCTCGTATGCAGTCATCGTGGTAGAAGGGTTCCTTGCAGTGCTGTTCCGGGTTCAAGAAGTTAGTCACATAACCTTTCCAGCGCGTCTCAGAAGCCACCGGTGGGAGAAAATAGAGGAAAAAACGCACCTCGTTCGCGCAAATCAGCATTCCCGGTCCACGGACAGGCTTCCCACAGACCGTACAGCCCTTGGACTTTCTCGGCTTCTCCTCCTTCGGCGGCTCCGGGGCTGGTTGCTTCTCGGCTGAGGACTTTTGAATCCGAGCCTCCTGGAGGCGTGCCTGTACCAGCTTGATGCTGTCCTCCTCGAGCCCTCGTGCAATGAGCACAGTTAGGTGTTTTCCAAACTCTCGAGTACGAGAGCTCGACTCCAAAAGCCAGGCAACCTTCTCATTAACGAATTCCACCACGGCTCGCCCGATGAAAGCTTCCGAGACGATCCGTTTCTTCTGAATGAATGCATCCCATTCCTTGATGTACTCCTTTTCAGCCGCATCAACGTCGCAGAAATCCTGCACAATGTCACGATGTTTTTGAATGAGCCAGCTGTCATCAGCCACTGTTGGTCGAACCTCCGTGCCAGCAACCAATTTCATCTTGCTCAGAGGATCGAACAGAGGCTGGACCGTCTGCGGAACCAAGACCTTCTCCTTAATGATCTCCTTACTGCGGCGACCACCAGTTTTCTAGAACATCGGGTCAGAATCATGGTGTGAATCCCAACTTAAATCCTTATTCTTCACATATGTATACGTTTAAAGGAAAGAAGAGAATAAGGATGCAAAGAGGGGGCCGGGTGTGCCAGACAGAAATGCTTACCTGAATTGGCCTCACTACAGGCCTGGGCTGAGAGGTCTTTCGCTTTACGGCGACTGGGCTTTCGTTGTTGTTGGGCCCCAATCGAGACGTTGCCCAGGAGTCATCTCCTTCGACGTACTTATCCAGGTCGAATGGCTTTACAGGTCTGCCCAGCTGGTATACCTTGGGGCGCAACAAGATGCCTGAGTTCTCAGCGACGCATGAGACGTCGAGCTGAATACCAGGCTTTCCGGGATTAGAGATGACGACGTCAAAGTTGTACTGCGCGTGGCTGAAAAGGTGCGCTCGAAGTTGGGCCAAGGACTGGTGTGCTGCGTGGCAGACGCAACACGAAAAGCCGTCCACAACCAATTCCCTCACTGGGACGGCTTCTTTGGGGAGGCGATACAGGACGTGTTCCGAGTCGTCTTTCTTGTCTGCATATTTAGAGCGCTTTCGAGGCTGCCTTCCCTGTGCCTTGGCGCTCAGATCCTTGAGGTTATAGTTTTTACTCCCTCTGGCCCTCAACGAGCGACTCGGCGTGAGTTCGCCTTCTGCGTCCTCCTCCAGGTCATCATCCATTGGATGCGCAAATCCGTTCGTAAAATGACCATTAGCATGGCCATTGGTGAGGGGCATGTGCTCTTCTGATTGATGGAAACCCGCGACCGGAGCCAAATAACTTCTATCCTGGCCGTTGGTCAGGTGGTGTTTGTCTGGTAATGCATTTGTCCACCTCACATCGATATCCAGAAGGAAGTCGATATTGGTGCACACTGTAGGACCTGTGCGCAATCTCAAGGCACCCAAGCGTCTCCCTCGATCCAGAAAATTGGACACCTCGGCCTCGAGGATCCAGTGGCGTGGAACTGATAGATCGTCGCCCAGAGACGAATTGAGCAGATCGAGCGGAGGCCAGTTCTGATCACCAGCCGACTGGAGCTCCACCTTCACCCCGTACCTGTCTGCAAGATCGAAGACCGTATCCTCGTCTCGCTCTACGTAGATCTTCTCTTCGGGCACGGTGAAGGGGTGCGCCAAGTACACCCTGGCCATCTGAGTGATGCCGGCGGGATTTTGTGAAGTCCTGATACTGCAGATCTGGCTATCACAGTAGAGCACCTGCGCGTCGCCAGTCGTTCGTGCGGGGGTGGTGATGGTGATCTTGCAGCGAGCCCTCGTCATCATGTCCTTGTCTGTTGATGATGAGACGTGCCCATTTGGTTTGGCACGTGCCGAGTCCTTGTGAGAGATCTTGAGGACATTGATCTCCATGACCGGCTGGACATTGACAGGGCCATCGTGAAGCACCAAGCCGTCTATATCCGGCACGATGCCGGAATCAGGGGAGCTCTCCATGAATCTACGCCGCTTTGCTGGGCGCAGGTAGTGTTCATCGTCGCCGTTGGTGAGTTTGGCATGACCGTCGTGGAAATTGACGGAACTTATCCAATTCCGATGAAGGAAAGGAAGAGTCTGGCGGCGTGGATAGGATTTTGTCATGGTCGATCAAGCGAGAGTACTGAGGAGCCCCCTGAGGGAGCAAATACGTCGCTCAATATAGTTTTCTGATTGTCCTCGTTGATGCCAAAAGACCGGCGGCTGGGAAGGAGGAAAGAGAGAGACAAAGAAGCTTTGCTGTCAGAATAGGCCACTTCCTGAAGAAAAATACGTATGAGCTGGACCTTGTCTAGAACCGAGAGGTCGATGTCCTAGCTCTACTGTCTCTCAGTGCTGCCAAGGTGGACAGAGCCCGTTGTCTGTCGTAGTGGTGAGGGTGGTAGGTGGTGGTTGAGAAAGGACTGGACCGGATTATAAACAAACCACTGAAATTTCCATCATCAACCCAGGGCGCGCCAGACTGGATTTCATCAGTACAAGCCCATGGAAGTGGGAATGGTACAAAGGAGGCAAGGTTCTGGGCAGGACTGGCCCTTTTGAGGGGGCCTGGAAGGTGGTGTGAGGTGGGTTAGAAAAAGGTCATCACGACGCGCCCGAGTTTCCTGTAATCTTGAAAGAATTCAATGTCCCATCGCGACACCCTGCGCAGTGCGCCCCCCTGCTGATACGGCCCAAGACCACCCCTGTCCAATTTGGGGCCCACAGGCCGGACCAATTACACGCAGCTAGGTGCATCCCCTCAGCATGGTAAGAGGTACCCGGGGTACCTCATACTGTTTAGCTTGGGGCTGATGTCTCCCACTAACTCGGCCCAAAAGGAAGCTATGTGACTGCTCGCCTCGTCCTTAAAACCCCCACGACTGTGAAGCTTGCGTGTCTTAACAGAGTGTCTTCTGATGTCAGAAAAAGAAGAAGAAAAGACTAGGTCAAGGTCAAATAGAATATCCCTGCTAGCTATCACTCATGTATCAATAATTAATTCTCCAGATCCCGGAAAGTAACTCTGTCTCCCATGATTATATCTCGACTGAAGATTCACCAATAACCACGGAGTACGGCTTCCTGTCTCGTGCAATTTGCGCATGAGGAGAACCATGAGCTGCAGGTTGTTCTAATCATTATAAAACATATAGGTAATCGAAAAGTGAATATAAATGAATGCCATACAGACTTAAACATTGAGGTAAGTTGTAATTAGATGTTAATAATCCATTTCAGTTCATGTAACAGTCTCAAACTGAATGTACCACTTCAGAGTACTAGTCATTGCTGAAGCACCTCCTCAGGAATGTTTCCAGTCATAAACTCAGCCAGTCAGCAAATATCACACTGACCAATATACTAGAGGAAGTACTTGAGAATCCGCATGACCCGACCATCTCAGCATGAGTCGTATCGTGCACGAACTCCAACCAAAGTGCCCGAAGCACCAATCTCAACCAATAGCAGGCTGGGTGATCCCGGTCCATCAGCCTTGTGCAGCACATCAACACTCCCTGTGTATAAGAGGAGCTAGGACTAAAGAATCATCTTTGCCCGGAATTCTGACATATGCTCTGTCTGTATAAAGATGTTGGAGTCTACCTTAATGGTCAAATTATCATATTATCTCAAGCTGGCCTAGACCATGTATAATAGTGCTTTGAAAATCGACACCTTTGAAGATACTTGTGATAGTCCAGCTTCTTGGCAGTATCACCTGCGTCAAGTGTGAAATATATATATATAAGTGATGCGAAATAGAATCTCTTGGGGGCATTACATTTGATTACTTGCATTATCATCAGGTATAATAGCTGCCTTGACTTCAGATTCTTTAATGCTGATCTCGTTGAACAACTGATTGCGTCCGCAGATTGTTATTGACAAACAGACAGCCTTACCACATGAAACCTTTTAATTGCTGCAGCATGCAGTGTGGGTTTGCGTCATGTAGACAGGCATACATCATTAATCAAGGCGATTCAGATCTTCCGGTCATTTTGTAGACTATATATAAACAGACCTGGTTACTTGACCAAAGGCAGTTTTCTTCTGAGTCGGGAGGCAATCTTCAATCCGGCTCTTTCAGTATGTCACGTGCAGCTGGCGATATTTAGGATGGGAGATAGGGGGGCTCTTGACGTGGCAACTCAACGATGTACTCTGTTTTTTTATATTTTTATGGTCCCATAAAAACAACGGTGTAAGTCATGCTGTGGCTGACACTCTTTCCCAATGTTTTCAATTGTTGCTATAGCAAGCTGCCTATTCGGCGAATTTGAGAGTGGGGAGTGGGGGCGTATCATCAAGGCTTTCGGACCTAACAAACATGAGCAATCTCGATTGACTGGCGCTTGCACGCTGTCATAGCCCTCAAGAATCAGCCGCTCACGACGTACGTCAACATTTTGACGAGAAACCCAAAGATTTCATGCTTTGGTTCGGTGAAAGCCTCGCGAATTTCTCATGCTGTCAAACTACTTGCACTGAGCCTTGGGCAAACACCGGACAGCCGCAGTGACGAGGCTCGATCTTGACCCTAACCCGCAACAACCCCGACATTCCAGGCCTGACTGCTCAACCTCAACCTTGAATTTAGCCCTGATCATCTACTTGCCATGGCTGAAGACTCACTCATTTGATAATTACTTGGCATCTGATTTGGAGGTCACATGTAATTCGCGTTCAACGATCTCTTGTGAGATATGCTTGGCGGATGGTTGTAGCAGGAAGCGAAAGGCCTGCACGCTAGAATCAATTATATTTCAGGCATGTACCCTTCTTTAGAATGCATACACAATATTCACATACTCGCTTATCCATTTCCTCGCGCTTTCGAATATTTCTCAAGATGGGTGCTTAGAAGCATTACCCAAAGCCGTCTTCTGATCAGAGAGTGAGGCTCGCCCCGCCCAACGGCTGTTCTTGCTGATATTTGATCAAGTATCGCAAGGAATGCTGCTCGTTTAGTCTTCGAGGCGTCTCTGCTGGCTTTTAAGTCCATAACTATCTTCACTGCACTTATAGTTCGAGCTCATAGGAATTGTATGAAGACTGCTTCATCTAGATGGCAAGCTTGATGGTGGGAAATGAACGCACACGCACTTGGACACGTTGGGAAGGCTGAGACGCTGCAACCAGTCGCGGGTTATGCAGTCCTCGTCTCGAGCCATACACGAACCACACCAGGGGTTGAGGCGAAGCTCATATTTGGTATCTTTTGATGTGATGACTGATTCCAGACACAGTGTTCATGTAATCACATCTGTTATCGACCATCACCTGGCAGTAACGCCTTGGAGGTGTTGTGGCACGAAGGATCAGCCCTGGCCTCAAAAAGTTGTGGAGACTGGAAGGCTCGTCTTCAATACGAAACACAGCCTTAAACTCATCGAGCCTCTACAGCTCCATATCATACAGATATATTGCTAAGAATCACGCCAGGGGGGTGCAGTTGTTGGAGTTGGTATGGGAGAAGTCGTAAGGATGCGGGCCGGTGGCTTCAATAACGCGCCGAGTAAGTACTTACCTAGGTATGCTTAGCGGTTTGGAGGTACGAAGGTACTACTATGGTATGTACTCACACGTAGGTACCAGGGTTGGTAAGTCTCCCGTGTGCGCACGGACCACCACTAGCACTGTACCAGTATCCTGGCCCCCACACATATGCTCGTCACTGGCTGCTGCACTGAAGGTCGCATTCTTCTGGTCGCTCCAATTTGCCTTCCCTCGGTCTCACTCATCACCTTCAGCTCATCCTGCATCGGACACTCCGGGCATTCCCGTACACACCGACCTAGTGCAAACTGTAACAGTACCACTGCTATCCTTTGCGGGCCCTTATTGTTCTTTTTTCTTCTTTTTTCCCGCCGTCCCTGCGGCCGCGGCATGTTGATTCGCCTGCAGCTGCCAATCCTCCTTCCCTCAACAGTCACACACTTTCACACACAACTTCGCGGCCCCAGCCCCCATGTGCTATCCCGCCTGTTGACCTCGCCGACGACATGAGTCAAACGGGCCTTGCAGGGGTCGTCGCTATGCCCCGCCGCAACCCCCGCCGGGGAGCAGCCACCACCACCAGCCACGATGGGCCTTCGACCCGGCTGCCTGCTCCGAGCCCGGCTGGCCGCGTTACACGGAGCGCCACGCGGCTTTTGAATGGCGACACCGACTCCGAGGACTCGACTGTCGACGATCCAGATACCACCGACGAGGACTCATTGTCAGATGGCTCTGATGGCATCTTCACACGGCCCCGTCAATCACAGACCGTGCAGACTGTCGCCTCCACCAGGGAGCGACGACACCGTCCTGGTGCCTCCACAGCACAAGGGTCTCGTCGGCGTCCTGGCCGGACGGCCCAGTCCTCACGGGATGCAGGCGCCCCGACGACACCAAAAAAGAGACGTCCCTTCAAGTTCGGTAGCGCAAGGAAAAGATCACCAACACGCGACCAAAAGCCAGCATGGCCCACATCTGGTGTCATCCCACCCTGGCAGTCACTCGAATGGACCATCCTGGTCCAGATTTTCGAGCATGCCGCCTACCCTGCCGACACCCGGACGGACGTCCGCTGGCTGCTCGCGGCCGGCCTCACGTGCAAGGCATTTCTAGGCCCTGCCTTGAAGGCCTTGTACAAATGTCCTATGCCGCAAGTCATCTCCATGAATATGGGAAACAAGTTCGCCAGCCTCATCCGCGAGCTTGCTGCAGACCCTGATGCTGCGCTGGCCCGTCAGGACCACAGGCGGACCATGATCGAGTCGCTGGTTGTCGAGGTCTCTTCGCTCCCACACTCGCAAACGCGCACCTTCGATGTCGCAGAGCTCATCCTATCTCTCCCCAACCTGTCTCATGTTGAGCTGTACCACGACTTCGATCTGCCTCCTTACCGAAAACTCGACTTCAACAGCAAGAAGTGGACCTACGCGCCAGAGCTGCTCACCGCCCTCAGCACCGCGGGCGATGGACACGCCGCTGTCCGTCTGAAGTCGTGGAAGTGGAGCGAGAGGATGATGGGTCCCGGCCTGCTCGAGGAGTTGTCGACAATGCACTCGTGGAAGGTCTTCTCTCAGCTGCGCAAGCTTTCGTTTGTCAATTTTCAGGTACCTTCCTTGAGAGATAACAAAGACCCTAGCGATGCCGAGGTCTTCGAACAAGACAAGAACTATATCAGCCTGGTCGCCGCGGCGCTGGCTCCCGTCGCCGGCCTCAAACACCTGGTCATGGAGTCGTCGACTGTGGTGGACGGCCAGTTCCTATCTCTGCTTCCCAAGACGATCGAGCACCTTGAGATCGTCAACTGCTGGGAGCTGACGGCTGACATGCTGTCCGAGTACCTGGCGAGCCATGGGCGGCCACTGCGCCGCTTGACGCTTCACCACAACCAGTCACTCAACCTGTCCTTCCTGCCGATATTGGGCCAGTGCTGCCCCGGGCTGCAGGAGCTGTCTATGGATCTCCTCACATACAATCACCACGAATACTACAAGGATTCGGATCCGATTTACGATACCCTCCTCAATGTCGAGGACGTCCCGGTGTGGCCCCAGACGATCGAGATCATAGACCTCGAACAGCTTGCCAAGTGGGATGCGGATACGGCCGAGATGTTCTTCCAAAGCTTCGTGGACCAGGCTCCGAATCTGTCCAATCTGAGGCACCTCGCTGTCAAGGCCATGCTGGATGTTCCCTGGCGACAGCGGTCTGAGTTCCGCGACAAGTGGGTGCGGATCCTGAAGAAGGTCTTCCTGCGCAAGACGCAGAAGCCTCGGGCGTACCATTCCCTCGTTCAGTGGCCGCTAGACGGAGCCCAGCCGAGCGAGCAGCAATCACAGCCTGTGAAGGCCGACGATTTCGACACCTCCCCAATACGCCGCAGCACACGCATTGCATCCAACAACGACTTTGCGCCAGCCCCATCACTACCCCCTCCGCCTCCTCCCCTTCAAACACCTACCGAGAACAAGGACAACAAGCGCAAACGTCAGCGCTCCTATACACAGACCACCCGAGATCTAAGGACGTCCAAGCGGGCCAACATCTCTTATCGAGACCCTGACACCGACGAGGATCTCGATCTATCATCGGAGGAGTCCGCGGATGATGAACAAGACGAACTGCAGCAAGAGCCGATTATCATGTCAAGTCCTCCAGCCTCGCCTGTCTTAAGCGAGGAGGAGGAGGACACCTCATCCGTGCACGGCCTCTGTGATGTCGTCAACATACGATTTGACAACCAAAAACCACGAGAGTTTCAGTGGGGCGCAGAAGATTTCCTCGATGATGACACCCGCGAGTCGGATGATGCCGAGTGGGCTTCGGACCGAGATGTGGACGACGAATCAGACACCTACGCTTGGTGATGGTGCCTTTTTTTTCTTCTTTCTTTTTTTGCTCAATTGTTTCCTCGTTTTTCTCTGCTGCTATCGATAAAGAACAAACATCAAGGCACCAAGGTCGAGGCACGAGGGTTTTATTACTAGGATATGGCGTTTGCAGATGGATTAGATTCTGACGGCGTTCAAGTCAAGGCCTTGTTTCCAATGATTCATAATGTGTGTTTGTTTTTCTGGGGAGGTTTAGGGTCAGTGACGGTGACTATTTCAGTGTGTTTTTATTTCAAGGACAAGGGCGCCGGCGTTTCAGACATTTGAAGGAGTTTGAGGGCCCTCAATACCCCAGAGTAATAATTACGAGCTTGATTCTGGCGAAGATCAGAGGGAAAATTAGAAATGGTCTAGGGTTTTCACGGAGTGAAAGTGCTCTCTGATTAGGAGACTGTAGATGCAGGGAAGCACATCAAGAATGATAACAAAGAGACTATGTTGATTCGAATTTCATGGATTCTTTGTGCTGGTGCTGAGAGAGGTCCCCCCGGGAGGGGGATGAAGAAAAGAGACGAGGCGGGTTTGTCGTGCCCGCCAGCCATTTCAGCGCAGGAGAGTGGAAAATGTGTTTACATAATTGAACTATAATATACTCATATAAATGACTCGTGATTTTGTAAGTGTATGCAATTGTAATTTCCCGCTGCGGGAGGAGAGTCAGGATATGTACACAGTAATGAACAATAGATGCTTATGGTGTATCGACCAAATGTAGGCCTTTTTTTTTTTTTTTTTTTTTTTTTTTTTTTCGGTATCCCTCAGTAAAACCTACTCTTACTATTTGACCTACTGTACATAGTGATAAAGGGTTGACGGAGATTTCGATGTGACAGATGGCGTCTGGACATGGGCTGCTCATGGTATGTTTTGTACTAGTACTATGCAGACAGCCTACCGGAGAAGAGAGACTATGTACAAAGAAACCCCTCGCCCCCTTCCTCCAGTATCTGAGGTCTCTCATGAGGCCCTGGCTCTTAGTGTTCCCATGTGCCCTTTCAGGTCTTGATAGGCTCCCTAACACTAGCCCACTTCAGCCTCAGCCACAGCCACATGCCAGGTTCTCCTAGGCCGCAATTGCACTACTACAGTATCGTCAAGTACTAACAGCAGTGCTTGTACTACTTAGTATAGAGCCTAGTACTTGCATACATCGGCCTGCCTAATCCCTCAGACACAAGTCTTTCCCGGTGAAAGGAGAAGGTGAGAGCGAAAGAAAGAAGCAGGGACTTTTCAACCCTGTTCTTAAATTACCTCCCGCCCTCGCATTTCGTTCACATCACACATTGAAGATTCCCATCGCACCTCATCGCACCACCTCAACCTCATCCCGTTACTTCACACACGTACACAACACACACGACTTCAAGAACAAATGCGCCACAGCCGGCTCGCAGGGCGCATCGACAAAACTACTCCTTTGCCCACATATCGCTGTCAGGAACAGTGGGGACCGGGGAGGGTGCCGTCGATGGTGGAGCAGGGCGGCACCGACTACGCGAGCGTTACTGCGGATTGATACAAGCCGGCACCTGATGTAGGTGGGCGCCAGCAGCACCAGCAGCGCCAGCAACAGCAGCGCCAGCAGTGCTTGGTTCTGGGTCCTGATCCTGGCGCTGATCGGGGGGACCATAGCAAGCTCCCTCACCACTTTCTCCCCCCCCCCCCAAGTCCCTGACCCAACAGCAGCCAGCAGAGAAAAAGGGTAGACGAAAACCACCTAATTACACCAACAACAATCCACTAGTACACTACGAGACGGGCGCGATACCTGTACCGTCAGCGCGTTGTCAAGGTCGAGGTAAGCCAGCCCAATTTATTCTTCCCCCCTCTTCCTGCTCAACCTTGCTACACTCTTACTTTTTCCTCCCTGGCCCTGGTCATTTCGGGTGGGTTCGAGTGCCGAGGTGGCTGTTTGCTGTGTATCATTGTCCCTAGGCGCAATTGGGGGTCTGGCTGTATTGACGTGATCACGATAATGCTGACCTACCCAGACTGCCTGGGCTTCCCTTCGCGATTGTCTGTTCTGACCCTCTTTGTTGTCTCCCACAGATCTCGACCGACCTCAAACCTCCCTTTCTCCGACTGAACCTCCATCACCTATCTCGATCGCGGGTCGTTTCGGAGACCAGTCTGCTGGCCTCGTGCCCTCTGAAGCTACGCGCGCTATCTGCGACGAACCGTCCAGAAGCACCAAAGTCAACATCCGACCGCGCTTCGCGACCGACCCATGCCATCAAGGTTACCAACTCCACCACCACCACCACCACCAACCTCGTCACCACCATTCTCCTAGCAGCCGCCTCTTAGTCTGTTGTCCGCCCTCGCCCCTCTCCTCCCCCCTTCCCCTCCCCTCAGCGGACGCCCCCCAGTCTGGCGAGGCCCGTCTTTGCGACCATTCTTCTTTCATGAAGCACATCGCAAGATGGAGACTACGGCGGATAGAATCAGATCCGTCGTCAAGAGTCTACTACCAGAGCGTCCACACCACTTGTCGCTCTACCCTGATCGCAAATACGTAGTGCCACCAAACTACTGGCAACACCAGACGCCATTACAGTACTCTACCTTCCTATCGGACGCAGACCGTGGCGTCCTCCTGACCAGACCCTATTTCGACATCTGCGACGAGCCTGAGACCTCTCCTACCACCCCTCTTCCCTCAGCCACGCCCAAGAAGATGACCAAGATGTCCATTAAGGATTACAAGAAGGCGAAGCAGGTCTCCCACTCGTCCAACTCCCCCATTGAGAACGGCGTCCCTGGAAGACCGAACGAGAAGAGCCACACGGGCGATGCAGTAAGGTTGGATAAGGAAACTATGCGCAAGGAATACGACAGTTCGAGGGAGGCCGGATCCCAGCAGTCGGGCAAGGCGCAACGGGCGAACGGGGACACAGAAAGGTATGCGCAGAGCTAGATATGTAGCGGTCAGCAGGTCGTTTGCTAACCGGCTGCTCTCCCTCCCCTCTTTTACACACACAGGTCTAGGTACTCAGCGTCTAAACCAACCTCGAGAGACGCGCCGAGCCCGCCCGAGAGCAAGAAGCGCCCATTGGACCCAGACGACAGTGCCAGGCCGCACAAAAAGGCGAGACCGAGCGAGGACCTGCCGCGCAGGCCACCACGACCAGAGACCCCACATAGCTCCTCCGCGCACGACAAGGCCTCGAGTAGTAAGGAAGGGAGATCAGGAGGCTCTCAGCTGACCCCAGGTGGTCGCGCCGCCTCAGGGAGCTCCAGGGAGAGGGACCGAGCGGTGTCGCCCAGGATCACGGTGAACGGGACCAAGACCTCGAGCTCGTCACAGTCCAACCCGCTTCCTCGGAAACCTGACAGCTCCGGGAAGCACCTCGTCCCTCCTTTGTTGTCGCCCCTCCGACACCCCGCGATCGACGATGAGCTGGAGACCGACAGTCCAAAGAAGAGGCCGAAAGAGAACCCCTCGGGCGGCAAGGCGCAGACGAAAGCTCCCAAGCCGGAGGCGACAGTGAGAAAGAAGCAGCCTGCGATGCCGGAGCTGCCAGCGCTCCTGTCGCCCACGCTCCCTCCCATGGTTGAGGACGAGCTTCTGCGGCTTGAGAAGGTGGCTATCAAGGGCGAGCCGGGTCAGGCTGTCGAGGGCACAAAGAGCACGCGCAAAGAGAAGACACGGGAGGGCGGCACTGAGGAGGGCAGGCCCAAGAGTCTTATTGTCACGCTGAAAATCAGAAAGACGCTGCGGCCTACAGTAAGGAGGCTGCTCGCCCTTCCCTCTAAGAACAGGAAGGACAGATCGGCGAGTGTCGAGGCCGCACCGCCGCCAGCAAAGAAGAAGCCACGTCCCACCGAGGCGCCCACCGAGGCGCCACCGTCCATAGCAGCGAAGCGACCCACCAGCAAGGCCCCCGACACGCCCGCCGCCGTCAAGGCACCCTACACACCACCTAACCCACCAGCAACCGTCTCTCAGGTTCCTTCTGGCAGCTCACAGAACCTAACCCCCGGCGGACGCGTCGCCCAGACGCCCAGTGCTGCAGCAGAGTCTGGTCCTCCGCGCGCCAGCACGGCCAAGGACCGGGAGACGCTCATGCGCCGCCATGGGGCTATGTCGGTCCTGGGGAGGAACCTCAAGCGCGAGCGCGACAAGGAGAAGCAGGAGCGGGACAAGGAGAGGCACAAGCAGCCCAATGGCACCACGGCCAACGGAGAGCGCATGGCCGCCGAGGACTACCGCCCTGTCATGCTGACCATGGAGATGATCCTGGCCTACTTCATCGCGTTCCGGTCCCAGAACCAGGCGTGTGAGCTGAGCAGGACGCATGTGGACGAAAAGGCCTGGCTCTCGCTGGAGGCCCACCTGAGAGAGCTCCGGCACATGACATACCACTCGCTCCCGTTGCACACGCTGGCGGTGCAGCTCAACGGGATCCTCATCAACGAGATCCTAAAGGTGTACGCGTTCAATAGCAACGCATCGCGCGAGTTTAAGCTGGACGAGGGCAGCCAGAAGATACTGCTGCGGAACGTGAACCATCAGTTTGTTGTGTGGTCCGAGGCCGAGCGGTTCCGGAATAAATTGGCGGACGAGAGGCTCAAGACGCCCGTCATGGGGCCATGGACGTCACCATACAAGGCTGCTGCCGATACCTTGGCAGTCATGGCTCGGGTAGCCGACCGGGAGCATGTCGACTGGAGAGCCGAAGTAGTCCCGCCAAAGGACTAAGGAGATGATCAAAAGTTGAAAACGAGAGGAAGTGGAGGAGGAGGAGGCTATGACAGAGGTTGATTCGGGGCAGAGCACGTATTACATTCTACGAAACGTACAGCAGAAGAAGGGAAAACGAAGACGAAGATGAAGACAAAGCAGAAAATCTCTCTCCAAAAAATATCAAAAGGCAATAATAGGCGTACGCCTGTCTATATGAGGATGTTTGGAGGGTCTGCACAAGAGCGGGGACACGACAGGCTTCACTGAAATACAGATGGCTATGATGATATCCCGACGACGCTTATGGACAGCGCGTGCTTATTTGCATTGTACTGAGAATGTCACCAGTCAATACAATCAATCTTCGAAACACCATGTCAATCTACTCAAGAAGCATGAGGTCTGGACATGTGTGAGACCTGTTGTTCTAAAGGGTTGAAAACAGAAGTACTGTTTGCACCGGTACCGTGTGATTCAAGTACTGTGTGATCACTACTGATTCAGGGCCCCCGGCTGACGTTGGCGTGTTGTACTGTGTTACAGTACGTACAATAGGCTTTGAAGGATGACCTGGGACAGGGGTTGGGGTGCTCCAAGGCTAGGGCCCGCGTATTGCTGGCTCCCAGGGATGTGACGCCCGCCCCTCCTCTCCCCGCATAAGCTACCCGCTCACGCCGCTGAAGCTCCTGCTGTAGGGGGTGCTGCATCCTACCGCGTCCAACCTAAAATTCAAAAGAGGCGACGACACCCTTGAACTTTCCACACGACGACGCCCGAGCTCATTCTGCATGCGTTAATCATCGCCCTCCTCCTCCTCCTCCTCCTCCTCCTCTTCGTCCTCTCGAAAACAACACCACAAGACAAACAGAACAGGGACGGAAAGAAGGGGAAAGACAGCGATAAAATACAGTCGCGCACGTCATGTCCTCCCGCTTCTCGGCCGCGCGCCCCAAACGCGCCGGCGAGTCCTTCGCCCGCGCACATCACGGCGAGCGATCCACGACCACCACCTCTTCCTCCACCGGCCACGACGACGCACAAGACGGGCCCTCCGCACCAAAGAAGGTCAAGTTTGACGTACGAAACCCCTCCGCCCTCGCGCCCGACGCGGAGGACGAGGACGAAGACAACGATGCGGTCCTGGAGGCGGACGTCATTGGCAAGGGCGCCGGTGCTACGAAACGCGGCGCGGTGAATATCGATGGGTACGACAGCGACTCAGACAATGAGACGTTCAAAGATCGTGCTGCGGCCAGGAAGTCGCGTGGGAAAGGCAGTGGTGGTGGTGGTGGTGACGGTAGCCGAGACAACGATCTGGACGTGGCCGACGTTGAGATTGACATCGCGGACCAGCTGGACAATTACGACAAGCGCCTGCGGGATGGTGGGGACGGGCCTGGGGGGGAGGAGGCAGCAGAGGACGAGGACGAGGATATGTTTGCAGCAGAGGACGACCCCGACGAGGAAGATGCGAATGATCCGGCCGGCCCAAAGACCACGTCGCGTGCCGCCGGCCGGAGGGCAAAGGAGGTGCGCTTCCTGGACGCGGACAAGATCGAGGGCCAGGAACAGGCGAGCAGGAGCGGCGGGACGGTGCGGCTGGACGAGGGCAACGCCAGCAGCGACGACGAGGAGGACCTGGAGCTGGCGATACAGGAGGAGGGCGTGGACGAGGAGGTCGGCATGGGCGGCCTGAAGAGGAACGCACCCAAGATCGACGCCTTCAACATGAAGGCGGAGCAGGAAGAGGGCGCCTTTGACGAGGCTGGCAATTTCATACGCAAGGCGGTCGACCCAGATGCCGTGCATGACAAATGGCTAGACGGGGTCAGCAAGAAGGACATGAAGAAGGCGGCCGAGGCACACGAGAGGCGCGAGGCTGAGCTGCGGAGGCAGAGGCGGGAGGAGGACAGCCTGCTGACCGAGGACCTGCTCAAGTCGCTCATCCTGCATCTCGAGCTCGGGGAGACGCCGCTCGAGGCGCTGGCGAGGCTGGGCAGGGGCAGGGCCAAGGAGAAGAAGGTGCCCAAGTGGAAGCTCAAGAAGAAGCAGCAGCAGCATCAGCAGAAGAACGGCGAGGAGGGGGAAGGCATGGACCTGGACCACACAAAGGAGGAACACGAGGATCCAAAGCAGGCAAAGATCAAGGAGGCCATCAACTCCATTACCGAGGCGGCAGATAAGCTCCTCGGCAGGGAATATGCAGATATCTACGAGACCGAGAGGGAGGTCCTTATACGAGACTGGCAGACCGAGGCCGGTGAGCGCTGGATGCAGCCCACGCCCGCTCCAGTCGTCGAAGAACAACAAGAAGATCCTGCAGCAGCCGCATCGACCGGGAGAAAGTGGGAGTACAGATGGATCGACGGAAGGGATGGAGGTGTGGTGCAAGGTCCCTATGATGGTCCGGCGATGAAGGCATGGCAGGATGCTGGCTATTTTGAAGGGGTTGAGTTTAGAGCCGTTGGCGAGGATGGCTGGAGTAAAGCAGCTGACTTTGTCTGAACAAATAGAATCGAAAGAATTCAGAAAAGAAAACAAAAGAAGAAAAAATTATTACACTCCCCCATCGACCCGCCAAAAAACTGCAATTCGTTCTGTGTGAGGGTAATCAGTTCGTTTACGTGCAAGGCTTCGCCATCATGCATATGTTGACCAGTATTTTGTTGATGCAAGCTAGATCGATCCCGTTATTGGGAACACGGATTTTTTTTCTTTCTTCTCTTCTTTTTGGTAGCTCACAAGATGTCTATTTCTACTATTGCTTTGAAGCGTCTCGTGGTTCTTCTTCGCCGCCGCTTTCGACTGGTGGCGGTGTCTTCCTCACGGTCCATCTCCCTCGTCCAAGCCCTCACACCATCATAAAGTTTCAACAAGACCTCTTGTCCCTGGCCCAAATCATTCTTGACCCCTTGCATCGACTGTGTCCCTGTATGCGCAGAGGAGGCAACCGCTACTCTGACCGTGATCAGATCCGGTGTGACGATCCAACTGTCCTGCATCTCGCGCACCAGAGTCTGCTTGAAGCTGTTGATGTGAGGATCCATGTGAGCAGGAGGCGAGTCATCCTTTGCCAGTGCGACTAGTGATCGCACAGCCACGTCGCGGACTGTCGTCTCGGTCCCTCGTAACGCGAGCAAATTCTTGAGAATAGAAGCAGCATTTTTAGCAAAGTGAGTCATCCCATCAATACACCTTTCCAGTCTCTGCGTCGTATCCATCATGGAAGGCAGCAAGAGCCAGCAGATCAAGCTCGGCCGTATGGCGTTGCATAGTCTCACCACCTCGTTCAGAACGTGTATTTGGGCCGGTGACATGCTTGTGCCTTCATCACTTCGCCGAACCTGATCTTGCATCCAGCCCATTACGGCGTCCAGTAGACAAACAACATCGTCAAGACAGCTTTCTGGGATCTCTCTCGGAAGACAGCATCTGTTGAGGACTTGCAGAAGGGCCTGGGAATAGACACGCAGCAGTGGCCATATATCGAGTGCGGAGGAAGACGCTTGGATGATCGCAGGCAGCATGCGACCGATGACGAATGAGAGTATGTTGTCGTCCCTCATTCCACTCTCGATAATCCTGCGCTCTGCATCGAGCTGGCCGTTTGCCAGAGCCGATTTGAAATGGTTGTAGAGGTAGTAGAAGAGCTGTGGGGCCGCCGTCGTCTCCCCTTCCCCCAGTCTGAGGCCGTAAGCAAGAATGCCTGCAGTATGCAGCTGAGGATCCTCTTTGGTGGGCGAGTATTCGGCGCTGAATTGATAGTAGAAAGGGTCGACTGTGCAAATTTCGGCACCGTGTGACTTAATGAGGCCAACAATCTCACGAATGAAACTGACGTAGTCCTGGTGCTCGGTCGAGCCCAACTTGACGGATCTGATATGCGACTTCATCTGCTGCATGACCGATTCCAAGAGCCTCTGGTACCCAGCTCGCAGTGCTTTCCTCTGTGCCATATCCGCTTGACGCAGCTCCCTTCTCATATAAGCGACACCGCAGGCAAAGAGGTCTCGATTCGAGTTGTAATTAGGGGCTGCTCCAGGCTTGATGATTGCTCCCCTGATGTAGCCCACTTCGATCGACTTGAGAATCTCGGCGAGATGATTTTCATACCGCAGTGCATGAAATGGTTTCACTAGGGACGTGATCCAGATGTCGAAGTGACTGCAGCTGATGCTTGAGAAGTTGAAGACGTGGTTCTCGAGAAGGGTAGCCACAAAAAGAGGAATGAATCTCTTCTCTGCTAGGCCGAGCTCGTCAGGGAGGGCTCGGAAGATCCCATACTTGCCGGGAGAGAAAAAGTGTCGTAGCTGGCTCTTGCCGCCGTCAATGAAAAGACTAGTAATTCGACCACACAGAATGATCGCTTTCTCGACGATGGCGGAAGCAGAGCCAAGGTGCGGGGGAATGTCGCACGCTGGCGAGTTGATTGCCCGACAGGCTGCAGCGAAGAAGCCTTGGACGATCTTGTCATCCAGGAACTCAACCGCGTCCTCAAATTCCCGACTGCCGTGTGACGAAACCGAATCGTTTGTTGACTCCCGCAATTTGTACCAGAGGTCCTCCAATTGTTTGACCAAGACATCGATCGTCTCAACACAGGCTCGCACGATGCCCCAGTCCAGGTCTCCATCTTTCACGCTCAGCTTACTGAAGACTTTGTTTAGCTGGTTGACGTTGAACGAAAATGTTGCTGCTGTCAGGGAAGGACAGTGTTTGACGACATCCAGAGATGCCCTAATGCTGAAATGTAGGACGTCCTTCGCCGCGGCCTGATTTGCAGCAACAATGCCATCTAGCATCTGCTGCTCGATACGCCCCCTGTCTTCCTTTGCCATGGACATGAACTGATCCTGAACATCAGCAGCAGCTGTGAGGTATTGGGTGAGAATCTGTTGAAACACATTGTTCTGCCATGACATGAACGGCCTGTAGTCATTGACCGATCCTCCGGACGAAACGACAAATCGTGCGAGTTGCCTCCATGCCCGCAGGTTGATCAGGCAGGCTTCTTTGTGGGAACTGGCGGGTTGAACCAATTTCTCGATCAAATCAACAGGTCGACGATCCTCGGGAGGAGCAGCCCAGAAAAGGGTACAGAGGAGGTCGTGATGATTTCGTAGGGAAGCAAGGTCGTGGGAATGGATCGTCTGCTCCTTCGAGTATTGTCGATTGTGATTGGGTAGGCATCGGGTGATGAGGTTGCGAAGGTCGTTGGAGAGTCCGTTCCGCCTCATATTCTGAATGGCCACGGCCAATATCTTCAGAAATATATGGAAGCAGCGGTCTTCCGGCTCAACTGACAGGCAGGGTCCATCACTGAGCTCTTCCAGAAACCTTGGTGATTTGTAAACCTCCTCATTTCTCAAATGTGACAGATTCTGATGCCCAAAGAAGTCGAAAATTGTACCAACAATACCGACACACTTGTGCCAGCCCCATTGATCGATCAAGTAGTGACAGCGCCCCAGCAAGGCCCGACAGTAATCGTTGAAACTGGGGGATTGCCTTTGATCGCTCTGGTAGCACTCGAATGCTACTTTCAAAAGTTTCTGCGGCACGCTCCAGCCCTCAAGCGGAAGCACAGACCGCATCCCTTTGCTCAGAACGCCAATGTCATCGAATTCGCCAAGAGGGAGGAGCGTGAACATGTCGGACCACAAGCCCTCAAGTTTCTGGGCGTCGGAGGTCGGAAGGACGCTGGCAGTCATGATCGAACCCGTCAAATCCCAGAATCCAGCGCGCGGCATATGAGCTGCGCCGAGAACCTTGATGACAATGACCCAACTAGCTGCAGTGACATTTTCAGTTCTGATTCCGCGTTCTCGAGTGGAAAGACGTTGCAGATCGTGATAGGTCGTGCGGACCTCGGCAAGACCGATCTCTTGGAGTTGCTCGATGATTACTTTGGCAAATTGTTTCAGCAAGTCTTCGGCCTGCAGCACTCCGCTCGAGAGCTCGACTGTACCGTGGCAGAGTCGAAGTACCACCAGGGCGCACATGAGAAATCTCGAATTGATCTGGAGTAATGTGCGGTCCGCGCCTCGTCCGTGTGTTGAAGGTCGTGTCTGCTGGAGGAAGCTGAGGAGCAGCTCCGAGACCCGTTCCGTGAACCATCGTACTTCTACCTCTCCATCTAAGCTGACGGCGTCGAGGATGAAGCCGAGGATGTGTTCTGAACATTTTACAGCTTGATGCCCACCAGAGCGAGTCTCATCCCCCCTTCTCTCCTCTATGTTGGTGATGAGCAAGTCGAAGAGTAGGCCAAGCTCAGATGACACCTTATCGGTCCAGCATCCCCAGTCGAACCGATAATTCGAAAACCCAAAGGATATTGCTGGCCGGGTGGTTCCGACTGCATCGGAAACCCCATAGTCCAAAGCTTTTTTCAGAATGCCTGCTCCGACGATAGTATCACGGTGAAAGAAAGTATCTTGATGTAATGGGAAGATGTCGAAGTGCTGAGTGTATTGTGTTCCGAAAGGTCCTAAGCCGGTGACCTTGCTCTGCCCCTGGTGTAAAGGCTGGGGGGCTTCTGCAGCTGTAGGCTCGTCGAAGAACGGAAGAGGGTCATTCGCATGTTGAAATTGAGGATCTTTCAGGTCCAGCCGCCTTGGGAGAACCAGCTTGCGAGCCCGAGGGGTCTTCGTCTTTCTCCCCTGGTCTCTCTGGACCCTGACCTCGAGCAAGTCAAACGCAGACTTGTTGGTCGCCTCTGAAGGAGGTTCAGCAGACACACATCCCTTGTCAGAAGGAGATCGGCGTAGGTGGAAGGTCCGAGCCAGGACCTCACGCCGGTTCTTGCGAAACAAAAGATCCAGCATTTTCTTCCTGGCAGTGAAGGCGAAGTCACTCTCGTCGTGCAACACATCTGCCTCGAGCTGAGCCGGCCTGAAATGATCATCCCGAGAATGCGACACGGTCTTCTTTGAGTCCACTAATCTGACAGAATGGACTTCAGAACGGGGGGTTGACTCCTCGGCGCTTGCGAAATTGTTATCCGTCTGGACATGTCTCGTCAACTTCTGAGGCTGTATGAAAGACAGACCACTTTGCGACTTTGGCTGCCGCCTGACATTAGCGGACAGCGGCCTGAGAGCCTGCCTAGTGATTGGCAACTTTTGCTGCACTGGAGGACGTGGTGCTTTCGGGGTTGTCTGTGCGATCTTTCCAATCCTCCAAGCCTTCAAGACTGAAAGGGCGTCCACGTTGTCCGTGCGATTTCCAAGATTGATACTTTTGCCTGAGGGTTTGGATCTTCCCATATCGCTTCGCTTACTGGCAGCTCGAGCAGCGACTCTGATAAACTTTGGCGCATCGGGACCAGCAAAGTCGGCGATGCTCAGTGCAGGGGGCGAGATGGCCCTGTCCGCCTGGCCTACTGCTTGGTTGGTGCTGTTATGTTCTGATCGTCTGGCACTGTTAGTCAAAGGACGATCCAGGCGTTGTACAGAATGTGAGATTTTTTGTTGTCGATACCGCTTTCGTTCCTCGCCGTGAAAGAGCTTCTGCCGAGACTTCTTTCTCTTATGAGGAGGTCGGCGCGAGGAAGCGCGCTTCCGTTTCTGCCCAGGCAGCATCCAATCGACGAAGTCCTCCTCCACTACTGAAGCGCCGTCGTCCAGAGGTAGGAGCTCGCTGTGGTCCGGGATTGCGTCCAGGACATCATCCTCTCCGAATCGCTCAGCCCTTGCTTGTGTGTCGTCGTTATCATGGTCGTAATCATCAATGAGCTCATCTAAGAAACATTTGGTAGACGCGCCAGGCTGAGTTGCTCCGGCCTTTCTCACAGCGAGCCCTAGACGCGGCCGATCCGGGGACAGTAACGGACTCTGTCTCTTCAAGTTACTCTTTGTTTTGTCCTTGCGGGATTGCTGATCTAGTCTTAGCCAGGATGCGGGTAGGACTCCTCTGATCCTCTTCATTGTCCTCCGAACCAGTTCAGAATCGCTGTCTGAACTGGAAGCCTCCTGTCGAGGGGTATCTTCTTCCTCCTGCTCGCTCTCCGACACAAAAGCAGTGAGGTCGATGGGTTCGGTTATGGTCTCATGAAGAATTGGAGGAATTGGTTGTCGGCTGGGAGACGAAGGTTGGATGGCAAGGCCTGATGCTGGCGACTGGTGACGAGATGACCTGGTCGGCGAACGATGGTGATCAGTGCGGGATGCTGAAGTCGGTGGAGGAGGGGGAGGGGATGACGGGAGATCCCAAGCATCGGCATGTCTTCGTGAGGGAGACTCTTGTGTGATGATCGCATTGTTGGTCCTCAGTCGCTTTTTGGACGATGGAGGCAGTGATGGCGCCTGTCGCTTGTACGACCTCACGAGGGTGTCCTTTTTCCGCCCAAAAAGCTGGCTGATGTCGGGGAAGTTCTCGTCCTCGCTCATGCTGGTGTTGTTCGTCTGCTGTCCTGGGCTTTGCTCGCTGCTGGCTCTGAGATGCCTCGGAGGTGACGAGGTTTTTGGGGAGGGTGATAGCGCCAGTTCATCCACATCCACATCATCATAGATCTTCCTCTGTTTTCTTTTGTCTTGGTGCCTCTGAGACTCTGCGTCCTGGCCTTCGGATTCCAGCTGACTCTCGTTATATTCAAAATCTTGAGAGTCCTTCTCGTGTCGTCGTCTGGCGGCCGCCTCTTGTTCTTCGATCGTGATGCGAACCGGCTTGACACCATGTGTTTTCATGGAGCGGCTGTACTGTGCATTTTCCAGAAGATACGGGTGTTCTTGAATCGGTTTTCGGGGTCTCAGTGATCGATGTCCTCGGACAGGTGTCCCGGCGAGGACATCAAATCCCGTGGAGAGTGTAGCTGTTGTGATAGATCCATCCGGCCCCTGCTGTCGAGTATCTATATGTGAATACTGAGGCCCTGCGCTCACAGGATGTACGCTTGCAGGTGGCGCAGCCTTTCGGGCAACACTGGCAGAAACGTTGCCCCTCCGACTAAGCGGTGTCTCGACTCTTGCTGCCGTGGGCTCGCCTGCCAGTGGATCTGGGCTATCTCGAGCCGTACAAAATCCTGTTCTAGCATCTCCGACCTCAGAAGGCTGTTCCTCGCCCAATATTTGGGATGCATCATAATGGAGGCGTGCTGAATCGGTAGAGGGTGGTTCGACGGTCGTTCTCTGTGTAGGCTGCGGCTCGAGATGCTTCCACTGAGTGGATGGGGGCGGAGGTGAGGGCGATCCGGGAAAGTCCCAAACTTCATCTCTTTGTGTGTTGGCTTGGGGCGGGTTGGGTGGGTTGGACGATGTTGGCAACGGCTGTGATTCTTCCGAGTCCCACGCCTCGTCGTCCGAGTCTGGGACCACCCCTAGTGCCTTCCAGTTCCCCATGAGAGCTTGAATGCATTGTATACCTCCAAATTATGACATATCTGAGCGGCAATCTCTGGTCTGATTGATCAAGGAACCATTGTATACTGGCCGTGTTTCCGGTGAAGCTGTTGTTGTCTGGGCTGCCCAAGTACCTTACTTAGTACTTACTTGATTGACGCGTCTTGAATGGGAAACGCGTTTAGTTCACAAGAACTAGGGTTAGGGTTTTCTATGAGTCGGGACTATTTCCACGCTGGTGTAAACCCCAAGCAGGCGGGTCGGCCTTCTGGTCTTCCACAGCCCTTCTCCCTTCTAGCCTCCCCAATAGTTTCTAAATCAGCACAAGATGTCTGCGCGGAATTTTGCAGCATTGACCATGGCTGTTGTCGTGGGTGTCGCAAGTGGTATGATGCCCAGGGCTCTCCAATGCATGTAGGTCGCATATGTGATACGAGATGCTGATCTTTGTACAGGTGCATATACTTTCGGACCGCTCCTTAAAGAACAGCAAAAATCGCAAGAGTTTTGGCAACACCCTGGGTACGAGTTCTTTCATCCTATACCCGTATCAATTGGGACCTCAGTATTGACTGACTACTTACTCATTTCCCGTTTAGCCCTACGGGAACAAGCAATGCTTCCCAGGGTGAAGATATGGTAGCCCAGGATCAGAACAGCGGGCAGTCGGCTCGTCCAGAACAGCAAAAGTGAAAGGTCTGCAAAATTGAAGAGACAGAGATACCCTCAATACCGCTCAGTAGCACCTGCATGCACGAACGACCCGAGGGGCACGAAAGAGCAGAGACATTCGGATAGCCCTTCCGCACATGGCCAGGGACGGAATCCTCAACAAGAGATGCCACCCATGGTTGGACCATGTACATCGGAAGCCTTCAGCTAGTGGTTCTCGACGATAGTCTGTCTATATGCAGGTACGAATCTGTCGAACATTGTATCATAATTCATGTCCCAAAGTAGGGGGGACCTCAGTAGCTAGAACACTATTATACAGAGCGGTTCAATGAAATTTATTTGTGAGCGGCCTACAGCATTAAGCGTGCGCGCAGGCAATGTTTCGTCTATTCAAGAGAGTTGAATTTGAAGGGAGATGTAATCAGTTCAGCGGTCTCATGTTTCAATCCAACAGAACAGACCAAAATTGATGCTCGAGGCTTCAGAAAGTGACCGCGGAAATTGATATGACCTTTTCGTCCCGAGTCATTGGGTCACGACGTCAAGTCCTGCTGAGTCATCATTCCCCACCGGGGTCGGCTTGGAGTGGTACGATTCCAAGGACAAAGGAACCTCCCCCAAACCTCGCAAATCTTCGGAAGGCAAAAAGCAGAGAGCAACATTTTGACGGGCTCGAGCTTGTCAAACCGGACCCATCTCCACTCTTCGCCAGCGACTCCCAGACAGCACTTCAACAATCAATCAATTCCAACACTCCTCTCCTATACCCCCTCCCCCCGTCGACTTCTCGATCGCCCCTCTGTAAGCTACAAAAACAAAAAAAAACAAAAAAAAATGATGCGACTTTCGACCTCGGGTGCGGTGCGCGCCGCCCTCACCTCGGCCACCCGTCAGGCCACCACCACCACCCTCATCTCCCGCGCCGCCGCCTCGACTGCCGCCTCCAGCCACGCCATCTCCAACCCGACGCTGGCCAACATCGAGAAGAGGTGGGAGGGCATGCCCTTGCAGGAGCAGGCTGAGCTGTGGATGGCCCTGCGGGACCGCATGAAGGAGGACTGGAACGCCCTGACCCTCCAGGAGAAGAAGGCTGGTGAGTTTTAAACCCCCAGGGAGGGAGAGAAGCTTTACACGAGCTTCAGGAATGCCCGTAGCCCGCCGCGGTAGTGCTGCCGACGACAGACTGGGTTCTGCTCGTCCCATTCCGCAATCTGTCGACTTCAATGGGACCCTTGCCGGTACCTGCCGGGAACGGGCTGCGTCATGATCTCGGGTGTTGAGACCAATTGGCTAACCTGAGGACAAAACCCAACTCCCCTGCAACAGCTTACTGGATTGCTTTCGGCCCTCACGGACCTCGTGCTCTTCCTCCCCCAGATGAGGGCAAGAAGGTGGCCCTCGGCGTCTTCATTGGCGTCTTGGCCAGCCTGGCCATCTTCAGCGCGAGCCGCCTGTTTGCAAAGCCCGCACCACACACCATGAATAAGGAGTGGCAGGAGGCCGCGAACGAGTACCTCAAGGTTCGTGTCATGATCCATCTCATCCCATACACCCCCAACAAATGGACGACGGCAGCTGATATCGGAGACAGGAACAAAAATCCGACCCCTTCACTGGTATCGCCTCTCCCGACTACAAGGGCAAGGGACAGGTCCAATCCCCTCCCTCCAACGCTTAAGCTGCTCTGCAGCAGTAGTCGTCGCGTTCTTGACATACAACGCGCTCTCCCTTTGTTGTTAGAACAGGCAGAAACAAAATCATTTCCTCGTGGGCTAAGTTCCATGTACACAAAATAAAACAAAAAAATGATATCTAGACGAAGCATTGGTCCTGGTTCTGTATGGGGTTCTGGATGGCGGCTCACGAGTGGGCGCGAAGATGTGGTGTACGAGAAATCTTAAAACTTTTCATTCAAGTGAGGCTCTTTGATCATGTGAAAGTATGTTCGGTCTCACTGCCCCAGCTTGCCAGAAGACTCTCAAACGCATCGGTGATGTGATCTGGAAGCGCAGCAGCTCTGCTCCATCCACCAAGCTACATTTAGATCGCGTATAGAGTCGTCTGCACGCGATCAGGACGTATTGCCCCAAGTCTTTTCTCCTGGGCTCAGTAATCATTTGATAAGTTCGAGAACAATAAACAAGACTGCTTTATGCAAATGTGAGCCGTTACGGCCGCGTGTTGTAATAGGAAACTGATGGACTCATTATCATAATGCTCATAAGAACACTGGTGGTGTATCACCACAACTAAGACTTTATTCACCGCTTTGTCCTGCCTCTCGGTACTCCTCAAAGCTGGAGGCGGCCGCGTTGTCGGGCTCCAGAGGTTCATCTTCTTCCCTCATCCGTCTCTCTACCTCCAGCCACCCGTCTCTTCCCCAATATCCAGCCTTCTCCTGGCCCCTCACACAGGCCTCCGTGATGAGAACATGGTGGACGGGGGCTTCGTACATCGGCTCAGCCAAAACCCTTTCCATTTCCATCCTGAGCCCTCTGGCTCCGGTCCCGTTCTTCAGGGCCCGCTCAGCAATGGCGAGAAGTGCCCGCCGGGTGAAGTACAATCTGCTCGGATATGTCTCAAACAGGGCAGTGTACTGCGCGACTAGTCCGTTTCGGGGGACTGTCAGAATCTGGAAGAGCTCATCCTGAGACAATGGTGACAGTGCACAGATGTTGTGCAGCCGGCCGATCAGCTCCGGGATGAATCCATAAGCCTGTAGGTCTTCCGGCGTCGTCAAATCCACTTTTAGAGAGAGCACGGTCTCATTAGCACACGCAAACTGAAAAGGGGAAGAGATGACACGTACTTGGGGTGAATCCGGCTGGTCCGGGCTTGTTGGGTGCGACATGCTGATGAGGCAAGTGAGAATACATATCCACGGGCAGGACGGTCTTATTTCCCTCCTTTGATGACCGGCCCCTGCCTATTTCAGCCTCAAACCCCATCGACGGCTTCGATACCCTCGCCAAGATATGCTTGTCGAGCCCGACAAATGCTCCACAGAAGACAAACAGGATGTTTTTGGTGTCGATGGTATATTGGTCCGTTCTGCCGGCCACGGGGGGCGAGGGCGGTGCCAGGCCCGAGTTTCCAGAGCCATAGTTGCTCGTTATCGGGGCGGCTGACCGGGAAGACCTGTTGTCTTTAACATTGATAGTGACCTTTGTACCCTCCACGAGTTTCAAAAGCGCCTGTTGTACACCTTCTCCGCCGACATCTCGGCCGTTTGTAGTTTCTCTCCTTGCGATCTTGTCGAATTCGTCGAGCACTACGATGCCGTGTTCCGTCGCCCTTGTGTCGTAGCTTGCTTCGATGAGGAGTCTTTCGATACAGCTCTCGACATCCTGGCCTATATATCCGGCTTGTGTGAAGGAGTTGCAGTCGCAGATCGTGAAGGGAACGTTCAGCTTCTTGCTCAGGGTCCTAGTCGCAGTCAACCTCCGGGCACGTGAGGGCAAAGACAATGACAGCAACAGAATATAACGAACTCTAGTATATAAGTCTTGCCAACTCCCGTCGGTCCTATCAACAACAAGTTGGACTTGTCTAGTGTCGTATGGTGAGGTACATCTGGGTCGTCTGGAATATAGAAATCGGCAGCAAGGTCTATATGTTGTTGGCTCTGCTGTATGGTCTCGTGGTGGCCTGGGAACTCATCTAGACAGGGGGCGCAGGGCATTTCATCAGCACATGGGCAGGCAACCTTGGAAGGGTCTGGCCTTCGCGGTGACTACCTACCCTCGACGGGATGCGGTTCACGATGTGATTCGTGGTAGCGGTCTCTGTCGCGCGCCCACTTCTGCCGTGATACCCTCTCCAGAGCCCTGATCTCCAAGTCCTGGTCATGCTTCCTCCTCCGCAGACCCTGGTAATGGTTGAATATGGTGGAGCATATCGTCTTCTTGGCCCTGTCCTGGCCGACAACATACTCATCGACACGCGCCTTCAGGTCGCGGGGATAGAACTGTGGAACGCCGAAAGTTGGCCTCGTAAACATGGGCCCTCTGCCGGTGTCCTCGCTGGGGTCATAACTGCTGCTGAAACCGCCGTTGAAGTTGTGTGGTCTTCTGGAGATTAGGGCGGTGGCAGAGGCAGAGAAGGTACGGTCTCTAGTAGTCCCGGCCTTCAAGGGGCGCGAGAGCCTCCGGTGGGTCTGGGATATGGACAAGAGGTGTAGCCGCGGCCACAAGGCCGCCGACGGGTTCATAATGAGGACGCTGGCATGCTACCTGGTCTGCGCGGTCTATCGCAGCAGCAACTGTAGGCTTGGGAAAGAGAGTACTGGCCTGCTACTTGTGGAGCAGGTGGGGTTGCCGCCTGGACGGTACACACAGTAGTAGCGATGATGGATGGTGGACTGCAGTCTATGGCTGCTGATGATGGTGGTTGGTGAGCCGGAATGGTGGTGTTCACGGGCCAAGTACGAGCAGCCGTGAATCGGCCGTCGGGAGTCGTCATAGCGGGGTTCTCCTTGCCAATGCAGCTAAGCCGGCCACGGATTCCCCATCCCCAAAGTTTACCCCAGGTCTAATAGCCCCTCGAGGACAGGGGTCTTGGGGGTTGTTTTCTAGCATAGTGTATAGTAGGTGGGTGGGGTGATTCTTACAGTGTCGTGTCTTAATTTCTGAAGAGAAACATTGCAAACAAGGTGACAGGAAAGCCTTCTCTTCTTTCAGAGGCTCTTAAGATCTGTATTATTATGGGCCCATTATAGGAAAATTTGGATGCTATCTGCGGCTGCGAGGGCGGGAGGAGCGGCTAGCCTTGGAATTATGCCCTGTGTCACTTTTTTTGTGCCAGGCTTGGTTTCATTTTACTCTGGTAGGTATCCTGTTCGCCCCCTGTCAGGTCTGTTGGGTTTTTTGCCTCAGTGGATTTGCGGCCTGATGGTGTGCAGATACCATGCCTGAGGTACCATGTACAGGCTGCCATATCCTATGTATAGTCTTGTTGAGGTGCAGGGTAGGAGCAGAAGCTGCAGGAATGACTGGCATTGGGCTTCTCTGGGCTCTTGCACCTTGTCATGGTGGTTCTTGGTGGTGTTTTTTGCGGGGGTTTCTTCTTTCTTTTTTACCTTTTCTTTCCGTTTTTCTCGTTGAATTCGTCGCTGCCGCTGCCACCCGACGTCATCCCTAGCGTTGATTCGGCCAAGAGCTACACAGGACTACGGTAGTACCCCATCCGTATCTGCTGTATCTCCAGCACCTGTCAGGGGCCTGTCCTTCCCCTCTTGAGCATCATATACCACAACGAATCAGGCACACCAGAGCTCTGCAGATACATAACACACAGCATTTCTGTATTTAAGTCAGGAACAGCCCACCCTGGTCTGTCTGAACTCCCAACTATCCTCTGTTGTTCCTTCTTTATTCTTTCAGCTACCGTCATCTTTCAAATCGCCAGGAGCCTTACCTGAACGAACATCTGGAGCTCGTCTTTCCTGGCCCGCGGACAACCCAAGCTTGCATATACCATTGTACACACCCTTGCCACCGTCCCCTGCAGCTCGATTTTTCCGAATAGACCATCTCCTCATATTGCCATTCTGGGCACCAGGCAATATGGCTGAAGTTGCTGAACAATCGTCCAACACTCTGGTCACCAACGGTGGTGGTCAGAGCGCCTCCCACGATATTCCCGCGGATGGCACTGGTGAGTATTAATTTTGGCTTGATCCTCATGGGAGCTTGCTTGGCTGACACAAGCTCTCAGGTGTACTCTCAATCGACCCATGGCTGTCTCCATTCCAAGACGCCCTCAAGAGGCGCTTCTCCAAAGCCAAGGAGTGGATCAAGACAATTGATGAGACCGAAGGCGGTCTGGCTCAATTCACAAAGGCACGTAGCTCTTCTTCTACCTCGAGTCCATGGCCTCGCTAACAGCGTTTGTCTAGGGTGCCGACACGTTCGGCCTGCACGTGGACAAGAACAATAATGTCGTCTACCGGGAGTGGGCGCCCAATGCCCAACAGGCTTTCCTGATTGGAGACTTCAGTGAGAGACATCAGCCCAATCGTCTATTTTGACAGTGTACAATGCTGACCGAGCGCAGATGGTTGGAACCGGGATTCTCACTCGATGAAGAAGAATGAGTATGGAGTGTTCGAGATCGTTGTTCCTCCCAACGAGCACGGCCAGGTCGCTATACCTCACAATTCTAAGATCAAGGTGTGTGATCCGTCCCCCCTTCGCTCTCGTTACACTGCCAAGCGCTGACATGGCCTCCGGAAAGATCTCGCTGGTCCTCCCAAGTGGAGAGAGGATCGACCGTCTCCCCGCCTGGATCAAGTACGTCACCCAGGATCTGTCTGTATCGCCTGCATACGACGCCAGGTTCTGGAATCCCCCTTCTGAGGAGAAATATGTCTTCAAGCACTCTCGGCCCAAGAAGCCTGAGAGTGTCCGTGTATATGAGGCACACGTCGGCATCTCATCCCCGGAACTCCGGGTAGCGACGTATAAGGAGTTTACCAAGAACATGCTCCCTCGTATCAAGGGACTTGGTTACAACGTCATCCAGCTCATGGCCGTCATGGAACATGCGTACTATGCCAGCTTTGGGTACCAGGTCAACAATTTCTTCGCCGCGAGCAGCCGGTACGGCCCTCCCGAGGACCTCAAGGAGCTCATCGACACAGCGCACAGCTTGGGCCTGGTTGTTCTTCTGGACGTCGTCCACAGTCACGCTTCCAAGAACGTTCTCGACGGGCTGAACGAGTTCGACGGTACAGACCATCAGTACTTCCACTCGGGAGGCAGGGGCCGTCACGACCAGTGGGACAGTCGGCTTTTCAATTACGGTCACCACGAAGTCATGCGGTTTCTCCTGAGCAATCTCAGGTTCTGGATGGATGAGTATCAGTTTGACGGTTTCCGGTTTGATGGCGTGACAAGCATGCTATACCTCCACCACGGGATGGGAACGTAGGTCATCACCTTTGCCCCCCCCCCCTCCCCCGCCAGCCCACCTCGGCTCAGTACTGACCTTCCGCTAGTGGTTTCTCTGGTGGCTACCACGAATATTTCGGCGCCGACGTGGATGAGGAAGCTGTAGTGTATCTCATGCTGGCCAATGAGATGCTTCACGAGCTATACCCAGAATGCATTACAGTCGCGGAGGACGTGTCTGGTATGCCAGCACTCGGCCTGCCGCTGTCTTTAGGAGGTGTCGGTTTTGACTACCGCCTTGCCATGGCCATTCCAGACATGTGGATCAAGATCCTCAAAGAACAGAAAGATGAGGAGTGGGACATGGCCAACATCTGTTGGACCTTGACCAACAGACGCCACGGGGAGAAGGCGATAGCCTACTGTGAAAGTCACGATCAGGCGTGAGTCCTCTCTGCCTCTCTCTTTCCTCTCTATTCACATGATGTAAGAGCACTGACTAACGTCGAAATCATCAGCCTGGTGGGAGACAAGACTTTAATCTTCCACCTCTGCGATGCAGAGATGTATACTAACATGTCAACCCTCACTCCAATGACCCCCGTCATTGCACGTGGCATGGCACTACACAAAATGATCCGTCTGCTCACGCATGCGCTCGGCGGCGAAGGGTATCTCAATTTTGAGGGCAACGAGTTCGGCCATCCAGAATGGCTCGATTTCCCCCGCGAGGGCAACAGCAACTCTTTCTGGTACGCGAGGCGGCAGCTGAACCTGACTGACGACCATCTGCTCCGCTACCAGTTCCTCGACCACTTCGACAGGCTCATGAACCTTTGCGAGGAGAAGTATGGCTGGCTGCATAGCCCGCAGGCGTACATATCACTCAAACATGAGGGAGACAAGGTCATCGTCTTCGAGCGAGCTGGTCTGGTCTTCATCTTCAACTTCCACCCGACCAACAGCTACACGGACTACCGCATTGGCGTCGAGGTGCCAGGCACGTACAAGATCGTTCTCAATACCGATTCCAAGGAGGTTGGTGGGTTCAACTCGATCGACGAGGACACGCGTTTCTTGTAAGTCAACAAACAGCTAGTGATTCTATGGTGCTCAGGTCGGACAGGAGCTGATGTGAATTCCTTGTTTCTTTTATTTCAGTACAACACCCATGGAGTGGAACAATCGCAAGAACTGGACGCATGTCTATATTCCTGCCCGGTCTGCTATTGTAAGTTATCAAATGACCCGCGCTATTTTTCATGTACTGCTGAGGCTGACGATTGTGATCAGGTTCTTGGCATCGACTCATCAGATACTCGGGCCCAATAGCCGTCGTAGGTACGCCGGACAACTACATCCCAGCCTTGAGCTCGGAAGGAGAAAGGGGGAGGGGGTTTGTTGGAGGGGGTTTGTCTCTTATTCTCTGTCTTCAGGAGGCTCAAAAAGGATATAAGGGCGCGGAGAAGCTGCGAGTCAAAACGTATGTCGGAGGAAAACTGGTTGTGGTTGTTTGCACTGCTAGATTGCGACCAAATCAGTGATAGATGAATTTGCCACTTAAATGAGATCGCTTTTCTCCAGCGAATAGAAAAGACGGCAGACCATGATCCGTCTGACGCTGTACAAAGTTTCACTTGATGCTTCTGTTTTTCTATAAAACTTGTTCCCGAAAAGTCCAAATAAAATGCACCATCAACGCAACGATTGTTATATAAATAAGCACAAAATGGAAATTGCAAAACAGTATGTCAATGTTAAGGTTGCTCTCTGGTAGACGGTGAATTCAGTGTGCCGTGCATCGTTGAGCGTTACTACGTAAAAGTCCAACCGGGTTGCTGGGCGGATCCCGGTAGTTTCCGCGTCACGTGCCGGCGCCTAAGGTAACGGAGCTTGAGTTCCCTGCCACTCAGCAAGCGAGGAGCGAAGTACGAGCGAGGAGCTCTGGTCTGCTGCTCCCTCCAAGGTTTTCTCGGAACGTCTCAATTTCTTCCTCAACCCGAACCAAGTAGCCCACCTCCACTCCCATCAGAAGTCGTTCTTCAATATCTGGAAAGATGTTTAAGAGGTCAGCAGACACCCCTTTTTTTACTTTTCGACATTCCCATCGCCCGATTGAGGCCAATTGAGCCGTGTGCAGACCTCAGACGCTGGCTGGCGTCGGAGAAAAAGAGGCGAGGACAGGACAGCAGAGCTAACCAACATTTTCCCGCAGCGGCATCAAGTCCTTTGCCCGCGCGAGGCCAACCTTCGTGGCTGCCTCTGCCGCCAGGCGCGTTGCCCGACCCTCTCCCTTCCGATCATCCATCAGCAGCAGGTTCGCCTCTACATCCAGTGTTGGTGATGGCAAGATCTACCAGGTACGCAATCAACCTCGTCCTTGCGACGCGAACAGCCACCCGCTCGCCCGCGACCATAGCTGACAAAATACCTCAACAACAGGTCATCGGTGCCGTCGTCGACGGTCAGTTGCCAAACCCCCCTTCGATATGGGAGCTCAGCCAGAGACTTTTCCTCTTTTTACCCCGAAATTGTCTTCGCTGACCCCCTCTCCAGTCAAGTTCGACACGGCCAAGCTCCCTGCCATTCTGAACGCCCTCGAGACCACCAACAACAACCAGAAGCTCATCCTCGAGGTTTCCGTACGTCGTCGCCTCCGAGCCCTCTACCTCCCCCCATTTGACCCCTTTTTTGAGTCAATACATTCCAATTGCTAACGCTTTCCCTTTCTAGCAACATCTGGGTGAGAATGTCGTCCGCTGCATTGCTATGGACGGTGAGTTGAGCCCAGGCAGTCGTCATTTTTGTTGAAGTGGGTCACCTCTGACAACCCAGCACAGGTACCGAGGGTCTCGTCCGTGGTGCCAAGGCCAGCGACACTGGTGCTCCCATCACCATCCCCGTTGGTCCTGCCACCCTCGGCCGTATCATGAACGTCACCGGTGACCCCATCGATGAGCGTGGACCCATCAAGACCGACAAGTTCCTGCCCATCCACGCCGAGGCTCCCGAGTTCATTGAGCAGTCCACCACCGCCGAGATTCTGGTCACCGGTATCAAGGTCGTCGACCTGCTTGCCCCCTACGCCCGTGGTGGAAAGATTGGTCTCTTTGGTGGTGCTGGTGTCGGCAAGACCGTGTTCATCCAGGAGCTCATCAACAACATCGCCAAGGCCCACGGTGGTTACTCTGTCTTCACCGGTGTCGGCGAGCGTACCCGTGAGGGTAACGATCTGTACCACGAAATGCAGGAGACCTCCGTCATTCAGCTCGACGGCGAGTCCAAGGTCGCCCTGGTCTTCGGTCAGATGAACGAGCCCCCCGGAGCCCGTGCCCGTGTCGCCCTGACTGGTCTTACCGTTGCCGAGTACTTCCGTGACGAGGAGGGTCAGGATGGTACGTCATCCCCATTCCAAGTGCATTCGGGGAAGTCTTAGACATTCTGTACTGACACACATACCCCCCACCCTTCAGTGCTCCTCTTCATCGACAACATCTTCCGTTTCACCCAGGCCGGTTCTGAGGTGTCTGCCCTGCTGGGTCGTATCCCCTCTGCCGTCGGTTACCAGCCCACCCTCGCTGTGGACATGGGTGGTATGCAGGAGCGTATCACCACCACCAAGAAGGGTTCCATTACCTCGGTGCAGGCCGTCTACGTGCCTGCTGACGATCTGACGGATCCCGCCCCTGCCACCACCTTCGCTCACTTGGACGCCACCACTGTGCTGTCTCGTGGTATTTCTGAGCTCGGTATCTACCCCGCTGTCGACCCTCTTGACTCCAAGTCTCGTATGCTGGACCCCCGTGTTGTCGGACAGGAGCACTACGACACTGCCACCCGTGTGCAGCAGATTCTCCAGGAGTACAAGTCCCTCCAGGATATCATTGCTATTCTGGGTATGGACGAACTTTCTGAGGCCGACAAGCTCACCGTCGAGCGTGCCCGTAAGATCCAGCGTTTCCTGTCCCAGCCCTTCACCGTTGCCCAGGTCTTCACTGGTATCGAGGGCAAGCTCGTCGACCTCAAGGACACCATTGCCTCTTTCAAGGCCATCTTGGCTGGTGAGGGTGATGACCTGCCTGAGGGTGCTTTCTACATGGTTGGTGACTTCGCGTCTGCTCGTGCGAAGGGTGAGAAGATTCTGGCGGAACTGGAGAAGGACAACTAAGATGGTCATGTTGGCACTGTAGAATAAAAGGGGGAGGGGTCATTTTCGCATGGGGGAAAAAGGGAAACCCGTGTTTAGATGCCAGGATCGAGTTCACGGAGTTGTTAAAACGTAGCTCAATCAATTTCTCCTTTGTGAACTGTACCAAAATTTGAATAGGTATTCCGTGTCCATCAACTTTTATATATATGTATATCCGCCGTGTGACAGCATTTCACAGCAAGAAATTGAGCAAATGATGATTGTTGCGGCCCTTGGTGTGGGCCACAACCAATTCCGGCCTCCCAAAAGAGGAGACAAAAGCTTTTTCTTAGTGCAGTAAAAGCCGTCGAATGTCAAGGTAAGAATCGTAAACTTCTTCTAACAGCATACATAACACTTGCCATCTATTGGCGAAGAACCATATACATCTATATATGGGAAAGCAAAGCTTTCTGTTGATGAGTGGAACAGGACAGATCACACTCATCGATCAAGAACATCACAAAAAGAATCTTACCAAGACACAAATGACGTTCCCGTGAATCTTGGGAACACGTGAGGAAATATACATCTCATCGGGCCTTGTCTGGGGATGCTGAATTTTTATTTCGTTCCATCTCTAGTCTTGGTCTTTCAAGTATATTTGTTTGTGTGTGGATTGTCCCTCGTCATCTAGTTCTCACTCGGGCCGTCTCTGAGCTGACCACACTTGGTACCACCTCGAACCCAATGTGACTCTTCTTCTTCTTCCGCCTCGCATCGCCATACTGCTCATCAAACTTCCGCAGGGCTTTCAAGCTCTGCATGTCTTCCGAGATGCTGGCGGTGATGTCCTTGACGGCCTTGTCAAAGTGCCGCTTCGTTAACACACGCTTCTCTGGAAACGTGTAGGGGTCCGGTCCGGTGTGGTTGTTCTTAGCAGCGAGCTCCTCCTTTGCCGCCTCCATTGCCGCAGCTACCGCCAGGTTTTTAAGATCAGAGCCGCTGTACAGCTCCGTATCGGTCGCTAGCTTGTCCAGCGACACTGAGTCGTCAAGGGCCTCGTCACGGAGGAGAGACTGTAGGATGGCAAGTCTCGAGTCCTTGAGAGGCAAATCTACCAATATCCTCCTCGGCAGTCGCCGGAGGACGGCCTCATCCATGTCTTGTGGCCTGTTTGTTGACACAAGGATGAAAATTTGCTGCGTATTGATCGAGTTTGTGAGCCCATCCCATTCCCGCAGGAACTGGTTGATAGTCTCCCTGTAACCACCTCTGTTTGGCTGTCTTGCCCGTGAGCCTAGGAGGGAGTCGGCCTCGTCGAGAAACACTACCATTGGCGACATCTTCCGGGCGAGGGAGAAGACAGCGCGAACATTCTTCTCGCTCTGTTTCAAGGGAATCTCTCGTCAGCGTTTACATCCTCATCAAAGGAAGGAGAAAAGAAGGCGTCGTGAGTAGCCAGGAGGGGAAAACTTACGTTTCCTACCCACATATCGTTGATCGAGGCCGCAGATATTTCCAACATGTTTGCTCCGCTCCCCTTGGCGAGGGCCTTTGCCATTAGTGTTTTGCCTGTTCCTGGGGGTCCGTACAGCAGTGCGCCATGTATACGTTCGCGAGCCAGTACTCCGTAAGAGAAGGCTCTGGGATGTTGAAGAGAAAGAGTTGTCAACGCGACCAGCGAATCTCGAACGTCAGGCGGCGCAATTACATCATCAAAGGTTGTGTGTATGTCAGAGACATTTACAAGGCCTGACAAGAGTTTCTTCTCTTCGTCGTCCAGATTCATGTTCATGGGGTTCTTCCGGCGGCCCGCTGAGGCCTCGGGAGATACGTTCCCGAGTGAGATCAGGGTCTCAAGCGGGGATGGCGACGGTTGGGAGGTTGCAGCAGACTCCGAGGTTGCTGGGGAATGAATCCCAAGTATGGATATACGTGCTTCATCGACTCGCTTCATATGGCTGAGCGCCTCGGCCAATGTTGAAATATCAAGAGGTCCGTCCTTGTATCGTTGCACACCAGTAGCCTGTGTCGCGAGCCGATATATCCAATGGTTCGAATGTATGGACCTCGAGAGGTTGGAGATGAGGTCTTTCACGGCGTTATTCGATGCCAGATCTGAGTCCTTGGGGGGCAAAACGACACGAATGGGCTCGGCTTTCAGGCATTCCAACATCCAATTGATGTTGAGCAGATTGTCGTGAAGATAATCATCCTGCTCCCAGGATTTGAACTCGGGCAACTCGTCCGCCTTGGTCGAGAACACGATTGGATAGCAATCCTGCTCACTCAGCTCTTTGATCTTAGCGTGCCACTTGGCCGAGGCGTTACTATCATTCGATGCAGATCCGACGATGATGATCTTGGAGCCATCCTGCCACTGGCGGTCCACGATTGTGCGGAGTTTGCTAATGATGGATGAGCCCTCTGCCGTCATTGTCAATTCGACATAATTGTGAATGTGAAGGATAATCGATTGCGGTTTGCTCAGATCCACGCCCTTCGTCTTCCTCTTGGTGGCTGCGGAGTTGACGATCTCTTTGAGGACGTGCGTCAGCTTGAGATCATCCCAGGTGGCCCGATCATCAGCTGGCTGTAGAAACTTCATCACGCTCATCCCGCGAAGCACCAAGTCATCTTCGCCTCCCACTGTCGAGCTCGTGGCAGACGCAGATCGCCCATTGGCTCCGGCTGCAGAGTATCCCAGCATGGACATGTTGCCGCGGCCAAAATAGAGGGTTGACCCCAGGTACGGCCCCACAATCCTCGAGAGTTTGGCAGCATCCAGGTGTATGACATCCGCCTCGAGTTCCGCACCGATGTTGCTGACCATCTCCTTCGCCACGCGGCTGCCTTTGTAGTTGTGAACGTAGAGTAAGGAGATGGGCCGCCGCTTTGGATCCTTGGTGGCTCGCATGAGAGGAGCGGTGGCACCCAGCTCAGCAGAGATGGTCGAGACGAGCTCCCTCCCCATCGCCCGTTCTGGAGAGTCCGTCGCCCCCTCTACAGGCTCGGAGGCCCAGATCCCCCCAAGCTCTTTGACTTCATCCTGAGAAGAGCTGGATGACCGTGTGTGCTGCGATATCCTGTCCCATATTCTCTCGGTTGTGTTTGTGTGTGTTTCCAAGCCCGATATCTGTACGTGCTCGTCTAAAAACCAGGGCGGAAGGTTGACGGGCGGGAGACCACTGCCTGATCCACCACCATTAAGACCGCCTCTCCTTCTGCCGGAAAGGGGAGAAAATAGAGGCTGCCTGTTGGTCTCGGAGGTGTTTTCGGACGTCTCGGCGCTCGCAGAGGGCTGTGCACATGGTTCGCCCTCGCCCTTCTCTTTTCCTTCCTCGTTCTCATTGCCCTCTGGCTTGTCGGGCTTGCTTGACACGAATCGGACATGGCCAAGCCGGCCAGCAAGCGAATTTCTTGCGCTCACTGACCTATGGGACTGATCTCGACGTGCAGCGGCGAGGGCGCTCGCAGATGCTCGGAACGGTACCTGCGCCAGCGTCTGTGCCCGTAGACATCGCGCTGCAGGTAAGCGGGCCGCTACAGCATGCATTGGACGTCGGGAAGGGAGACGAGAACCCCAGTGACCATCTCGAGTCGTCGGACGGGGTGGATCGAACCTGGTCGTTGGGGAGAGGAGAGAGAGGGGGGATCTCCAGAGCACAGAAGCGGTGTCTTTGTTGAGAGGGCGAAAGTTTGTGGCAGTCGCAAAGGCGAGTCGTTACTTTTCAGGGCCACTATCCTCGAGCCGAATCGATAAGATTAGTGGGGGATCCCTGCTCTTCCTACAGACCTGGAACCACCGTGGCCATCCGAGCCAACATCCTTACCCAACAGCACCAACACAACGATTAAGACCACATAAAGAATGTCCCCAAGAAAGCACATGTTACAATACAGCTGGGCACACGTCCAACCTGGAAAATGGACCATGATCCCCACCGCCTCTTTTTGGGTTGATTGCTCCTGTTTTGGGATCTATTTCATTATCATTTTCATGTCCTCAATCTATCCCCAGCGTCGCCGTGAGAAACCTGCCGGCATGTAACTCCCCAAGCCTTCGCCGAGCACTTGCAAGAAGATGCAATTCAGTCATTTTCCGTCGACATGGTGATACCCTCCTTCTCTAAAGCGGCCCGGTATAGACTCTGCGCTTTCTCTAAAGCCACTAGAGAGGGGCCCAACAGCGTCAAGACAGCCTCACGGCCGCCGCCTATTTCTCTGAGCTGGCCTCGTTGCCCTGTTGCCTTGTGAATGGCCACAATGTTGGCCTTTTGCTCCTCTATCAACGTCTTGCGAACCCGTTCTGCCTCATCTCCTATAGCCTGGATGCGCATCACGGATCTCTTGAGTGACTCTACGTGATAGCCTAGCTCCTGTGCCCTGTCAGGGTCGCCTGAGAGGAAGGCATCCCAGAAGTGCTTGAGGAATTCCGTCGTGGTGCCATTGGTAAGTTTGGCCTTCTCGGCCAGTTCCTTCGGGACGCTCATGGGTGTGTTCTCGTCGGAGCTGTGGCCATACAGCTCTGCACGGCTCTGCCCCAGCCCGTCGAAGATTTGTCTCTCTGCCGCCTTCCTCGCCGCTCGCGATCCGACGTGTTGTGTTTTCTTGGGGGTATCTTCGTCGTCGTCGCTGCCTTCGTCAATCCCGAGACTGGAGTGGAGGTTAACGCCCCCGCCCTTGTCGAGGCGGAGAGTCTCCAGGTCAGAATTGATCCCCTTCAGAACCTCTGAGGGTACCTGTTTCTCATAGGCCCGATCCGGTGCGGAAGACGCTGTGTGCTGGTCTTGAAAGAACTGGCTCTGCTCCTTGATATTGAGCATGATCCTGTTCTCTTCTGCACTGCCTCCCAGATCGCGAAGGGTCAGCTCCCGCCACGTTGCATCGTCCGTGCCCTGTGCCGCCTCCGGATCCCCGTCTGTAGGCGCAACGTTAGACATGAGCCTCTCACTGGTGGCGTTCAGCACTTGTATGATGGGCACGTTCTTCCTCGGCCGCATCTCTACGTCCTTGCGGTTGCCGCTCTTGACGCCTCCTTGGTTCTCCTCGTTCCCCTCGACGTCGATGATGTGGGGAACATGCTGAGCGCCGATTCTGCTGGCGTAGGAGACCTGATCCTCAGCGGCGTCGTACTTGTCAAAGATGGGATCACGCCTGTCCGTATCTGCCACCCGCTCTCCCTTGAGCTGTTTGCACAACCTGGACAGGAAGAAGCGCGACCAGAACTCGGTCTCATTGAGCGGCTTCGGGACGGTTTCATCGTAGGCCCTCTTCACCACCGGGTGCTGATTGAAGATCTGCAAGACCTGGGTCTTGTCTATCGCCAGCTGGAAGGACTCCTGGCCCGTCTCAGCATCTTGCGTTGCCCTTGTCTTCATGGTGGGGAGCACATTGTAGGCACCGCGCTGCTGGTTACTCTCAATAGCATGCGCGCGGAGGAGGTTGGTGCGGGTTGACCAGAACTGCTTATTGAACTGGGCCCTCCCTATGGTGTCAGGCTTGTTCTCCAGAGCATCCCTATATGTCTGATGCAGGTCCGCGTTCTGCCTAAGAAGAGACCCCTGCAGCTCAATGTCCATCACGAGATGGTTGTCATCGAAGAGACGGGTGGCTGCTGCTGCCCTGGAACCAGCACCAGGATTCGACGAGCCATTCGTAGCAGCCGTCGGCTCATCAGCCGGCCGGGGTACCGAGGGGTCACCTGCCCGTGAGTCGGCGAGCAGCCTCGAGAGCAGGTCCTTGACTGCATTGGCCTCGGTGCGGGCGGTCTCTGGAGAGTTAAAATGGAAGAGATAGGTGGTTGGGTCACCGCCTTCGGTGGATGGCCGCTCAAAGATCTTTAGCATCACCTTGGGGTTGGTGTCTGGAGTTTGTTGCAGGTCTAGATCATTGGAGGTCAGTCAGGTCGTGGTGACGAGAGAGTCTGCGAAGTGTGAGGAGAGCTCACTCGTGATGCTCGCAACGGCCAGAGCGACGGTAGGCTGGCCGGTGCCAGGCAAAGGGGTCCAGGTGACTGAGACCTGGTCGTCCGAGATGGTGATGATACCATCCTTCTTCTTAAAGGCGGCTCTGCCCCTAGGCATGGCCATGTTGACAAAGTGGATGCAGGCCCAAGTGCTGCTCTTCAGGGCTGTCGCCTTGGGTTCGGCGTCCTTGACGTAGTGCAGCCTGGTAGTGTCATGCCGCGCGCGAGAAAGGGCTACCAAGTAAAGCAGGACGAGGGAGAAAGGGAGGAAAGACTCGTTGCTCCTGCAATCGCAGTCCTGTCAGTCCCGTCCGTCCCTTTCGGGGGCCTTTTATGGATGGATAAAATCTCCTAATACCCCTAGATTCCAGGTCTGAAAGCCCGTGTAATCAGATTCATAGTTGTTGTTGTTGTTATTGTTGTTTTGTAGGTTGAGCTTTCACCCAGGTCCAGGCAGCTCAACAAGCCAAAAGGGCTGTACTATGGTACAATGTACATGAGAGCGAATAAGGAAGCAGAGAAAGGGTTAGGGTTATTATGCTACTTGCCTTCTGGCAATGAGCCCTACAGTATTCAAATACTGTATGTATGTAAAACATACTGTGAAAAGTGTCCTATCGTACTATGGTACTTATTACCCAAGGCACAACTTTTGGCTGCCGATCGGATCGCCCTCTCTTCGCCCTTTGAACCTCGTGCCTCGCCTTTTCGCCTCTTGACGAAGGGTCAGCTGGTGGGCCAGGCTGGAGTCACCTTTTACTCTTCGATCTGGATTTTCATCGTCTGACCCAAGAAGATAGGCAGTGGATGTGTGTCACACCAAGTCTTGAACGGACACGACGGTGTCAGACAAGAACCGTGAACCGCTGGTGAATACATGGCATTTACTACGTACACGGTACAGTTGTAGTGGTTTGAGTTTACCACATAGTGGTAGAAGGATCCCAGAACGATCTGTAACGCCAAATGTATTGGCATGCCACGCTTCCTTGCCTACATTGAATTCTGGTCGAAATCGATGAGGATCTTGAATGGCTCTTGAGACTTTTACTTATGGTTACAACAGCCCAATTGACATTCTGCGTCGAGGTATTTTTAGAATGTGATCTGAAATTCAAATCCTGCGACTGGGATTTGCAGAACTTGCCCTAGACTCGAGTGCGGATGCGTTGTGGGTGTTTTGGCGGCAATCCTTCGGCTAAGTGAATTTTTGCGTCATATTGCTGCACCTGCATCTGCACCAGCAGGCAAAACCTCTCGTCAAATCGTCAGCTTTGACATCCCTCCAAAGCAGTAGGCTAAGAGCCACTTTTCCTTCCTGAGACACTTCTCTGGCATTTTTATTTTTTTGCCTCCTTCTCACCCTCTACACCACCCTCAAAGGCTCGACCCAGCCCCGGATGTCTTGCCCGTCCGCTATCGAGCTCTCAACTCTTCCAGGCGGAGCATAAAAACGAAGCCGGATTTTTGTATCCACTTCTCCTACACACACAGACCAGCGGTCTTCCTCTCCACAAGCCCTGTCACTTACAGGCCAGCTCCCCCTAGCTGCTGCTGGCATCTTCCTCTCCCCCTTCAACACCAACTCCCGCCCACCATGCAGCGACTCTGTAGAGCGAGCAGCCGCGCGCTGCGTTCAACACGCTCACCATGTGCCTCAGGGCCTTCCTACCCTTCCTACCTGTCTGCGACGCGCCGTCCTCTCGCCTTGTCCTCGCAACGTCGATATAAGAGCGCGCTCTACAACGCCCCCGACCCCAACGACAACTTCCTCCAGGGCGAAAATGCCAACTATATCGACGAGATGTACATCCAGTACAAGCAGGATCCCAAGAGCGTGCACGTGTCATGGCAGGTCTACTTCAAGAACATGGAGAGCGGCAACATGCCCATCTCGCAGGCTTTCCAGCCCCCTCCGAACCTCGTCCCTGCCTCGTCCGCCGTCGTGACCGGCCTGGCCGCCGGCGCTGGTGTAGGCATCGGCGAGGGCTCCGAGGTTGACAATCACCTCAAGGTCCAGCTGCTGGTCCGCGCATACCAGGCACGAGGACACCTCAAGGCCAAGATCGACCCCCTGGGCATCCGTCAGGAGTCCGAGGGCTTCGGAAACATCAAGCCCAAGGAGCTGAGCCTCGACTACTACCAGTTCACCGACAAGGACCTCGACACCGAGTACACCCTAGGACCCGGCATCCTGCCTCGTTTCAGGAAGGAGGGCAGGGAGAAGATGACCCTGCGCGAGATTGTGGACGCCTGCGAGAAGATCTACTGCGGCTCGTACGGCGTCGAGTTCATCCACATCCCCGACAGGGAGAAGTGCGACTGGCTGAGGGAGCGCATCGAGGTGCCCCAGCCCTTCAAGTACTCCCACGATGAGAAGAGGCGTATCCTCGACCGTCTCATCTGGAGCTCCAGCTTCGAGTCCTTCCTGGCCACCAAGTACCCCAACGACAAGCGTTTCGGCCTCGAGGGCTGCGAGACTCTTGTCCCCGGCATGAAGGCCCTCATCGATCGCAGCGTGGACTACGGCGTAAAGGACATCGTTATCGGCATGCCCCACCGTGGTCGTCTGAACGTCCTCAGCAATGTCGTGCGCAAGCCCAACGAGTCCATCTTCAGCGAGTTTGCCGGCACCTCTGCCGCCGAGGACGAGGGCTCCGGCGATGTCAAGTACCATCTGGGTATGAACTTCGAGAGGCCTACCCCGTCCGGAAAGCGTGTGCAGCTGTCTCTGGTCGCCAACCCCTCCCATCTGGAAGCTGAGGACCCTGTTGTCCTGGGCAAGGCCCGAGCCATCCAGCACTACAACAACGACGAGAAGACCCACCGCACTGCTATGGGTGTCCTCCTTCACGGTGACGCCGCTCTTGCTGCCCAGGGTGTCGTCTATGAATGTCTCGGTTTCCACTCGCTGCCCGCCTACTCCACTGGCGGTACCGTCCACATCGTCGTGAACAACCAGATCGGCTTCACCACGGATCCTCGTTTCGCTCGCTCCACCCCATACTGTACCGACATCGCCAAGGCCATCGATGCGCCCGTCTTCCACGTCAATGCCGATGATGTCGAGGCTGTGAACTTTGTCTCCCAGCTGGCTGCCGACTGGAGAGCCGAGTTCCAGCAGGACGTCGTCATCGATCTTGTCTGCTACCGCAAGCACGGCCACAACGAGACCGACCAGCCCTCCTTCACTCAGCCTCTCATGTACAAGCGTATCCAGTCGCACGAGCCTCAGATTGACATCTACGTCGAGCAGCTGCAGAAGGACGGCACGTTTACCAAGGAAGACATCGAAGAGCACAAGAAGTGGGTCTGGGGCATGCTGGAGGAGAGCTTCTCCAAGTCCAAGGACTACCAGCCGACGTCCAAGGAGTGGACCACGTCCGCGTGGAACGGCTTCAAGTCTCCCAAGGAGCTGGCCACCGAGGTCCTGCCCCACACGCCCACCGGTGTCAAGCAGGACACTCTGGAGCACATCGGTACGGTCATCGGCAGCGCCCCCGAAGGCTTTGGTGTCCACCGCAACCTGAAACGTATCCTTTCCAACCGCACCAAGTCCGTCGTCGAGGGCAAGAACATCGACTGGTCGACGGCTGAGGCTCTTGCGTTCGGTTCTCTCGTCACCGAGGGCCACCATGTCCGTGTGGCTGGTCAGGATGTCGAGCGTGGTACATTCTCGCAGCGCCATGCTGTATTCCACGACCAGGAGAACGAGGGCACGTATACGCCGTTGCAGCACATCAGCAAGGACCAGGGCAAGTTTGTCATCTCCAACTCGTCCCTGAGTGAGTTCGGCGCTCTCGGTTTCGAGTACGGCTACTCTCTGACCTCGCCCAACGCCCTGGTCATGTGGGAGGCCCAGTTTGGTGACTTCGCCAACAACGCACAATGTATCATCGACCAGTTTATCGCCTCTGGTGAGGTCAAGTGGATGCAGAGGACCGGCCTCGTCATGTCACTCCCCCACGGTTATGACGGACAGGGACCAGAACACTCGTCTGGCCGCCTCGAGCGCTACTTGCAGCTCTGCAACGAGGACCCTCGTGTCTTCCCGTCCGAGGACAAGCTGCAACGCCAGCACCAGGACTGCAACATGCAGATTGCGTACATGACGACCCCGGCCAACCTATTCCACGTCCTCCGACGCCAGATGAACAGGCAATTCCGAAAGCGTGAGTTTCCTTGATTCCTCAAGCGTAGACGTGCTGTATTTCAATCATAGCTAACACACGAGACAGCCCTCATTATCTTCTTCTCCAAGTCCCTCCTCCGGCACCCACTTGCGCGCTCTAACATTGAGGAGTTCACCGGCGACTCACAATTCCACTGGATTATCGAAGATCCGGCGCACGAGAGCGGAGACATCAAGCCTCGCGAAGAGATCGACCGTGTGATCCTCTGCTCAGGTCAGGTCTATGCGGCGCTGCACAAGTACCGCGCCGACAACAACATCAGCGACGTGGCCATCACGCGTATCGAGCAGCTCAACCCCTTCCCGTGGCAGCAGCTCAAGGAGAACCTGGACAGCTACCCCAACGCCAAGACTGTCGTCTGGGCACAGGAGGAGCCCCTGAACGCCGGTGCTTGGAGCTTTACGCAGCCACGCATCGAGACGCTGCTGAACCAGACCGAACACCACGACCACAAGCACGTCATGTATGCCGGCCGCAACCCTAGTGCGTCTGTGGCCACTGGCCTGAAGGGGTCTCACTTGAAGGAGGAGCAGGAGCTTTTGGAGATGGCTTTCACTGTGAAACAGGACAAGTTGAAGGGAGAGTAGCAGTAAATCGACAGAAGTGTTCGGGGGGGGGGGGGGGTAACAAGAAGGGACTGTTTGTACACGTATAAAGCGACACGTGTTCAAACACCAGCATCATCTCCTTTGTTCAAACAATTAAATGCTTCGAAATTACTGTAAATGATGTACCAATAAACATGAAGGGGTGGGCGAATGCAAAGGCTCTGTGAACCATGGCCCTAATATGTTTCATGCATCGACTAATTGGCCAAGTGAATGCTGTCCATATGCCGTTCACAAAATTCTTGAGACTGTGCACTTTTTGAGCACTTTGACCAAACATCTTTGGAAGGGATATGCAATGCCCCTCCAAATTAGCACTGATGTGTATATTGAAGAGATTACGAGCAGCGTTGCCGCTACAATCTAGTCCAATCCTACTTCACAAGCCTGGCGAGGCTTGCCATATGTCCGTTATGATTTGGTTGCGAGACGAGCAACACATGATTCTATTCCCTCAAGTTGTGATGACCTTCCACGGCTTGACCACCCCATTATCACCAGTCGTGATCAGCATCTCTTCGATCCCTCGGGCGTCAGAGCCAGGGTCGAACCTTCGGCACCACGTTATGTGGTTTACCTCGTGTGGCCCGTGTGAGTTTTTCACGGTAGTCAAAAGCTTCCAGTTTCGAGACCCCGCGGGGCCATCCATTGCCACCTCGGAGCCCAGAGTTTCACTCTGTTCCGAGCCGTTGGGCAATCCTGTTGGCAGATGGCCATTCTCGCCTGGCTGTGGCTCTTCCTCCTCCTGCTCCTCCTCCTCCTCCCTATAGATGGCAATGACACCATCACTGCCCGTACTGGCAACAAGGCCCGTTGAGGCACTCCATGATGCAGAGTATACATCCCGTGTGTGCGCAGCTGGCAAGATAGCTGTGCACTTCCACTCTTCCCTCAGGGATGCCCGCATCGTGTTGGGTATGCCACCCAGACCGGAGCGGAACATGGGATTTCTCCCATCCCCTTCCATTCCTGTCTCGTCGTCCTCTTTCAGTGTCCACACGCGTATTGTCCTGTCGGCTGAGAAGGTCATCAGGCGCGGGAACCGTTTCCGATCCGGGTTGGCCTCCCACTGCACACCCCAGACAGTCCCGTCGTGGCCCTCGAGGACAGCCACGCATACCCACTCCCCGTCGCCGTCCTCGCGCCATACCCTCACGGTATCGTCATAGCTGCTAGTCGCCAACACGTCAGAGCCATAGTTGCCCCGGCCCGTCCGCCCAGGCACGTCTGGGCACCAAGCCACACACTTGACATCGCCATCGTGCTCACTCAGAACTGCGACCGTCTCCCACTCGTCCTCGGCCTCGGTGGAGCCCACATCCTCCCATATCCACACGGACTTATCCCGACTACAGGTGGCGAGAAATTGCCCGGCGGGAGAAAACGCGGCGCTCTTGACTTCGGACTCGTGACCCTCCAGCACGAGTGTGTACTCCCAGTCCTCATCGTCATCGCTCTTGTCGGAGGAGTTGTCGGCGGCGGCTGTCGTCTGGGAGCGTGAGGAGATCCCATTCGCCCTCTTAATCTCGACTTCCAAGCCACCGCCGGCGGCATCCTCGGCACCCGAGAAGGGAATGTTGTCGCCATCCCAGCGCCACAGGGCGGCGGTGGAGTCAAAACTGGCAGTGACGAGGCACAGCTTGTGCGGGGGAAGGGCGGGCTTCCAGGCGGCTGTTCGAACGGAGCGGGCATGGCCACCAGCCAGAGTGCTGTGGGAAGAGAGGGTCGAGAGGGAGTAGACAGTAACAGCCTTTGCGTGGCATGTTGCGAGGAGGGGTAGGGTCGGGTGCGGTATCGAGGCCCAGGCGCGCTGGTTGAGTTCGGGTTTGAAGGGCGGTAAGGCTTCGAGCCGGACTGAGCCTGCGCTTGAGGAGGCCATAGTGGAGGTTTGTATCGGTAAAGGGAAAGGTATCGAGGTTTGTGTGCCGAGGCCAGCAGAGAGAAAACCCGAAGGAGGGAGAAAACTTCAATACTGGACGGACGAAAGAGGGGAGCAACCTCGGAGGCTACCAACACCGGAGCAGCAACGCTCAGCGTAAAGATGTGCCCAGCAAACAGGGTAAATTATGATTCTTTGTAGATTTTCCTCCGCCGCCGTCGTCGTTAGTGGGTGAGTTTGAGGGTGATACAGGCGTGGAGGCAGGTCGAGTTTGTGATCTCAATTTTTTGAGTTGCAACTGCATGCATAGCAAGATAATTACGTGGGTACATGCTGTAATGTACAAATGACGCAACGGCAGTGGCCATCAACCAGTTGCCCCTCACACACACAATCGTTCAGTATGTAAGTAAGTACCCCTCACCTCACTTCACCGTGTCGCGCTTGCCTCCTCACATAATCATCATATCGCGTCTCATGTCATTTTCACCTTCCTTGACTTATCACACATCACATCACATCTCACCTGCCTAAGTACTTAGTACGTGAGATATGCCGAGTCCTCAGCCATCGACCCACCCGGGAGACAGCAGCCGCCCTCCATTGCGAAGACTCCCATCGTACCAGCACATCAGTGAACCACTCAAAGGTGCTATTTATTCAAGCTCCACCCTTCGGACAGTGAAGAGCAGCTCTCCCACGACGATTACTTACCCATTAGCACGAGCCTTCTGTCGAGTCATCTCCGATGCACAAAGACGAACAGACGAACACCTGTTCGGCGCGAGATGGCTCCTCCTGCGGCTTGTCGTCTGACTCGGCAGTGCCATCGTCTGTGCTGATGATATCTCAAAAAGGGCATCTTCCATTCTACCCATCCATCCCTCATTCGCTCACCCTGGCATAGACTGGCACGCAGGGACGCTGTTCACGGCCTGTCCGTGCATTCACGATCGCCATCTCGTCAGCTGAGCCTCGTCCTGGAGATCCCTTCTCCATCTGCTCAAGGCTTACAATTAGACCGATCCCGGGCCTTCGACTCTTCTCATTTGGGTGAGGGCTAGCCTGATGAGTTCGTGCACCTCAGCTCGCCGTCGTCCCTGACAGTTGCACATGCCCGGTTTGGGCGCGGAGCACTCGAGGGTCTCGGACCGTGAGGCAAGGCACTGTCTTCCTGGTAATGCCATATGGGATATGACTCCAACTCACTGACTCTTGCCGCCGAGGTACTTGTCTCTAGCCTGGTCGTTCTACGCTTCGTAGTCAAACCGCAGAAGGGTTGACAACTTAGTTCACACGCCGTCCGGCGCCATCGTCCGTGCGCCCCTGACAGTGGATCACAAAAGAAGAAAAAATCGGCAGGGAAAAAAAACGACAGAGGCTACTGAAGCGCTGAGTGACCGACGCTCTGGGGCAGCAACCCCTTGGTGATTTGAGTTCCGAGAGCGCACCAAGGCGACCACAGCCGCAAAGACGCAGTTCAATCTCTTGAAGACGCGCACGCTTCTGAGCCTCATCGTAACTATTCAATAAATAGACGGCCGTACGTCCGGTACCACAAGTCAAAGCAGCTCCACCGATAGAGCGCTTTCAGATGTGCGGCGTGTCAATCCTAATCATACTAGCAGTGTACCATAGTACAGAAGCATTCACGGAGAGTCCCGAGGTCGAAGTTGAGTTACGACCCACCAAAAAGGACCAGGAAGGACAAGACCACTCTGTACCGCCGTACTCAATCCGTGACTGCGATTCGACGCCAAATCTTGATATCCCTGCTTGGTCTTACTGCTCGACCGCGCGATCGCCTAGTCAATCACTTTCTTCTTATTGGCAGTATGCGCGGGCTCGGACACGGATCGAAACAAACCATAGCCACATGCAGTACTAAGTAGTACAGGACATGGAGACGTGCCGAGGAGGTTGATGGACTGACTTCTCTTATCATCACCAATAATTGCGTGTTACTCTTGTCTCTGCCATGATCAACACCTAAATGATCCTACACAGGGGCTCCCCCCTGCTCTGCGTTGATGCCTAGACGGTGACAGGGTGTTTTTTGATACTACTCAAGATCTCTGGCAGGAATAGATCGATTTTCCTGGGTCGTACGAGGGCACGCCTTGAAAAGAGTTCACGTGATACGTTTACTGGGCCACGCTTGGGATGTCTCATAGGGGAGAGTGAGCGGAGAGTGAAAGAGGGGAGAAGAAGAGGAAGAAGAAAAGGAGAACGGGAAGAGGAGGGCAACGGGGGAAGAAGAAGCACCAGCAGTGTTGCTTCTCGCGTTTTTTCTTCGTCTGTGGTTGGAACAGGTCTCAGACTTTTCTTTTTCCTAATTCCCGCAGGGTTGCTTTCTCTGCCGCTCCTACATACTTCTCAGGACTTGGCCTGTGACCCACGACTGGAACTATTCGGTTTGCTCGGCTCACCACAGCTGCACACCTCGGCGACCCAGAACACTGACCTCATCCAGGATGGCGTCTCGAGATCTAAGACCAGTGCTAACCACTCGCATACGCATCAACTGTACTCTCACAAGAGAGAGACTCGGCCCAAGACACCCAGGACTGGCTAGCCCAAACCTGCTCAGGCCGTTCGACAGACACACCAGGACGCCACGAGAGGAAACTAGTGCTTGCTTGTTTTTGAGAATCTCGGCACTGTCGCCACTTATTGACACCCTCGACGCAGACTTGCATCCGGGAGCTTCACGGCAGGGGATAACAAAAGAGTGTCTTACTCTACGGTCACTCACAGGTTGTCAACCTCTCAACGTGCCGTCATCCCAACCACTTTTCTCCCTTGGTTCCAGTCACGTCCACAAGCGGGAGTGCCATAGTGGCAACCTCCCTGCTATGTGTGCCTCACCGTTGTTCGGCTGGTCTGAGAAGCTCTTTTCATGCCGGACTCGTATCTCAGGAACAATGGTCGCCCCACGCCGCGACGAGCGGTTCGAAGGAAAATCACCCCTGATTCAGCAGGCCCCCCCTCAGATTACCAACACAGAGAGAGAGAGAGAAAAAGAGAAACGCACTACCTCTTTAGCTGTTTTGTTGATCCTTGGGAAATTTTGTCGCCGTTTTCCCCTCCCCACAGACTTCCGCCCTTGGACCTTCTCGGTAGCGCCTCAGATCGGACCCTGGACTAATAGCCGTTGTTGTCCGGCTCGTTGGCCAGGACTCCCTCATCCGTCACCTCGGGAGTAATAACGAACGACAAGAGTAATCTTTGCACTTAATATTCTGTCGGCCGTGCCATCTTGTCCGGTCTGGCACAGAACATTTGCTGGCAGATCTTCAAGCGGAGCCCCTTCCAAATCAAGGATGACCGCCTAGTCATCTGCACGTTTGGACCTTCTGACGTCCCTTGTGAGAAGTGCCAGCAGTCGACGGGGTGTGGCCGGATATCTTTTGAACTTGTATATCATCATCCATCCTGAAGACGCCTCGCTCTCTGTCCCTTCCCCGCCCTCTCTTTGTCTCCCTCTCAGTTGAGGGAACGGTCTCGGTGTGCCGTTTTGGTCTTTCCACTGCGTTCTTCATAGTGTGACCAACGCAACTAGACATCTTCTTTGAGGCCTCAAGAACACACCCAGTTTCCCGGGACGAAAATTCGACATCATGGTCCCAGACACGTCGTCTGCCGACCAGCTTCTTGCACAATGGCAGGGACAGATCGTGCCACGATCCTTCAACGCGGGCTTTGTGACGCTCAGCTATGTCGTGAGCCTGATCGGGGCTGCGTCGACACTTGAACTGATCAATAGGAGGACGGCCCCCAAGGGCAGGATCAACCAGTATGTTTTTCTTCTCCCTCGTGCTGTGACAAACCTACAAGGCTGGACTGAGGACGGATTCAGGCTGACGGATGCGCCGCAGCTTGCTGCTCATCTCTGCAGCCGTGACGATGGGCGGTATCGCCATCTGGTGTATGCATTATATAGGAAACCGTGCCATCGATATTGGTGACGGAAACCCGCAGCTGCAGATTGCCTACTCAGGCGGCTTCACTGCTCTCTCCTTCTTCATGCCCATCATCGTGCTCCTCGCCGCATTTGTTGCCATCGGTACCAACGAGCGGGTCTCCTGGTGGCGTGTCGCCGTCGGCGGGACCCTCGCAGGAGCTGCCATCTGTGGCATGCACTACCTGGGAAATGCGTCCATCAACAACTATGTCTGTATCTATAACGTGCCCAACGTCGTTGGAGCAGCCCTCATCGCCGTCGCGGCCAGCATCATTGCCCTCTCGGTGTTTTTCGTCCTTCGGTCTTCGTGGACCAACTCGTGGTGGAAGAGAGGCATGTCTGCGGTGTTACTGGCCGGTGCGGTTTCGGGAATGCACTGGTGTGCCTCTACTGGGACACAATACAAGCTGGTGTCTCTTGCCGGGACCGATCAGCTGTCGAGAAACACCACCGTTATCGTCGTCATCTGTCTGGTAAGCAGTCCGCCTGGGTGCTATCACCTTCATCCCCCCAGCATCGCCTCTCCCGCTAACCTTGGAGCGTGATTTCTAGTCGATAGGGGCCTGTGTCATCATGGCAGGCTTCGCCATGTATGCTGCACGTCTCAGGCAGCATTATGCCAGCAAAGCACAACAGGTGGTGTTGGCTGCAGCTGTCTTCGACAAGCACGGCCGCGTACTTGTCAGTACAGACGGCCTGCTGCCGAGCGAGAAGATCACCAAGACCTTCCTGGAGAGGACACCGCAGGATTCCTTCACTGTCGCCCATCCGTTGTTCCACTGGGTGTTCCAGGTCTCCAGGAACTGGTCCAGTATCACCAGCATCATCGGCGGGATCACGAACCACCTTGGCCACCTCCCACACACTGGGCGCGACAATATCAGCGGGGACATCAAGCTCATCACGGACCATGGCGAGCTGATCGAGAACTATGATATCATCTTTCGCGAGCTCTTCTGCGCCGCGGCGGCAGGGCTGGCGGACCAGCTCAAGACCCCGCTGACCAACGTCGGCATCCTCTGGGACCAAATCATCGCGACTGGTGGCGGCCATGCCGTACAACAGGCCCCGGTGCGCCGGTGCCAGCAGGATGTCGAGCGCTCTGTATCGGAAGGGGACAACCTCGGCTCCCGCAAAGAAAGCCTGCCAGAGGGCCCGACCACGAGCGGCTCGGTCAGTGAGGACCAGGCCGAGAAGGGACTGGTCCGCCAACAAATCTCTGAGCTCGGTCGTGGCAGTCTCATGTTCCTCGTCCGCCGCGTCGAGAGCAACAGTGAAGTGCAGGCCCTCACGGCCGCCGGCTATCGCTTCGCAGAGCTGCACCAGGTCAGCGGGATCATCGGGTCATCCATGCAGATCAAGACGTGGGGCTTCGAGGACAAGCTTCGGGATATGGCCGGCTATGCGGAGGAGAACCGAATTATGGAGCCAGGCGTGCACGTCGCCCTCTTTGGTGTACGGGCCCGGGTGAACAATGCCTACGGCTTCGACGTCCTAGCCCGGCGAGATGCACGGAACCTCCTCCCGGCGGTGCAGATGCCACTGGCCCGGCTGGACGCGTGGCAGCTGACCTTCCTCCGGCAGCTGGAACGCATGACCCCGAGCCAGATCGTCAGGAGGCTCAACAGCCTGCAGAACCTGTCGCCCAAGGAGGTGACGTTCGCGTCACAGCTGACGGACAGCATCGAGGCGCTCCGCGGCTGGCTGGAGGACAAGGTGTTTGACGAGGCAGTACTCTGCCCCAGAACAGTGGAGGTGCCGTGCCGACCCGTGTCGCCAGGGTCGGGGCCGGGCACATGTACCGTCATCACATTTAGGATCGTCATCTCCATCCATATGCACGTGGAGAGCCCACAGTGCGGGTTTGTGCCCCTCAACCTGTTCAAGGTGCACCAGCTCGTGTACAAGGACTCGCCCAACCACCTGGTCTTCACCAGGTCGGTGCACCGCGACATCGCTCCCATCATCAACGCAGTTCCCCTGGCAACACACCCGACGAAGCCGAAGGCGCTGGCGCTGGGCCACACACGACGGACCTCGGTGCGGGACGGCAGGATAACGGACAGGATCTTCCGCCTCCCTCGGCCGCACACGTCGGGCGGCAGCACAAGAGGCGGAGGCGCGGTGGACTCTGACGGCAAGCCGATCCCGATGGTGCTCCGGCGCATAGACTCAGGCGCCGCCTCGGACCAGACGACGTCGACGCTCAAGTTGTGGAACGGACGGCACAGCGGCGAAGAGACCAGCCCCGGCTCAGACCACGCAGGCTACGAGCGCAGCCTAGGGTCGTCGCCGCCGCCGGCATACGGTACAGACGAGCAGCAGCCGCACACAGTACCTCAATCTCCAATGTCAACCGCTTCGTCAGCGTCGCCAATGCCATACCACCACCACCACCAGCAGCAGCAGCACCACCATCACCACCACCACCAGCACCAGCAGCAGCCGTCGTCCTTTGGTGGTATCATGGTGTCGCAGGAGATCACAGTCAACGTGCGGCCTGCAGGGGATATGTCGGATGTACCAGCCCGCCATAGCCCTGTGAGCAGCAGGCACCGGTCAGCTGAGCAGTCAAGACCACTGATCCAGCGGCGGGGAAGCGAGGGAGGGCCCCAATACCACCACCACCTTCACCAGGCGGGGCCGACAGGAGAGGCGAACACTCCGTCGCCGGCGGAGATGAAGAGGCCTGGGGCTGAGCTGGGGACAGCGGCTGCTGCTGCTGCTCATTACCCCGGTGGGCCGTCGGCGACTGTGAGCAGCGGAGGTGGGGTGCCGACGGCAGGGATCGAAATGAAGCCGCTGGCGGCGCATCGGACGAGCGTACACATTGGGGCGGGCGTGCAGGTGTCGAACGTGGAGGCGGAGAAGCTGACCGAGGTGCCGACCTTTGTAGACGAGTTGGTGGGGTTCTGCGTGGAGGCGAGGTGAGGATCATGATGAAGGTGTGAAGGAAGATGAAGAGGATAAATTGAGATTCATAATGTATGATTGATTCACGGCCCCTTGTGCAAGCTCAACTCTATTGTGGTTGTGAGTGGTGTGAAGCGTGTGTAGTGGGCGTTGTATTATTATTATTATAGCTGTTATGATTATGATGAATGATTAGTAGTAGTAATAGCCGTAGCAGTCATACTAGTATTATCATCTTTGAAGACGCAGCCACCTCTCCTTTTCCTCGCCCGTACACATACATAATGTGTCTTTGTCAGCCACAAAATCTCCGTAGGATGATAGTTTATACAAATGTACATTATTGACACAACATTACTTGAAGTATAAAAGTAACAAGTACATAATCAATGGCAAAGACAAAGACAAGAGGATGATATTATGGGCGAGGTCGGAAAAACTGGGAGGGTGATGAAGAAATGATTGGAGGATTTTCTTCCCGCCGAAGAGCCGCCGGGACATGGCAGTACTACTGACGGTACTACTGCACTACTTTATTTTCCTTCAGGGGGACGTCGCCCCAGGGGGGGTTCAACGGGAACCTTGGCGGGGGTGGGAGGCCAGGTTGGGGGATTGCCCACTCTGCCCACTGTGGTTTTAGTGGGGGGAAGGGAGGGGAAAAAGGGCCCTGTTGGGGCACGGTTTGTTCCTGCGGAGGTCTGCCACCCCCAGCTTTGCCCGGCCTGCGCAGGATCACCCAACTGGGCAATCCGCAGGCGTGGGGTGAAGGAAAGCTTAGCAGGGATCGCTTGTGTACTATCACAATTACCATAGTGCTGCAGACTATGATGGTGTTTCTCCAACAAATACATGTCTAGAGAGGGGCATTTTTCTCTCTCATTGGCATTCTTACCCTTTTTTTTTTTTTTTATGATTTATTTTCTTTCTTTTCTTTTCTTCCTGTTACCTTCCTTCGGTCTCTCTATGTGTCTTCTCTTTCCTCCTCGTCTCTCCTAAAGACATAAATACTGTTAATCCTGGGTTGGTCACAAATAACGCATACGATTAAAAACGAAAGAAGGCACTGGGAAAGATAGGAAGGAAAAGAAGAAGAAAAGAGAAGGGTTGGAAAAAGGACACTCTCATAAAGGTACTGTGTGTATCAAAATCTACTGACACGGACAATTATCGGGGAGGGTCAGTCTTTGCTGGTGAGCACTCGAGGGCAGGAACAGTCCGTCCATCAATTAAAGCCCACAATTCAACGTCATCGTCCTCCACCCTACGCCTCGTCCTTCCCACAAACACACACTACAGTACACTACACTTACTCGAGTACACCTGAAATCAACCTCCCAACGATGTTGTCCTCCTAATCCTCTCCTGCAACAGCATCTGCTTGCCACCTCATCCTCTTCCCCTCCTCCTTTTCGTGAGTGCCCATGTTCTCGAGTATCCCCTCGCTTCTGTCGCTTGTCAGCTTTGAAGTAGCTAACACAGCCATTTCATTTTTTGGAAATAGGAGTCTTGGTCAATTTTTTTTCTTTCTTTGAGAGACCGGGCGTGCTTGCTCACCACCTCCCCTTAGAGGTTCTTGTGCTCGCCCCCGACAAGGGCTACCTCTTTGCGACCCCGGCATAAACACGCAAAGTCCTCTTCCTCCGCCTCCTCCATCTCCTCCTCTTCGCCGCCGCCCGCCGCCGCCCATAAACTCCCGAGACGACGTACAAGATGCCGGCCTTCACAAAATCTGCCCGCCCTGGTCTATTACGGCGGCTTGCCGTTCCAGCCTCCATCGCCACTGTAGCAGGTGGTCTCGTTGTCTACGCATACCGGCCTCGCGAGATACCCGGCCACGAGCCACCAGCCGTCCCTCCTGTGTACGGCGCGGACGGCAACTTCAAGCCGCCGCGTTTCCCTCGCGAGAAGTCCCGTCTAGAACAGATAGCAGACCTCAAGAGGAGTGCAGCCGAGCCTGAAAAGGAATACGATGTTCTGGTGATAGGTGGCGGTGCCACAGGCTCCGGTGTCGCCCTTGATGCGGCCACCCGCGGTCTCAAGGTCGCCCTCGTCGAGCGTGACGACTTCAGCTCCGGCACCAGCAGCAAGAGCACAAAGCTCGTCCACGGCGGCGTCCGCTACCTCGAGAAGGCCGTCTGGAACCTCGACTACGCCCAGTACCAGCTCGTGAGGGAGGCCCTCAAGGAGCGCAAATACTTCTTGCAGACTGCGCCCCACCTCAGCATGTGGCTCCCCATCATGCTGCCCCTCGACAAGTGGTGGAAGATCCCCTACTACTGGGCCGGCACCAAGTTCTACGACCTCCTGGCCGGCAGCGAGGGCATTGAGAGCTCCTACTTCCTCACCAAGAGCAAGGCCATCGACGCCTTTCCCATGCTCAAGAGGACAGACCTGGTCGGCGCCCTGGTCTACTACGACGGTGCCCATAACGACTCCCGCATGAACGTCTCCATCGCCATGACCGCAGCCCTGTATGGCGCCACCACCGTCACCCACATGGAGGTCACAGGCCTGGACAAGGACGCCGGCGGCAGGCTCTGCGGTGCCAGGGTCAAGGACTTGGTCCCCGAGAGGGACGGCAAGACGGGCGAGGAGTTCAACATCAAGGCAAAGTGCATCATCAACTGCACGGGTCCCTTTACCGACGGCATCCGGAAGCTCGACAACCAAGACTGCAAGGAGATTGTTGCCCCGGCCTCGGGCGTGCACATCATCCTGCCTGGCTACTACAGCCCCGGCAAGATGGGCCTGCTCGACCCGTCTACGTCGGATGGCCGTGTCATCTTCTTCCTCCCATGGCAGGGCAACACAATCGCCGGCACGACGGACAAGCCTGCATCCGTCTCCAAGGACCCTCTGCCTGACGACGAGTCGATCAAGTGGATTCTGAACGAGATCCGGCACTACCTCTCGCCGGACATCAACGTCCGGGAGGGAGACGTGCTGGCCGCCTGGTCTGGGCTGCGGCCTCTGGTTAAGGACCCCAAGGCCAAGAACACCGAGTCTCTGGTCCGCAACCACTTGATCGATATCTCCGACTCGGGCCTGGTGACCTGCGCTGGTGGCAAGTGGACTACCTACCGCCAGATGGCCGAGGAGTGCGTCGACGCCGCTGTCAAGGAGTTTGGGCTGCGCACGCGCCCTGTGGTGGATGCCCCTCGTGTCAGCGGCACGGACATTATCGACGACGGCGCCATACTGGACGGCTCGTGCCAGACACACAAGGTCAGGCTGATAGGTGCCCACGGGTTCAGCCGCACCCTCTTCATCCACATCATACAGCACTTTGGTGTGGAGACGGAGGTCGCCAAGCACCTCACAGAGAGCTATGGTGATCGCGCATGGACTGTCGCCTCCCTGTGCAAGCCGACGGAACACCGCTTCCCCGCGCGCGGCGAGCGCATCTCCCAGCTCTATCCTTTTGTCGACGGAGAGATCCGCTACGCCGTCCGCCATGAGTATGCACAGACTGCGGTCGATGTGCTGGCCAGGAGGATGAGGTTGGCATTCCTCAATGCCCAGGCCGCCCTCGAGGCCCTTCCCAAGGTCATTGATGTCATGGCTGAAGAGCTCAAGTGGGACAAGAGGCGACAGGAGGTTGAGTGGAAAGATAGTAAGTTTCTTCCCTTTTCCCCCCCCCCTCCTGAACAGAAGAATCTTATCAGTGAACACACCGAGATCCAGCATCCAAAGTATGATCAAAGCTAACTCACACCCCTTTGAAGCTGTTGCGTTCCTTGAGTCGATGGGACTGCCCAAGCCCATGCTCAATGCAACGCGAAAGCAGGTCGAGCAGGCCAAGCTCGATTTCACCACCTCGGAGGAGTTCAAGCTCTACGCAAGACATAACAAGCCCATTCAAGATGCTGCCGAGTAAAGCAGTTCTTCATACTACCATCAAAGAAAGGGTGGATTTTTGGTGGTTCTCTTTTTTTTTTTTCCCCCTTTGGGGGGGGGGGGGTCGCCTATGAGAGCAATGTCAACAACTTTGGAGTAGGCGTTTCTGGATAGAGACCCTGTTCAGATCTTCTTTGATTTCTTTCTAACTTGCCGGTCGACGAGGATTGAGTCGCATCGGAGACAGGCAGACAAGACAGACGGTTACATTTATCAGGTTACATTTATCATAAGACAAGATAGAGAAGGAAGAAGCAGAAGGGGGTTTTTTTTCTCCTTTCTTTCTTGTTCAAATTGTATGCTACAAACATAATGTGCAAACAAACATAGAGCTTGGTTTCTTTACCATTTCGAGATTCCAAATCTTGTAATCACCCTTTTTCCTCAACGCTGTGCTTCTCTTCTTGTCCCCTGTTCCAGCCTCATTTTCCTTCCTCACTCCTGTGAAGGTTTTGCCGGCCCCAACTGCCATGGTTCCTCTTACACCGTTCTCTCGGCTCTTACTAAATACCGCTACCACTCCCATGTCTCACCTATATCTGTGAAGCCTGCCGACTCATCTTTTTCCCCCTTTCGGGACAAGGCGTTACCGTAAAACATAGCAGCACAACACAACACACATGCTGTTCTTTTTTTTCTTTCTCCATGTATATACATTAAAAATAAAAAAACGAAAACACAAAACGTCGACCCACACAGACGGGAATGAAATACTTGTGTAGGCACATTACTCTGGCAAACCAAAGTCCCTTTTTTCTTTTTTTTTCGGTCTGCGTAACAAAGGCTCCGATAACATGGTGGTAGACGTGACGTGATGTTGACTTGTGACTAACTGGGGACTTGGCTACCCGTTCTGGTTGCACACTTGTTCTTTCTGGCCTACTGAGGCCTACTGAGATCTATATGAAAGCCATACCACGCCATTGCCTGTCCCAGTATCAACCGGCTATGCCAGATGTCTCACAAGTGTGTCATGTCTTGAAAAAAGAACAAAGCTCTGTGTTTCTTGCTCCCCCCCCCCCTCCAACCCCCAAATGCGATTTCGGTCGGCAAAAGTATCACCCATTCTTGGGCTGTCCATTTTATCTGTCCGCCCATACCGCCCCCCTTCGCTGCCTAGGCTTACGGCGTGTCTCACTTGGGGGACGGACTGTGGCGCCGTACCACTTTTGACATCCTCTCTTGTGTGGCTGTCTGTTACTCTTTCGCTGTAATGCAGCCGTGTGTGTGGCTGAGGAATAGCCGCGTGTGTCTGGGGAAAAGCCGGGCAATGTCTGTATCTGGTCCGATCAAGGAAGCCTCCCTCATGTTGTGGCGCTGACCACAAGATACAATAATTCAGGTGCTATTTTCCAATTGCCAGGCGGTGAGGAAGAGGAAGGGGGGGGGGGGCGGCCGCTGGGGCGGGGGCGCCGTGTCGTGATCAAAGACGGCTTGTGTCGTACGTTGACAAGAAGATCGATCACCTCGGACCTTGTGGGTGTACATTGCCAGGCAATCCAGTGGCGTCAACGCAGATCGCAAGGAGACAGGTCAAGTTAAACCCAAGTTGACATGAACAGAGAAGTGGAAATCGAGTGGGAAGGAGATATGGTTTAGTCACATCATCAACGTAAAAATGGATTGAGGTTGCCCTCGCTGTCCCAAAGCCCCTTGGTTTCGCGCCCCCACCCCCAGGGCAAGAAGGACGCTGTCTAACAGATATTTTGTGTGTGTAAGTCATGATGCGTTATCCCTTCCGCCTTGAGACCTTAGTATCCCAAATCTGAAAGCCGTAACATGCAATTTTTTTTTCTTTCTCTTCCCTCGTAAACCACCTCTGTATCCCATAACCTAAATCACCCACGCCTCCCTTCATACCCTAGGCGAGTGGCAGACCCAGATAAACTCCACATGATGCAGATCGTGAAGGATGTGAAATACTAATCATGATGTAGCCCGTAATTCTCCCACAGCAAGAGATAATTTCATGATGGTATTAAGCACCCAGTCTTCATGATGAAAATAGAAGGCCAACAGGAACGGAAAAGAAAAGCAAGAAGGGAGAACCAACGCCACGCCGGGAGATAGCTACCGTACCGTCTATGTTGCTTCCCCCAATATGCATGCTTTGTTCAAAACGCCATATAAAAATAAAATAAAAAGAAGAAAGAAAAAGTCGAGGAGATATAGTATGAAAAGCGAGCAAGAAAGAAAGAAGCGGGGAAAAAAGAGAGAGATAGTTGCTTATCGCCCCTCGGGCGCGAAGGAACTGAAGCCAGCATAAGATGTTGGTGAGGTGGACGGCATCTCATCAGGCGGCGACCCGCCAGGGCTGAAGACTCGTTGCAACAGACTGCGCTTTGACCGGCTGGCACGTCTCTGGCGATACGATGTAGATGGCTCAGTATGTGGTGGCTTGTGGGCCAGAAACGCATTCCAGCCGTATAGGTCTTCATCGGGAGACATGACGGAGAAAGCAGCAACGTCCGACCCAGCCGCCGTACTATACGAGTGATGATCCGGCACATCGGCAATCGATGAGGGTGCCCGCAGGTGATTGGCCAGGTCGGTGAGCTGGACCCCCTGGAACGAGGTATTGAGTGGCTCGAGGGCGATCCTCTTCCTAGGCGGTGCTGTCGAGCTGGTGCTGCTGCTGTCCGTATCGCTGTCGGCACCAGACATGTCGGTGTTGATGTCGCTCGGGTCAGGCGTCAGGAACTCCTGGACGCAGTCCTCGCTGATGCAGTCCTCGCTGGTGGTGCTGTGACGGCGGCGGAAGTCCAGTGCTGACCGCAGCAGCAACGGTGCTGTCTGAATCTCAGGAGGCCTCGGATGGCCTGTATTCCTCAGGACAAGCTGCTGGGGCATGTTCCGGGACCGCCCGCGTCCGAACCTTCTCTCCTTCGTCGCTGATGGAGCAAAGCTAAAACCCGAGTTGAAGCTCGGGTGATCTGGCCACTGGCCTTTTGCGGCCACGCCACCCCTACGGCCCTCTTCCCCTTTATGAATACCCCAGGTGGTCGGTGCGTCGTTCGGCATAGACAGTCGTCGACCGGGATGAGGCTCTTCCCATTCTTGCATGTGCACATCGTCAGGAGGCGTTGCGACGGTCTCAAGGTAGGGTGTCGAATTCGTGGAGGAGAAGGAGGAGGCAGTAGGTAACGGCGGGACCTGTCGCCCTCATAAGCCGGCAGCCGACGTCGCCGCGCTGGTGATGGAGCTGCTGGTCGCTCGGTGCGTGGACCGGGACCTCCGACCCAGGCCCAACTTGGCACCCACCTTCTTCCAGCCGTTGCTGTGGGCGCTGATGGCCTTGTGAAGGGATCCAGGCTGGGCGGCGAAGGTCCATTCTGGGGTGGGTGGTGTTGTAGGCGGCGTCATGGGGTCCATCGTCGGTGGTGAGCCCGGGTCGCCGCCGTCATCAGTCATGTCCGTGTCGTCCCTGTCGCAGGGCTCGCTCATGGCCGAGGCGCCGTGGATGCTGCCAGCCTCACTCCGGCGGCTCATGTTGATGCCCAGGTGGGGGAGGAATGACGTCCTGGGGGACCGGCTGGCGTCTTGTTTGGGTGACATGTCCTTGGAAGACCGGGAGCGCGACCTGCCGTGCCTCGACTCGGAGGGCCTCTCCTCGGCGACGAAGACATCGTTCTGGGGGTGGGAGAAGGAGGCCACGAAGGGGACGAGCACGGAGTCGCTCATAAGCTCGTAGACGATCTTGACAGCCTCGTCAAGCTCGGACGGGTCGGGTGCCGGAGGCCCACAGGGGAGATTCAGCAGGCGGTCGCGTACGTGAGACGGGAGATTCACCTCGCGGGATCCGTAGGGCTGGATGTAGGCCTGGATGAGCTTGTGCCAGAGGGCAGTGAGGTGGTCGGGGTAGTCAAGCTGGCTTTGGTGGAACTGCAAGTGTGCGAGCCTGTAGCGGTCGGCCTCCATGGTGAACTCGAGGGTCTCGAGGCAGTGGTTCTGGGAGAGGTAGGCCATAAAGGCACCCAGGGTGTAGGGCTGCGGCGCCGAGTCTGTGAGGATCTCGTGTAAAGAGGGCATCCGGCTGCCGATGGACGGTGCCAGGCTAACAGGCCTGGATGAAGCCATATCGATTGGATCACCACCAGGGCGGTGGGCTTGTGCTGGTGGCTCAGGTGACAGCTCCCTCGGGGAGGGACTCGGGGTCAAATAGGACGGAGCGTAACTCAGTGCTCTCGATCTTGTCATATCTCCGCCGTGAGATGACAGTCAAGGTCACACACAACAGTGGGGACTCGGCACCCAGACGGAGATGCTTAGCACTTTTGAAGGAGACTCATCCGGTCCAGTTGATGGCTGCCTATCTCGTTGCGTCAAAACGTGGCAGGCTGACACGAGAGGGTCTGTCTGCAGGGTATTGGACTCGATCGCCGAGAGTCCAACCAGGAGGGGTCTTGTCCGGTGTAGGATATGGGTGCTTGTTGATGTAGCAGCGGGTATAGGTAGATTCCAAAGCGGGGAGGAAGAGGAGCGAGCAGTAAGTGTATCGCCTTCTTAAAGCGAGACGAGTCACAGCGATCCACACGACAGAATGGAGGATCTTGTCGAGAAAATAAATGAATGGATTTCGCCTGCGCTATCGTGTTGAGCGCAGTGTGATTGAAAGAATTGAGGATTGAGCCAGGGTGGTCAATTGGTCGTAACAAGGCGAAAGGTCGGAGCCAGAATCGGAAAAGCGAGGCTTGTTTTGGTGGATATTCTTGTCCTCGATGGTGGCGAGCGGAGAGAACGGAAAGGTTGTCGGGAATTGGGGATGCGAGGTAGATAATAAAGGACGGAGCCTATGATGGAACGGCAGTTGACTTCTGACGAGAGCAGGAGATGTTGTCTTGTCTTGGGCCGGGGCCAGGACGGCGACCAAGGAGGGTGGAGGAATGGGATGATCGACAGGTCGAAGGACGGGCGAGTAGAGAGCGAGCAATGACGAGCGACGAGCAATGAGCAATGAGGACGTGGGGGGTAATGGCGTCTGTGTGGTGGTGTTGGTCTTGGTGTTGGTTCTGCTGCTGGTGGTGGTGGTGGTGGTAGTAGTAGTAGTAGTAGTAGTAGCAGCAGCAGCAGAAGCAGCAGTAGTAGTGGTGGTGGTGGTGGTGGTGGTGATGTGTGGGAGGGAGGAATGAGCGGCCAGGGACGGGACGAGGGCTTCAGATAGGGTGTTTCTGGAATGCGCGTGGAAGACTCTGCGTGCAGGGGGGGGGCCCTGCACAAGGCGTTGGTGGTGGGCGACCTTGGTGGCAAGGAGTCATCCGGTAGGGGGCCACTGGGGATTTTCTTAGGGGGCAGGTGGGGCGGGTGGAACAGGCTGGACTGGGGTGAGGGCGGCAGGGCGATACAGGGGGCTGGCCCACTGCCACTAGGCCACCAGGTTTCCTGCTGGGCCCGCTGATCAAGGGCTGGCTGGTGTGTCCAGCCAGCAGCCAGCAGCGAAGAAGGGGGAGGTTAGCCTGCAGCATGCAGGGTTACAGCACAGTCAGGATGCACACACACATTCAGAGAGCGGGCCAGCAAGGTTTTTGGTTCTCCACCACCCACTCCACCAGCATCCATGGCAGGCCTGATCCAAGGCGCAAAAGGCCTCGACGGGTCTTGATTGGAATGCCCAAGTGGGCTCAGAGAAAAAGAAGAAGTGGGTCGGAAAAGAGAAAAAGTGAAGGGGAGAGAGGGAAAAAAAGAGAGAGAGAGAGAGAGAGAGAGAGAACGCGAGGCAGGGGAAGGGCGGAACAAGAGAAGGAGAGCCAGCCAAAGTTGAGTCGAGTGTGGGTGGGTGCGTGTGCGTGTGCGTGTGTGCGGCTTTGGCCGGCGCAGCAGCTTGCCGCCCGTCACTGCTACGGTAGTGTTGCATTCACAGGCCTCAGCTAGTTCAGCTAGGCCCAGAAGATTATGAATTATGGTCCTGACAACACAGCAATACACTTTTGCAGACGGCATGTACTGCGGTATGTCCATGTTATGGCACTATGAACACATCCTGGACAGATCTCCCTACTGCAGCGCACTAAAACACATCCAAAGCATACGTGTCCCAAACATGTCCTGCGCATCTCCAAGGAGGCAACCCCCGCCTCAGTAGGCTAGTCACGTTGGCATGCCGTGATGTTTTGGAAAGAGGGACACGGTAGTTGAGGACGGAAAGAAAAATAAGAAGAAGAAGAGTCGGCCTTCGGCTGTCATGACTGGTGAGAAACAAGGAGCGGAACGAGCACCGGGTGGGGGGGGGGGGAGACTAAGACAGACCAACTGACGGCGGCGGCTAATTTTCTTTGTTCCGGGAAGCCATGGCCTGTTGCGCGGCTTTGCAATGGACCCCGCGCCATATTCTGACAACAATCACCAAAATAAGGCGAGGAAGAGGAAACAACAGAAAAGCAATAGAGGGGAACGATGAACAGGTGGATACATGGATGAGACAGCGGAACAGAGGAATGGGGAATGCGTCTCAGGGCCCAAAAAAAGAAGTGCAGGTGGCCGCAATCCGGTCTGGTCACGGCCTGGTCGTGGCCCTGTAAGTAGTGGTATTGTGCATACACACAGTAGTACTGTACGTATACCACGGGCCAAAAGATCTGCGGCCTAACACAGCCGGTGCTACGGGGCCACGGTAATAATGACCACACATGGTGGTACTACTACTGCTGCTGCTACTCTGAGTATGGTAGTACTGCAGCAGCACGACCCAGCCCATTCCATCGCTTAGAGAGAAGGGTTAGGAGGAGCCTGGCGAAATACCACAATAGAATGCCATACCAGACCTTGGCAGCCAGTCAGTCGTGGTGTAGCGACTTGTACGCCCGCCGAATACGGAACCAGAGAAAAAAAGATGAGCAGGTGGCTTTGCACCACTTGTACGGTAGATTGTCATATCAGCACACATATGACATAGTCGACAGCATGGGTCCAGTTCGATCTGAGACGATCGTCTTGCGAGGGCTTGCAACGAGCAGCTTCCTGCGATTGACGAGAAAAAACATCTCGTCATCGGGAATGCCCTTTTGTTGTTTTTTTCCATCTTCCTATGTCGAGCCTGACAAGCTGACCGCGTACCCTGCCCCACGTCACGGCCAACGCGATGCCATAACCCACATGAAACTAAATTATTTGTGCCAGTCTTCGGGGCAAATTCTGGGCGCCCTCCCTTCGACCGCCGGGAGCGATCTCGGCTGAGAATTGTCCATCTTTTTTCTCACCATACGTTGTCTGCTACTGCCGTCCTCACTTACCGTCAGAGGTAAATTGAAATCACAAATACAAAACTTCGTGTGTTACCGAAAGCAGGTCTTACTGCACGTCTCGCTCCAAGAGCGCCACAACAGCCTGGCCTGGCCTGACATGTCGCAGCACTCGGCCGTGAAGGGCGGCAATTCCTGCATGTTTCTAGAGCGCCTGCCTCCCTTCCCGCCCGTGCAGCCCGAACGAAGAAAAAGAAGAAACAAAAACACCCCGCCAACCTGACAGACACGACCACCAGTGTGCGATCACGATTGACAAATAATGAAGGATAAATGACAAGGGTAGAAGGAGAGAAATGAGTGGACAAACAGCAAAGATGACAGGATGGGCACAAGACGGGACCGAAGGGGACAGCAAGAGGAGAACGAATGGGAAAAAGGTGCAAGGGGGAAGGACCAGTACTAGCACTACCAGACCATTACCTATGGGGCACGGCATTGCTGACCAATGAATTCATGCTGCCACAGTACCACGGTAGTACTGCTAATGCAGCAACGCCCGCCATGCTGCATGGGTAGAGAGCCCCTGTCTGCGCTAGAAGCCTCATGGAAGCACGCTAGAAGCCTTCGACTGGATTTCGAATTCTTTTCCACGCACGCCACACGCATGCACGTCCACACACATCCTATCCTTTTTCTTACTCCTCCTCTTTGCGACTCTCTCCACCACCACCACCACCACCACCACCACCTCCTCCTCCTCCTCCAACATTTGCCACCCAATATTGCTACCTCCAACTATATTATGACACTACATAGAGTGACACACCATCGACCTTTGCATTTGCTCGACTGATCGAGATCCACCCTCATGCATCACGTCGTCATCCATACTGCTGATGCGCAACGTCTTCCTCTCAGGAATGACCTCGTCGTCGTATTGCACTATGGGTATTACATAGCACTGTGGTAGTTAGCTCACTAGGAGTCTCTCTCTCTGTGTGTACCATGTCATGTATTTGTGTTTGCAAACCGTCCAGCACCTTTTTCAAAGGCCTCTTTCCCAAATGCCCACCCTGTCACGGCACCTGATCCAGCCGTTGGTCGAGATCGGCAGATCCACATACGCCCCCACCCTCCCCCGACCGATATTGGTCTCTGACGGTCCTGACAGAGAAAGCCCAGAGACAAGACATCATCCCCAAGGCCTACACCGCAGCTTTTCGCTTTCGCTTCCATGAAAAGAAATGGCAGCCTTTGGATTGGTATCGTTTGGCGAGCCCAAACCACTCCTGTCCCCCGCCCCCCGGCCCACACTCTTTTTTCTTTCTTATTATGGGAATGACCCTAAATGCCAGCCTCATCAGTTAGATTCAAGCCTACGCCCATTTCAACCGCCCCGGCCACGTACTGACACATCCTTGGTTGGGCATGCACGACGTGGCCCGCTCTGTCTCCTCAATATCTAGCGCTATTACCGTATGCTTCACCCTTGAAAGAGGCGTCTACTTCCATGTTCGTTGTCGACCAGATCCATTCCGCAAGCCGGGGACCGCTGGCCCATCTTCTTGTCCACTCGGACTGGGACCACGCTTTTCAGGCGCCCCGCCTTCACTTTTGTCTCTCCAACCCGAACGAACGGGGGAAAAGCAAACAAATAAAAGAGGATTCGACAGGCCACCATTGTGCAAACCACCCTTGACGATTTTCTTGTCTACGTTCCCATATACTATCCATAAACGGCACGGTACCGCGCCGCCCTTCGTCCCTCTCCCCTCATCACCATTCCCTTCCAGAGCGTTGGGGATGGGTCGCTAGCCAACTAGCGAGAAACTGTCGAACCGTCGCGCCGTCCCTGGTCAGACAAGCAGCAGCTCCGCGTCTCAGATAGTGCAAGCTACCTTGGGGAGACAGGGCTCACAACATGATCTTGAGTCCATCTCTCCTAGCCCTGCTGGGTCTGTACCACATAATGTCATGTCTTTGTAAGCTCTTCGGAATGCCCACCACTTGCCAGTGTCCTGCTATATGAAGGTGGAGCGGGTTATCTCGTACGACTGTGGTGTATGTAGTACAGCTGAGACCATTTTCAGTAATCCACTGGTTTCCTAACGACGGTGAAATATATATATATCTATATCTATATATATACACATATATATGTACCCAATGTAAAAAACAAACCAGAAAGGAATCTTCATGCCTGATCTTGTGCTGTAAACTCTCGTGCGATACATGGTTCAAACCCACGAGTGGTGGAGCGTAGATATGCTCTGAACCGCTGCTTTGATTTGACGAGACTTTGACACGTACCGTACAGCAAAAATAACAGTTTCACCACCGGGTCCTGCCGTGTCTCGAATACGGCCGACCGCATTGCTGCACGAGGGATCAGCTCGCGCGCGCGTGAGAGAAAGAGAGAGAGAGACAAATTAATCTCCAGGCTGGATCAGGCCTCGTCAGAACATCCTATCCCTAAACGGCTGCGTAATACCACAGGGTGTCTTGGCGTGCACACCCTCACTGGTGGATGCGAAAAGCGGTCAACCTCCTCCTCCTCCTGAGTCCTGAACTTAGCCTGGCGTGTAGTGACAGGATCGTTCACGGTCATGCCGCCAAACCCGACTGTTCCGTCCTGCGTTCCATCTTTGCATTCATGTGAGACTCGCAGGGACGCGCTGCGAGTCTCACGGTGGCATGCTCTCGATCGATAAGATGATTCACCAGCTTCTCCTCATCAGCACACCACTTTTTTGGGAGCCAGCCACACCAAGCAGACGTCCGAGCGGGTGCAGAGATCATGGTAAGGTCTGCCCGCCCTCGTCGCTGGTGGGGCAGGCTGATCCCCAACCATAACTCGAGCCCAGGGACAACGCCCACCCACACCGACATCTGCTTGCCCATAATGGAGGGAGGGGGGGGGGGCGGGTTGAGAGGCCGGGGAATGTCTACTGCGCAAGGGTACACAAGATGGACGCACCATCTGTTCCGACCCGTGTCATGCATCTGCAGGCCCTTCAGTCTTGATTGAGGCTGGGAGAGGGGCCATGATCAGGCACAGAGGAATGGGGATGGGAATGGGATAGGCGCGTGCATCCAAGGTGCCCAACACTGTGGCCCGCAGAGGGCGCGGAAGGGATACCTTGGCGCCGCAGCTCCGCCGTGTTTCTTGAAAGAATGCCCGGGCGAAGTAGTGTTGAGCAACCCTTGGCGGACGAGGCGGCCGATAAGGCGACGCTGCTTGGCCGCCGTAGCCGTACCGCAAGCCAGTACCCCGGAGTGTGTCATGAATGCGACATGTCGCGACAGGCAGGTCAGCCTCACACCATCATCCCCTCTCTTTCCCGTGATAGCTCAGCTGTTTGCTTGTTCTGTAGCCACGTGAACGTCTGTCTAAATAGTGGGCGAGATGAGCTCACTTGAGTTTCTCATGCCCTGGCGCTCTGAGTCGCCCTGCCTCTCGCCCTTGATACTGTCGTCAAACAAAAATCCCGACACCAGTGGCTGACTACCAGCTGGGGTGCTGCTGCCGGCGACCCCGAAATGTCTAAAGTAGCAGCCTTCCCACCACTGACGGGATACTACAATATGTAGATCGCTCGCTGGTCGCTCACCCAAATTCGGTACATCAGATCTTGATCTGTTCCCAGAAGAGATAAGTTGATGTCCATTCTCTGTCCCACTTCTCAGCCCAGAGGCCAAATGAAGTCGTGGCTGACGTGTTTCTCGTGATTCAGAAGCACACCGTCAGTCGATACCTCTTTCTGACTTGTTTTTGTTGTTTTTTTCTTCGGTCCCGTCTGTCTCTCTCTCTCTCTCTCTCTCTCTCTCTCTCTCTCTTTTTTTCTTTCTCTGCTTCTTCCCTGTCTTTACTTCCCGGCAGGCCATGCAAAGCCACCTCGGTCGTGGTTGGATGAGACGTTCTGTAGGTCGGCGATGGCGATTCTAGAAGCCTTCCCTTTCCGGAATGGCATGCAGGAAGGGCTGCATATCATGCAACATCTCGCATTCAGGTCTGCCGATGCTGCGACGGTCAGGCTGACAGACACAGAGCCTAGAACGCACTTTAACATACCGCAACGGAGAGAGTGGAGGCAGAGGGTTTCTAGGCAGTGAGGCAGAAGTCTGAAGTAACAAATCTGCTTTCCATCCAACTCAGTTTCGGGACCAGATACCAGCTGAAGCCGAAGAATTGGACGTACGGGACCCCGCTCAGGGGAGCCGGCAAGCCAATGTCCAGACAAGTAAGGAGTGTCAAGAGACAGCAGCCAGATGAGAATTTCAGAGACCCTCACACGGCACGCTGGGCCCCCTCCCTGAGATCCCCTCCCAAGTGGAATCTTGACTTCAGGCTCAGTTTTCTCGAAACACCTGACCACATAGAGGGTCCTCAGGTACCGGCCCTCCTCCACACCCCCCTGTGCAAAGGCTTTGCTTTCCCCCTTCAAGCGGTTGCCAGCCATACAACACATCAGCTACATGGCGAGCGAGTCTTCATAGAGTAATAGTCTCCATTTTTCGTGACCCAGACCATGTATTTGGCAGTCCACATATCCATGGCAGCTTTTAGTTCTAATATTTGTCATTCCTTGCTGAGTGGAGGACATATGCCCAAGAATCGTCGGCGTGAAACTTTTGGATGAACCTGTCAGCCATGACGATGGTTGTATGACTTGTCTTTGTTCTTCTCTTTTTTTTTCTTCTTCTTCTCCCCCCCCCCCCCTTCTTCTTTTTTCCTCTGTGAAGAATTCTCGGATAGTGTACTCCCCTGATCTCAATACGAGGTGATCACTCTCGCATAGTTCCCTGGTCAAAACATTTTGATCCATGGTAGTGTTCGTAGCTGTTGTGCCATGTGTGCCCATTGTACCTGAGACGAGAATCCGGGAAAGGAGGGAGAAGGTACATGCCAATAGGATAGAACTGGAAAGGCTGGTGATGCTGGCAAGATGCTGGCCGAATGACAGCAGCAACACGAATAGGTGTGAGGATACACGGCAAGTAGAGCTGACAAATGTATGAGGTAAGAGCAGTGGTATGAAGAGGACCCAAACTCTGGTGTTGGAAGCTGCGTCTCTCCTCCTAGCCCACCACCTCCTTCCCCTCCTGTCTAAGCAATGAGCCGACGGCACATTGATGGCAAGACCGAGTTGTAGCACGAAGGGGTTCCTTCCTACGGCATCACGAGACGTTAATGAAGGGTTGCCATCAAGGCCATTCGTCTTAATCTTTCACGGTGATTATCTTGATTGATCACCTATTGTACCGACAAAAAATACACTGCACCGGTCCTTGGGACCGTGCTATCCCGACACGGGGTCCCCCCCACCCCCCCAAACTCCGTCCACCCAAACGCCCGCAAAACAAAAACAAAACCAACAATACAACAGCAGCAGACAAGAAAACAAAAAAAAAAAAAAAATGAAAAGAGAAACAAAATGGAGAACAAGAAGACACAGGACGGATCACAGTCCGTCCAGGGAGAAATCTCCTTTGAACCCCTCGTTGAGGAGTATGGCCGCCACACGCAGCCGCTGGAGTGGCATTTCTGCCGAGGTGTATGTGGATGGGTCAATGCCCAATCCGACACAGACTCCGTTGGTGATGGTGTGGACGCCACAGTCGTCCGAGTTGGACTGCTGTGGCGAGGCCACGGATTTGAGAGTCCATTCGCTCTCAACAAAGGCATCGTCGAGGATGCCGCGCACCCACTCGCGGGCCTTGTTCTTCAGGCCGGCGTTTCCAGCCGGGCTCAGGGAGTCCAGGTGGAAGATCTCCCGGTGCTTGGGCCTGATGACCACGAGGGTCCAGTGCCTCCCTCGGCAGATTGGCACGAGGATCGTCTCGATGTCGAGGAAGTTGTCCTTCCTGATGCCTGCCCGGCGCATCATGCGCTCTGTGATGGGCCTGTCTTCGGCGAGGTTCTTCCCGACAAACGAGTTGAACACCTGGATCTTGGGCGTCTGCAGGCGGGGGTTCTTAATGCCCACCTTCTGGTTGACGTAGTTTCCGAGGTGCAACAGCGCGGCGTTGACGATCTCGTCATTCAGCCACTGGTTTCGGGGGACAACGGTCTCGAAGTCCTTTCGCTGGAGGGAGATACCCTCCGGGGTCTTGGCCAGTTCTGCGTTGCTGCGGGCACGCAGTGTGTTGCTGACCCTCTCGAACCACCCGTCTGGAAGCTCGGAGATGATGGAGTCGTGGGGCTGGCGGAGCTGGCCGGAGGCGGCAAGACGCTCGTCCTCCTCCCGCAGGCGAGCCTGCTCAGTGGCACGAAGTTCCTCCTCGGCTCGGCGACGTTCCTCCTCGGCCTGCCTGATGGCCTCTTCCTCGATACGCCGCTGCTCCTCGGCCTTCTTGCGCTCCTCTTCCTCCTCGCGCTTCTTCTCGGCTATTGCCTCGCGCTCGGTCTGGTACTTGGCCTCGGCGATCAGCTGCACTCGGAGGTCGAGCTCGTCCTGCTTCTCCTGGCTGATGGTGAGGTCCGCAGGGCTGCCGAAGATACCCTCGCTGTCCCTGGCGAAGAAGTCGTCGACGTTCTCGTACTTGACCTTGGGTAGGGGCCTCAAATCCTTCCAGGAAGCATGCTCCGCATTCCAGTCGTAATCTTTCTCGATCGCCTTCTGAACCTCACGTCGAGCGCGTGCCTCGGCAGACTGCGACGCGATCTGCTCAGCCTTGGCCGCGGCGGCATCAGCAGCGGCATTCTGGGCGGCGTAGATCTCGGGAAGCTCTATCTTAAGCTTGTGTGACTTCAGCTTCGGATCAAGCTTCCGGACAGGCTGGTTGTTCGAAGGGACGTAGAAGGCGACCTGGCCGGGCATAAAGGTCGCGTTCTTCTTGGTGGTAGTATCGGCACCCCCTTCCTTTCGGAGGGCCGGTTTGTAGGCACGGGCGTGGCCCTGTGCGTCGTAGACGATCTCGTTCTTCTTCATCGCGCGGCGGTGAGGGGTATCGTAGTCCTGAACGGTGATGTTCTTACCAGGGCTGGGGTGGAAATCATCCCACAGCCTGACTGGCTGGAATTCGCACATGGCGACATCGTCAAAAAGGGCTTCGGCCATACCGCCCTCGGGGTAGTCACCGGGAACCTTCTCATACTTGCCAGGCCAGTCCACGTAGCTGGGAGGAAGCTGGTCCCTGCGGATGGCGTCGAAATCGGCAATGATGCCGGCAAACGTATGTGTCGGGAACAGCTGGTTATAGAGGTCGCGGTGGGACAGGATGAATTCGAGGCAGCGGATGGTGCCCATCATCCGCTCGCGCTCCACCAGTGGGTCTCCGCCGAGCTTCTTGTACGGGAGCTTCAGGGGTCCGTACGGCTTGAGCCCAAGCTCCTTGTAGGTGGCGAGGCGGCCATCGGGGTGGTAGGTGTGGTTATGGGCCTTAATGAAGCTGTCAAGGCGTTCCAGCAGCCGCGTGCCGCTGTCCAAGAAGGCCGCCTTGTCATTGCGCTTCTCGGTCTGCATCATGTAGTTGTGGAGGAGAATGCTCAGAATCTGGTCCTTGCCAGTAATCTGCAGGGTGCTGACGACAGACGCGGGGAGGTCGCGAGGGTCGATGGGGTGGTGAATGTTGGGGAACGGGACGAAGCGGTTGTTCCTTATGCCCTCGGCGATGTCTACTATAAACTCGGCGACGAGCGTGTGATTGCGGATGCCGAGATAGGCGAGGGGGTCCTTGGTCCAGCAAAAGTCGCTGTCAGGGAGGGTCTTGAGGTAGTCGACAGGCAGGGTGTTGGTGAGCTCGGCCTTGGATGTGGCCAGCTCAGGATCAATGGGGAGGCGCTTGAAGCGCTTGAAGATGAGTCCATCGTCGGTGGACTGCTTGGTCTCGACATAGGCAGTGAAGAGACGGTCACGACCGGTGTAGAAGGTATCAGCGGCGCGTTTGACACCGCGGTGAATGCCTCCAGCGACAGCAGCGATGGCAGGGTCAATCTTGGGACCAAGGTTCTTGGTGTAGAAGCTGGAGACGGTATTGACGCGTGTGGTAACGTTAACTGAGGCAGGGGCATCGGACATGATGACATCTCCAGTGCTGTCGAGCTGGGGGGAGCGAGGAGAGTTATGGTTGCCGCGGGGGACGCCCGTCGCCTGAAGAATCTTGCGGAACATTGTCAGAGAGATAACGGGCTCTTGCCGGTGATGATGATGAAAAAAGACGGTGAATGAAGGTGAGTGCGATGGTCAGAGAATCGAAGTGACGAGGGAAGAAAACGCGAATGCGTGAAGGAAGGGCGCCTGGTTGCAGGTGCGAATGTACGAATGCGCGAAAGGGGGTTTGTTATGTTCGACTGAGAAGCGAAAGCTTGTCAGGTGCTCGTTGTTGCTAGTCAAGTGCTTGTCCAGTGCTTGCTGATGCTTGAAGTTGCTTGCAGTTGCAGATGGAGTGGCAGTTGGCAGTGCAGTCTGACGTGTCTAGATTCTCGTGGTGTTGTGGTTGTTGCAGAGGAAAGAGAGAAAGGAGGGAGAGGGCAACAGAGAAACGCAAGGTGGTCTGGGTTTATGGAAACACCAAGAACGCGAACTGCTGTGAATGCATGTGACAGTAGCGTCAAAACAGTCCAGGTCACGCGTTGCTTCACCATAGCAGCTCACACGTGAAAACGCGAGCCATAGCAACGCACCCAGAAGCAATCGCGACCTCACGACCGCCTCACATGCTTAGCCCCACGGCGTCCAGACCACACCCACAGCACGCACCAAGCTCACCAGGGCGTTACGTCCCAAGACCATACATCATACCCCGTACGCATGAGACCCCATCATTATCCCAGAGAGGCCCAACATCTCGAAAGAGGGCACGTCACCCTCCAGGGGTTTGTGATGTAATAGTAGACGCCACGACCAGGACAGAGCCGGCAATCTGGCACGCACTTGCAGCACCATAGTCCTCTCCGACACAGACACAGCAGTTTCCCACCCACCAGAACTGAAAGGCTTATGGCAACGTACCACAGGTTGACTTGAATTCTTCCTCCTCTCCCTAGCGCCCATCACGAAATACAACCTCGCTCACACCCCCCCTTCGCAAACAGAACCAGGAATATCACACTCAGCCTCAAATCAGCTCGAGGGATACTGGTTCTGCCGCACAACCCAAACAGGCGGGACAGTTTTCATCGGTCTTTTCTCCTCAAATGGAACGTGCCTATCATTTGCCATTCACTACCGTGGCCATATACCTGACAACATCACCTGGGTCGTTTGACGCTGGTCTCCCCTGGGGTATGGGACAGAGAAGCGGGCTGGGCTGGGCTAGAAAAGACTGAGGCAAACACCAGCGCGGTGGCCTCCGAAAAGAGGATATGTCTAAACAAAAATGCGATCAATGTCTAGCCGGAGAGGAGCAGAAGGCTCATGTTGAGGTCTCGATGAAGAGGAAAGGCTGGCTGTGAGCTGGGCAGGGGTGATTGTGGCAGGCGATGGGCCAATGTACAGGCCCGTTTGGGCACTTCAGGTGTGAGGTCGGTATGTCGTCGATCTTAAGGATTTTCCGGTGCCGGGCGCGCCTACCTACCCGCCTACCTGGGTCTGAGCGCTGACAGGGCCTTAGTGGCCCCTTTTATGTCTGAGCCTAAACGTTTCTAGGCCTTTTGTTGGCTTGCGGGCTCTCCAGCAAAGCACTGGCCAACAGCGCCCACAACCTTTTCTGGGTCTAGCTCAGTCTGGGTGTTCCCTAGCGCGTCAAGCCTTACCCGTGACCAGCTGTTGACTGACAAACAAGTTTGTTGACTTTGATTGACCCCCGCACTGCTCTCTCATATCTCCTGGGTAAGATTCATAGGAAAGTTGTCCCAGGGTCTGAGGCCTTTTCAAGATGCATAGATGGATCAATACATATGTACATGTAGATATATATGTACACAACTATGCGCACATATGGGTCCATCATGATCATTCATCACCGCTGTCTTTTGTTTCGACAATGATGTTCTTTTGTGGCTTGTGCAGGGGTTTACGTAAAAAGGAAAGCTGTCATGCAGGTGTGACCACCGAAGCTTTGTGTTGATTGTTGTCAATGTGTGCTTCTAGCAATCTGGTCCATGTCAACCCGCTGTATTGGCCCTGCCTGTTCCTTCTGTTTTACTTGTGCACAGGCGTGATACTACTAGCTAAGTACGTACCTTCCGACACTTTCGAGAGGCGCCTCCCAAACCATTTGTTTGTGAGCGGACTCTCCCGATGTTCTCGAACCATCTTTGACTCTTTTAATCTTCTTCTTGTTCTTCATCTTTACATATGCAAGCAACAAAGTTAAAGACTAGTACGCAGGCATTTCGTCAGTCTATGACATGATTTACAAACAAACACAAGGGACAACAAACATATTATGTATATATATATATATATATATATATATATATATACCTCTATATACACAAGGTGATGGCCTGACCAGGGCCTGGTTCCTCAGTCAAGGCCTCAACAAGTATCATGATGATGATGATGATGATTATACAGCATATAATTACATACACATGTTTCTCTCCTTCCTAGGTTTGGACCGAGCGAGAGACACCAGCGCTCGGCAGAACGGCACCTTGTTTGTACCCCCCTTTATCACAGCTGAGACGCGGTGGCTCCCACATGCTTGGTGCAAAAGGTAGCAAAATACTGGTTCAGCGCGTCCACTGTGCCGTTCCCCTCTGCCAGCGACACCACAATACCGACGTATCCATCAGGCCTCACCACGACAACACCACCCTGCTCCTCGTCAAAGCCCATCTTGGCGTGGGCCGATGCCTTCGCCTCGGGCACCCGCCGATCCCACCGGTCGTCTGCGTATACATGGTCGCGGTAGCGGGCCAGGAGCTCTGGGACATCACGGCTGATCTCGATGCTGGTGCGTGGCGCGGCGAGGACGGTGCAAATGGTGAAGAAGAGGCTGTGCGGGTTGTCCTGTTCGTGATGCGAGACTGTCTTGATGTCAGGCCGGGCATACGAGGCATAGAAGGAGCCCCGGCGAGCGAGGCCGTGGGCCAGATCCTTGAGCGCCTGGCTGGTGGCAGACGGCCTACCTGCCAGCACAAAGAGCCGGAAGGATCCGTTCAAGGGGATCTGCTGCTCGAGGTGCACGACGTTGGCATCGACAACCCGTGTGACGTCGGCGTTGATCAGGAGTCGGCCCGTTCTCAGTTTGATGCCTGCCGGCTGCACCAGCTGCGACTGCACTGGGTGTGCTGGCGACCAGTTGAGCGCGTTAGGCCCATAGGCAACGCCGTACCCACTGGTGAACTCGCATGATTCCTTAAAGGTCCGGACAAAATCGGTGTCCTCGGCGGCGTTCTCGCCCTGTACGATCCCAGATGCCGCCTCGACCTCGCTAGCCGCAGGTGGCCGCTGGGAGAACAGCTTGGCATACTTGTTGTCGAATGACAGCAGCATCTCGGCGACCTCTTTCCGCTCTGGCTCGTAGGTCTGCAGAATGCTGCGGTCGGCAAACCCAGCCTCCACCGCATGGATCTTCCACGCGAGGTTCTGGGCGTCGAGGAAGGCCGTGTTCATACCTTGACCAGCCTTGGGCTATCGCAGATGTTCCTTGTCAGCTGGGCTTCTGCCACTATTCTATTGCACACAGCATGAGACGCGGGGCGAGAGAGAGGGGTGTGATCCGGCTTACGCTGTGGGTGTGGCAGGCATCACCGCCAAGGAAGACGCGGTGGTCCAGGGTGTAGCGGTCCGAGATACCCTGGCCGATGGGGTACACAGAGTACCATTCTACCGACTCCCACTCTATCGAGTAGGGCTCCAGGATCCTCTTGGCGGATGCCTGGACCTCTTCGGCCGTGGCCGTTTTTCGGGGGTTCCAGTCGGAATCCGTGGAGGAGGCGATCTGGATGTACAGCCGCACAAGCCTGTTCTCGCGGGGGATGACCATGATCGACCCGTGTGCCGAGTGTATTGTGCATTTCATCTGTTTTCCTCATTGCCGCCGCGTCACACTGTCAGCCTGTCGTCCGCCACTTTGTGACCGCCAAGAACCCACCAGCGCAACAGATGGGATATACAATCTTACCTTGATGTCTGGAAAGTCTGTCTTGACCACGCCGTCCATGACGCCCCAGACATGTGCAATCGGGTCTTTGTGCTTGATGCCTATCTTCAGTTGTTCTCTCACAAAGGACCTTGCTCCCTCCCCGCTGAAGAGGTACCTGGCCCTAACGCTCTCCCGGGCGGTACCGTCGATATGCTCCAGCTGGACCTCTACTGGGAACTCGGGGTTGGCTTCCTCGTCCACGCTGAAACCCTTGATGGTCCAAGGCCGCTGGATCTTGGCCCCGTTCTTCTCGAGGTCGGCAATGAAGACGCGCTCGATGAGGCCCTGGTGCAGGAGAGTGGTGAAGGGGTACCTCGCATCAATGAAACTCGGGCAGCTGGCCCACGTGCCCGTCCGGCCGATGCCCTTGCCATCCCGTTGGGGGTCCCAGAAGGCGACCTCGTAGACCCTAGCCGGCTTGTGCGCCATAATAGCAGACTTGAGACCCATGTTGCGCAGCAGATCCAGCGACCTCGGCTGAATGCCATCCGCACGGCCGGTCGGCGTAGGCTCGGCCCTGTTGTCGATATGCTTGACCCTGTAGCCCCATCGTACAAGACAGGTTGACAGCATAAGCCCCACGGGCCCAGCGCCGATGATTACTAGAGGACACCAAGTCAGGATCAGTGGCCGTGAAGACTACCCGAGAGGGGAGCATGTAGAACAACAAGGACAATAACGACAAAGTCAGTGGCTGGGCACAGTACCAATATCATAGTTGGGCTCGGCCGACTGTCTTGCAGGCTGTGTTTCCATCTCTTGGTTGTCTAGAGAATTTAAGAGCATATGACGTGCACGAAAGGTGGCTGTGCAATGCTGGAGTGATGCAAGAAAAATGAAAGGGGCAGTCAAGGACTGGAATAGAGAGAGTGTGTATGTGTGTGTGCTGGGGAGGACCGAAGAGTACAGCAAGTAATTATATCACAGATGATCTATCCTCTGGTGCAGACTGAGAGGCGAGAGGTAAGATGTCCAAAGTACGAGGAGGAAAAGTACGTGTGCGTGTGTGTGTGTCTCGATTAGAAAGCGGCTGGCCATGGTCTACTACTATATATTCTCAGGAGACATAAGGTACCTAGTTAGATTGGAAATAAAAAGAAGAGGGCAAAAAAGACAGGGCCGAGGTGAGACGGCCGGAAGAGGACATCGGGATAAGTGTCATTGTAGACGAGTGGGCTGCGGCAAGGCAAGTCGGGATGAATGACCCACTTCATGGCCTCGCCAACAAGAGCATGCCGTAGCCCCGAGAGGTCTGGCGTTGCGGCTACCTCGAACGGCATCATGTCCTGCCCTAACCGCTACAGGTGACCCATATAAATTACCAAACATACTTAGTACATATATACTCTGTACATGGTACCATAGCACGACGGAGGCAGGCCTTTCCCGATTCAGAGAGCCCATCGTGGCTGGTCACCCGGGTCCAACAGGGCGGGAGTGATCAACAGGCGCTCAGGTGAGGACCCAATCGTACCTGTTAGAGGAGGAAAGAAAGAAAGGAAGATAGACAGATGCTGAGACCTCGACTAATTCCAGGAGGATTGTAGGGTAGGTAGGGAGGGGGGGGGGGGGGGTGAGGGCGGTTGGCAGGATGAGAGACCTCATGCATACATGCCATAGTACACAATAGTGCTGTGTTAGAAGAAGTAGTTACTCCGGTAGTGAAAGACAGTAACAGAAGGAGGTGTGGGTGGTAGGGACGGAGAGAAAGGAAGAGAAGCCCGATGGCATCATAAAGGAAGATGCTTGGCGGAGCAGAAGTGCGACAGGGCAGGTCCTGTTGTGCATGTGGGTTCGTGGTCTCTGGTGACTCCTGTGGATCCATCACTCAATTTTGAGGCGTCCCGGGAATTGGGAACGGCAACAGGGGGGGGAGCAATGTGTGCATAAAAGTATGCGAGGTTATTGCATAGTACAGTAGGTGTTGGAGTGGAGTGGGGAGAGGGAGACAGAGATTTGACTAGACTAGACCATTTACTTACCACATGTCAGCACTGTGCAGAGAGGGAAGGAGAAAGCACGTCAGAGAACTGTCAGAGCGCCCAGTCAGAGATACGGATCCGTACTATGTACTAATTACTACTCCATTACTAGTGTATAATAGTTAGGAGGGCAGGAGGGGTTCAACCAGGCACGGCTACGAAAGTCGGGAAGGAAAGAACGCCAGGAAGCCACTTGACGACAAGCCACAAATACACCAGCCACACCTTGCTCCACCCACGGAACCATCGGGCCACTCACTCGTCAAAGCCGCCCGCCATGAATCATGTATTAGGGAAAATATAACAACAACATCATCGTCCAACCGGTCAACACACCATTTGCTCTTGATCATCATAACTTGGCCTTCCCACACAAACACAATGCGTCAGAACAATTCAGGAATAAGAATGATATTCAGCCAGAATTTGTGACTTGATTTGAAGAAGAAACCACCATTTCTCTCTCTTCTTCCTCAACCCCCCCTCTTCTCTGACACATGCTCAGTCTCCAAACCTCTTAAGCATGAGAATCAAGCATGTTTCTATCAAAGATCAGCGTCATGATTGCATTGTTTCAAGTTCAGCCCTCTTTCAGCCCTCTTTTACAGGCCTCGATTATATGGCACAGAGTGTCAAGGAGTGTCACGGAGTATCAAGGGGCAAGGTGATGCGCGTTAAGGGTCTGATTTTGAGAAGGCTGAAGTTCTGTCCAAGGGCGGATAGTGTGTATCTTGTTGCATGGGTGATATCATGTCTTCAATCTTCCTCTCTTCTCTTTTGCTCTTGGTATGCATGGTCGCCCTCGAAGTGCGGATGTCTCGCTGAGAGAAAGGCCAGAGATCGTGGTTCAGCATCACGCTGCAGAGAAGTCGTCAGCAGCCATCATCTGTTTATTCGTCGTGTGCATCACCAAACTTCTATATTTGTCTTGCACTTGAACTCCAAGTGGATGGTAGCCATATACTAGCTTTGAATGGTGATCTTTGGATTGCAACTAGGCAACACATGGCAATGAGGTCTCAAATGCTGGGTGGACATTACAATGCTGCAGTGGGTGCACTTGTATGCAAGAATAGCTGTAGTCGTTCAGTGTGGAGCCAGCAGGATAAAGACTGTCGATGGTGGCAGGATTTGGTGTCGAAAAGTATGTGGGTATGTGAATTTGTCAGTCTCCTCATATCGATCTTTTTTGTTGAAGTTTTTATATTGCCTCGATATCCTCATTTTTCACAGCCCTCATTATCGGTCCCATCATGGCAGGCTGGGGGCCTGAACCAACCCTGGGTGAAGTTGGGATGCTCCAAAAAGCAGAGCAGTTCCAGCTGGTGGTGTTTTTTTTGTTTTTGTTTTTCTTTTGGACCGCGTTTGTTGTTTTCCCCTGGCCACCAGGTCTGGATCAATAGCCTGTCCACTGTCAACCAAATTGAGCACGCGTCTCTCTTGCAAAAGGGCCTCGATTTACACTCAACTACAACTCCTCTAGCATCAAGCTCCTTTTTCTGTATCAGCACTTGGAAGAGAAGTCTTGCTTGGATCTTGTCAAGAACATCAGATCTAGGTACCTCTCTCTCTGTTTCTCTCTCTTTCTCCCTCTCTCTCTCGCGTCCAGCCACTCTGAACTGAAGCAGCCACCGCACCTCCTCCACCTCGTTCAACCATTGTTCGTCCTCTTCCTAAAACACATGTCTGCCAAGCTGATTCTGGGATGAGTCTATCTGAAAGCACTCCCAGTCCGATTCGTGGGACCTTTATTCCAGTTTCGGGCCCTCAAACGCAGAATCAAGAGCCTTCCGCCTCCTCCCCTCCGAAAGGTCAGGGTACCGATCTTGGTCTACACTTCCATCTAAATCTGACGGACTCACAAATGGAGCGACTCGCCTCTGCGTAAGTAAATCGTCAGGACGACATTGTGTCTACACCCCATTATGTTTTGTCTTTTTGAACTTCTGCAGCTGACAAGTTTTACACACACACACGCATAGTCTCCCGGGTCATTACTCGCCCCAGAAGGCTCCTCGTCAACAGGACCACGGCACCGAGACCATCAAGATCGGTATGGCTCCCAAAGAGGTCCACATGGCCTCGCATAAGAGTCGTGGTGGTGCCTATGAGTCTTCTCGGTCCCGACATGGTCCAAGCAAGGACCACCGCGGTGGTGGTGATCGTGACAACCGCCACAAGCGCGATCCGGATGACTTGTTCGTGGCTCGAAACCAGTCTTCGCGCTCCCGCTCTCCTGCCAAGCGCTCCAACAAATCTAGTGATAAGGGCCAGGTTCAGGCTGCTGTGCCTCGTTCCCAGACGGGTGGTGAGTTTGAACTGCCAGAGCGTCGCAAGACTCCGCGTCCAGCTCCTGTCGACATGGATTCTGTCCGCCAGTATGGCTCTGTCTCCAAGAAGACCGTCGTCATCGAGCGTCAGCCCGGTCATCACTCCCAGAAGGCCACCACGTCCTTTATGCCTCCTTCCACCCCGCCTCTCCGTCGCGTGCCCAAGATAGCGAGCCCTGTCCAGAGCGAGTCATACGACGATGACAGCTACTCCGCCTCTTCTTCTTCTTCCTACTATTCCGAGGACGACTTCGGACAGGCCCACCCCTCCTACATCAGTCCGCTCCGCGTTCGCAAGGCTGGAGGCAGCGACGACAGTGCGCTGCAGGCCGCCTACACCGAGTGGGTCAAGGACAACTCGCTCATGGGATCGAACCTGAGCCACTCCCCGTCGATTCATTCTCCCCAACGCCGCGGTCTGCACCAGACCGCCGCCACGACAGGCGATCTTCGTTACAAAGACCTGCCTCACCCACCTCGAAACTACTCTCCGCTGTCCGATTACCTGGGCAGCCACGTCCAGCCCGTCAGAAAGCAGATGGTTGGCACCCACGGCTGGCTGGAGCGTACCACAACCACTACCGCTGCCACCACTACCGTCCAAAGCACCAAGAAAGAGAACGAGGGTAATGAGAATCACAACAGCAGCAACAACAGCAACAACATCAACAACAACATCAATAACAAGGACAAGAAGAACGACGAGCACGAGCACGAGGGCGCCCAGCCTTCCCAGCACAAGAAGCGAGGCTTTCTCAACAACCTCATGAAGATTGCCAAGGACGTTACAACCTCCGCCAGGGACATCACGTCCTCGGCTTCGCGCAGGCCCCGCGAGCGCGGCCAGCGCCCCTCACGCCTGACTGTCTCTCTGGACCCTCGCGAGCAGAGCCTCCTCTACTGCGAGCTCGAGTTCCTCATCACTACCGCCCTGGATGGCTACATCAACAGCCAGTTCAGCTCGGGCCGCCTCGACGCCGACAAGTACAAAAAGGTCGTCGACGGCTGGCAGCAACGCGGTCGCCCCAAGGTCGTGGGCTTCCGCTACGACCTCGAGACCCAGCTCGACCTGGTCCTGCTGCACAGCGAGGACTTCCGCTTCTACGGCAAGCGGGCCGGCCTCCTCGCCGCCGTCAACGGTGTACTCGACATGATGCGTGTCGATGCCCGCGCTCTACGCATCCGCACCTTTTGCCAGCCAGACACCGTCATCGCCAAGCAGCTTCTCGACGCCCAGTCCCTCTTCAATCTCATCGGCTGTTGCGAGCAGCAGCAGATCCAGCTGGCCGAGGTTATCCAGTTCTTCAAGGTCATCCTTGAGCGCGAGCAGTACTTCCGCAGGGATGACAACCCCGTCCACTCTCGCCGCGGCAGTCCAGAGTACCGTGGACGCAATGCTGCTGACACGGGAACGGATCCCCGTTCCAGCAAGCGGACCTAGATTCTGCTTCAACATCTTCCCCTCTCTCTCTCCCCTCCTTCTGAAAGACTCGAGGTTGATAGAGCTTCAGCCCTCTTCTTTAAGTCCCTTCCCCCCCCCGCCAATATAATGGAGCAACGTTTCCAGATTGGATGAAGAGAGAAAATAAATTAGTGGGGATATCATGTATTTTTATGTTGCGACGGAAACCTGATCGGATTTCACAACGGCGCTCGGGCTTTGGGGTTCTTCGGGCTGGATTTGATCGTGGCGGCGGTATGAAACAACTACTCGATGGCAGCTTGTTTCTTTTTGTCTCTTCTTCTCTTTGTCAATGATGAGAGCAGGGTCTGAAATTCATAGTCGGGGGGGGTAGTCTGTGTCTGAAACCTCGGTACTGCTACGACTCCTGCTCTGGGATCGAGCCTTGAGCCTTGCTCGTTTCGATTTCATTGGCTGCCCTTTTTTTCTTCTTGATCTGGAAGAATGTTCAGATTGCAGAGCCTGTCTTTCACTCTTTCGGGAGTATCTGATAATGAAGTTCGGCCTAGGGAAATAGATCAATTGAATGAAGTACTTTTTTTTAAGGAAGTGGAACTTGCAAAATAGGGACATCACTTTGCGCAGCCTCATCATCATGCAATCCTTTCTAAGAAGCGCCTGGTCTTTCCTCAGGGTTCTTTGCTTGGAAGCTCCATCCGTACAAGTATCATCGCGTGTATGTATGTACCGATGTTCGGCTATGACACCTTCCAGATGTTACGTCTCTTGATCTTTTATGTTGTCGTACATACGTACTCATTCATCATGATCTATGTCAGTGGTCATCTTCCTGATGCTACTCCTCGGCCTATCCCCTTAGGCGCGCGGCGCCGTCTCTGCTCCTCGAATGTGTAACATCCCACCCTAGTAATATATTTATCCCTTAATGTATCGAGCCTCTTCTCTATGGATGTGCACCGATGCCACAGACCGCAATACCGGCCGCCGTTAAGATCAGCCTCGATCTTTCCACATCGTGACAGCTCTGGCATCCACCACGGCTCTGATCCCTTGACCATGATGATGTGACGAGGCCACCGAGAACAGCACCTCTGTCATTGGGAGATAGTACTGAATTAGCATTGATGATGCCTATCCAAAGGGTGGCAGCGTGGGAGCAAGACGGGCAACTCTTGCACAACCGCGGCCCCGACACTAGCAAAACTGTCTGAGAAAGTACTCTTCAAAATGTCCCGCGCCTTCCTCGATAGAGTCTCGGCGCGGGTAATATTGTCAACCTCAAACTATCTTGACACGCACCGTTGACGATGATGGCGTCGGCGTCGTTCAAGCCGCAGTAATGATCGTGAACGAGTGCGAGGTAAGCGGTAATTATTTATGATCCTCAGTGTCTAGCATGGACTCCGGTAGTATGTTGAGGCTGCCATTGTATCGTGGTTGAGTCGCATCAGGTACAACACCTGGTGAAAAGGCCCGTTCGGTGAAAGGAGAATGAGGCGCGTTGTGACCACGTGAGAAGTGGTAGCCTTCGTCGACATTCTCAACGTTGTACCCCCTATCATATTTGCTATGGCTTCTAGCCTCGTAGGAGATAGCCACATTATCTGTGAGCGCAAGTACTGTACGAGAGGACAAGCACAAACTTGTGGGCCAGAGTTGATCTGGGAATCGAAGGCAAAAGCCACAAGGACTACCTGGCTGAGGAGGAAAGAGCGATTCAGTGAAGAAATAAGCAAAAAGAGACTAAAAATTCAAAAAGTCAAAGCCCTGGCTCTCGAACGCAAACCCCCCAAACCTTCCCCTCAAAAGAAAGGTAAATCCTCGACAATGTGGTAAAATGATCTCGAAAGGACCACTCGCAGTTACATACAGCCTCTCGAGTAGGCTGTTTAGGAGAGAGACATCGCACAGCCTCGACCGTCAACCTGAGACTACAGACAAAACAGGATATATCAATAATCAGCCCGCCCTTAATTCTCTTGAGACTTTTTCAGCACTGCCGTTGTGGTGGCGGAAACTAATAGCTCTCCGATAGCATGTTTATCGGAATACAGGGTCGAATCATGATTGGTTTTGCCTGAAAGTCTGTCCTAGAATGGCTGGACTGATGTTGGCTGTTGTAGAACAAACAAAACTCAGATAAAATACGAATAACCTCATTGAATGGCGCTTTGTGAATGATTTGTTTGAATGGTTGCTTTCTTAATTTTCCTGCAGGAGATCATGTTGCTGCTGAAGTTCACCCGGAAGGCTGGAGGACGTCCTTGTAAAACTGAATGGTGATGAAGATGCTTCAGTGTTCATCATGGAAAGCGTAAGGCATAAGTTGGCGCTGTGGGAGTAAGGAGAGGGAAGAAATGTCATCATGTACAACGCCAGTGACAACATAGTGGCAGTGGGTGTGCCCATAGCCAATCCTCTAATAAATTATCAAGATATTATTATAATTTCTAACGAGTATCTGTAGAGTATGTCTAGCTGTTGTGCCATCTATCTATGTAGTTTGTCCCATGTACCTCTTCGTAATCAGGCCGTGATTTCAGATGCAACAAAGCTCTGGAGCTCCCTTCTATTACTTCACTGGTCGATTTCTCCTCGTCAATTTGACAGCTCTCATCGCTGGAAGTGTGGACTCCCTTCCAGGCTTGCGACCAATTTCCATACAGAGAAGCCGGATAAGATCCTTATTTGCCCAGTAGCTCGAGTGGGCCGACAGCATGTTCAGATACTGCAGTTCCAGAGGACCACCTCCGGACCGGAGGAAGAAGTCAACTTGGCCATTGTCGTTCAGCAAGAAAGCCTTCCTCTCAGCGATCTCCTCCCGGGTGAAATCGTGCACCTCCAGCTCAAGCTGCGAAGGAAGACGGAATGTTGGTGGTTTGGTAGTTGCTGGGGCGGTAGCGATAGCAGAAGACGTCGTGGTAGAGCCTACAGGCGCAAACCCGCGCACAGCATCGCCCATGGACTTGAGCCAGGACGTCGCCGTGCTTGGAACGTGAGCCACCTTGAGGCTGCTGGCAAATACTGGATCGATGGTGCCATTGAGGAAGTAGGCGATCGGGTCCTCCTTGGCCAGGATGTTGTAGATGTTGTCCACTGCCAGACACCCGAAACTGCCTGCATCTGAGACCACATCCGTGGCAACAACGTCCTGCAATACAACCGTTAGCCGGGATTTTGGGTCATGTGAGAGGGAGACAGAGAAGAGAGAAAGCACCTACATTGGGCTCGGCTCCAGGCTTCGTCCGTCCTCGCCGAGGCATGAGATTACCACGCTCAAGAAGGAGGAAGAAGCCGGCCGGACTACCCAATAAGAACAAATTGGTGGTGTCGAACTCGAAGAAGCCGGTCTCAGGCACCGGTTTGCTTAGATCCAGCGGTGGAGGTATGTCGGGCTGCTTCGACAAGACTTCAAGTGCCATGACGCTCCCTAGAGAGTGAGCAATCAGGTGGACACGTCCATTCCGGCGGAACCCTGGGTTGTTGCGGTACCACAGGCGGTACACACGGTTGGCCTCAGCCACGAGAGCTTGTATCATCTTCGGCTTGTGATGCGACATATAAAAGGGAATGTCGAACATGACGTCGCTGATCAAACCTCGCACTGCTGGGATTGTATCAGGTTCGATGTCCTTCAGACCGAACCCTTCAGCCGCGGTAGCCCTCTCTTCGTCGCTCATGGGACCCCCATCCTCCAAGGAGAGGGTGTGCCTCCAGTTTATCGGCAAGACCATGATGCCGCTAAAATCGTCGCGCAAGACTGCCTTGACAGTCTCGCTCCCGAGTTCAATGTTGATAAACCTCCGAAAGGCCGTGATTGCGTGGGTGAAATGGAAACTTTCGACCCTCTCGGCAAACTTTTGCCCTATTCCGTGAGCCACCAGGACGAGGTCTGTGACTTGGCTGCGACTCCTCTCCGCTCGACATCCAGGGCATTCGCCTTGCATTGGTGAGTTTACACTATCATGCGTGTTCGGGATAGCCTTCCGTGGCGGGTCCACCTTGGGGGCTGGCTTTTTCTCATGCAGTCGGTCCCAGACGACTTGATCAAACCCACGGACGACAGGTGTTCCAATAGTGATCCCCTTCATGATCTTAGACACAGGTCTCCTGCCATAGTAGGCGGAGGGTTTCAGGCTTGGCTTTAACAAGAAAGCGGCACCTGCATCCTTATATATGACATGGTAGGAACCGAAGCTTTTGGCACCGTCAGGACTGCTCTTAGCCCCTGCGACGACGGGCTCGAGAGCCCCTTCGGTGGCGGCCTCTCCACGAGAGCAGTGTGCAGCACAGAACGGGTCGGACGAGATGGGCGGATCTGAATCCCCTGGCTCTTCAAGGTTACCTTCCCTCGGAACGACCGGCCGCGGCCAGAGAGGCCAGGATACCTTTTCCTCGCCTTCGGCGCCGACTTCGACAGCACAACGAATCTCATCGTTCCAGGTCTGGCTGAAAGGCCGCAGCTCCCGATAGCCAGCCTCCAGCTGGTTCGCGATGGCCGGCTCGAGCGGTATCATAGTGTCCCTGAGACGATCAGTTAATTTCCCCCTCATTTCAAGGAGGCTCGCTGGATGCTGTGGGAGGGGCATTTTTCGAGGGTGGAGGGAATAGCAGAGATGTGTATGCAGCGATAGCGGATTCCCGTGATCTGCTCACCTATAGAACCATGTTGACCTTGAGATGACGGCTATGTCGTTCACCGGAGACCAATATATTGGTTTCATCAGCAATGAGGGCAAAGAGACCATATGTAATCTTGAAACTCCCACGGGTACTTCGACAGCGCGGACTCCCTCTTGCAGATACTCCTTGCCCTCCAGACCGGCTCGCGTCGGAGATACCACTGATTGGCTTGTGTCGTTTTTTGCGTCGTCCTGACGGTTAGCAGGTACCACCTGTTCTTGCTGAACAGTGCTCAAGGTTGTTCCCGTAGACGTCTTAGTCCCGTCATTCTCTACCCTGACAAAAGGCTTGCCGGAGATACCATCGTCGACGACAGGAGGCCGCACTGGCACAGCGGCTTGCTTTGGAAAGGGCTTGTTCTCAGGCTGCGGCGTGGATGTCACGGAAACATGATGGCGACGACTGTCTGTTGACCCAGAGCGGCTCGCAGGTGTATTTGAAGTCAGTGACGATGCCCTGCCCCTGGAGGAGGTGGACAATGCGTGGATCACGAAGCCCTCCGTCCGTGGGGTCGATGTCGACATGGACGGGGCGACGCGCGGGGGCACGACAATGGGCGCTGGCCGGTCTCGCTCCATGGCGGCCATGACCTTCTCGATGACATGTTCCTGTCCCAGCTCTTTCTGCTTCCTCCTTGTCAGTTCGCAAAACGCCTCCGTGAGTGCTTTGGACGCCTCGACAAGCAAGGCCTGACAGCATACTGGCATAGTAGTATCTGCCAGGGCGTCCAGAGGTGCCTCCAGAGGAAGTCTGGACTGGCTCTCCTGGCCATGTTTCTCCTTGTGCCTGCGAACAAGACTGTTTACGATTCGCAAAAGCTTCTGGTGATTGATCGCAGCGAGAGCTGGCTCGAGTGCTCTGTTGGCCAGAGCAGCTTGATGGGAGCTCCGGTGATCTGTGGAGGCTAGACCGAGCCATGCCCTCTCCAGAGCGTTATTGTCGGCATGAGAGAAGGGGCGAAGGGCGGCCTTGGAGGAGTGGGGCTTGTCGGAGGACGTTGGGATGGTCGCCGTCGAGAGGGGGTCGTCTAGAGGGATCAGACTGTGGTAGAAGAACTGGGCGCGAATCGGAGGGATGCCGTCGAGGAGAGCATCATCGGGGTCAGGCTCGACTACAGGCGCAAGACGGCACGCCGCGCTGTAGGTATGGGAGGGCTCCATAGCTATCGATCCAGGAGTAAGTCAGGACGGAGTCGATGTGTAGGCAGACTCTCTGTATGCTGCAGCCCTCGCTTGGTCACCCTTGCCAGGCTTTAGAGGAGGCGTTGAAACTGAGTCTTTGTGCAACAGAGACTCACAGCAAAGGCAAACCACAGACTCCGTCCGTCTCAGTCCGTGCCTATGGGGAGTATCATAGTTGCTGGTGTGGTCACAGCGTCCGACACTGGGGGAAATCGGACATCACAGGTGGTGTAAGTCGCAAGGACACGAGGACATCGTGACTATGGCAAGGCTTATGATGCACAGGGCGACGTGCTGCTGGTGGAGGGGCTGCTTGTCTCTTTGCGTGCTAGAGCAATATTTACTGGTAGTTAGATATGACGTGGTGCTCTGGGGTTCCACCCGCAGCCACAGGGATGGCCCCAAACTGCCAGGCAGCATTGATGAACCCTAGGGTACAACTACCACAGAGGGGCGCTGGCATCTCTATACACACCCACACACGACATGTGCTTCGTAATTCAGTCATCATCCTGCCGACGACCGTTCACGAGCTCGACGCCCAGAAACCCCAGGTAGCCAGCAAATAGTAGTAGACCCGTCCATCGCCTGCCGCCAACCAGCACGACCACCAGCAATAAGCCCGCCGAGGCCCACATCACCATGGCTTCCGTCAGGCTTATTTGCCCTCCTCCTCCTGCGTCACCACCAGCCCAGATGAATAGGACGCCCCCTCCACACAGCGTCAAGAAGATGTTCGATCCAACGGTGTTGGCCACCAGTATCCCAGGCTGATGTCTTAATCCCGATTTCAAGGCGACGATCTTGTCAGGGATGGTGGTGGCCAGCGACACAATCGTCGCGCCTGTCACCGAACTGGATAGCCCAAGGCGGTCTCCCATGGTTCTGGCTGACCTCGCGATGACATAGCCCGAAATTAGCATCAATACCAGTCCGAGTAGGACCTCCAGCACATACTTCCGCAATGGTCTGGGTCTGGGCCGGCCCTTGCTCAACCTAAACCTCTTCATGCGCCTCACGTCTGCCGTTGTGGACCGCGGCCCTCTTAGCAATGACCCGGAAGAGGAAGAACCTGAAGCAGGTTCGATTGCCTCGCAGTCGTCGCCCACCTTGTTCCCTGCGTCCCGAACTATCTTCGAATCGTTTTCCAACTCTGAATCTGATTCAGAACCTGAGTCCGACTCGGAGCCCGAATAATCTGAGACGTCTTCAGGAGCCACGAGTGCTCCTCTGTAAATAAGCCAAGTCACCGACGCGAGATAGATGGCGAACGCCACCATCAAGACAATGCCGCCAAGCCATCTTAGCCCTGACGGCAGCGTGTAGGACATGAGTAGAAATGCCGATGTCAAACCGAGCGAGATGGCAGTGTAGATCTTGGAGCTCTGGTCGAACCTCATGTCCTCTCCAGCAAAGAACAGGCCCAGCGAAAACGAGCCCAGGATGTTGGCAATGTTACTGCCTACCAGGTTCCCCATCGCGAGAGGACTCTGGTGTTGTCCTATAGCGATCAGGATCACGACCAGCTCTTCCCACTCGGTGCCGCAGGTGAGAAGGCCGACCACGGTCGGCGACACACCCAGCCTCTTGGCAACGACGGCACTGCTGTCAACAAACTTGTCGGCTCCCCGGTCTAGTATGAAGAGACCGCATACGAAAGCTGCGAGGCTGAAAATCAGGCCGTCCTCGGTTTCCGCCATTGTTTCTCAGCTCCTTTGTCTGGGAGTTCCCAGTGCTTTCGGAGGGTGCCGAAACGGCGCGGATGATTCAGAACCCTCTTAGTAACCCCCGATTGATGCGTCGCGAGCAGGATCAAGAAGCACTGAGCCTCGCAGACTTCAGGCGAAGATGAGGGTGCGCTGAAGACGCTGTTGATGCAGTCGAGGAAAGTTGTATGCAGTCATGTCCTTCGCAATGAATGCGGCTGTACGGTCAATTCAGATCGCTCGACGACGTACGGCCGGGCAAAGTCGGCGATGTTGTCGAAGTTGTGAGTCTGTATCTTGATAATTGTACCCGATCTTACAGCTCACGGGTGCGGTCATGGGTTATCGTCGTTTTCTGGTGGTTCATGCAGTGCCCATGCAAGTCGATAGGACTATTGTCATGCTGCATGGGAATACGAAGGGCCCAGCCAGTGAGTGGCAGGTGACAGCTGGTTCAGCCCACGCTTCTGCCTCACCTTGCAGCTGGAAATCTATCTAACTTTATCTTGTCTTCCTGTCTTACCCTCCCCCCCCCCCCAGCGTTACAGCTATCTAGCGGTTCGCTCGGTCAAACTCTTGTCAATACAAGCTGCTGCGCTCGGTTGTCTTGATTCGGAATGTGATTCACGGCCTGCATCGCCGGCCCTGGGGGTGATAGGTTAGCGCCCTGCAGAAGCTTATGCAAGGTGTGATACTGTAGGTGCGAAATGGCAGCACTCCCCTGGTATTCTTCTTCTCTCATAAGCAGATGACAGACGGCCTTCAGAAGGCGGCAGGCGTCTGTCCCTCTCTGTCCTTCACTGTAGTCACCTCGAAATAATAGGTGCTGACTGTGGTTTGTTGGGAAGGGACCAAGCATCGGTTTTGATGTCTTCTTGAATTATGCCAGACATCGTTCCGAGTCAGGATGCTTATGAACGGGGCGAGATAGACAAGCAGTTGGGCACTGCCGTTGTGATTTCAAGGTCGCCTGTTCCGGACACCAGCCTCAAGAACCGTTGGAAACAGCTGACCATCCGGATGAGCTCCCGTCTTCCTACGTCAAGCAGTTCTCTTCAGCAGTCTCAGTCCTCCCACCAGGATGGCTCCTCTATATTGGCGCGTATTCGCAGGTTCTGCGCGTTCCTCGGTCCAGGTGCCATCATATCTGTCGCATATATAGATCCGGACAACTATCAGACAGCCATCTCATCTGGCGGTTCGTTTCAGTATAAATTACTGTTTATGGTTCTCGTCTCGAACCTGATAGCCATTTACCTCCAGGTACGCCCAGGCTCTCTAATCGCCCCAGGGGGGGAAGGAAAAGGGTTGCTGAACTGACGAGTGGTACCGCAGGCTCTCTGTGTCAAGCTAGGGACAGTCACAGGCTTGGATCTCGCACAGCTAAATCATCGTCATCTTCCTCGGTGGCTCGATCTATCCATATACGCAATCGCAGAGGCCTGTATCATCTGCACCGACCTGGGGCAGGTCATAGGAACCGCAATTTCTCTGAACATCTTGATCCCGAAGCTACCTCTCTCGGCTGCCTGTTGCATATCGGTGGTCGAGACACTGCTCATCCTCCTCTTCTACAAGCCCAACGGGGAACTGAGGCGGATCCGACTCTTTGAGGTCTTCATTGGAATGTTGGTCGCCGCAGTGTTTTTCACCATCTGCCTCCTCCTTGCCAGGATCTCGGCCCCTGCGGGTCCTGTATTTAAAGGGTTTCTGCCGTCACGCGACATCTTCGTTGGCGAAGGGCTGTACGAGTCTTGTGCACTCCTTGGTGGTAGTACGTCTGGGCCCTGTGCTTCAGCAACCCTCTTGGGGAGCCCCTACCGTATATCGTCACTAACAACATGTCCGTCCCAGCGTTGATGCCCCATACCATCTACCTCGGGACGGCACTCTCGCGGTCCAGGCTGTACAATTTCGACGAGAAGCACAACCTCATCAGCCCGAGCGTAAGCTCGGAAAGCCTGTACCGACCGTCACTCCAAGCGATCCGGTCGTGTTTGTCGTACTCAGTCGCGGAACTCTGCATCACCTTAGGGACTGTGGCAGTGTTTACAAACTCCGCCCTGGTCATTATCTCGGGGGCAGCATTTTACGGTCCAGGAAGTGACGACCTTTCCGATGATATTTATTCGTTGCATGACCTCTTCTCGTCCGTGATCGCACCGGCGGCTGGTACGCTTTTCGCCGTGTCTCTTCGTAAGTACCTCGCTGAGAAGGCGTGCTGCGAGCTTAGCCCCCCCCCCCTCTTCTTTCTCTTTTTCTTTTTTTTGCTTCGTCTCCCATAGAATCGTGGCTTCTGACGCCTCTTGCGACAATCCAAATATCCCCCCCCCCCAACTCTCTTTCTCTCTCACATACATACAGACAATTCACACAGCTCCACAGCCATAACAGCTGCCAAAGACAGTGAAGCTGATGAGATAATCGGCAGTGTTTTCAGGTGTGAGTGCGGGAATCGTGGCGACGATGGCAGGGCAGGTGGTGATGGAGGGTGCACTTCAAATCCGCGTGTCACCTTTTGTCAGAAGGTTGACGACACGGTGCGTGGCGATTAGTGAGTCAAATTTCGCATGCATAAACGGACTTACCTGCTAAGCGTTGGCCGTGTAGTCCCAGCCCTGGTGGTGGCTGTCTCCGTGGGCCAGGACGGCTTGTCACAGGCACTGGTTGCCTGCAATTACATACTGGCGATTGGGCTGATCTTTGTGACGTTTCCTCTGGTATACTATACCAGCACAGCCAGGTACATGAGCGTGCCGAGCGACGAGGGCACTGGCCTGGTGAGCATGAGCAACAATTTGGCAACAACTACTGTGGCATATCTGATCTGGGCAGCCGTTGTCTTTATGGACCTAGCTACTGTTGTTCTGGTCGGTATGGGGATTGAAGACGACTGAGAGCTGGAGGCCCGGGGGGGGTTGATTGCTATACCAGAAGTCAAATTGAAATGGCAAATAGAGAGCATTATGTGCTCAGAAGTCTGTTGTATAAAATGCAGTGGGGACTGTCATCATGTTGTTTCTGTCTGTGGTGCTCCTGAGGGCGACACAGGGAGTGCCCCAGGTGGGGTATAGCGGCCCGGGCGCACGGCGGGGCCATCTCAGTGCTTGGACAGGGTCTGGGGTCGCCCTGACAGGTGGCCCGCTCCACTGTCTCCCAGCTGTTGAGTTGGGGGGGGGGTTGGACCCGTGCTAGCCGTGCAGTGCCTACAGTTCAACCCGTGATGGCAGGTGGAACCACAAGCCCCTCCTTCTGACGGGGGCTGCACCATGGTAAATTGAACGCTAACACAGCGGGCACTACCTGACTTGGCCTCGAATCTAGTGTCTACTTTAGTACGTACTGCATGCACGAACCACCACGGTGCAGTGGGACGAGGGGAGCTCATGTGGGCCGGATGGATCTGGGTCCTGGGCATGCGATGACGACGTCGAGCATATCTCACAAGCCATGTCTTTTCTTTGGGGTTTCTCTTTTCGTCGTTGGTGTTCTTCCTAAAGACAATGCACAGCGTCGGAAATTGGCGAGTGAGGATATTTCCAATTCTAGGAAGTATTGAATCAATGCCTCTATGGTAGCAGGTGTGCACACAAAAGAGAACGGAGCAAAACCGGCAGGGTAAGGCGCGAAAAAAGGTCCCGTTGCCTCGCTGCTACCGTAGCGTACGTACCCAAGGGGTTGGTTGCCCCTCCTTGGCAGCAGTTAGGCTAGAATATGTTGGCTTGGGGGTGGGGAGGCGAGAGTTTGTAGGGGCTTGGGAGGCTTGGAGGGCTACTGCGATCTTTGCACCCGAGTTCTATGTGCATCGGCGCACTCTTATCTGCATCGGGCGTGGCACGTCAGTCCAATCACACACCAGAGGATTGGGGAAAAAGAATGTCTCAGCAACCCTCCTAGACATGATGAGGTCTGGAACTCACCTGGGGTCGCACCTTTATGAGCAAACCTTTCTCGTCCTCATCCTCATTGCCTACGCGATCCTGATTAGTACTTGCTCTGGATGTTCGTCAAGGTTACTCGTCGTGTTTGACGACCTCTTTTTCTATCACAAAATGTATTCGAGGGAAAGGCATGTAGAGCACGGCTGGTGGAGGGGGGGAGGGTCCCGGCATGTGGCGCTCCTGTATGTTCCATGTATGTGACAGGAATGGATCACGGTTGCAGTGGATCTACCAGTCTACAGTAGTACGTGCATGTGCTAGGTGCTAGGTGCCACTATGGATGGTATGTGCTAATGTTACGAGCTTGCCTTTTGCTGCATGCGACCAACCTCCTTCGTACGACTTCCCCCCTCTCGTCCTTCCGACCCCCCATTAATGCGCAACCGCCACTACTACGGGGGCTTCTGCTGATGGTGGTAGTATTTTAGCCAGCACCAGCACCAGCACCAGCACCAGCACCAGAACCATACCACTAAACATACATAGTTAAGTAGTAGTGGTGTGCAGCATTATAGTGCTATAGCAGTAGTGGTAGACTGATAACGGGATAGCTCTCCAATCGCCTCTCCCTCCTTCCCGCCCTCCCTGGGCCATTTGCAGATCCTCGCTCACCCGCACTAGACCACCATCCAATGCGCTGGGGAACCTTGCCTCTGAACCCTCCCTCCTCCCTGTCGTCTCCTTGTCTCTTACTCTTGCACAACCCCCCCCCCCTCCTCGTGCTGCAGTGGCACCACGCAAGGGAATCTTCATACCTCCATCCCTCCCTCTCCTCTCCTCCTTCGTTCCCGCCTCTGGCTCTGACTGGTCTTTGTTCTGTCCTAGCCGTCCTCTGGTACACTCGACTTCGTTGTTGCTCAGTTTCTCCGCATCTCTCAGGCTGTGCTGTAATCTCTACAGCTCCTGTCGCTTGACAACCCGGCGTCTGTCTCGACTCCTACTCCTCACTTGGCTTATCTCGAGATACTTTCAGGTTACCATTTGCCCTGATAGCTACGCGATCCCTCCACGAGCTCCCGCTGTGTCTTGGTTACCTCCTGCAGACCAGCCAATTCACCACTTTCTCGGACCAGATGATCCATCTCGGCCCGTCGCTCCCTGTCACCTGCTCGTCCTGTACGGCTGAGGCAGCCTCGTCTGTGGTCGGACAACTCTAGTGGTAGAGAGTAGCACGGACATCTATACAGAGAGAGGTGTAGAGAGAGGTGTATAGAGAGAGAGAGAGAGAAAGAGAGAGCCAGGGAGAAAAGGGTGCATTGGAGTTCTCGCCTTAAATCCCCTCACGCCGCCTCGACCTCGCTCAATCATATGGCTACTATCGCCCTCCCTAGACCTCTCCCTCCCCACCGACCCTCATCCTCCATCGCCAGTCTCTCCTCCGCCCTGGGCATCGACACTCTCGAGGACCAGCCTGAGCCGTGCCCACCCGCAGTCCCTAACAAACATATACCAATCTGTCCTCCCGGGCCTGTCCCGCAACAGGATCCTGCCACTCCTCCTCCATCCCCGGGGAGACGAGAACAGGGTCTGCAGCAGTCTCTCCTCTATCCCCCAACAAACTTCAACCGTGTCAGCTCAGTATCCGCCGCCGTCTACGAGATATCTGCTGCGCAGATCGCCGAGGCTCTGGACCACCTCTCCCGCCAACCCCTCCCGGCGCCCGCTCAGGTCTTCCCATGGCTGCACGGCCTGCACCCTCTCAATCACCTGCAGCAGTCGTTCTTTGCTGCCCGGAACCGGAGCGCGAGGAAGACACCCTGCTGCCTGCGCGGCATTGCTCTGGTCAAGACAGACGGCGACTTGAGCGTCTCCCGGCTGAAGGGGGCCATCTCTCCCCATGAATTTATGCACTGCTCCTCCGTCCCCGAGTTCCAAGATGTCGACCCGAGGGATGGCTTCTCGGTCAGGAATTTTCAGATCCAGGCCGCGAAATCCGCCATGACTTCGGACGTTGTTGTCTATGGGGACGACGTGCACGCGTCGCGCAAGATGGCGAGGGATATCGCCGCGGCCCAGCAGAGGTGGCGAGACAGGCATGATGTCCAGGGCCACCCTATACCGACATACAATACTTTCCTGTGTACAAGTTCCTTTCGTGAATTTGAAGAGAAATATCCCCATCTCGTGGCTGTCGACTCTGACGGGCTCTTGACAGGCCATGTCCTCGACTTTGTCCATCAGGAGCGCAGGGAGATGTTTATCATGACGAAGCCGTCTGAGATTGCCCACAATGTCTGGATGGGTCCCACACTCGATCGCGGCTCGGACGAGGATGGGTTGGATGCCTTTGACCTGTCGATTGAGTGCAGTGACCTGGGTCGTCTCTGCCCTGCCACCTTACGAGACATTGCCGAAGGCAGGGTGGACGGGACGCAAGCCTGCCTTGACTTCCCCTCGTCTGGAAGTATCCTTCCTTCCTCGTGGTCACATGCGGAGGCCGACGGCATTGTCGAGACGTGCAGGTGGATATACCACCTCGCACACGGCACCTGTCCGTCACCCTCCGACAGCGAGAACGATGAGGATGGTGACGCCGTAATGGTAAACCAGGCACACCAATCGTCACCTAGATGCCGACCCCACAAGATTCTCATCCACTGCGGTGATGGGTACACCGAGTCCACCATGTTAGGGATTGCTTATTACAGCTTCAGCTCTGGCCGCTCTATTCCGGACGCCTGGCTGAATCTACATACTACCCTCGGGCGCAACTTTTTTGCATATCCAGCCGACGTCTCTCTTTTGACTTCCATTGCTCCTCGTCTACTATCGAACTCGCCCGCTCTCGTGGCCAAAACCCCCTCGGAGATAGACGCACTGGCTGCCGACGAACCCGACTGGCTACCGGGTCTTGATGGGTCGTTCCCGAGCCGGATTCTACCCTATTTGTACTTGGGCAATCTCACTCACGCCAACAACCCCGAGCTCTTGAGTGCTCTGGGGATAGGGCAGCTCCTTAGCGTGGGAGAGTCGGCCATGTGGCGCGATGGAGAGCTGGAGCGTTGGGGGCCTGAGAACGTGTGTGCCATTCAAGATGTCCAAGATAATGGTATAGATCCTTTGACGGACCAATTCGAGCGGTGTCTCGAGTTTATAGGTAAGCCACTCCACTCAAGACCACAAATCTCTTCTACTGGAAGGATCTCTGGGCGCATGCTATGGCATAGCGGGCTGGTCCTTTGTTCGGCTTCACCACCGGTTTCTCTTAGCCCGCAGGCACACAATACAGTCTACGCTCGGCTCTAGTACCGCTGAGGCACGATTGGCTAACGTGTTACTTTGAACAGATCGGGGTCGGAAAAACGGCACTGCGACACTTGTGCATTGCCGCGTGGGTGTTTCTCGCAGTGCAACCATATGTATTGCCGAGGTCATGCGAGCCCTGGACCTCTCCTTTCCCCGTGCCTATTGTTTTGTTCGCGCGCGAAGGCTGAACGTCATCATCCAACCACATCTGCGCTTTGCATACGAGCTGCTGAAGTGGGAGGAGACCCTGAGGTGCAGAAAATCTGCTGAGGCGGGTGCGGCTGGATTACCCGTGGTCAAACGAGAGCTGGAGTGGGCTGAGATCGCGAGGGAAATCGCCCTGATGAATCGGCCCTATGCAAGATGATACCCAGTTGCCGTGGCATGGCCGGCCCTTGCTCAGGAGAGAAAACAGCCCCATGTGGTGGGCTAGGTTACAGAAACGACTTCTTTACGATTTACGAAACGGCCACATGCTTTGGGAATCATGATTGATGGACGGATGGATGGATGGCAGACCATATTTGCTGGGGACCCTTCTGAGGGGAGTCGGATGGTCTCAAAATACGGAGCATCCCTTCATGATGGAGCTATGTATTCTGATTACAACATTTTTTGGGCCGATATGGCGACGCACACAATCAATTAGGATTTGTCATGCCCGCTATGCGGGCTTTTCGTTACCTTGGTGGACTTTCTTCAGAGTGCCACCTCATGCATGGCTTAAGCTGCTTGCGCTTTGTCTCCAGGCAAATCGCCGTCCGCATGTGCAGGATCCTTATTAGAAGTTCCATACCATTCATCCACCGTAGGTCAACAAGAGACCGTAGTGACGAGACAAATAGCACAGCCAAAGGGGGTAGGGTATCATTGACGGGTTCGAGAGCACTCTTCGGAGAGCACTCTATATGCTACATAGACAGACTTGGACATCATCTTCCAAGTTGATAATATGATTGATGGAAAGAGTTTCAGGAACTCAAAAAGCCCTCTAGGCCCTGGGGAAAACAGAATTGGCTGGAAATGACATGGCCTGAACCCCTGAGCGCCGGTCCTGAAAAGTCAAATCTCTGGAAATGAGCATCCGATGCAAATTCGGGGTTGCGGATACCCCTCGCGTTTTCCATATTCAAATCGCAGCAAGCCAGAAAGGCCAAAGACCCGCCATCTAGGGATTGAAAGAGGCGTCAAGTTTGTCATCACCCTCAAGAACACTGATGCTCGTCAACGGGGTCAGCCATAATGCTCAAGCGTAATCGAAAAGCAGATGAGCAGGACAACTTACGAGAACTGACGGACAAGGTAGCCTTCACCGCCGTGCTCCATATCGATATTGAAAACGTAGAAACCCCCGTCACTTGTCACAACCATAACCTGGGGGCTGCTACTGCTCATGGCGACAACACTTCGCATGGGCCCATTGGGGTAGATGAGAGTAGAGGGACCCGGTGGAGGGGCGCCCTTGTTAGTTGGAGACGCCGATGACACCTTTGGTATTTTGATGAAGGCGAAGTCACGCAGGGGTTCCCACATCTCTGTCACTGTCTGCGGGAGATACGACCCAACAACGCCAGCCACACTTCTTCCCATCAGCTGCGAGGACCTCCGCAACATGCTGCTGAAAGAACCGCTCTGTCTCCGATTTGCAGAAGAAGTAGGCCCACCGGACCCGTTATTCGCCGAAATTCCTGCTATCTCGGCGGCGTCGCTACGCGGGGAACCCGTCACGCTGCCGGGCGAATCATCGTTGCCGCTGTCATAGCTCTGTGATCGTGACCGTGACCGGGACCAACGATTCGCACGCGGTGACGAGGAGTGATCCATCGCCCCCGGCCCTGCCCCAGCAGCCACAGCGTTTCGGTCCACTGCCGCCGTTCCGGAAAGCCGGAATATATGGACGGTGTCTGAAGTCGAGGAGACGCACAAAAGCGTGGAGCTGAGATTGAAAGACATGCTGTAGATGGTTGACGGGTAGGTGCCGCGGCGGAACTGATACAGCTTCTGGCCTCGCGGCACAGAGAAGACGCGGACGATGGTACCCGTCTCGGAAGCGGTCGCCAGAAGCGTGCCTTCGCTGTTCAGGGCGATGCAGGAAAGCGGAGAGCGATGTGCCTCGATGACGTTAACGGCCTTGAGAGTCACGGCGTCGAAAATGAGAACATCTCCAGACGTTGGTGGGACGTAGGTCGAGAGGGGAGGGGCGTGCTGCGGTCGTCTCTCGCCCGTATCCTCCCTGGGCTTAGGTAGTGGGTAGGCAATATAGCAGTTCTCGGAAGATGGTGACAGCGCGCATATCGCAGACGGGTTCGGAGAAGTAGTGATGACATAGAGCAGGGTCATGTTGGCAATATCGTAGAGGTAGATTTCCTCCTCAAGAACAACAGCTAGGCGGCGGCGGTTCAGACGGACGGCAAGGACGGCGGAACGGAAAGTGAGTTCGCATATTACGGACGCCCTCTGCTCAGGACAGTCAGCCAGCCAGCAAGCAAGCACGGTATACTGAAAAGGAGGTAAAGGGCTGACGGACCTTTGTATTCTGTATTATGAGATGGCGTGGGGATAGGACGAGGGCGACGAGGGAGGTGGAGAATAGCATCTCGATGATCGAAACGTTGCCATCGTCGCTGCTGAAGATCTTAGAAAAGGGATCGGTATGGTAGATGCGAAAACCTCTCGAGGTGCCTGTCGAGGAGAGAGGCAGGAGTTAGCAGGAGAACAGGCACATCCAGGAGAGCAGGTGGCTAGGTGCCACATCAGGGTAGTAGACATGCCGACTGCGAGACAGCTGTGATCTTGGTTGAAGGTGATGAAGTTGAGGTTGGCCGCAGCCATTTCGCCGGAGAACGCTGCGGGCTAGCAGCCAATCGATAAAAGCACACTTGATGGTATACACAGATCAGATGGACTAGTAGAATTGGCAAATCTCGAGGCGCCGAGGCATGCCTCCACGCCAGCAAAGAAGGTCGTCAGGAGGCGGCTCAACGCAGGGCGAAACCAGAACGATGGGGACGGTGAGTTTTCGAGTCCAGCGACTTGTCGACGATGACTGGGCAGGTTGAAGGTATGAGTGCTAGACACGTGCAACCAGGACAGTCAGCAGCCAAGGGTCATACGAGAGGTAAAAAGAAGAGGACGTCAATGCTGGGCCAGTTGAGGGGCTCAAAAGCGGCGTGACGGACGATAAATCGAGAAGCTTCCGTTCCCGTGCCCCCTCTGTCGTCCGGCTAGCTCCCTTGTGGGCCAAGGTTCAAGCTACTAAAGGTACCATGTGCTATGTACTACAACAGGTCACTACCACTGTACGATACTAGCATGCCCTGTCAAGATCCCCTGTACCCTTGGCCCCCTGTCTACTAACCCCTTTAAGCACATACATAGCATATCGAGTTCAGAGCACAGCACAACAACATACTGTGGTAGTTTTCTCAAGTTTAGGAGAGAGAGAGAGAGAGGGTATTTCGAAGGGGGGGAAATACGAGGCCTCAAGTTGGATACAAAGGAACAGAATGCATCACAGTAGCGTTTTGTGTCTCATTCAAACAAAAGAGATGCTAAAGAGACCAACTCGGAGGCCCAAAGGGCTCTGTAAGAGATCCCGCTACACCAAATTGGCCAGGGTCATCCTGTCCTCAGGCCGTCCGTAGAGCACATTCAACTCTTCTTCTCATGTCCCAAGACTGCTCTGAAGAGTAAAACCTTCACCGTGAAATGACAGTGGTCAAGAATGTATTTGTTGACTTGAATAGATTGGTTCTACTTATCATGCATATGCCCAGATACCATCTCACCTCGACCCTTCTTCTGCTGGTCATTGCTGTATAAAATTCTTTTGCTGGATTGGCGCTGCAAAATCTTCTCCTCACACTTCCCACTGGAGGAGGCATCCCCACGGCTTCAGAGCCGTTTTCTTTTTCCTTTCGTGTTGGCCTTACTCAGCTCATGCTATTTCTCCCCCCTCCTTGCTCTCAAGGACTAGGCCATGGGCTCACAAAAACGGCAAGATCATGGCACCAGTCAAGCCCCTACCCTGGGCGCCGCAAAGGGTGATGATTTGCTGGTCATGGCCACCAACAACAGCAGCATCGTCTCGAAGAGGAGTGTCGAGCGCCTCTACTACCCCAACGAACCACATTTCTTCCGCTTCTTCGTCAACAAATTCCAGCGGAGAGCACCTCTGATCAACAGGGGCTATCACCTCAGGCTTCATGTCATCGACGTCACTCTGCGCAACTTTTTGAAACAGCCCTCTCCCAAGACCAAAGTTATCGTGAATCTTGGCTGTGGCAGGTACGCAGTCCTCGTCCTCTCCTTCCACCCGCTCACGCCAGTGCTGTCTTCTGCTGGACAACAGCTGATTTGTTCTCCTCTAGCGATGTCATCCCCTGGCAGTGTTGGACTCGTTATCCGGAAGATTGCACCAGCTCCGGAGCAGTCTTTGTCGATATCGACTTCCCACACCTCATCCAGAGGAAACGTCAGGTTGTGCTCAACACGCCTGAGTTGATGTCTCATCTATCACACGTCGATGCCGCAGACGCTGATCCACATGTGTTCTTGCGCAGCGATCGGTACTATCAGGTGGGCTGTGATCTCCGCCAGACAGCCACACTCGAGGCCACCTTAGGCTCTCTGCTTAATGTACGAGACTGCCTCTTCATGTTTGTTGCCGAGGTCTCGATAACTTACATGGAAACGGATGCTGCTGACTCGGTCATACAATGGGCCGGCAGTCTTGGCCAAGGTATTTTGCTCTCGCCCTTTGCCCCTGTAGAACTGACATCAAAAGGCTCAACAGTCGAGAGCATTCTATGCCCACATCAATGCTGACCACCTATCCAGCCGAATTTTGTCTGCTCGAGCAAATCCTGCCAGACGGCCCTGATCACCCTTTCGCCAGCACTATGACGGGCCATTTCGACAAGCTGTCAACGCCAATCAAGTCGGTGACCACCTATCCCACGATCCCCCAACAGTGCGCCCGCTTCAGGAACAAGGGTTGGTCCTCGATAAACGCCCAGTCCTTATGGTCTGCCTGGAGCGATGAGACCTTCTTGACACCAGATCACCGCCGAGAGCTGGATCATATTGAGCCATTCGACGAATGGGAAGTACGTCTTTCAACTGGAGTTTCTGGTGGGACCCCTTTGTCAACCTCCTCAAACAGTAATACTGTCTGTATATGCTGACGAAAAGCCATTCCAGGAGTTTGTTCTATTCGGGAGTCACTATGTTCTTCTCCATGCTAAGAATTACGGCGGTGGACTCTCGACAACCCCTCCCAACAATCCTAGGTCGTCCATTTCATCGATGGCGGTCGAGACGCATTACAGTAAACTTCCTGGTCAACATGGTCTTCGCCGATTTGGAAAGGCCATGCTCACAGTCGATGCTCTTGGACACGAGTCGATTTTTAACTGTTTAGGACTGGGGAGCTCCACCCGCCTCCCGTCGTACGACATTTACACTCGCCAAGGCCGCCTCCGTGGCCAACATGTGCAGGCTCACGGGGGGCCATCGAGTCGCATGTGCTTTACCTTGACCGATATAGGGCAACACGGAGTTCTGCTCACCGGTGGTCGATCGTCGCCTGCGAAAGCGATGAGCGATTGCTGGCTTTTCAAGCAAGACTCCCAGAGATGGGAACGCACACACAATCTTGCTGTCCCTCTCTACAGGCATTCCGCTTGTAGGCTAGCCAGCTCTTCCTTGGCCCTCGTCTTTGGTGGAAGATCAGGGGCGACAGGGCTTTCGGATCTGATCACTGTATATCACCCCGAAAGGGGCTGGCTCAGTTGCCTGGTTGGAGGCTCGACTCGCCCAGACCTAAGATTTGGCGCGACGCTCGCCTGCTGCGGTCGGAAATCAGGGATCCGTCCAGTATTTTATGGCTTCGTGGCTGGCGGCCTCTCAAGCAGTGGCACGATTGTCAGACAGACACTGGCGTGGAACCTCACATTTGACAATGACCAGGTGGGTGTACCCTGTCCACGCATCTTCGTCACAATGGTACTGACGGGCATTCTCAGGCTCCGATCATTACCTTCACTCCTGCCGCAATACGTGGCGCTGACACGTTCGACCTCCTGTCCAGGTTTGGAGCTTCGTACGTACAGGATGCTGATAGAATGATACTCATCGGCGGTGTCGGTAGTGATGGCATAATCAGTCGCGTGGGTGACATAACTGTCTTCACTACTTCTGAGACGGAGATACGGGCAGCCACGGGGCTGAATATCACAGCCTCGGGGAACCCCCGTCCTCTGCTCATCGGATCAAGTGCAGTACTCACAGGAGAACGAGAAATCGTTATATTGGGCGGAGCAGCCACTTGTTTTTCCATGGGAACTTTCTGTATGCGCCCCCTCTTCCCGACTACTTGTCAAGCCATCCTAACGTTTCTTCCCAGGGACAAAGAGCATATATACACTCAGCCTGCCTGGAGCGAGATCGGATGGCCTAAGTCTAGAGGACTTAAAGTGGCAGTTCGTACAGAGTGGCGAGATTGTCCAATCGCCGCCAGGAGACGTGCAGAAGCCTCAGGTCAGCCCTGATCAGATCGCAGAGGTGCAACGCATCCGGCGCGTCTCTGTGGAATCAGAAGAGGCCTTCGAGAAACTCATCGCGGACGGTCTTCCTGTTATCCTAGAGAGACTCAATCTCGGGCCGTGTCTTGCTACATGGAGTTTGCGTTACCTGACGCATTGCATAGGGGAACGTCGCAAGGTAGGCAGGCATAAGCTCAACTGGGACAAATGAGAATGAGCACATAGCTGATGAGGATGTTTCAAAATACCTACCTAGGTGGTCGTCCACGAGTCCCAGTCAAAGAACATGGACTTCAACGCCAAGAACTTTCGGTATACGACCATGGACTTTGGCGAGTTTGCAAAGGAGGTGGAGAGCGGTAGACAGCTCTACTTGCGTGCTCTATCCGCGGACGCCCCAGCTGATCAGGCAGCAAGTCTCGAGCGGGATTTCCCAATGCTGACTTCTGACTTCATCTTGCCCGATCCGCTGCGCGCATGCAAAGACAATTTGCACAGCTCAATACTCCGGATTTCCGGGCCGGTCAATATGTGGCTTCACTACGGTACGTCTTTGGAGACCAGCCTACCACCACCTCTTTGCTTCTCTTCGTCAGTTGCTCATGACGCCTGAATACCAGATGTGCAAGCCAATGTGTACTGTCAAATCAGTGGGTCGAAGCGGATGGTCTTGTTTCCGCCTTCGGACATCACTCACCTGTCCTTCGCACCTGGAGCTTCGAGTTCCAGCATCGACGTTTTTTCCTCTCTCGAGTCATCCGCTTTGGCATCTACCCATCCAATGGAAGCGGATCTGAACCCGGGTGACATCTTATACATTCCGCCCCTTGTAAGTAATTCCCTTTGAGAAAAATCCCCCTCTGTATTTCATTCCGGGCTATCCCAGTCATCTTTAATTGTATCTTGATTGCCCCCCCCCCCCCAAGAGTCGCATCTGTACCAGCATGCTTCCTCTACAAGATCCTCAACACTAAAAATATATCACAGTGGTTGCACACCGCTGAGCCGACTGCCAGCCCCTCTATCGCCGTCAACGTGTTCTTTCGCAGTCTTGATCCCGGCAACTATGCAGTAGGGCGCGATGTCTATGGTAATAGGGACCTTGGCGCGTATGACAGAGGACGACAAGATCTTAACCGGATAGTGAATGCCTTTGGCAAAGTTCCTGATTCTTGCAAGCAATTCTACTTGCTCAGACTAGCAGAGGAGTTGGCCGAGAAGGCAAGGATTCTAGATCCTTGAGCATAACGAGCCAAAAGGGTGATCGGTAGCAGTACCAGCGTCAATCACCACATGAGACCTAATTTACAAGCCATCAATCTCCATCAAACCGTCATCCAGATCATCATCCCCGAAGTAATCAAACCCCTCTCCTGCTGCCTGCTGGTTGAAGGTACCAGCTCCGTTGACTTGTGCATCCCTTAGTTCTTGTATCTGCTGCTCGTCGAGCTGCTCCTGGTGCTTCTTGAGGTCAGATTCGCTCCAGGTACTTATTCCCTCCTGGTCCTTGGCCCTGAAAGGCTGTGCCATGCTTCTTAAAAAACGCCTGGCACTGCTGACTGCCATATCTGTGCTGAGGTTGCTGTCAGAGTCCAACAGAGCCTGGTTGATCCATTTTGGGAGCTGCCCTCGCTTCTTCTGGAATCGCCTGTCTGCCAGCACCATGATGCCGTAATCGTCTTTGCCCCTCAACACTCGTCCGAGACACTGCGCCGCGTGACGCATGGCGTCGAAGGACAGGAAGTCGTTCTCTCGGATGCGGTAGGTCTCCCTCAGGAATTCCAGGCGAGCCTTGAGAATACGGGATTCCGTGTACTGGAAGGGGACGCCCATGCACAGCACTGTTCGGCCGTACTGGTGATCGAAGTCGATGCCCTCTGATACCTTCCCTCGAGCGACACACAACAAGACGGCACCGCGACCGTTGCAGCATGCAGTGCGGTATGTTTCTAGTGCGAGTGAGGTCTCCTGGGCGTCCGGAGTCTCGACGAGTATGAGTTTGTACTTCCAGACCTCGTTCAAGATGCCCATACCCTGCCACATACTGATAATGGATTCCATGTACAGGTAGGACGGGAAGAAGACAACGAGGCCATCCGGTGTGGTCTTGGCAAACTCCGTTAAGAGATTGCCATAGTTGCGCACCACACTCGGCTCGTTGCGCACCTGGAAGCTGGTAGAAATGGCAGCCTGGTCGCTGCCCCTTGTCACTATCATTGGCAAAAAAGACCGCCGAGCCAGCGTCATGCTGTATGACTCTTGGACCACCGTGGTGAAGCCCAGCATCTTTGGGTACATCTCGAGGGGCGATATGGTACCGGAGGTGATGATAACAGAGCTGAATCGATCAAATACGGGTTTGATGGCAATGGCTGCGTCTAGGCAGGTGAAGTGGAGGACAGGGTTAGGTACCTCGGCCGTGTCGGACTCATACGGCTCCAAAATAAGAAGAAACCCCTTCTCGTAGGTGGCAACAAGTGTAGCAAAGGTAGCTACCTCCTGTAAGGGCTGATAGTCCTCGATGTTGGTGAGCTCGAGTGTTCTGACGAGGGACGTGAGGCGTTCGGCACAGAATCTGAGCGGTTTCTTTTCGATGAAGGTAAACTCCTTCAGGTGGGCGAGGAACGAGGGCGGCGTCTCGGAGATGACCTGTCGGACCTTCATACGCGTCTGGAAAGCCGCAGTTGTCAGTGAGAGCGGCCTTGGAGGATATCTTGGGCAAAGCTCGAACCTTTAGATACTCAATGAACCTCTTTAAAAAGGCCACGAAATGCTCCGCCCTACGTATGTTGCCGGGTACTGCCTCCTTCAACAAGTCCTCAGGCAATACTGTGCACAACGTCAGCAGACCCGCAAGAGAACGTGAACGAGTTCTCAGTACTCACCAGGGTTTGCCATGAGAGCATCCTCTTGGCGAGCCTCATCTGCCTCTCTGAGACCGTCCACCAGCTTCTGGTACTCGTTCTCAAGCGCCCGCTGATCAGTCTCTCTCATGTGGTTGATCTTTGTCTCGAGATTTTGAGCGCCACGCGTAGCCTTCCTTAGCGAATCCTCAGTGATGTCAGTGCTTAGCGACTCGATGCAGACGTTGTCGATGTTATGAGCCTCGTCAAAGACGACAATGCAGTCTTTGGACAAGTCCTTGGAGACGCGCTCCGCGATTTTGGGGTCGAGCAGATAGTGATATGAGTAGATGATCACGTTGCAGAATTGCATCTACAGTTCCGTCAGCATCTCTGGAAGGTGTGAAGATAACAGCGAACGAGTGGGGAGTGAGAGCTCTCACCATGCGACGCGCTGTGAAGTAAGGACATTGTTGGTGCTGCTCGCCATAGCGCAAGAGACCATCAAAGGTCCAGACGCCGTTTGGTATGAGGTTGTGAGCCTCGAGAAGGTCAAGATTCTATGCACATCAGCAAAAACGGCAGTATAGAGACAGCAAGAAGGACAAGGACATACGTCATGGTAGACGCAGAGTTCGACATCCTCGCCACGCTCCTTCTTCTCCTTCACAAAACCAGCCGTCAGGCTCCGGCAACGGGCGTCGACAACGTTTCCGCTCTTCTCCCGCTTGACGGAGGGGTGGAGACAGAGGTTCTTTCGGCTGGTCAAGCCCAGGCCCCTGAACTCCTCCTCGTAGCCGAGCTGGTCGGTGCGGTATTTCATGAGGGCCTTCAGCTCGGCCAAGGCCTTCTCGATCTCGGACATGGTACGGGAGCAGTAGACAAGTTTCCGCTTCTCCGGGTAGTACTGCTGGTAAGCGACGATCAACGACAGCAGCGAGATGGTCTTCCCAGTACCCGAGGGCATCTCCAACACACAGTGGCCACCCGCATCGAGGGTCCCTGAAGAGGTAGTATGTACAGTCAGCACTGGAGCCGATAAAGCAGGGACAGGATAGGATGGGAGTCTAGCGTACGTTTGAGGTCGCACATGTAGGCATATTGCTCTGTTGTTATCGGTAAGCTCGATGCCAGCCTGCGACTACTGATTTCAACCAAGAGAAGAGGCAGGCGCATACCTGGATAGATTTTCGGATATGGGAAAAGCACGGGCAGGTCGCTGTCGGCAGAGTCAGTGGTGTATCTCGCAATGGAGAGCAGTAGGGAACACCTCACTCTATGTTGAACCTCATGATGGCAGCCTTGAGGGCGAGAGGACGCCCGGAGGGTCCTCACGCGATTTGGTTCGGGCGATTTCTGCAACTAGCAAAAAGAGGCACAAAATGAAGATGGAAGTGAATAGAGGGTTCAGGAAGGCCAGCGCCCGTCCAAGCTCGAAGTTATGCAACGAAGTCGGATGGATAGAGAGCGATGGTGGGGCAGTTTGCTGCCGGGTCACGTCTCCAAATAGAAGCAGCTGAGTGCAAGCTCCAGGTTCCCAGTCCCCGGGTTTCGACGGCAAAGGCCGCCGCGAGGGGTGGTGCCTAGCAGACCCAGGCTACACGTAGCTTTACCTTCCCCCGTACCGCAGGCACTGAAGGCCTGGGCTTGTCGACAGATATTCAGTGCCAGGCCCTGCTCTCTAATTCGTTGTCTGCTTGCAAACAGAGAGCCGGGACGCCTGGTTTCTCGATACTATCGACTCTACAGTGTTGGATTTGTGATGCTTGATGGCTTTCGGGGGGAGGGGGCGTAAGGGTCGAGTGAATTATGATGATGCTAGGCGCGGTGTCACGTGCTGAAGTGGTCGAAGAGCCAATACAGGCCAGTGCAGATAATACAGTGCCGTACAGTACAACTTACTGTCGGGACTAACGGTAGTACTATTTGTTCTACTTCCACTTTACCGCCCCATATTGTATTTCTCGAGGGCCAAGCAATTCCAAGATTAGAACATACCCCTCTTCTCTTGTGGTCCCTCCTCCGTACCATGGATGACACGACTGTACTACGGTAGAATACTACCAGAGTACTGAAGTATGAATGTATTGATTCACTGCAAGCGCCATGCTGTTCGTCGGTTAGCCGCTTCCCCATCCTATTGCTACCCTCCCACGTGCCTCGAATCCTATGCTATGCAGTCACGCCCGCCACCTCCTCACATTCCATTTGATCATCTCTTACCCACCTTCCTCGGTAGATACGGACAGGCAGATGGGTCAGCTTCTGTGCATAGAGGGAAAGGAGAAGAGGAAAAAGGGATGGTGATCTCCCAGACCTGGACATGCCACGCTGGATCCAGGCTTGTCCAGGCCAGAGAAGTCAAGTGGATTGGGGTGCCTGTCTCTCTACATACGACCCATTCCCACTGCTCACCATGCCCCAGTTGTACAGAGCAGGTAGTACTATGGTAGCACTGGTTGGCAGGGTTGGCGCTTCCTTAGTGGTGGCCTGTCACAGTCCAAATCTGCCAGGTGTGTGCGCTCTGTAGAGGTTTGGCGGTGTGCCTAACAATTTCAGGGCTCTTCTCTGAGCCTACTGCACGGGGATAGGTGGGCCAAGTCACGCTATTCCAAGGGGCGGATCTCTCTCCCGGGTCAGTTGGCAATTGTACACAACCTGGTCCTGACAATATTGAGTGAGCGGGCAGCGTGCAGAATGCCATCAGCGACACTCGTGCTCTTCTCGATGCCGGTAGTCCACAAGGTCTGTCACGGACCCACACTCCCGGGTCCCGGGACGCCGGGTCTTTGATCCGACCTCAGTGCGGTGATGATTGTGAGGTTTGGGTGCCTAGCTTTGCTATTATTCTCTTTTTCCATAGTACCTACTATACATAGAAAAGACGTAGCCGCGCAGCACAGCGACTTGTATTAAACATATAATATCATACCAGCCCTGCTTACATCTGATAAAGACACACAGCTCCCCATTGGTACATCCTAACTTGTACAACATAGGACTGACTACCTTTACGAGGTATACGAAGAGATCAGCGCTGAGAAAGCGATAGAAGAGAAGGGGTGGGGGGGGGGCCGAAAAGCGTGCGAGATCCGCATGGACAGGGACAAGAGAGGAGCAGTGGATACTGCAATATTCATGGTATAGTGCAGAAGCTGAGTGCTTGGTCCTGGTGCACCCACGATGGGCCGAAGTTGCATGTCACGAGCAACACTACAGTAGCCAACCTGTTACACAATAGTCTACCAGTATCTTGGCCAGACAAAACATCGGAAAATCAGACCATCACGCTGTGTTCATCGATGTGCTACCACACATGTGCAGAATGTATGGCTCTGTAGGATGGTGGCCTTTTGTATTCGGTGTACAGTTGGAGTAGTAGTTGGCTGAGACCCTGTCGACTTGCCAGCAGCCACCTGGCCCAGACCCAGTGAGCAAGGACATACTATATAGTAAATAGTGTACATGATATGCAGCAAATGTATAAGTATACTATGTAGTATTATCAGTCCTGTACTATAATACACGTATTGTCACGTTGGGCAAGGCACATTGACAGCACCAGCTTCAGTTCCTCCGCCCTCGGCATCCTTCCGGCCCCCTCTCCCTCACCTCTTCTTCTTTCTAGCCTTCTCAATTCTTTTGAAAAAAAAATTTGTCCACCACCGTTGCTCCTTCCCTTTATACTATGTAGTGTTTTGAATCCTTCGTGATGGACTAGGGCGAGGGTCCATTGGTTGGCACAAGCAGACAAGTTCGGGGGTCCTTTTGGGCCCTAAACCAGAGACGGCTAGTCCAACTCACCAGCAGGGGATCGCATCCTTCGATGAGCACTGCCGCCCGGAATCTGCTGTGACAACCTGCTACGTAGGATTGTAGACTTCTTACAACATACAATCATTCTCTCATCGCGCCCACCAACCAACCCACCACTAACCCACCAGGTTTCTCTAGATACCATGCCATGCCAGCTGTCTCTTCTGTTTTGACTCTCTCTCTCTCTCTCTCTGTCCTCCTATTTGAGGACCCCACCTTCTCTCTGCCCCCCCCCCCCTTTCTTGCCTGCGTCCCCTACCTTTCTTTCTTGGGACCTGTCTGGCTGAGCTGATCCAACGCACTGGAACCATGGCATGCTCTGGTGCGCTTTTGTGTGTGTGTGTGTGTGTGTGTGTGTTCGACAGCAGCCACACCCAGCCCTATGATGCTGTGTAGCCCACCACTCTAACTCTTTCTCAACGTCTTACAGGGACAAAAACGGCTGTCAGGACGAATAAGCATCCAACCACGTCGGAGCTTGTAGATGATGTACTTACTATGCATGGTACGTATGTACATAGTAGTAAATAGTATGACATGCAACCATAAGCCCCAACTGGCTCGGTTGGGTGGAGTCTTTTTTGGCTGTTATTCCCCCCCCCCCTTCCCTTCTTTTTGATCTTCCCCTTCTTCAGCCCATCCACACCACCACCTCCCCCCCAAGTGTCCACTACGAGACCCGACCCATGTTCGAGTCCATCTGATCCACCTCAGATATGTACGTTGGTTCGACCCAACGGCCCATGTTGGGCATGGTACGGTACAAACTATTGTGCCTTCCATAGCTTTAAGCTCACATCTTGAAAGGGAAGAGAGAGAACAACCCTTGCTACTTGCTCACCCTCTACCCTCTGCCTCCACCTCTTCCCCCTCTGTTCCTTCGTCTTGCCAGGACCAGAAAGCTATCAGCCTTGCTGTCGGCCTCCGGCGTTGCTTCCATAGACACACACCCCACTCTGCGGTATCCCAGGCTTGTTGCTCGACTTCAGCCTCGTCTTGCAAACCTAGGCCTGGGCCTGGACGCATGCCTGGGTAGCTCAGTCTCCCTGGGGTGGGTATATCTGCCTGGTGGATGTTGCATCGACTCATCCTTCCCCCCACCTGCCGTTGGTCTTCTGGCTATATCTCTTATTTGGGCGCCACCTTTTCGTCGCTGTACTTGCCAGAGAGTCCGTCTTCAAGGCACCTTTTCCCATGACCTAGTCTCTGTCCCTCCCTCTCTCTCTTTATTCTTCCGGCGCTGACAGAGGCACGCCACACGTCACATCACCAGGCCTCAGCATCATCTTGACACGGCTCACCATACAGCAGGCACCGGCCTTCTCTGAGCCAGCCGCAGTCCACAGAGGAACCTGAGCTGCTCGGAACTTCCGAGGTGTGGTCATTATCATCATCATCATCACCACCACCGCCGCCGCCGCCAGCAGGGAAGAGAGGCTAGATCTAGTCCGCTTCATCCGCCTCCTCGAGAAAACCCCCCTCCGGCTTGAGCCATGGACCTGACGCCGCCTCTGACGCGATCACCCGCTTCCACGCCCAAGACGTACTGCCCATCAGAGGCATCCTCTGATTACCCATCTCCTGACCTGATCGGGCAGCACTACGGTATCTCCTCCGCTTACGAGGCTTGCTCTATGGCGCCGACCCTCACTCCAGATGTCTCAAGTCCGCGGCTTGATGCAGTGACACACTCAGAATGGAGTCCTGCTTCGGTCCTCCATCCTGCCTTGACCACGGCGTCTATGACCACCATCCTGAGCGCAGAATATGACAACTTCGCCTCCTATGATGGGCCCATATCTGCTGCTGCATATCCCAACGACGTCTACTCGGGTCGAAGCCAAAACTCCCCCCCACCAACGTTGCAGGGCGCGCGGTCGCCTGTCCCCTCACTCGCGAGGCCTCCCAACCAGTATCCTCCCATTTCGGGGTCTCCAAGTCCGAAATTGCGGCCAGAAGACATGCCCGCCCACTACAGCCACGGCGTGGACGCTTCGCAGTATCCGTCGCCCAGCCTCGCCCACACCTCCTACCCTCCGGCTGACATGGGTCCAGCCTCGTCCCTGGCGCAGTCAGAGCCGGCTGGTGGGTATACGCCGGAGGGCGCCTTGGCACCATGGCCCAGGGCAGACCAGTACCCAGGCGACCCCGAGCAGCTCTATGCCGGTGGTCTCCACTCGCCAGCCATGATGCCACCAAGACACGGGGCGCGGGTCGCCTCGCGTATAAGCGAACAGCAGAGGCGAACCACGAGGAAGCTGACCACCAAGGAAGAGGCCAACTTTCAGTGCGACGTCAAGGGGTGTGGCAAGTTCTTCAGCCGTAGCTACAACTTCAAGGCGCACATGGAGACACACCGCGAGACGCGCGAGTATCCCTTCCCCTGTCAAGTTGGAGACTGCAACAAAAGGTTCGTGCGCAAGACGGATCTGCAGAGGCACCACCAGAGTGTGCACATGAAGGAGCGTAAACACGGCTGTGAGTACTGTGGACGAATGTTCGCCCGCAGAGATACTCTCAAGAGGTAAGCAGAGACCAGTCTCTAGTACAGGCACCCATTTCACACAAAGAGACACAGTATGCTAATGCCAGCTCTGTTATTTGAAATGTTTCTAGGCATAAGACGGATGGCTGTCACAAAAGATTCGATATAGGGACAATGGACCTGCGTGCAGAAGCCCAGGATGAGAGGGGTCTTTTCCCACTACCAAACCTTCCACCCCTGGCAATACCACCTCTGGGCTCTCAGCACACCTCAGTCCCGTCATTACGCGGACAGGAATCGAGCGAAATGGGTTCGGCCTCTCCTTGGAACAGATAGGTGCGCAAGCGGCCATGCACACTCGAGGCACCTACCAACTACAAATATGGGTTGTCTTTGATGGACACTCATCTTGATCTGAACGGGAACACCCTCAACACCAAAAAAATTTCACAACCAAGTTCACACTTAGCGCTGAATGGTGAAGCGGAGCCAGCCTGCACACGAGTCCTCGGCCGTTCTCCCACCACGCATGTTTTAGAAGACTCATGTCGAGGACGCACGAAGTGACAGTGCCAATCCGATCACAGGACAGCCACACGGGCCCGAGGTGATACATACTTGCGTGGTTCACGTGTACTGAGTGGCAAGATAATGTTGGTAATTCAACGGCTGCATAATCGGACAGCGTTGTCTGTTGGCCCACAACACTTGATGATCATCTTGTCGGATTTTGGGGCCGAGCTGGTTACACATGCTTCCTTTAGTCGGGCTCGTCTTTTATGGCATCGCCTGCAGCAGCACTACGAACAAGGGAGGGGTCAGGGGCGGGTTGTGACGATATCAGGATTCAAATGTGAGCCTTCATCTTGCTGTGATGGGACCCTTCGTTTGAAACTTCGGGTCCAACATAAGGATCTGACAGCTTGCCGTCCTGCCCAAGCCCTTTCTGCAAGCGCTCGAGAGACCCGGCCAACGGAAATCTAGGCCAAAAGTTGGAGCCTCCTCGCCATCGGGATCCTCGACTTCCATACCTGCTGCCTGAAGGCGGCTCACTCTCTTGAGTAAATACAGCCAGAACAGTCCGTTACGTTGTTGCTATGACCATAGCAAAAGGAGGCGGGAGACTAGCAGGAGATAAGACCGGCCTGGTAAGAGGGAGGCACTGCTAGCAGCAGCTCGACCCCGAGTTCTGAGTGGATCAACACGACGCATTGCATTTCGTCGATACATACGTGAAAGGTACGAGGCGAAGTCCTGAACCTTACGCCTGTAGGCGATCAACAGAAGTATGAAGACTGGTTGTGCTGTGCGCTTCACTAAGCGAAGTAAGGAAGGAGACAAATTACGAGAACATCAGACAAGTGAAAACTACTTGTCGAATTGTGAGGCTTTGATTGTGGTTCTATGCCATGTGATCGTGAATGGGCTGCCGTTCAAAAGTCTGCTCGATAGCTCAGACACTAATAGATGCCTCCGAGTATGCCGTGCCAGGCCAGGGGACAACATGCGTCGTCATGCACCCTGTCAACCTAGAGCATGCTCCGTGCCGTAGACCAGAAGTTGTCCATCTTTGACCTTGCCAGAGCATCACGAGCTTCGGCGTCCGTCTCAGCAACTTTTGAAGTCCAACGCTTGAAAGCCCTAGTCTTGACCTCGCCCTCAAAGACGAGTTTGCAATAGTTCGAAGTCATATCTTTGAGGCCGCCCTTGTCATCCTCTGCCATGAGCCACTCTCTCTGCTGACCTTGCTTGGCATCTCGAGATGGCACGTTCTCTGTCCAGTCAATCCGGTTCATCATGAGCTTCTTGTACTTTGTAGTGCTCCACTGTCCCCCCTCCGCAACTATCAGGTTGAACCTAGGGTGCATAACGCAGATCCCAGTGAGGGCCAGCTGCTCTGCATTCTTCTGGATCTTGAATCGGTGCTGTCCGTTAGCGAGGCTTCCAATCTTGAACACGAGGAGGTGGAGACTTTTGGCGGCGTCTTTCTCCTGGTTGGCAGCCAGCTTTTCGTGCTTCTGCTCCTTGGTCAACTTCCTCTCCTCATTCGTCTGCAGGTGCTTCTGGTGCCTCTCCGCGATCTGCTGGTTGACCATGGCCTCGACAGCCGTCGGATCCTTAACGGCCTCCTCACCCAGAACACGCATCAGGTTGCCCTTTTTAACCTTGGGAGGGGGTGCTGGGATGAGGCCAAGCCTGATCTTGGCCTGCTGCTCCTTGAGATCAGCCATCCGATTCTGCCTTCGAATCTTTGCCTGCTCCTTGGATGTAAGATACATAGGCTTCGGCGCGGGGGCATTGCGTTCCTGTGGGGGCTCCAGCGCCACGGGGTGCTGTATGAGGTTCGTGACGATGGTGTCCTCGCCCTGGATCTTGAGGGAGCTGGGATCATCTAGAGTGTCGTAAGACGTGACCAAAGCTTCATCCCACCACTCAATCTCTGGAGGCGCCTCAACCACGAAGTTCTTCTCGCCCAAGTCCTCATCGATACCGGCCTTCCTCGTCTGCTCGGCAATCCTTTTCTTCATCGCCTCGAGGGCGGCTTGTCTTCGGAGGGCATTGGCTTGCTGTATGTATTTGCCCTTCTGGTTGAAGGCGAGCTGGCGTGGCATCCTCTGTTTGCCGGCGGAAACGCCCGGTGTGGCGGTCTCAAGATACGGATTCGCCCCGGTCGCTCCGCCCTGGCCATTAAGAAAGGCAGAGGTCCTGCTGCCGGCAGAAATACGTGTCTGTTCGCTGTGTAGCTTTCCTGCCGAGCCCATAGCAAGTCTCGAATCGGCTGGCTTGGCGGCGGCGGTAGGCTTCCACTGTCCGAGATCCTCAAGAGCCGGATGAAGCCCAACATTCAGGCCGCCCTTCGCCTTGCTTGTTCCGATGGCGGCTGCGACACGTGCCTTGAGGGCGGCCATCCTGTCGGCGGCAGATTCGGGCTTTTGGACGCGCGACGCAGCATCATGGCGGGGGCCAAGGCCGTTGCTCGGCTGATTCCGATCCATGTCTGTTTGAGTAATCGTTTTTGTGTCGAAAGAGATCGGCGTTTGGCAGGGTAACAGGCTTTGGGTCAAGCAGCAGGGCGAGAGGCGGGCGACGAGGTCAGAGCTGGTTTGAGCGGCCACGACCGCTAAGTCGCCAGTGAAGTTGCTAAGAGGAGGTGCCAACAGGGCGGCATGGGAGATGACGTATGATCAGCACGGCCGTGTACAACAATATAACTTGTAAGATGTTTTGTGAGAAGGGGAGGGAGTAGTTGGTTATCGTATTTGACAGGCGCGTGGACGAGTGGATGGCTGGTGTAGGAGAATCAGAATAGCTGGTTGTATGGATAAGGTATATGACCATAGTACACAGCAGTTGCAGCACAGCGCGTAGGCGGTAAGTACTTTAGTTTTGGGGGCAATTCTTTTGCAGTATCACATGGCAGGGATCATCTGCTATGGGGCACCAACCCACCCACCCCCTGTCTGTAGTAGCTTCCCGGTCAGAAAATATTCTGCCGCCTCTCTCCGCCAAATTTTTCTGTCTCTTCGTATGTAGCAGTACTCCAATGAAAGTTACTCCCCTCCTCACGGTCATGGGCCAAGGAAATCTTGACTGAATTCGCCGTCCACCTCCCATCACATAACATCGTGACTAGAAGACTTCTCGCCACAAGTCGACTGCGAGGCGCAAGGGCGATAGTGTGTGGACAATCGACTGCAAGTCAACCTCCAGAGGCTACCACGGCGCAAGGGTTATGCCATCATGAATATCTCCCAACCTGTCTCGTCCTCGGTCGACCGGGTCGAGTTCACATTTCTCACCAAGGATGAGATTCACGCGATCTCGGTCAAAAAGATCGAGAATGACAGCACCTTCGATACCCTCTTGAACCCTGTCCGTGGGGGACTGTACGATCCAGCCCTTGGTTCTTGGGGAGACTCCATGTAGGTAGAAGAACTCAATCCCCCATCAAACGTCCTTTCACTGCCGTTCTCACGACACATGCTGACCTGTCTGCTGCTCCGCAGCTGTACGACTTGTAACCTAGGCCAACAGTCTTGTCCCGGTCATCCCGGCCACATCGACCTTCCCGTCCCAGTGTATCATCCTACCTTCATGGACCAGGTCCTCCGCCTGGTGCGAGCACAATGTGTATACTGTGATGGCTTCCGTCTGCCTAGGAGGGACATTCACCGCTACACCTGCATCCTCCGTCTTCTTCAATACGGCCTGCTCCATGAGGCAAGGATGGTCGAGGCCATAGGAGAGAACCTCTACGGCCTCGACCTGCCAGGCGTGCCCCAGGACTATGTCGCTGCCGGCTCCGACTCAGAGGACCAAGACGGAACAGCCGATGGTATTATGAGGGCGCGCGATGCCTACGTTCGTCGCATCCTACAGAGCCACCCATCCGGCTTGGCACGCCGGAAGCATGAGGGTGCCGCTGAACTTCGCACCGCCACGGTGGCTGAATTTTTCAAGGACATCGTCAAGACGCGGGTGTGTGCATCCTGTCAGGGCGTCACCCCTACCTATCGCAAGGATCGATCCGTCAAGATTTTTGAGAAGGCCCTATCGCCAAAGGAGCAGGCCAAGATGGCTCAGGGTGGCTTCAAGCGCAGGCAGGCAATACCCGTCCAGTCCAAAAAGAAGGCGGACAAGAACAGTGACTACGACTTGGACGAGGGTATCGCCGATCTCTCATCTTCGGATGGCGAGGGAGGCGCTTCTGACGAGGGCAGCGGCGATGCCCTCGACGAGGATGGCCTTGTTGTTCCCCACACTAAGGTCACAAAACTGACGCGAGGCGACGATTCGCCTGCCCAGCGCTACCTCTCCCCGGCAGAGGTGCGGTGGAGGCTGGCAAGACTGTTCGATAAGGAACAAGAGGTCCTGTCACTGGTGTACTGCAAGCAACCTCGGTCAAAGGTCACCACCGCCTTATCTTCCGATATGTTTTTCCTGGAGAGCATTCTTATCCCGCCCAACCGCTTCCGCCCGGAGGCTAGGACTGGTGACTCGCAGATTGCCGAGGCCCAGCAGAACAACCTCTACAAGATGATCATCAGGGCGTCAGCCAAGCTGGCATCGATCTACAGGCAAATTCAGGACCAATTGAGAGGCACCAATGTCGATCCATCATTGAGGGGGCCCAGGAGCATGACACAGCTCCATGAGGCCTGGACGGAACTCCAGGAGGCCGTCAATTCCCTAATAGACCGCAATCTCAATCCGGTTCAAGGAGCTGCCGCCAAGAGGAATGAGGAGGGCATCAAACAGAAGCTCGAGAAGAAAGAGGGTCTGTTCCGGAAGAACATGATGGGGAAGAGAGTCAATTATGCCGCACGCAGTGTCATTTCTCCGGATCCCAACATTGAGACCAACGAGATCGGCGTTCCTCCGGTTTTCGCTCGCAAGTTGACCTTCCCTGAGCCCGTGACGAGTCATAATTTCAAGGACATGCAACAGGCTGTTATAAATGGCGTGGAAAAGTGGCCTGGTGCTTCAGCCATTGAGAACGAGAACGGCCAGACGATCAACCTGCGCAACAAGTCGATGGAGGACCGTGTCGCCCTCGCAAATCAGCTCCTGGCCCCGACGAATACAACCTCCAGCGGTCTGAGAAATAAGAAGGTCCACCGCCATCTCGCTAATGGCGACGTGGTTCTGATGAACCGACAACCAACCCTGCACAAGCCGTCCATAATGGGCCACAGGGTGAGGGTTTTGCCAGGAGAAAAGACAATTCGCATGCACTACGCCAACTGCAACACCTACAATGCTGACTTTGACGGTGATGAGATGAATATGCACTTCCCTCAAAACGAAGTGGCCCGTGCTGAGGCACTGCAGCTAGCTGATACCGATCATCAGTATATATCCGGAACAGCGGGAAAGCCACTTCGAGGTTTGATTCAAGATCATTTGTCTGTGTCGGTAGCGCTCTGCAATCTGGACACATTCTTCGACAGACAGTCGTACCAACAGCTCATCTACGGCGCCCTACGTCCTGAAAGTGGCCATATTCTCGGTGAGAGAATCGAGCTGATTGCCCCAGCAATTCTCAAACCCGTGGCCAGATGGACGGGGAAACAGGTCATCACGACTATCCTCAAGAACATCAAGCCACCGAATTACGGTAATCTGTGGATGAGTGGAAAGACACAGATCCCAGCCGCACGCTGGGGCCAGGGCTCAGATGAGGCTGCTGTCTTATTCCATGATGGAGTTTTTATCTCAGGCATCCTCGATAAATCTCAGCTTGGGCCCAGCTCTGGTGGCTTCATCCATTCCGTACATGAAGTTTATGGGCCAGCCGTGGCTGGCAGGCTCCTCAGCAGCATGGGCCGTCTGCTGACGCGCTACCTCAACATGAGGGCGTTCACATGCGGGATGGATGACCTGCGGTTGACGCAAGAAGGCGAGGAGAACAGGAAGAAGAAGCTGGCCGCCGCGTCCGACATTGGCCTTCGCATCGCCGCCAAGTACGTGTCGCTAGAGAAGCAGCAGCCTGGGGCGTCTGACCCCGAATTACTTGCCCGGCTTGAGGAAGTTTTGAGGGATGACAGCAAGCAGGAGGGGCTCGACGTACTCATGAACCAAGGCAATAGTCTGATCTCCTCGGCGGTTACGGAGGCATGCCTACCCAATGGGCTCGAAAAACAATTTCCGAAGAACCAGATGCAGTCTATGACCACTTCTGGTGCCAAAGGCAGTCAGGTTAACGCCAATCTCATCTCGTGCAACCTCGGCCAACAGGTTCTGGAAGGTCGCCGTGTGCCCGTAATGGTCAGCGGTAAATCACTGCCAAGTTTCCGTCCATTTGACTCCAACGTCCGAGCAGGTGGCTACATCGTCAATCGATTTTTGACAGGTATCCGGCCGCAGGAGTACTATTTCCATCACATGGCCGGACGTGAAGGCCTGATTGACACGGCTGTCAAGACATCCCGATCTGGATACCTCCAGAGATGTCTCATCAAGGGTATGGAGGGCCTCTCAGTCGGGTATGACAGCTCTGTCCGCGATTCCGACGGCACGTTGGTCCAATTTCTCTACGGTGAGGATGGCCTTGACATCGCAAAACAGAAATATCTCACGAACTTTGGTTTCGTTCTTCGCAATTTCGAGTCTCAGATGGAGCAGACACACTACGCCGAGGCGAATGCCCTCGGACTGTTTGACCATAAAGATGACTTCTTCAAGAGGAACAAGCTTGCCGTCAAGAAGTCAAAGGCCAATATCGCCAACACGGATGAACCAGTCAACTGCGTGGTCAACCCCGCGAGGCATGCGTTTGCCACCTCAGAAAAGTTCTACGACGCCATGTCCGACTATATCAAGATGAATAAGGACGGTCTTGTCAGGGACAAGAAGGAGAAGGGTGATAAATACCAAGGACCAGGAGTCACTGCGCTCCCTCGGAAACAAGCGGAGAAAATATTCGCAGCCAAATATCTAAGGTCTCTTGTCGAGCCCGGCGAGGCGGTTGGTATCGTTGCCGGACAGTCGGTGGGCGAGCCGTCCACCCAGATGACATTGAACACCTTTCATCTGGCTGGACACTCGGCAAAGAACGTGACACTTGGTATTCCTCGATTGCGCGAAATTCTGATGACGGCCAGTGCGGACATTTCGACTCCCTCCATGACGCTAGTGCTGAACGAAGAGCTTTCGGAGGCAGATGGCGAGAGGTTTGCGAAGGCTATCAGTGTCCTTCCCCTCTCGCATGTCACGGACAACGCAACCGTCAGCGAACGAGTCGGGAAGGGCATCGGCTATCCTCTGGCCAAGATCTTTCTCATTCGCTTACGCTTCTTCCCCGCGTCCGAGTATGAAGAGACGTACAACATCAAGATATCTGATGTGCTCGACACAGTCGAGAAGAAGTTCTTAAGCCAGCTCCAAGCCATGATCAAAAAGGAGATCAAGAAAAAGAGCAACAATGCCACTGCGGCGACGCCAGAAGTTGGAGTCAAGGCTGGAACCATCGAAATGGCCGATCCAAATCGTGAAGGGGGCGGTCGTAGTGGCGGGGATGACGAGGATGATGACGACGACGACGGGGACGATGACGCGACAAATGCAAAGCAACGGGCCAACCGCAACGAAGCCGCGTCGTATGGCCCCAATGACGATGACGATGATGCCATCCAACGTCGTCTAGAGCAGGAGGCCACTCAGGGCGATATAGAAGAGGATGAGGGATTCGAAGGGAGCCCACCTCCCAGTGGCCATGACAGCGAGGATGAAAGCAAGACATCACAGGATGCTGGCGGTGCAGAGAGCCTTGGGCGTGAGCAACGCGTGAAAAGCAAGCACCCGCAGGTCACCAAGTTCCGTTGCAGCGAGCTCAGCGGGAGCTGGTGCGAGTTCGAGCTAGAGTTTGACGTCAACATCCCGAAGATCTTGATGCTAAACCTGGTTGAGGATGCCGTTCGCAAGACACTCATCCAGCAAATTCAGGGCATCGGGCAGTGCACCTTTGTGGCGAAGGAGAAGATGACAGACGCGCGGACCGGGGAGGACGTCGAGGTCTCGGTAGTCCACACGGCGGGGGCTAATCTCCAGGCTATGCAGCGGTTTGGCGAGTACATCAACCCGAACAAGATCTCGACCAACGATATCGCGGCTGTTCTGGCAGTATACGGCGTGGAAGCTGCCCGAAACAGTATCATTCAGGAGTTGAGCAACGTCTTCGGATCGCACGGCATCAGCGTTGACAACCGACACCTGAACCTGATCGGCGACCATATGACAAGGAGCGGAGGGTTCTCGCCGTTCAACCGGATGGGGCTGCGTGGCAACGTGAGCCCCTTTACGAAGATGAGTTTCGAGACCACGCTGGCTTTCCTCAAGGACGCACTGCTGGACGGTGACTGGGACGATCTCAGCACGCCGAGCAGCCGTCTGGTCATGGGAAGGCTGGGCAAGGTTGGGACGGGGGCATTTGACATTTTCACGCAGGCACCGATGAGTCACTACGATCCCATGCGGGCAGACGACGAGATGGAGCAGTAGGCTGACGAGGGAGAATCCCTGCTTTTGCAGTCGTTCCTCTTTTCAAGTGGCGTTTGGCGAGAGGATATTTGGTCAGCCATCATAGGTCAAATTCATTAGTATCTTCATTGGGATAGAAAAGTCTTTCTGGTGCTGAATTTCAGCCGCACCACTTTGATCTCCTCATTTCTTCTGCCCTTGAACTCGCGTGCAGCGTAGAAAGTGCCAAACTATCAAAGCAGCCAGCTCGCGCCGAGAACCAACCGTAAACCCCCCCCCCCCTTTTTCCCCAACATCCATTGGATTGCCGCGGACACAACTGCCAGCCACGCGTTTGTCGGCCATAAAGCACAACGTGGACCATGATGGTAGCGTGTAGCGTGTAGCTATAATAAGTACTTAGAGATTGCGGGTGGTTGTGGGTGAAGAACGAAGATGTTGACGATGAGGACAAAGAGATCTTGTAGCCTAGAGAAATGAGCCCCAGCAACTTTGGAGCGGGCAGAGAATACTCAGGAGGGACGAGCGTGCCATGACTTCAGAAGGCCGGTGGTCATGTTTACGCTGGCCTGTAACATTCCGCAACGCGTCAACAAATCCCGTCAGTAACGCCACTCAACACGCGTCACAGGAACTACTACAAAGCTGGATGCGCAGGAAGTGCACAGCATTTAGAGACAGCACGTCATGCGGAAGAGCCAAGTAGCGGAGGGGTTGTGATCATAAAGTTCCCTTGTTCAGTTCGGGGCAGCATCCCATTAGCTGCAGAATCTAATGTACAACCCAACCAGAAAGCAACGCATCGTGAACGCCAATGTAGACCCTTCCCGTGTGGATATGACCATCGTCAACCGAGCATTGCTGAAAAAATCATCGTAAACCGTCCCAAACCCGCGCAATCAGAAAAGGCACCACCCATTAGGCAGCTTAGTTGCGCTCACCACGGAGGCGGCGGGCAAGCTGGATGTCCTTCTGTAAGGTTGTTAGTAATGTTATGACTGAGTCGCAGAGCGCGCCGCGTCAAGGGGTGCTATTGTGGAGCGGTAGACACTTACAGACTGGATGGTGACACGCTTGGCGTGGATGGCGCACAGGTTGGTGTCCTCGAAGAGGGAGACAAGGTAGGACTCAACGGACTCCTGCAGCGCACCGATGGCGGACGACTGGAAACGGAGATCGGACTTGAAGTCCTGGGCAATCTCGCGGACCTGTTGGGGTGGAAGGCGTCAGTAAGATGCAGAGTCGCGACACAAATCGTCCCAGGAAGGAACGAGAAGGGGAAGACTCACCAGACGCTGGAAGGGGAGCTTGCGGATGAGCAGCTCGGTGGACTTCTGGTAGCGACGGATCTCACGCAGAGCGACGGTACCAGGCTTGTAGCGGTGAGGCTTCTTGACACCTCCGGTGGAGGGGGCGGACTTGCGGGCAGCCTTGGACGCGAGCTGCTTACGGGGAGCCTTGCCACCAGTGGACTTACGGGCGGTCTGCTTGGTGCGAGCCATTGTGATGATGCAGAAAAGTGATGATGACGATGAGAAAAGTTGGTGTTGTTGTGGGGGGTGATGGATTTGATGGGGAAAACAATCGGCTTGATGGCCAACTGGTGGGTGTGATGGGTGGAGTTGAGTGATGTAGAAGGGAAAAAGCGCGGGTGGCAGAAAGAGGTGGGGGAAAGGGTCTTAAGTACCAGTGGCGGGCTGCAGGTTTGGCTGGTGGCTGATCTGCAGTGGTGCTGATTTAGAGATTAGCGTTGGGTTGGGGTGTGGGTGGCTGTCGCCTTTTCAGGATGGCCTGTGCTTTTCCCGATTAGAGTGGCTTTTACGCTAGGGTGTGTGTGTTGTTGTGATTTTTAGGCGGGGGTTCGGGTAGGAGAATAATGCAAGTCACAGGGCAGTGCAGCGTTCACAAAAGCCGGTAGGCCCTGTGAAAAAGGTGCAATCGAGTTTGATGGGAAATCTGGGCTTGAGCGGCCAGGAGACAGGGATGGCTAGGCCCAGCGGGTTTTTGATTGGGTGTATGCGCTCTTGGCACAACTGCGCTTTCCTGGTTTGAGCAGACGAGAACTGGGAACGTCAAAAGCTCAGTGATTTGAGGCAGTCAGTCAATCAGTCTTTACAGCACGCTAGCAGGCATTGCAACCCAGGTCAAGGTCAAAGGACGAGATTTGCAGGGGCAAAAAGTCAGACGCAGTTACGCAGTCGGCAAGGCAAGGCAAGGCAAACCCGCACAGGGGTGCGCAACAAAGTGGTTGCTCCCTTCACCAGGTTCCCACCCCCTCCCTTCCTTTTACCCACAACCATGCAGTGCGGTTGCATTACGCCACGATGATTATGATCTGTGTATGTATACCTGAAGCTACAGATACCATGTGTCAATAGACAACTCGTACAGTCAGGTCCAGGTGCTATTTCCAGGAAGAGAAGTACACGTGCATGTCTCACGACCACGTACATCAATCATATGAAAAGTATCAACATAGGGGGGTAGGGCGGAAGGCAATGCGACGAGATGACGGACTTTGTTCCACGTACTATGAACCCTCAGTTGGCCAACAACAAATCCTGACCCCGTGTCAAAACCATGTACCCGGACAAATGTGTGAGAAAAAACTGGTGTCTTTAGTGCCCATGGTCAAATTAAACCAGGGTAGGTGGGCTAGGGCTGCGGGAAAAAGCGAAAAGGTTGCGTACTGATTCTGGGCCCCTGGCTCTTGGCTTGCTTGGGTGCCCCCCAGTCCACCAGTCTGTGGAGTGATCTGGCGCACCCGCCCCTGCAGCAGGCCTCCCTACTTAATGCCTTTCTCCTTCCCCGCGTCAACAACAACTTTCAGCCGCGCTTGTTCCCGTTCTGCTACATCACATCTGCAATTCAAAACAGCCTCTGCCATCTACCATCGCGGTAATCCTCCTGCTTCACATCAACTCTAAAACACACACATCATCTCTTCTCTCGCCCATCAATCAACATGACTGGACGTAAGTCTTACCAGCCTCTTCTCTATTGAGACCTCAATCGATGACTGACATTGTCCCATATAGGTGGCAAGGGCGGCAAGGGTCTCGGCAAGGGTGGTGCCAAGCGTCACCGCAAGATTCTTCGTGACAACATCCAGGGTATTACAAAGCCCGCCATCCGCCGTCTCGCTCGTCGTGGTGGTGTCAAGCGTATCTCTGCCAGTAAGTTGCGCCCTCGTCTTCTCTGCGCGTCGCCCTCTCCCCTCTCGACGCGTCCTCCACACAGCAGACCGTCGCACACATTGCTGACATGACCGGCCAGTGATCTACGAGGAGACTCGCTCTGTCCTCAAGTCCTTCCTCGAGGGTGTCATCCGTGATGCCGTCACCTACACTGAGCACGCCAAGCGCAAGACTGTCACCTCGCTCGACGTCGTCTACGCCTTGAAGCGACAAGGCCGTACCCTCTACGGTTTCGGTGGTTAGACACCCTACGACTCATGTCACGTCACGATTGTTTTCTGTTCTCGCGCGGCGGAGTGGCGGGGAAAGGCTCGGCACCAGGAATGCTTTGGGTTGTGCCTGCGATGTGATGAATTCTGGGATTCGGTTTCTGCTTTGGGTTCTCTGTACCATACGGGCAAACGGTGTTCACGTGGATAACATAATTGATACCTCCCACGCTTGAGGAGGCGGTTCTCTGATGACATACTTGCTGCCATGACCTCGTGCGCCAACCTCTGTAGAATGACCGTGAGGCTTTGTTCTTTTGGAGTTGTTGTTTTTTCTAGCATCAATACCCAACGCCCAGTCTTATCGTCTCCCACGCCTTCCAAGATCATATGGGTTTGGCTAAACTCGCATGCTTCTTTTCCATCTCGGTGGCAAAATGGTGCTTGTCTGCGCAGATGAGGCAAAGCGAGGAATATTTTTTGAGCGGCGTACCACGCAACCAAGCTGAGCTCCAGAGAATGCAAGCCTCTTCCTGTTGCAAGCTTTCGTGGCACACAGGTTCAACATGTTAAGTATTCTCCTCCATTCCTAGTCCAGAGCTAGAACATGTAGAAAGGCGGAATAACCAAGAACGGAAGGGTCTTTATTTATTAATTAATTCAAAAAAAAAACCCACCAGTAAGATGGCGTCCTAGCTCTGCAGCTCGTGTTTTCTGACGTTTGTTGTCAAGCATTAATAGTAGTTCATATCATTTTGTGCGTATTAACATTAACTTGGTTTACGACATAGAGGAACAAGTCCAAGATGTTTAAAGCTTCGGACAACAACAGAACAACTGGTGATCCTCTGGAATAGGGTGGGAGTCGCACGAATATGCACTTCTTACGAAAGGTTAGATCTTGTTGCGAGGTATCTGCTTGCATCCTCATCTCATTACTTCTTCGGAAGGAAGCACTTGTTACTAGATGACCAGGATTACGATCAGCTCACAACCCGGGCAAAGTCTTTCGAACTTGCCTTTCAGTCCAAACAATGCTGAACGGACTTAAAGGACAAATGTCGCGGTGATCAATCAGGCCGCGACAATACCACTGGCGGTGCGTGGTCTGAGCAGAGATGCCTATACGACTTGGGCGTCCCCGAACGGGACAGCCTGGGTTAATTAGAGATAGTCTCCCAAGCTTTATCCCTGGCTGTCGAGTCTACACCTATGGGTATCCCTCCAATATGAGTTTAACTTCATCGTTCTCCGCCATCAAGCTCTCACGAGGGCTTCAAAATTCTTCAAGGGACATTCGTGACGGCACAGGAACAGTATTGTGAGGGGGATCTTGACTCTGCCTCTTTGTTAGCTTCCCTGACTTTTACAATAAGGGCGTGGCTCCATTGATTCTATCCGCCAGGGCCTCAGTGGTATCATTTGCAAGCAGGTAATGATGTCTTGTTGAATTGGCTTCTCCAGGCACGCTCCGAACCCCGAACAGGGCTTGGTTCTTGTCCATCTGGACAATAAGGAATATGGCTCTGCGGTGAGATCCAGCACTGGCATAACATTCGTGGGAATCTCTCACGAAGGGGGCGAAGTTGCGAACCAGGGGGACGGCAAGAACAAGCGTGATCTGTTCGAACAAGGTCTCGGCCGGAATACAGCCTGGGATCATCAGAACTGATCTCCAAGATCATTTACACTGCGGCTTCAATGTACTGCATGAGCCAGCATTCTCGTCTTGAAATAGACTTGGAGATATGATGTCTGTCTCCTTATGAAACCGAGCTAACACGACCCCCTCTCTGTCTTAGTAGCTGCAAATCGATGTGAGAACCTTGATTATATCTGACCTGTATTCAGATCGTGGGTCAATATATGCAATAGTGGGCATTATCCACGAAGATAGTATATGCCTGTGCGCGAATCACCAAGATATCTGCAATGTGCTGAGCAGGACTAAGGTTTACAAGGCTGTAGCCGACTATATATAAAAAGACTTCCACAGCCTGCCAAGTGACTTTTCAACGGATATCGACTCATCCCTAGTCTGTTTCATGGTTTTGAATTACTGAAAATACTCTTCTCTAGCTAACAGGTCACCCAGGCTGGAGCAAGACGATGCTTTACTCTTCAGCGGCCGCACCTTGGGGAAAACATACTGGAATATCTTCATATACATTTGCAACGATCAAGTCACGTCAGAAGACGCCAAAGCCATTCTCATAGGCCTCATCTCCCAGTTTGTCCACCACCATCGCGCCATGATCTGACATATACGAAGAGTATTCGAGATCTAAGGCTCGAACTCTTTTCACTCTTGCTCTGCAGTCTGGAGTGTCTCCAAGATCATTGCTGAGGACGTGGAGTCGGATACCATTCACATTATTGTCAATGCCCTGGACAAGTGCAACAGCTCTCTTTACTATACCTTACTGCGGTCGATTCGGGGATTGTTCAACACCTCCAGTCCTGCTACAGGGAGCAGCAGACACATAAAGTTCCTATTGACAGCGTTGGGTCGCCTGACGCTGGGCGCTGACGAATTCCACGAGCATCAACTTCCTTCCCATCAACCAGAGCTAGTCTGGCTGGCTACGAAGATCTCCCGATCTTCATCCAGAAAGAAGCAGAAGAAATCACACTCACAATTTGCTGCTGTGAAGAAGCAAAGAGCTTTCTGCTATAAGCCAGAGCTGACCAGACTTTCTTGTAGATCCACATGGTCCTCGAGTCTTTGAAACAGAACTGCTTCACATTTATGAACAAACTCGAGGCATTATGTTATGACTCGTGGTCCAGGCATAAGCTATATGTACGGTTGGAAGGAAAATTTGAGCAGATTTCGAATATTGGCTGATCTTTTAATCTATATAGTACAGTGGCATCTTCCACTACCGCTCATAATACATTATCACCAAGCTGCCTTCTGATATTGAAGCAATGTACTGGAAAATTCGATATCTGATATGCCTTCATGATACTGAAACCAATGATCGCAGCTACTAAGACTACTATTAGCAAGTTCATGCTCTCTAATTCTACTCCTAGATAAGAGCAGTCTTGCATTCACCAGCAAATAATCCTATGAAGCTTCAGAGGTGTCTTTTAAAGTAATAGAAGCATAGTTAATTAGCATGCAAGTGTTATAACCCATCCAACATGCAGGTTACGGAACAAGCTCCGCCAACAAGGAAGCCAGGTACTGCAGCCCAACACCGGACAGCTAACCAGGATTACATAAGCAAGAGTTAGAGTTATAAAGAAGGAAGGATCGTTGGGATAGCCACCGATCCAAACGAGCCTCATACCAAGAATCGTTAGAATAGCTACTGATCCAAACGAGCCTTATACCATGAATCATTAGGATAGCTACTATGTGATGATGCACTGCAGTATCCGAAGATCCTAAAGTACACAAAGGATTTATGCTAACAAGAGCAGTATCAAAGTAGTAACCAACTAAATACGGAAATATAAACAAATAATCCATATAAATGCTTTCATCCGCCTTTGGAGCTATTCAAGTATATAATAAATGAATACTTAGATTGATGACTGAAAAGCTATATTGTTATAACTCATCCAACATGCAGGTCACAGGACAGGCCCCGCCAACAAAGGACCAGGTGTCACAACTCAGCATTGAACAACAGACAGGATTACATAATCTAGGGTTAAGGTTATAAAGGAGATAGAATAGCTGGGATAGCTAAGCTATTCAAGCGAGCCTCATACTATGAATAGCTGGGATAGCTAGGCTATCCAAGCGAGCTATATTGAAGAGCTAAATATATAAGAATATATTCATTACTATTAAATAAATCATCAGAATATAGCTCTTTAATTATTAATCTAAGTATTTATTTGCTATATATTTAAATAGCTCTAAAAGCGAATAATCAGTACTTGTATGAATCACTTATTATATTTTCATATTTAATAAATATTACTTTAATATCGCTCTTATTAGTATAAACTCTTTATATATTTCAAGATTTTCGGATATTGCAGTATATTTATTATATTTTAATAACTCTTATTCAGGAATAGTTTAGTATTATCTATTTGAATAATACGAAAATATGATAGCTTCTGCAATTCTCTCTTTGTTCTTATATAATATGCTTATCTATCAAAATGAGCTGGTTCAGCAGTTTCTTCAGCTTTAGAAATATATTAAACAGCTCAAGCAACAGCAGCTGCAGCAGCAGAGAATTATTGCTGCTCAGTAAAAACAGATTCAGTATAATACTTAGTTCTACTATTGAATCAGAACTAAGGCGCTGTTGCCCTCGAAAGAAAGGAACGAACAGCTGCCGAAGCAATGGGCAAGAGCTCGTGCAACCCAAGCGTGCCTGTACAGATGAGGACAGCAAACTAAGGCCATACGAGCACAAGAACAGGGTGAAAAATCTGTCTTAGACCTGTTCAGAGAGTTCAAAATTGAAAAGAAGAGAAAAGAATGCTTGATTGTTTTTTTATAGCTAAAGAATTTGAAAAGTGAGTAATATCCTTTATATGTATAAGAACTCTTGACTCACTGTACTCCATGTCTCACGAACTACCACCCTGGCCATCACAACACTATATCTTTATCAGCAATAAGAGTGTTATAATCCATTCAACATACAGGTTGCAGAACGGGCTTGCTAAACAAGGAGCCAGATGTTACAACTCAATGTTGAATAACTAATAGTGATTATATAATTCAGAATAAGAACTACAATAGGGATGAATCATTGGATCATTAGATGATCCAATAAGCCTGGATTACTTAGATTGCTAGTAATCCGAGATAAGCTATACTGAAGAGCTGAATATATAAGGATATATTCATTACTATTAAATAGATTATCAGAATATAGCTTTTCAATTATTAATCTAAGTATTTAACTATTATATACTTGAATAGCTTTAAAAGCAAATAAATAGTACTTGTACAAATTATAATACTTATTCTGTATTCTAGTAATTATTACTTTAATACTGCTCTTATTAGTATAAATCTCTTATATATACTAGGATCTTTAGATACTGCATGTTATGACTCATTCAACATGCAGGTTACGAAACAGGTCACGAGCAACAAGGACCAGGTATTAAGAATCCAACATTCTGACAAAGCATTGATTACATAACCCAGGGATAGGGTTATAAGCACAATCAATCAGAAAGAATAGCTCTGAATATATGCTATTCAGAGCTAACAGGATAACTTAAATATGCTGCTATCCAACATATCCATACTAAAGAGCTGAATATATAACTACACATTCCTTACCCTTAAATAGATTTGATATATAGCTCTTCAGTTGTTAATCTAAATATCAGATTACTTTCTTACTCTGATAGCTTTAAAGATAGTGAATACTTGCATTACTTCTTAGAACTTGTATAGTTTCGTATTTAAGAACTTGATATTTTGATACTGCTCTTGTTAGCATAAATGTAATGAGCACTGCAGCAATCCGAAGATCCCAAAGTATACAAAGGGGGTTTATGCTAACAAGAGCAGTATCAAAGTGCCAAGTTCCTGAATACGGAACCGTACAAGTCTCAGTAAGCGATGCAAGTATTCACTGCCTTTGGGGCTATTAGAGTAGAGAGTAATCTGATACTTAGATTGATAACTGAAGAGCTATATATAATGATCTGTCTAATGGTAATGAATGTGTGATTATATATCCAGCTCTTCAGTATAGCTCGCTGATGCTTACTGAGGCTTACTGTTGCTCAGTAGTGCTTACTAAAGCTTACTGCTGCTCAGTAGTGCTCACTGAGGCTTAGTAAGCATAAGTAAGCTCTTCTGATTGATTAGCTTGTAACTCTAATCCTGGGTTATATAATTCTTGTAGGTTATCTGATGTTAAGTTATGATATCTAGTTCTTGTTTGCTTATGATCTGTTTTCGTGATCTGCATATTAGATGAATTATAATATCATCTCCCTCCTATTAGTTATTATTTTCAATGATCTTCTGTAAGTATTCAGTAAGTTCTCTGCATGCATAATTATATTTTCCTAATCAAGATATTAAACAGAACCTTAAATTCTTGTATTAGTAAATCTTCTTTTTCTATTCTTTCTAAGAAGAGCTTTGCTCATTAGGAATATTTCAGTTATATTAAATCTAACAAATATGAAATGATGCTGTATTCTTTGTATTTGGAAGAAGGAGTATTGTATAAGATAATAAATAAGATAAAGAATTATTTGCAATGTATCAAGCAGAATTATTCCTGCAATGCGAATTGCATACTTGTTTCTTCTTATTAGTATTTCCTTCTAAATATTTTTCTTTGTTAATTAAAACTTTTCTCCTTAGTATTCCGAATTACTAATAAATTAATCTATATTAATAAATATAAGCTTGAGAAGAAGAAGCAGTTTGTCAGGTGGAAAGGTTGCAAAGGCAATGTGGCGAGGTCTTTCTCTCTTTCAGGGGTATACAACCAGAATAACATTGAGGCCTAAGGAGCTAAGTTCTGCTCAGCAGTGCTGACGTGGCTAGAAAGCCGCTTTATAGCCGCATATTGCTTAGTCATCCGTAATTCAGCTGGCTCTGATCCTTGCTGGCACAATCGGCCCTGACAGATTGTCCCCCCTTATCAGGCCTTGTCCTCAAGGCCTTTGAGGCTTCCAAGCTTTCGTTGCTTCCAGGCTTCCGTTGCTCCCAGGCTTCCGTTGCTCCCAGGCTTCCGTTGCTTCCAGGCTTTCGCTGCTTCCAGGCTTTCGCTGCTTCCTAGCTGCTCCTACGCCTTCTCAATGCTTCAGGCTCTTAAGATCTCTCAGTGCTTCAGGCTTCTCAAAGCTTCTCAAGATCCCTCAGTGCTTCAGGTTTCTCAAAGCCTCTCAAGATCTCCCAGTGCCTCAGGCTTCTCAAGGCCTCTCAAGGTCCCTCAGTGCCTCAGGCCTCTCAAGGCTTCTCAAGGTCTCTCAGTGCCTCAGGTTTCTCAAGGCCTCTCAAGATCTCTCAGTGCTTCAGGCCTCTCAAGGCTTCTCAAGATCTCTCAGTGCTTCAGGCTTCTAAGCCACTCAAGGTCTCTCAGTGCCTCAGGCCTCTCAAGGCTTCTCAAGATCTCTCAGTGCCTCAGGTTTCTCAAAGCCTCTCAAGATCTCTCAGTGCCTCAGGCCTCTCAAAGCTTCTCAAGATCTCTCAGTGCCTCAGGCTTCTAAGCCACTCAAGGTCTCTCAGTGCCTCAGGCTTCTCAAAGCCTCTCAGAGTCTCAGGCTTCTCAAAGCTTCTCAAGATCTCTCAGTGCCTCAGGCCTCTCAAGGCTTCTCAACCATCTCCCTCCTTCTCTTCTGGCTTCGTCCCCGAAGCCTGTGAAAAAAAAATCTCTTTTTAATCACATTCCAGACGTAAGTCTTCCGAGTGCAATACCCGCGCTATATACGCTGCTCAGTCGCTGCTCCCTCAGCGCTTTATCCAGGCACTCTTCAGAACTTAAAGCTGTTTGATGTAGGTTGCAAGCCTTCCACCAGGGACTTGGTTTGCAGCCAAGGAGCCCAGCATCCAGGACAGCGTCTCTGCAGCTATAACGGATAATTATAGCTTTCCGTCTTGAGAGTTGCTCTCTAGCAACTCTGAAGCCGTTGCCACGCTTCGCTCCACCGCTAGGTGCAGAAGGGTAATTGGTTTGCAACCTAATACCCAAGCAACTTCAGTTGCCAAGCGGACACTCCGCTTCAGCTCTGCGCTCTCGCTCAAATAGCGAAGAGCACACTCTCGAAAACAGAAGATACTCAGATCTACTGCTTGCTCACTCTGCTCTCTCGCTCGAATAGCGAAGAACACACTCTCGAAAACAGAAGATACTCAGATCTACTGCTTGCTCACTCTGCTCTCTCGCTCGAATAGCGAAGAACACACTCTCGAAAACAGAAGATACTCAGATCTACTGCTTGCTCACTCTGCTTTCTCGCTCGAATAGCGAAGAGCACACTTTGTTCTAGCTTAGCAACTCGAATGCTCTGAATCTCTTCTGAACGCTTCTCGTACGCTGCTTGCATACTGCTTGCTCGCTGTTTGCTCTAGCTTAGCGACTCGAATGCTCTGAATCTCTTCTGAACGCTTCTCGCACGCTGCTTGCACACTGCTTGCTCGCTGTTTGCTCTAGCTTAGCGACTCGAATGCTCTGAATCTCTTCTGAACGCTTCTCGTACGCTGCTTGCATACTGCTTGCTCGCTGTTTGCCCTAGCTTAGCAACTCGAATGCTCTGAATCTCTTCTGAACGCTTCTCGTACGCTGCTTGCATACTGCTTGCTCGCTGTTTGCCCTAGCTTAGCGACTCGAATGCTCTGAATCTCTTCTGAACGCTTCTTGCACGCTGCTTGCATACTGCTTGCTCGCTGTTTGCTCTAGCTTAGCAACTCGAATGCTCTGAATCTCTTCTGAACGCTTCTCGTACGCTGCTTGCATACTGCTTGCTCGCTGTTTGCCCTAGCTTAGCGACTCGAATGCTCTGAATCTCTTCTGAACGCTTCTCGTACGCTGCTTGCATACTGCTTGCTCGCTGTTTGCTCTAGCTTAGCAACTCGAATGCTCTGAATCTCTTCTGAACGCTTCTCGCACGCTGCTTGCATACTGCTTGCTCGCTGTTTGCTCTAGCTTAGCGACTCGAATGCTCTGAATCTCTTCTGAACGCTTCTTGCACGCTGCTTGCATACTGCTTGCTTGCTGTTTGCTCTAGCTTAGCGACTCGAATGCTCTGAATCTCTTCTGAACGCTTCTCGCACGCTGCTTGCATACTGCTTGCTCGCTGTTTGCTCTAGCTTAGCGACTCGAATGCTCTGAATCTCTTCTGAACGCTTCTCGCACGCTGCTTGCATACTGCTTGCTCGCTGTTTGCTCTAGCTTAGCGACTCGAATGCTCTGAATCTCTTCTGAACGCTTCTCGCACGCTGCTTGCATACTGCTTGCTCGCTGTTTGCTCTAGCTTAGCGACTCGAATGCTCTGAATCTCTTCTGAACGCTTCTTGCACGCTGCTTGCATACTGCTTGCTCGGCACTGCTTGCTCGCTGTATTCAAGGCTCGAAAGCTCGAAAATCGAAGGCTCGAAGGTCAAAGGCTCGAAGGTTAAAGGCTCGAAGGTCAAAGGCTCGAAGGTTAAAAGCTCGAAGGTCAAAGGCTCGAAGGTTCGAAAAGAATAGTGGTCTGATCGTTTGCTCTGCTCCTGCTCAGTGTTAGCGCTGCTCCTAGAGAAGAAAAAAAAAAGATAGAAAGCCTCGCCGGATTGCCTCCTTTAAAAGGGCCAGGCCTCAAACTGTCAGGTGGAAAGGTTGCAAAGGCAATGTGGCGAGGTCTTTCTCTCTTTCAGGGGCATACAACCAGAATAACATTGAGGCCTAAGGAGCTAAGTTCTGCTCAGCAGTGCTGACGTGGCTAGAAAGCCGCTTTATAGCCGCATATTGCTTAGTCATCCGTAATTCAGCTGGCTCTGATCCTTGCTGGCACAATCGGCCCTGACACAGTTGTTAGAACTTCAAGCTTGTATGAATGAGTTACTAGCTTATTTATCATAGCTGAAAAAGCAGCAATGCTTTCTTCAGAAGAAGGGGATAAAGCTGGTGAATAAGGGCCTGGAGGAGGAGAAGTGCGAGCGTGTAGCTACTGAGATGCAGGCTATAGTTTCCGCAGAGCCTGTTATTGCTCCTGAGAGTTCTTCCTCTAGAGATTTTGATTGGAATTCTGTAGATGTAGGGAATGCAGTAGTGGATTAGTTGGATTTCCTGGAGAGCAAGATCTCTGAAGCCTCTGGATCTTGGTTCAGGGCGGAGCGATTGTTTTAAGTATTAGCTTTCTTTTTCCAATATTCAGCTATCTTTTTCTAAGCATTTTCAATATTCTTCTGTAATTCTTATAAGTTTTCGCTTGCTAAATAGCTTTTTCATTTGATAAGATATTCTTTTATATTATTCATACTTCTATGCTTAAGAATCTTTTCTACTTCATACTCTAGTTTGTTGCTTTCTACTTCTGCTATATTATTCGCTAGTATTTTCTATGCTGCTAATTCCAATAGTGAGATATGGAAAACTGAGTATATTCTTATCTTATAAAGTAATACTAACTTATAGTTAATTAGAGAAATCTATTATAAGATTTTGAATAATTCTAACTTCTTATAGTTAAGCTTATTGCTGAGTTTAATTGTTTTGATGTTTTTTTGAAGTAGATAAACTTTATCTTTCTTCTGTAGGATTGGTTTCTCAATTCTCTTAGAGTTTGCATATTGTACTATTCATTTCTGAACGAATTGTAGTTCTGATTGAAATTCCTTCTAAACTTTCTTAATCTTCTTAATTTTCTTATTTGCAGCTTCTATATCTGCTTCTTGCAGTGCTTTGTAATAAGCTATTAGATTATATCTGTAGAATATGAAGAATAATGATTTCTTTATTATGCTTGTATTTGTATTATTATAAGCAAACTGTGCAAGAAGCAATAAGTTGATCTAATTATCCTATTTCTGATTAATATAATATTGAAAATATTATTTAATAATCTGATTCATTCTTTCTGTTTGTTTATTTATCTGCAAATGAAATGCTATAGATATTCTATAGTATGTTCTAAGTTGTTTTATAAGTAAAGTTTAAAACTTTGAGTTGAACTTTCTATCTTTATTGAAGATTACTTCTTCTGATATGCTGTAGTTAGCAATAATTGTTCTGAAGAATGCATATGCGAGTTTCTCTGCTGTACTGCTTTTTTTATAGAAAAGAAAATAAGTATACTTGCTTAGTTTGCAAACTATTACTAGAATGCTATTGTATTATACTTTAGTTAAGAGTTTTTGTAAGAAAGATAGCTTGGTAATAAAGTTTAAACTGATAAATTGCTAAATAGTTATAAGTACTAATAAGAAGTATAATAGTTTATAAAGCTTATATCTTTCTGCTTTATTCTTTTTGCAGCTATTGTATTATTATAAGATATTTTCAATTCTTTTTCTAAAGCTTAATAAACTCCAGTATCTTCTAATATATTCATAGATTGCTCTAATTTTCTAATATTTATATGCTGATATATTGTATATATTCTTGATATAGTTATCTTATTTATTTGGAGTTATTAATTCTGAATTCTTTTCTGAGAGTTTAATTCTGAAGACAGCATTCAGTTCTCTGTATGCATTGATAAGATTTCCTGATTCATTTTGAATAAAGATATTCTATATATCTAAAGAATCTGTATCTTAATAGTCTAATCTTCTGCTAAAAGCATCTGCTCGTTTGTTCTCTGAGCTTTTATAATATATAATCTTGAAATTAAACTATAAAAGGAATTCTGTTTATCTAACTTATTGCTTATTCAAAATCTTGATTATTATGAATATAGTTAGATTCTTGTAATCCGAGTGAACTATAATCGGATATTATATGCTAATAAAGTAGTATTGCTACTTCTTGAAAGCTTTTACTATTGCTATAAGTTTCTGATTAGGAATTCTATAGTTAATTTCTGAGCTATTTAACTTCTTTGAGAAGTTGCTTATAATTCTTAGATATTCTTAGTTATCTTGCTGGCTAAGTTGTTCTCTGAGTGCATATTTTGATGTATTAGTTTCTATTTCAAAGGGTTTATAGAAATCTGCTTTATACAGAACTAGTTCTGAGATAATATGCTTAATAATCTTATTGAAGACTTTCTATACTTTGGAGATTTATTTGAAAAGCTATTCTTTTTTGGTAAGATTTGTAAAAGAGTATGCGATTCAGCTGTAGTTCTTAATGAACTGCTTGTAGAAGTTGATATATTTAAGAAAAGATCTAATATTTCTAATATTCTTAGGAATTAGCTAATTTCTAACAGCTTCTATCTTATCTTTCTATAGCTTAATATATTCTAGCTTGATTGTAAATCTGAAATAGTTAATCTTTTATATATGAAAGTAACTCTTTGCAGGCTCTATAAGAAGTTTTGCATCTTAGAATATTTACAATACTATCTTTATATATTTCTTGTATTCTTCAAGTATTTGAGAGTAGATAAGAATATTATTGAAATAAGCAATAATAAACTGATTCAAATACTTGTATAGAATATAATTGATTATTTCCTAGAATGAAGCTAGAGTATTCATTAAATCAAAGAGTATAATTAAATATTTGTAGTATTCATAGTATATTCTGAAAGCAGTTTTCTATTCTTTTTCTTTTTTTATTCTAATTAGATTATAAGCTTCTTTCAGATTTAGAACTATAAACTATTATACTTCTTGCAGCTTATCTTATAATTTCTTAATAAGTAGTAATGGATATTAGTTCTTGATTGTAATATTGTTGAGTTGCTTATAATTAATATATAGCTTAAGCTTGCTATTTTTCTTAGATATAAACAGAATGAAGTATTCTGCTAGTAATTGCAATGATTATATATAATCTTTCTTAAAGTTCTCATCAAGATATTCTCTAAGTGCTTCTAGCTATGCTTTATCTAGTTTGTAGATAGGGAAGAATTTGAGCTATTTCCCTTCTTGTAGCAGAATCTCGTAGTTGTATGAGCTATATTCCGGTAATCCCGTATTCAATTCTTTCTAGAATAGTTTCTTGAATTTGTAATATTCTTGTAGTATATTCGCAAGTATTAGTTCTAGTTCTTGTGCTGTTTCTGCTATCTGAAGGAATAGTAGATACTGCTGAGTATGCTTCTTTTTGTTTGTTATTTTTGAGAGCTTTGAGTATCTGCTTCGAGCTGAACTGAGCGCTCGAGGGCTTAGTTTCGAGGTTTTTCCTGTATAAGTCTACAATTCACATTCTGAAGCTTTTCCTTGTTGCTCCGAAGCAAACTAACTTACTGAGAATCTTGCTTCTATTGTTTTGCTAATCTATTGATACTTTAGCACTATTTAGGTTTGCTTATTACTAGATTCTTCTTCTTGAACTGCTAGCTTTGCTAGTTTGAAAGTATGTATAAAGTTGTTTGAAGCTTCTTTTTCTGAGTATTCTTCAATAACTAGCTTCGATCCTGCGCTACTGATTGCAACTATCTTTCTGAATATAGCTTGTTTTCATAAGAGCTAGCTAGTAGTTCAATTGATTCGAGAATTATGCTTCTTAAGCTATGAAAGCTTCATAATCAGCTTATGCTATGCTGTATTCATAATATCAAAGAAAGCTCTGATTATATATTCTTGAATTAAGATAAATAGATGATTAATCTCTTTATTGATTACTCCTTGATTGTATACAACAGATTATTCTTTTATAGTGCTGAGAGTATATAAGCATTTCTTTTATCTCTATTGTAGTTATGCTTGATTAATAATATATGGAGATATGAAGTTTCCCTGAGTGCTACTATTTAATAATGCGCTGTATTTGTATTCTTGAATGTATATATTGAACTTAATGTAAGTATAATCTGTTTTAGAAGCTTTATATAGGAACTGTTTCAATCTAATCATCTGCAGTCTCTTTATAAGCAATTCTATTCTTTTAAGTTTATTAAGAACTACTTATTCTTCTAAGCCTGCTTTGCTACTTCTTAAGCAAGCTTTTTAGCTTGCTTTTGCTTATATTATTATCATTTCTAATCTTTCTTCTATTAATACTAGTTGCAAACTTTGTTATTAATATAAATTATACAGAGTATTATCTTATATTGCTATCATTCTATCTTTTTATCTATATATTATATGAAGCAATTATCTAATAGTTCGATATATGCATTGTAGTACTATTTATTGAGAATCTCCCTAAAGCGGAGTTTCTATTCTTTAACAGTCTAAAGGATTTGTTCTGATTTTCTGATGGAAAACTATTTATATTGCATCTTGTCTGAGAAATACATTCTGCAGCTATAATAGATACAGAAGATTCAAGCTAGTTTGTAATATAAGTTGTAAAGTGAATCAATTCGAGAATCTTCATCTTATTATGCTTCGATGTTTTGCAAGGGAATGCTAGTAAAGAGCTTCTTTAACTCTATTCTATAAACGAGATATTCAATTTATATTATTTTCTTATTCCATTCAATGCTGAAGAGAAATCTTTCTATAAGCTTCTTGGATTTATTGTT